TAATAATAATAATAATAATAATAATAATAATAATAATAATAATAATAATAATAATAATAATAATAATAATAATAATAATAATAATAATAATAATATCAATACTGCTACTTCTAGTAAAAACAACTCTAATATCAATAATAACTCAAACAACATTGATACTCCTTTGAAAAAGAAAAAAAGATCACAAAACCTTAACTCATCTTCAAAAAAAAAATCAATCTCAACAATCACTTCCAATATTAATCAAATACCGCCTCCTGTTTTTCCAAATCCTCAACAATTGTTATTACAGCAGCAGCTGCTGCTGCTGCAACAACAGCAACAGCCTCTGCAATTTTCAACAACCCAAACAGTCCCAGCATCTGGTTATAATTTAATTCTGTTAAATAACTCTCAATCACAACCTCCTCAATCTTTAACACTGCAAAGCTTTCAAGAACAAAATATCAATCAATCCCAAAATCTGCAGCCTCTTTCTATACACCAAAATATACAGCAAACTTTGCAACAAAATTTACAGCAAAATATACAACAAAACATACAGCAAAACTTAAAACAATCCCTACAAACAAACGGTTTATTAATTCCTCAACCTACTCTAACAACTCCTTTATCTTCAACTTCACTCACTCCAAATTCAACTATTACAGCAACTGCTACTTTACCTCCACATTATTTCCAACAATTTCAGATCCTGCAACAATTTCAAAACTCAAACCAACAACAACAACAACAGCAACAGCAACAGCAACAGCAACAGCAGCAGCAACAAAAATTAATACAACAACAATTTTTACAAATACAATTGCAACAACAACTTCAATTACAGGCCCAGGTCGAGGTACAGGCACAAGTACAGGCACAAGTACAGGCACAGGCTGCTCATGCACAAGCCCAAGCTCAAGCTCAGGCTGCTGTACAAGCTCAAGCAAATGCTCAGTTCCAGGTAGCTCAGGCTCATGCTCAAGTCAATAATGCTCAAGTTCAGAATCAATTAAATTTAAATTATGCGCATAACCAGCAGCTTCAACAACAACAATTACCACAACAAATTCTGCAGCAAATGCATATATCCAATGATACTAACAAATTAAAAAGTCTAACACCACCATCATTAAATCCAACTCCCAATCTAACAAATCTTGTTTTACCCTCAAGTATTCCAAACAATTTCAATGATAGTAATGATAATAATATTAAAACTACCAACAACAATAATACTAATAAGGAAAATAACGATAATAGCAAAATAAATCAAAAAAATGTTAAAATTGATGAAAATAAGAACATGAGTAACGAAGAAATTAATAAAACAAAGAATATAGCCATTGGTGACAATAAAGGATCTAATGATAATCAACTTTCTGCATCCCAAAAAAATAATTTTGCATCACCCCAGCCTGGTAACAACTTGACTTATAGTCAGCAAATTATAAAGTTTTTGAGCAAGGAAACAAACGAAATCCCACAGTTTCTATTAAGCCCACCACTGGACTTCAATGTAGATGATCCAATAGATTCTGAAGGTCATACCACGTTACATTGGGCTTGTGCTTTAGGTAATACCAGATTGGTGAAAATTTTAATAAATAACAAAGCGAATCCTATAAAGCCAAACGTTTATGGATTGAATCCACTTTCAAGGTTAATTTCATTTAATAATTGTTATGAAAAAAGAGTATTTAAAGAAATATTTTTGAATCATCTTAAATGTTGTTTGGCTGTTGTTGATCAAAATAATAGATTGGTTTTACATTATATATCTGATTTATCAAAATTTGAAAATAAGTTTACAAGTTGTTTTTATTATTTCAAAGTAATATTTAAAGAAATAATAAATGAAAATAATATTAAGAATAATATAATATTCCAAAATTTAAAATATCAATTGCAGCAAACTCAACCGAATGTCATTTTAAATGATTTGGATGTTTACAACTCAATATTTTATCAAAATGCTAAAGATTCTTTTCTAAAATTTTTCTTGAATCACAAGGACTTAAAAGGAGATACACCGCTACACTTAGCAATATACGCTAAAAATCCAACTTTGATCAAAATTTTAGTTGCATATGGAACTGATTTATTGCTAAAAAATGCTAAAGGCGAGTTTCCAGAGAAAATGATTCAAGATTTAATAATGAATAAAGCTATAAACTTGACATTCGCTGAATTGAATCTTTTGATATTAAATCCGGGATTGATTCGTTTTGATGATGATGAAAATTTCTTTCCCAATGTTAAAAATGAACCTCAGTTTGTTCAGAATGAAACCCAATTTGTTCAAAATCAAGCTCTGTTAATTCAAAATCAAGCGCCATTAATTCAAAATCAAGTCCCACTAATTCAAAATCAAATCCCACTAATTCAAAACCAACCTCCATTAATTCAAAATCAAATTCCGTTGGTCCAAAACGAACTATCAGCTGCTAATAATATTCTTAAAACCGATGAACCTCAAAAATTGAACGATAACTCAGCTAAAGAGAATCTTCCAAATCCCGTTATAAACATTGCAACTATTCCACAAGATCAACCCATGAATCCAGTAACAGAGCTGATTTTCAAAGAAAATGAATTTAGTTTGATGGATGATAGTTTGGCAGAGTTGGCTCCAATGAAGAAAATAACGATCAATGATTCAAAACCTCAAAATAATCATACCAATAGTAATAGTGTTGTTGCAGAAAAGAAAAAGGATTTATTAGAAGTACCTACCAACAAATTTCATAATTCAAAACCACCAAAGTCAAAGAATGAAAAACAACTCGATGAAATTCCAGGAATCAGCACAGTTTCCAAAGATCGTAAAAATAATATTAGCTTCATCAATAATAGTAGAAATTCAAGTTTTGAGTTTCCAAAAATTATCGAAGTTACATATTCTGAAAAGCAGAACATCGAAAATAATGAAAATTTATCGTCTAATGAAGAGAGTAATCCATTTTCTCCATTGAAAAAAACAAAATTAAATGATAATACTGCACAAAATAAGTATTCATTTACTTCATTACAACCACCGGTTAATATCAGCAAGTCTAAAAAAAATAAATTTCTTGACAAAAAACAATCTGTGACCTCTGTGGAATCAACAAGCGTCAGGGATAGATTATCTGCTTTGCAGATAAAGCCAATGATTGGCAGCATGTTTGATTCATTGTATGAGTCTCAAGTTTCTCAATTAGAAACGCAAGATAAAGAAATTGAAAAATCTAAACAGTTTCTTGATATGATTGGTGTTGAAATTGAAACTATTAATAATCAGCTTCAAATGTATTTGAGTACCATTTATGTTAAACCAAATAGGGATATCAATGTCAACAAAGAGATTTTATTCAAAGAATCTACAGATTTGGTAACATTTGAGAATGAACTAGATAATGAAGTTAGCGCCTTTGAAAAGCAGTTGGCAATGCAAAATTTTAAACTCAGTGCGATACTAGAAAGGTCGCAATGTAAATTACTAGCAGATTTAGTTATGGTAGAAGAATCAAAATTAATGGAAACAGAAAATCAAGATAAACAACAAACGATAAAACTAACACCAGATGCTCTGAGAACTCCAGTCAAGACCGAAAGGTTGCCCATTGAGCAGAGTACTGTTATTAAAACTAGACCATTCAAATTACCTTTACCAAACAAAGAAAAGATCACAAATGCTGATAGTATGATGTATGGGGGTTTGGCAATCAATAATAGTTTAAATGCTCAAAACTTTAACACAATGACCCCCCAAAGATCCAGTAGTCCGTTGAAAGTACCTTCTAGTTCAGCTACAATTTCAACATACTCTCCTTCAGTGAATGAAAACAATAATATGAGAGAAGATTATGATAGTTTTGCTAATAGACTTAAGTTGTCAATTCAATTAACATTATTGCAGATATCAAGAAGACAAAAGTTGCAGAAAATCATTAGTTTTATAAATGAAGGAAACATAAGCAATAAAATGAATTCTTACAGGAAATTGATAGCAACTGCAAGTGGCCTAGAGATTGACACTATTGATGACTTAATTGATGGTATTGAAGAGGTCCTAATGGAAGATAGTAACGAGGATAAAATGGATATAACTGGGAAAACCAACCAGGAAAATTTGATTCTTCGAGATTCGGCTCTTGTTGATGATACTAATTCTAAATTAACTTATATTAATCCAATCAACTTCAGTAATAATGACGGGAGCGTTATTCTGAATAATTCTATGAAGAATGTTGAAGATAATGACACTAATATGAAAGACAATGATTCAACTATGAATAATATGATTGCAAATGCTGATTCAAGTACCATTGATGGACACTTGATCAAAACTTGATGCCTTTTTTTTATTTTTTCTTCTCTATATGTACTTTTTTTTTGTTTATTTCTATATTTTTTTTTTGATGCTTTTTTTGTGTCTATCATATTAGAATGTTTTTTTTTCATTTTTACTTTCATTTCATTTTACATATTTTTCTAGATTGAGTTGTTATTTGTTCATTGTGCACTTTAAAATTCAAGCTTTTGCATTTTTTAACATAGTTTTGTAATGCTTTTTGTAGTTTTTTATTTCGATTTTTGAACCTAGAGGCAAATTTGCAATTCCATTACACTTTGTTGAACTACTGATAAATTCTTCAAACCTAAGTTGTTTATATCCAAACAAAAACAGCTTATATTTTCAAGCTAATATTGTACAACTTCTGTGCTCAACTGTCTTTTTCACTATTCACCAAATTGCTTTATGTTTTTTTGCAATGTTAGTTTGATTCAACAAGGTAATGTAGTAAAAAGAGAAAATTAAATTAAAAATTAAATTAAAAATTAAATTTTATTATCGATTTTTTTTACTAAACTAAATCTTCGCAAGAAAAAAGATAATAATAAAAGCTAAATAAATAAATTTAAATAAATTTAAAGAAAATATAGGCAATTAAAAAGCAAGAAAGAAATAAAAACAAGATGAAATCTGAGTAATGAATATAACCATATTGTAAAAAGAAAAAAACTAAATAAAAAAAAATTGAAATTATCACTTACTTTTAAATCTCAAACTTCTTTCAAAAGCACTAACAACTTTTTTGCTGCTAGAGTTTGAAGGTTTTGGTATAGTTGGTTCTTCGTCGTCAGCTTTCCTAGGTACATCGACCTTGCCTAAAGCTGCCAATCTTCTTTTCTTTTCAATTTCAGTTTCTTCATTATCAGAATTCGCATTGAAAGAATTTTCTTTGGGATCAATTTGAGAATTTAACAAAGAATTATCAGAAATTGGTGGTTTTTCAACTTTATTTGAAGCATCTAAAGAATCTGAAGTGTTATTAGATTTAGTGGTTTTCAAACCAACAACAGCCAAAGCCTTATTGGTCATGCCTATTAATGAATTTCTGCGAGGTTTTTGAGGTAAATTGCTTTCATGCTCGTGGATTCTATATCTTCGTATAACCTCTCCTTGCGAGTTTTCAACTAATAATTCATCATCTAATCTAAATGCATAAAGTGTATGATGTGGCTTGTTTTCCTTTGAATTTGATATTGATTGATTAATTTTTGATAATTTTGAAGTCAATTTTCCCAAGTCAGAGTTTTCGTTATCTTTTTCTTCTGTATCACTAGAAGAACTGATTTTTGTCAAACTAAAAACAGTTTGCAATCTATTTTGATTGATTTCAGTACCCTCATGTTTTATTAAAGCTTCGCTTACAACTTCACCAGTGTTGTCTTCAATTATCACTTTACTTCCTTCTTGATATACTGTTGATAGATGTTTATTTGAAGTTTCTGTTGTATCATTTTGTGATTTCAACTCATCAACAACTGTTTGTATAACATTAGAAGTTGAATTGAAGTTATCGGTATCTCTTTCATTTTCTTTTGATTTTTCTGAACCAATTTTGATTTGTTCATTTTTAATCCTATTTTCACCTAAATTAAATTGTAATTCGTCAGGTCTTTCTTTCTTGGTTTTGTTGCGATTTCTCTTTTTTCTTCTTTCCATCCCGCCAGCAGGTTTTGCAGGAATTCCACTAGTTTCAACGTTGGTTGAAACCCTTGATATAATGTTTGAACCATTCTTGTTATTAACTCTAGTATTTTGAGCATCATGGGTATCAATTCGATGCAAAGAAAATGAACGACCATTTTTTTCTAGTTTTGGTAAACGATTTATCCAGGATTGCCCATTGCCTTCAGTTGTAGCGGTAGTAAATGATAAAGATAGAGACATTGTATTTAGATGCCTACCAAGGGTTAATACGGCGACTGAAGAACCATGAATAATAATCGAAGTAATTATTATAAAAGTGACAATTGGCCAAATACAAGCAATTAATTGGTAATGTTTTGAGCCCTGAATAGGTAACACAGCTAAAGGAGTAGATTCTTCAGTTTGATCAGCTTCTAATTCACTTCTAGCTAAGATAGCAGCAAAAACAGCACCAACACCAATTGGACCAAAATGACCACAAAATAAAGCTTCTCTCCAGGTTTTGATATCAGGGACTATAGGTTTTATCATTAAAACACTTGGAATACGACGTAAAAAGATGACCACTACGGCTAAAATAATTAATCTCCAAATATCTGTTCCAATTTCAGAATTATTAAATTGTGGCCAGGGAATGATGGCACCAAAATAAACAAAATAAGACAAATTTAATAATAAGTCAATAACAGTAGATACATGAGATTCTTCAGTCTTTTCAGCAAACCAACCATCCCAAGCAAAAGCAGAACCAGCGGCAAAGGATACTAATAAATCGTCGACACCAAGCATCGAGCCAAAGCCTGCAGACATAACAGCTAAAAAAATATAGATAGCTAAAAAAGATTCTCTGTCAATTAAATTATGATTTTCGGCAAATCTTACAGTAATTCTTCCAACATAACCTATGGCAATACCGAATACACAGCCAAATATACATTCATAGAGAACAGAAACACAGACCCACTCTTCAACTATTTCGCCTGCATGACCATGATGGATTATTAAGAATAGGGATAAATAAATGAAAGGAAATGCTAAACCATCATTGCAACCAGATTCGGCAGATAGTAAATTTCTTAAATGTCCAGGAACTCTTTCAGCAAATTTTCCCTTACCAACAACAGCAGCAGATAAAACAGGATCAGTTGCAGTGGTACAAGCAGCAACCAATAAACTTTCAGGAAAATTCAAACCTGGGATCAATAACCAAATAAACAAACCAACAACTAGCCAGCCAATAGTCATTACAATCAAAAGTAATAAAGTCACAGACAACCAGTGTTTCTTCATGTATTTGGTTGGCAATTCAACGGCCACAGCAAAGATTTGAATCACAAGAACAATTCTTGAAAGCTCTAAAGTTATGTAATCTGAGTTGCCCCAGGTTGTGGGAGAAAACCAATTGAGACAGTGAGGGCCAACAATTAGCCCAAATATGGATGCAACATTTGCTTCACCAATATATAATTTTTCTTTGAAAAATAATGAACATAGAGAAAAAACAGCACCAAAGACAGCTAAGACAGCATAGGCGATATGAGCTTGTGTAATCTGAAAACAAAACAAAAAATTCAAAGTTGATAATTATAATATTTTATTAACAATAGAAATAATAACCCAAATCATATAAAAATTTGGTGATTATTAATCACTAGCAAGTTAAAAAAGAATAAATAGTTAGTAAGATTGCTGTTTAGTTGTAAAAGTAGAAGCTTAAAAAAGAAAGCTAAGAAATACCAAGAAATACCAAGAAATATCAAGACAATACCAAGAAATTTAATGATACATACATTTAAATGTTCCCAAACAGCCATGCAATATTTTCTTGTAAGTTTGGAGTTTTTTTCTTTGGAGTTTTGTTTTCCAATAGTAATATGAAATAGTAATATGAAGAAGTTGTAATCTTTAATATGAATTTAAGTATTTTATAAATAGGAATCTTTCTACTGTGATATGCAACAGTTTAATCCATGTATTATTTTGAATGTAAGCACTTGCCTTTGGAAATTTGAAAATCAAAAACTTCGAGAAAGAGACAAGGAGAAATCAAAAAACAGACAATATAATACAGTAATTCGATCCTATGTGGTATTGATATATGTATTTTGTAATCTATAAAAGTGTAATGAAGCCTTGAAGGTTTTAAAAAAAATAAACAACTTCAAAAGAAAAACCAAAATCAAAATCAAAGCAACAGCTAAGGAAACAAAAGCACCACCACTTTTGTTCCACTCCAATGGGTCTTCAGCTATGCAGGCACAAAAGCAGATGCTGCAACATCTGCGTGACGCTTTCGGCTAAATCGGCAATGTACGGATCGTCGGACCGGTGCAGTGCGGAATCGATGGTGAGAATTGCACGGCGTAGAGAAAGGAGGTAGTCCGGGTTCGGGCCGCTCAATCCAGCAGAGGAAACAATAACCTTTGCTGTGTCGGCAAGAGCTTCAGGTCCAATGAAGGAGGTGTTGTCGATGGTAGCAATGTAGATCAACGAGTTGATGATATACTTTCCGCTGTCTTTGTTGAAAGGCAATTTTCTGATTTCCTCCATGGCCTGGTGTCTCTCAGCATCGTCTTTGAATTTACTGCTCTCCAACTCAATCTCAAACGATAGGTTATGTGCAGTATATCCGTCTTGCTCTCTGATATCTAAATACTTAGTCACCTCTTTGGCATGTTCTTTGGGGATATAATAGGCAACAGCCCAGACCTCTAAATCTCTTTCACTTAGTTCACTCACATTTTTGATCTGGGTTTTGGTCACGTTTTCGTTTTTACCGGCATCATTCCTGTTGTAATACTCCAAAAAATCAATGTGAAATTTTTTATTTTCTTTGATGTCTTTTAATGATATTAGAGTCACAACTCTTCCAGGTGATTCTGGGGTACCTCTATGATCTGACGAACTTTGAAAAAACCTTCTTGAAAAACCGTATATCTTTCCCGAAACTCTGTAGAGCGTATGTGGTGGAGGTTTAAATATTAGTGAGCCATACCCAACCACCCATAGTGCTCTCTTATTGTTTTCTATTGTCATTTTTTACTAGGACAAGAAATACGATATTGGAGTATTTTGATGTTGCTGTCAATAGAAGTGATGTTATATCAAGCTGTTATATCAGGTATGTTGGAAAGAAATTGCATAAACATGTCAGGAGCACGTGTCAGTCAACAAACCACAGTTGTGAATATATCGTTCTATCCAGAATACGGTTCAATTTCGGTAGTTTAATTTGGGCTGGCGGTAATGAAGGAATTGAGATATAATCAATTTTTTATTACCCAGTAGATCTGAATAGATGCCATACAATATCGGGCAATGATTTTGAAAATTAGGACCTGGAAGGATAAATAAAACCAGGTTCCATTAAAAAAATTTCTTTCAAAGTTTGAAGCACCATTATTGACTTTAACGTTGAGTTCAAAAGAACAAAATCTAGTTTTGGTGTTAAAACAGATTAAATAGTAGATGTTTTTCCTTTTTTATTTGTTAGAATAAAATGATTTCCAATTGCATTTTTGATGATCTAGTTACTAAAGAGATTTATCTATTCACCAAACCAAAATATTTTTAGCCTTAAAATTAGCTCACGTTCAAATAATTTTGTTTTAAACTTGAAGGAGATAGTAAATCTGCTGGTATTAAATGTTTCGAGGTTGTTTTTTCATCCATTTAGGAGTTTCACAAAAAAATTTATTTGTCTACATCAACAACAAACTTTAAAACAAATGGATATCTGATAACTTTATTTTTTTTATCAGTTATCAAAAAATCTAATCTACAATTGTCAACAAAAAATGTTAACGGTAAAAGTATGAAGTTTCAATCAAAAAACCCAATTTTCCGATTAATGTTAAGCCAGCTTTTATATTTGAACAAATTGAGTTTTATTGTGTCTATAATTTAACAAAAAGTCCAGTTTTTGCCTATTAATATATAAAAAGATATTTAGTTGTTGAAATGTTTGATTTTAATGATCTTTTAAAGTGGTTAAAAATCATTTATTCAAAGATAAATGAAACAATAACTTGAATAATATCATCCAAAATTAAAATTAAAATTAAAAAATCAAAAGGAGAGACTGGTTAAAATTAAGAAAAGAGAACATATACAACAAAAAAGCGAAATAAATTCAAATTGATATAGTAGTTAAACCTAATTTATATTTTTTTTGAACAAAGCATAATGAAATAAATAGTTAAATCCCAAAATAAAGTTACATACAAAAATATATCCAAAACAAAAAAAGCTAATTAATAAATGGGAATTGAAAGTTCATTTGGGAAAAAAATTCCTAAAAAAAGGAGAAAGTGAAGAAAATAGAATAAAATAAAATAAATAAATAAATAAATAAGTAAATAAAAACATAGTGGAAATATAACAAGCAAATTAGTAGAAAAACAGCAATAACAACGAAAATAAAACAAATAAAATAATAAAAATAAAAATAAAAATAAAAATAAAAATAAAAATAAAAATAAAAATAAAAATAAAAATTAAATTAACAAAAATAAAAAAATAAATTTAGATTGAACTAAAAAACAATAAAATAAAGTGTTCTTAGTTAAAAGTTAGTTGCAAGGTCAAATAATTTGAAAAAAAATTACCAGTAAAATATTCCAACTGAAAAATAGTATTTCATAACAATCAAAAACATTATTGATGCACCATAGAAAAACAAATAATTTAGATCATATTATTTTTATTGATTTTATTGTAAGAATTGGCATTTCCAGATTTAGCAATGCTATTGTGTCTCAAGTCAGAATTTGAAACTTGTTCATGATCAACAGCCGTTTTGGGAGAGGAAGGTGAGCTTGGATATATTCCAGCTGCCATTAAAAATGGTGATTGAAAACCTACTGAATCATGTGTAGTTCCAACCTTAGGCGTAGAGTTATGAGAAGTAGTAGATGTGGTTGGTGTTTGATGAGGAACAGAATCAACAGATGATAATTCATTGGGTGATAACGAAGAAGAACCTGACTTAGGTTGTTCCAGAAAATCTTCTGTCAATGTGTTCGCACCTGGCTGTATAAATCCTTTTGCTTTGATTAACTCTTCTCTTTGTCTAGCATTTTCTCTAGCCTTTGCTAATAATTCTTGGGCTTTTTGTAGAGTAACAGTAGGAGTAACGCAAGAACTGACAATTGGGATGGACTCATCTAAATCAATTGTTGCTTTCATCAATGCAGCCATCCAACCTCTCATCTCTTCTTTAGTATCAACCGCAAAATAATGGACTTTTGGCTGAGTAAAAGTTAAGCCTTTCTTATAACCTGGGGCAGGAGGAACTAATTTGAAACAATATCTGCCCTGTCCGGTTGTGGCAGCATACAATGCAACAAATTTATCATCATCTCTTGCAGGTAATACTTTATGGGCCGTAATATCAATCAATCCTTTCTCTTTTGTGTCTTTCATAGAACCAAAGTAAGACAATCTTGTATGATTCAAAGTAAAAAATCTAGTTTTCCATGGACCTACAGCACTGGAACCCTTTTTGCTCATCCAGCCAGAATGGTCGGCAGTTCTCAGAGCTTCTTCTGGATCAACTCTTCTAATACCTTCTTGGAAAGCAGAAGTTTGTTTTTTGGTTTTTTTGCCTGTTTGTGAAGTTTTGGCATTTCTTACTTCTCTTACTCTAAATGAGTCAGAGCTTGATGTTGGGGCGGTTTTAATGGTTGCAGAAGGTCCTACACTTCCTGAAGTATGTGCATGAGGTAGCTTTTTCTGATGAGAAGTATCGATTTCAATAATTTTATCCTTCTTGGAATTCAAATCATCTTTTTTAAATTTTTGATGATGTGTAGATAATGATCTTTGAGTTTGACTAATTGAATTTTTCTTTGCTAATTCACTGTTATTTTCCTTGGCAGAAACTGATCGTTTTTTGAACTGCGGTTTAAACTTTTGTAATGGAGACTTTAGAGGAGATTGTGGAGGCATAGGAATTGGAGATACCATAGTGCTGCTCTGTTTGGAAGGTGACTGATTTCGTGTTTTTTCTGAAGAAATTGGAAATTCATCATTTTTTGTAACTGGTGTCGATTCCCATGGATTTCTTCCTGGATCCAAAGTGCGTTTTGAACTTTCACTTTCATCAGGGATTTTTTGACCTTCAGGATTAGCTTTTCCAGCTTTGTTTACAAAGGATAATCTGTTGTAATTTGATAGTGAATCGTTATCATTTGAACCAGCTATTGAAGCATTTTCAGGGAACTTAGTGATGCTTGGTGTGTAGGAATCCTCAGTAGAAGAATCATTAAAGTAAATTGAAGAGCTAGGTCTTGTGTTGATTGGATCAACCGCCAATAGTGATGTTTTGTTGAACTCATTTGCCAAGGAATCTATTGTTGGAAAATTTGTATCCTTTCCATTTGATTGTTTGATCAGTTGTGGCGAGCCTTGGTTTGAAAAAGATTCTATGGGGATTACAGGACTGTATTGATTATTTGTATTGAGTTTGAGTTGCAATTTGGGTTGATTTCCTGATTTATTTGGATTAATGTTATAATATTTTTGATTAGCATAGGGTGAGTTGAAGAGGGTATTTGAATTTTTGGGGGATTTAATTGTCTTTTGGTGAACAGAATATAGAGCTGGTTCATTGTTATAAATATTCATATCTAGTTCAGTCGCAGATCTGGATCTTCTTCTTGTGTGAGTTGGCTTTTTATTTGAATTTTCGGGGGAAACTAAGGGTGGTGCCATTAGTTCGGAATTTTTATTAGCTTTATAAGGAGAATCAAGCAAAGGTAAAGAAGGATTTGAGGAATAAACGTAAGGTAGGTTCATTTCAAACTTTCTCTTTTGATCAGCGGCTTGTTTTAATACCTCAATTTCTTTGTAAATTTCGAATCTTGTGCCAAAAGAAGATATATCCAATTCTTTTAAATAGCTTAGTTCTAATTCTAACAATATTGGGCCAGTTATTTTATGTTGTAAGAATTTTGAGCAAACATCTTTATCGAAATTTAAAAATTTGAAATAGTTTGAAACTTGTTCCGAATCCCAGGATTCAACAAAAATTGGATTTAAATCATTTGGGATTTCGTCATCTTCGTAATCCTCTTCATTATCCAAAGAGCTTGAGTCATTGTTTGTTGCAGAAGTGTCAAGTTCTTTAATTTGTTTATCTATTTTTGATTCTATAGAGTCATTGTTTAGACCATTAGAATTAATTGTAGAAGAATGGGGTTTATTTTGGCTTTCGTTATTGTTATCTTTATCGTTTTGGTGTTCATTTTCATTTTCATCTTGGATATTATTTAAATGGATGTCGTTATTTATGACTTTTTTGGGAGAATTGATTGGAGAGCTTAGAGAAGAATTTGAATTGAATTCTTTTAGCGCTTTATCAATATCAGTCATTGTTGCATGGACAGAGGATTCTCTATCTGCTGGATTTAATTTAGTTGAGGATTTGTTTGAGTTTCTGTTCAGAGACTTGTTTGAATTTCTATTTGATGGATTGTTGATTGAGTTGGAAGATATTGAAGTTTTTTTGCTTGAGTGTCTTTGAAGTTTTGAGTTGTTGCTGCTTGAGTGCAGATGATGAACAGAGTGGTTGATTTGGTTGTTTGTATTGATGGGATTAAATTGGTTATTGTTGTATTGGAATTTCTGTTGCTGTTGTTGTTGTTGTTGAATTTGAGAATAAGGGTATTTATTGTTGGCGTTAAAATTGTTTATAATGGAGGAGACATTTTTGTTATCATTGATATTATTTGTAGGATCTATAATTTTGGTTTTGTTATTGATGGTATTGTTTGGATAAGAATTTGGAGTTTTTCTTGATCTTGATCTTAGTAGGTTTTTCTTTTGTTGATCAGTTAGATAAGAGTCTATTGATTGGGTGAAGGACTTTGGGTATAAGCCAGCTAAACCAGTGGTCAAGTTTTTTCCCATGTACCAACCATCATTGAAGCTTCTGTCATCAGCTATAATTTCGATTTTGTCACCAGGGTTTAAAGTTAATTCGTCATCTAGTCTTGCGTTGAATTGTTTAATTACGGTGTACAAGTTTGATTGCTGTAATTGGGGTTGAGGAGGCAAAGAGGGACGAGGTTGGATTGGGATTTTGTTTTGAAATTGGAATTTGTTTTGAAGATGATTTGAATGGTTATTATGGGAGTGAGGGTGAGATTGAGAAGAGTTATTAATGTTATTGTTATTTGGAGTAGGAGGATAATTGTAATAATTTTGGTTATTATTTGGGGATGAGTTGGTATAAGGGTTGTAGTTATTATACATTTTTTTTTTGGGTAGTAAAAATAGAAGATAGATGAATTATAAGAGTTATGAGAATATTTAAGAAACTTTTGTTGTAGAAAAATTCATTAAAAGAAATGTAGATAACAGATTAAAATAACAGATAATTAGTAAATAAAAAAATTAAAATAAGTAAATGAGAGCAAGATTAATTATTATTTGTTCTTTATTGGAGTATTTTGTATTTTTCCTTTTCCTTTGGTATAGAAATCTTTGATATATTATATTAAATTAAATTAATATAATATAATGGTAGGAAAAGATGGTTATATTATGTTATATTATATTATATTATATGATAATGTATTATCTGATATGATTTGATTTGATTTGATTTGATATAATACGATATAATGTGATTTAATAAGATATAATATAAATTGACTGTGTCTGTAAGTATAAAAATGAGTAGATTAAATTGACAAAACGCAGAATTTATTGTTAGGAATGTTTTAAAATAAATGAAAGATTGCCGAATTAGATTATTGACAATAAGTGATATAAAGATGAAATTAATTGAAATTTGATAAATTTTAATATAAAATAGTTGATTTTGATGTTTTGTTCAACGAGTTTTTTCTCTTTTAATTAAAAATAAAAGATAATTAAAAGTATTGATTAATTAAGATTGTTTTATTGTATTTTATTTTGTTTTATCACTCTTTTTTTTGAATAATTTCTTTTTTGATTTTTGCTTATTCAAGGTTTTTTTTCCTTTTCCTTTTCCTTTTCCTTTTAGGATTGAATGTATATGATTTCAGTATCAAATTTGTTGTTGCTTGAATGACAAATGTAGAGGAAAACTGAAAAAAATAACAAAATAAAGAAATAAAACGTAAAAAAAATTCAGAAAAACGAATCAGATGAATCAAAAAAGGTTTTATAAGGTGAGATGGGAGAGAGATCCAGAAAAAGTAACTTGTTTTGGTGCACTGAAACTATTTTTGAGCTGTTATGAGTTAAAATGAAATGATTAACGGATGCAACGATAAACAGAACTAAGAAAAGAGAGGAAAAGCACTATTCAGTTTCTTACAGAGAAAAAGAAGCTCTATGTTTTACGCTGGTTATGTTAAGAGGCTCGAAGCGACAGAGATGCCCGAGCCAATTCGAGCCCTGCTGTCGATTCAGCTGCTTCTGAAGAACATCCCATTCAGAGACAGCGGCTCGTCAGCACCTTCGAATGCTCTAACGCGTGACATAGCCCCGTCTGCACAGGAGATATCCCGTCAGGCATCCGCTAAACAGCTGCTCCATCGCCAAAGTCACGTCGTACTGCCCCGCCACAAAAGAACACTGGTGCTGCACTGACCAAACAGTCTCACATGACAATGGTTAGACGCACGAGCGCTGATCGAACGCGTTGTGCGCGTAAAGCACACCGCAGTGCAGTGCGCTAGCGTGCACCCAAACCCAAGCGCTGACTACAGTTAGAGATAGCAAAAAAAGGTATTTGCTCTAGGAGGGGATCGAACCCACGACCGTCGCGTTACTTAACGGACCGTGACATTGTGATAAACGTCGATGAACGATTATAAGCACGAAGCGCTTACCTCTGCGCCACAAGAGCAAATCCTTGATCGTCAAATTACTGATTTTGTCAGTTGCAAACAAGCTATAGCATCTTGTTTATTATACAATTTTATTTCTGTTTTTTCTACAGTTGATCAAAAAAAAAAAGAAATCGACTAGTTTCGTTAGGAAATTGAATATAAATAGCATTGAATATAATAAAATTATCATTAGTAAAGAAAAATAAAAACTCACTGTCATCCCATTTGAAATAGCCAATAGCAAATGCTATATACAAAAATGTTATATACACAAAATGAACATTCATTCAAAGTATCTATCCTTTGTAATAACCACTGATTTTGGGATATAAACGACCTGCGTGATAATTGATAGGTGATTTAACTGGAGCTGGTGGTTTCTAGTATCATATCAATTTGTTAGTTGTCGTCTTTTGGGTTCATTTATTACCTTTTTTTTATAGACAGATTCTCTTTATCATACCGCCATCAGTAATGGAAAATAATGGCAAATAATTATACTTACATATGTCTCCATACAAGACGTCAAATCAGTTTGCAAAGAACTGCAAACCGTCGACCCTTCACCATTAGATGCCCAACAATTTAGCAATGCAGACATCATAACAATACACTTATTAGGTTCTTTCACCTGAGCAAGAGGCTTTCTGACCTTTAGTCTTGGTAATGGAGGCAATCTTGTTGGTTTGTTTGCCATTTGAAATATCCTAATTCACGTATATCTGCACAATCAATGTTTCAACATCAGCGAAAAATTTATCTTCCTGTTCATTTTTCATTTTCCATCGCTTTTCTCTAAAATGTATCTCCAAACTTACCCGGCCTTCTCTCCCTCCTGAAACCACTGTGCTGGATTCTTCCCTGCTTATCTCTCTTTTCTTTTTCCCTTTCCTGCTGTCTTTCTGCTGCTTCCCTCATACATATTCAAATATAAAGAAAATTTTACACACCTTCTTTGCCTTTTCCAATTTAGTCCGGCTTACTTATCATATTCATCATCCATCAATCTATTATTTTTTAAAAATCCAAAAAAATTTATTTTTTTTTATTTTTTTTTGCTTGTTATATTTCTATACATCTTCTATTCAGTTTAATTTTTTCAGCTTTTGAAAAAAATTATTTCCTTAATTTTTAATCACTTTAACCCCTGTCCAATCAAAACCCTTTCAAACTACTCATTTTAAAAAAATTTAATCAATCAATTTATCTCCTTAATTCATTTATTTTGAACATGTATGTATTAGTCCGTATTATAAATTATCTCATCCCGTTGGAATTTTTCAATTTAACATTTTTCCCGATTTTTAACGATTTTTTAAACAATATTTCTTATTTTCCCTTATTTTTAGTATTTATTTTTCGATAATTTTGTTATAAAAATTATTTTTTATTTCGACATTTATTATTATTTATTGATATTTTTTTATCTTTTTTTTTTATCTCTTTTTTTTATTTTATTTAAATAAAATAAAAAAAAAAATTAACCAAATTAATTAATTTCATTTATTAACTTATTTTATTTTATTCATATAATTAGCTAATATTTATATTTATATTTATAATAAAAATCAAAACAATAATAATAATAATAATAATAATAATAATAATAATAATAATAATAATAATAATAATAATAATACAAACGCTTAAAAATGCTAGAAGACAGTTTCCTGGTACTAAAAGTTAATCATGCTCCCCCAGATTTATACAATAATAGAGCTTCAAAGATCCAAAAAGTTCTGCATTCCTCTATAAATTCAATTCCAAAACGTTCTTCGTCTGCTAATTTAAATTCAATCCCCAAATCAAATGGTACCGTTATAAATAATACAAATAACAATAATAACAATAATAATAATAATAATAATAATAATAATAATAATAATGACTCAGATTCTGATAAGAGTTTTTCCTCGGATGAACACTATGCCAATAATATATCAAATGATAATAATAATAATAATAATAGTAATAATAATAATAATAATAGTAATAATAATAATAATAATAATAATAATAATAATAATAATAATAATAATAATAATAATAATAATAATAATAATAATAATAATAATAACAATAATAACAATAATAACAATAACAAATCAAATGCTAGCTTGAAGAACAAAAATGAAAAACAAAACGAAAAATCAAACGAAAAATCAAACGAAATTATATATAACGCTCCGTTTTCTAAAGAAGACAGTGAAAGAGCTAGAAACCACCTTAAAACTGAGGGCTCAATGTCCTTTTTAGATCAATATTTACCCAGTCGTGCTTCTGGTGACGATATTGTCAAAATAATCATGTTATTAGGATTTTATCCCTCTGATATTAAAGATTATAACAATGAACAACATATTTTACACTTAATCAAATGTTTGCAAAAAGCCATGAATAAGGTGTTAACATCAAGAAATCGCTTGAATAATTTTAGTACAATTGATAACTTTGTCACAAAATTATTAAATGCTAAAAAAGTCCTAGTATTAACAGGAGCAGGAATTTCCACATCATTAGGTATTCCTGATTTTAGATCTTCAAAGGGTTTTTATTCGAGATTAACTAATTTAGGGCTAAGTGATCCCCAAGAAGTATTTGATTTAAATACTTTTCATTTGGACCCAACTATTTTCTACTCGATCGCTGATATGATTTTACCACCAAACAACATTTTCACTCCACTACATGCTTTCATCAAGATATTACAAGATAAGGGGAAATTATTAAGAAACTATACACAAAATATCGATAATTTAGAGAGCATCGTCGGAATAAATCCAGATAAACTAATCCAATGCCATGGATCATTTGCGACTGCGACATGCCAAACATGTGGCTATCAAGTAAAGGGTTCTTTGATATTTGATGACATCAGAAAGAAAAATTTAGCTATTTGTGTTAGATGCGAAAAAAAGAGAAATGAGCTATTAGACAACGCAAGATCAATGAAACCGTCTTTTGGGGTTATGAAACCCGACATAACGTTTTTCGGCGAAGCCTTACCAGAAAGATTCCATGATTATTTGAAAAAGGATATTAAAGATTGTGATTTGTTAATCTGCATTGGAACATCGTTAAAAGTTGCACCAGTCTCTGAGATTGTTAACAAGATTCCTGAGGATGTTCCTCAAATTTTGATCAATAGAGATGAAGTGAAACATTGCCAATTCGATATCAATTTATTAGGGTATTGCGATCAAATTATCTGCTACATTTGCGATAAATTAGGATGGAAGATACCCCATGAGAAGTACAATTCGATATTGAATAGTGGATTGGAGGTTGTAACACTTAATAGCGAGACTGGCACCTACGAGATTACAGACGAGAACCAAAGACGCGAGAGAGCATTGAAGGAAGAGGAAAACGACGATGAGGACGACGAAGACGAAGACGACGACGACAGAGAGAATGACTCTGACAGTGACTAGCACATAGACAGTAGCTTAGTACAGCGATAGAATATAGAAACAGCATTCAATCGATAGTTTTAAGAGAACAAGCAGCAAAATCAGCAGAACGACCGGCCGGTGGCGGCAACCGCGGCCGGGCAACAAAAAGTTCCAGAAGGTCCCCGCGGCGTACGTTTTCATTTCGTTTTTATCTGCTCTGAGGATGGTGGCGAATTGTTCTTCAAAACTTAATCAGCGTCTCCAGTTGCTTATAAGTAGTTCTTTCTAAGTTATCTGGAATTTTTTTTGCTTCAATTTCTTTGTTCTACAAATCTATTTCTTTTGCTTCAGAGTTCTTCAATCTCTGTTCACTCTCACTGCCCGTATTCTCAGTTTTTTTAAAAGATGGCCAAAAAGGAGCATGAGGAAAAAAAACCTCTTCTTGATGGTTCTGGTGCTCAACCAGCAAACTCGAAGGAAGAATTCACAGCTACTGCTATCCTCAGACGAAAGAAGAAACCTAATGCTTTAATCGTTGACGACGCTCTCAGTGATGACAACTCCACTATTTCAATGAACGAAAATACCATGGAAACTTTAGAATTATTCAAAGGTGACACCATACTTGTTAAAGGCAAGAAAAGAAAAGATACTGTCTTAATTGTCTTAGCCGACAACGACGTTGAGGATGGAACCTGTAGAGTGAATCGTGTCGTTAGAAATAACTTGAGAATTCGTCTTGGAGATATCGTAACTGTCTTTGCTTGCCCTGACGTTGAATATTCTACTAAAATCTCGGTCTTGCCAATTGCTGATACTGTTGAAGGCTTAACTGGTTCATTATTCGAAACCTTCTTAAAACCTTACTTTGTGGAAGCATACAGACCTGTCAGACTAAATGATCATTTCATTGTTAGAGCTGCAATGAGACAAGTCGAATTCAAAATTGTCGCTATTGAGCCAAATGAATACGGTATTGTGTCCCAAGACACTATTATCCACTGTGAAGGCGAGCCAATCAATAGAGAAGATGAAGAAAATAACTTGAATGAAGTTGGTTATGATGATATTGGTGGCTGTAGAAAACAAATGGCCCAAATTAGAGAATTGGTTGAATTGCCTTTACGTCATCCTCAATTATTTCAAGCCATTGGTATAAAGCCTCCAAGAGGCGTCTTAATGTATGGTCCTCCAGGTACTGGTAAAACTCTTATGGCAAGAGCTGTTGCCAATGAAACCGGCGCTTTTTTCTTTTTAATCAATGGTCCTGAAATCATGTCCAAAATGGCCGGTGAATCCGAATCTAACTTAAGAAAGGCCTTTGAAGAAGCTGAAAAAAATGCTCCTGCAATTATATTTATTGATGAAATCGATTCAATTGCACCAAAGAGAGACAAGACTAATGGTGAAGTTGAAAGAAGAGTTGTCTCTCAATTATTAACTCTTATGGATGGTATGAAAGCAAGATCGAATGTCGTTGTTATTGCTGCAACAAATAGACCAAATGCTATCGATCCTGCTTTAAGAAGATTTGGTAGATTTGATCGTGAAGTTGATATCGGTATTCCCGACGCCACTGGTCGTCTTGAAGTCTTGAAAATTCATACCAAAAACATGAAATTAGCTGATGATGTTGATTTAGAAATCATTGCTTCTGAAACCCATGGTTTTGTTGGTGCAGATATCGCCTCATTATGTTCTGAAGCTGCTATGCAACAAATCCGTGAAAAAATGGATCTTATTGATTTAGATGAAGACACTATTGATGCTGAAGTTTTAGATTCTCTTGGTGTCACAATGGAAAACTTTAGATTCGCTTTAGGCAAATCTAATCCAAGTGCTCTCAGAGAAACTGTTGTTGAAAGTACTAACGTCAAATGGGAAGACATCGGTGGTTTGGATAAGATTAAAGATGAATTAAAAGAAACCGTCGAATATCCTGTCTTACATCCAGATCAATACACAAAGTTCGGTTTATCTCCAACAAAGGGTGTTTTATTCTATGGTCCACCAGGTACTGGTAAAACCTTATTGGCTAAAGCTGTTGCCACTGAAGTTTCTGCAAACTTCATCTCAGTTAAAGGTCCAGAATTATTGTCCATGTGGTTTGGTCAATCCGAATCCAATATTAGAGATATCTTCGATAAAGCTCGTGCTGCTGCTCCAACTGTTGTTTTTTTAGATGAATTGGATTCAATTGCTAAAGCTCGTGGTGGATCTGTAAGTGATGCGGGTGGTGCTTCTGATAGAGTCGTCAACCAATTGTTAACTGAAATGGATGGTATGAATGCTAAAAAAAATGTTTTTGTTATTGGTGCTACTAACAGACCTGATCAAATCGATCCAGCTTTATTAAGACCTGGTCGTTTAGATCAATTAATTTACGTTCCATTACCTGATGAACCTGCTCGTTTATCTATTTTGAATGCTCAATTGAGAAACACACCATTAGAACCAGGCTTAGATTTAGCTAAAGTTGCTAAAGCTACTCACGGTTTCTCAGGTGCTGATTTATCATACATTGTTCAGAGAGCTGCTAAATTTGCTATTAAAGAAAGTATTGAAGAAAATATAAGAAAGGAAAAAGCTAAAGAAGAAATAGCTAAAATAAAGGCTGAATATGAAAAAGAAAACAAAATAAAAACCGAGTTTGAAGATGACGTTAAAATGAATGAAGAAGAGGAAGAAGAGGAAGAAGAAGATCCAGTGCCATATATCACTCATTCTCATTTCGAAGAAGCAATGAAGACTGCTAAACGTTCCGTTTCAGATGCCGAATTACGTCGTTATGAGGCTTACGCCCAACAAATGTCTGCTTCAAGAGGCACATTTTCCAACTTCAAATTTGGTGATGAACCTGCTGGCTTCAGTTCATCGGGAAATGGTAATGCTGGAAATGATGAGGCTGATGATGATGATGATCTCTACAGTTAGGCTTGTTGATATGGAATTGTTTTAGATATTCAAAACTCATTTATTTTTTTTCATTTCCTTTTATTTTTATAGTAGATTTAATAGTATTACTGTGTCTTATATTTTTCACGTATCAAAAAAATAAAATAAAATAAAATAAAATAAAATTAAATAATAATAAAGAAAAATCTTTTAAATGAAAATCGATGTTATATTAGATAAATCAGAGAAAACCGAAAAACCGCAAACTATAGAATTCCATTAAATGCAATTCTTTCAAACTCTCTTACACCATCTAAAAAGCCATCCTCCCATTCCCAAAGAAACTTGTTTTCACCTTTAAGGATAATGTGTTCATTCAATCTAGCTGCTTTCCAGGCATTGATTCTTCCAATTCTTGAGCCATAAAACTCTGAAAAAGAATAGGCATCTCCCCATCCAGCTAGAAAACCATCACTATATCGATCTGTTTCCCATTCCTCTGAAGGGTCTAGTTTTTGACATTTTTCATTATGCTCTTCGGATTTACGCATCAAGATATAATTAAGATCATCCTCAGTAGCTTCTTTGATTATTGACATGGGTCGATGAGGAATAGCACCTCTGTTGACCATTGATCTAAAACTCCATTCACTATATTCAGAATTTGGAAGTTTATAGGTCCAAAAATAACAACCAGATCTAGCCCTCATATTATAAATGTAAACCTGCTTTCTTCCAAAATCACAAGTCTTCGAATCACGATCATTGAAAAAGTACTGTTTCCAAGAATTTTCATGAATGTAACAAGAATATTCGCCAATTATAAAATCAAAATCAGCTGTGTCAACACCATTAAGTACAAAATTATCCATTTCTTGAATGATTTTATCGGGTCTTTTTTCTTTATCTTCTCTTGAATTGCAAAAGTATTGGTGATGATCAATATCAACTGATAGCCAACCATTTGCAATTGCAGTATGATTTCTTAACCAATTAATCCATTGAATAGGATTCCAACTATCTGAAATTATAATTGGAACAAATTCGTTTTTTTTACGAATAACAGTTATACTTCTTTCGTAAAACTTTCTCAAATCATCAAATTTGACGTCTTTTTCAATTTCACTTAAGACTTCAAGTCCAGCTATGTTTTGATAATTGTATATATCGTTTGCAATAAATTTTAATAAACTAAGAGTGGTTATTTGATATGTAGTGTTCTTCCAAAAGGGTGATTTTGAGGAGATGATTCCAAGGTTGTTATCAGTATCACCTGCACCTGGAACAGAAGAAATAGTGATCAAGATGCTGATATTATAATCAGAGGCCTTTTTGATATAATTTTCTTTTAGGATCTTCCAGGCATTTTCATAAACGCCAGCAATAGATTGCATTGGTGTAGAATGACAAAATTTGCCTCCATTAACATGCCAGTAACCAATTGGGATTCTTATCGAAGTTACACCCACTTCCATTAACCATTTCCATTCTTGATCATCAAGATAATTTTTCCAGTGATTTTCTAATAGCTCTCTAGTTTTTGAGACACCATTTTTTTGGATGTGTTTTTGTATAGCATCAAATTCATTATCGGTGCCCTCTATAAAAAATTCATCAAATATTAGTTTTTGAAGATAAAAAAGACTACCAAAATTAACACCCAAGTTTCTTCTTGACAGGAAAATATTTCTTAAGTTTGGTTCAGCACCTGCGTGGACTGCTGGAGCTGCTGGTAAGAGGGTGTTGTTAAGTAGTGCTAATTTTATTTTTTTCAACATTTTTCTGCAATTGATTTAAGGATTTATCTGATTGAAATATACTGGAAAACAATACTTCCTTGAAAGTGCTTTGTTGCAGATGCACTCAATGTTCAACAAGAAAACAGACCAAATATATCAACTGATCAAGAAACAATGCAAGAGAGCTGATTGTCTCTTGCAAAATAAGACTGGAAATCTTTAATCAAAGCTTAGTTTGATAGAGCTCGATTGGGCTTGAAACATTGTGGATTGGATAACCTCCTTAGCACAGGCTTCCCAGTGGTTCTCTGTTCAGCAGAATTCTTCCCAACAGCTGTTACAGTGTTTCACACAATGATCTACAATAACCAACACGTCCAATGAAAGTGGTACATTCCATGTGATTTCTGTCTCACCAAAACCCCAAAGATTGCAGCAATAGCTACATTTTATTGGAAAGTTTGATGCTATGGAAACTACAGAGATAGTAGAGATGGAAAAGATGAAAAAATGCTCTTGGTTATTGGTTCATTTATCCAAGCTGTCATACAATCTTTGAAGGTCGTAGCTTTCCCTCCAATAGGCTCCTCTTTTTTTTAGCAAGAGAATGGATAGACTTGACACCACCACCAAGCCAGCTACAGCAGAATATAGTGCACCAGCACCCATTACTCTTATCAATGGCTCTGTAAAGAAGGACCCTGCTGTTGCTAGTATTTGTCTCATGAAATTGTTTAATGCGACTCCTGTGGCTCCTCTTCCTGGCAATGAATCGACAACATAGGTTACAACACAACCTATTGTCAACATCGAAGCAATTCCAAAAATAAAGGTTCCAAGCAAAGGAAAAACCAGTGGGTTTCTTTTTGAAAACACCAACCGGTTATCAATAAGGAAATTGGAAAGAAGATAATGGCCATGAGCATATTGTATGATATTCTTGCTTCTGGGGCTAAAAACCCATATTTTTTCTCGTATTTTTTTAATAAACTATCCACATATTTTCCACCTAGAACTGATGCAACAATATAACCAGCAGAGTTCGGAAGATAAACTAAACCAATGAGCATTGGACCAAAATTATAAGGTTCTTGAGAGTATAAGTTAGAAAGAGCAATATTGTTAATATAAACTGGTAAGAACGTTATTGAAGAAAAAAATACAGCTAAAAACACTGGAGGGTATCTAAAGAAAATTAATGATCGCACAGGTTGAAAGACATAAATGTAAATTGTATTTTTAATATCATAATCTTCTTCATGATTATTTTCGAGCTCTTTTTCAACTTCCTTAGTAATTCCTTTGATGTCTTGGTTATGAATTCTTGCAACTAGATTTGGGTCACTTGAGTCAATTTTTGATACATTTATTGGGCCAATTGTGTCCACTATTGGTCCTTTTTCAAGATTTTGGGTTACTAATGATCTGCTTTCAATTTTCTTTAGTAATCTGTTGATGTTTTCCCCGTTATTATTATGATTGACATCATTATTGTGTTCTTTGTCATAGTTTTTCTCAAGATCACTATTACTGGAATCTGCTTCATGGTTTTCTCTTCTGCTTGCTAATACACGAGCAATTGCATCTTTGCTACTTTGCTTTCTTAATGTCTCTGGTAAACCAAATAAAATTACAAAGTCCAAGAATCCTGAAAATATCACAAGAAACCATTGTGTTCCTCTAAATCCAAATCTTGTGGCAATAGCACCACCAATCAATGGGGCAAGGAATGGTCCCATCAACGGTCCTAGATAAAATAGCCCCATTGCAGTACCTCTTTCTTTTGGGGCATATAAGTCAGAAATAGAACCTGCGCCAACTGATTGGACAGATGCTGAAGCTGCTCCAGATAAGACTCTAAAAGCTATTAACATTCCGATGCTTGTAGATAAAGCACATCCAATCGAAAAGCAAAACATTAAAAAAAAGGATATTAGATATACATTTCTTCTTCCTTTTCTTTCACTTATTGCAGACCACCACAAGGGAAAAATACCTAAAGTTAAAAGATAAATACCCACCGATATATTAACTAAATATGTCTGCGTGTTTAACATCTCAATTACATCCTCCATAGCAGGAAGAAGAATGGACGTACCCATGGGGCCAATTATTGAAGCACAAGCAACCACAATTAATAAAAAATTTTTGTATTTATTTGGGAAATCTCTTGGATCATTATACTCTGGTATTAGACAAAAGTGCGACAACAACCCTCTTCTCTGGTTTTTTGGGACAATACTTTTTGTTCTCGATAAGGTATTCGGATTACTCTTCGCATTGAGTTTTTCAAGGTCTGGATGACCATGTATTGTCTGAACATTAAAATCATTATCACTGTCTGATTCCGTATGCTGTCTTTCATGAAAGCTTTGGTTATCGTATTTCTTTGATTTCTGAGAGTTGCTTTGATTATAATCCATGTGGCCAAGTTTGCAATATTATTTTATATTATTCGGGGTTATTCTAAAAAAGCTTATTTTCTGTTTTGTTATTCTTGATGACAAATAGATTATACTAACCCGAAAACTAGAAAACTAGACATTTGGCGTTGGATTATAACCTCCAAATTACAAAATTTCAGTGATTTCAATCAGAAATATACCCCAGAGCATTAATGACATTAAATCGTTGAATCATCTTAATAATTTGTTCTCATGATCAACAACAAATATCTATTTGACTCATCAGCATACACTGAACAAAATAATGCGTCAAACCTTAATCTCACAGCAAAATCGCTATCAACTCTTTTGTCTAGCCTTTTTGGGCCACGGCGGATGATTGGCCCTTTTCTTCACCAAAGCAGTTTTCTCTCTAGGTCGATAAATTTCTCGGAAGCAGGTTTCACTGCCAATTCACGTGAGTTTTCCCATACAAAAGTCGGAATATCGCGATCAGGTCTTGCAAAAAACCAGCTGGATCGAATTTGAACTTTCTTCCAATTTCGAGAAACGGCTTTCTCTTTTGAGTCCAGCCCTATCCGACCGGCATTTAAAGAAACACCGAAAAGTAACCAATTATAAAAGAATATTGATGAATAACTTATATGCTGCTATCTATGTTGTTTCGCTTTATTTCAACTTATCGTAAAGTTGCTCAAGATCATACGTCTCTCTCCAATGTCTCCCCCTTTTTTTGAGAACTATCACACAAACACTAGAAAGAACTATCAACCCAGATAAAAGAGTGTATAATGGACCAACACCCATTTTTCTGATTAGCGGCTCAGTGAAAAACGTTCCTGCAGTTGCAAGAATCATTCTTAAAGAGTTGTTCAACGCAATTCCTGTAGCACCTTTTCCTGGCAATGAATCAACAATATATGTTAAAATGCATCCAATTGTTAGCATACAAGCAAAACCAAATATAAACGTTCCAATTAATGGAAAAATCCAGTTTGTCTTTTGATCAAAACACCACCCCATAATTAGTAAAGACACTGGATATAGTACAATTGATATGAGTATGTTATATGAAATTCTTGCTTCTGGAGCCAAGCAGCCATGTTTTCTTTCATACTTGTTCAAAAGAAAATCAACATATTTGCCACCAAAAACAGATGCTATTATATACCCAATCGAATTGGGAAGATAAACTAAACCAACAATCATTGGACTAAAATTATATGGCTCTTCTGAATAAATATTACTTAATGCGACATTATTAATATGAACAGGCAAAAATGTGATGCCCGAAAATATTATTGAAAAAAGAACAGGTGGATATTTCATTAATGTGACAGATTTTGTTGGTTGAATAATATAAAAATAAATTGTATTTCTTACTTTTTGCACTTTTGAATTATTGAGTGAATTTGAATCACTATTTTCATGTTCATTTGACGCAACCTCAATATCTTTTTGGCCTTTATTAATAAATTCCAAACCTTCTTTTTCAATTTTTTTGGGGGAATTTGTAGATGATTCTGAATTAGACGTATCTTTGCTTTTATTCTCTATAACTGCAGTTTTTTCAATATTTTGGTTTAAATTATTTTCACTAATCATTTTTAAATCCACTTTTCGTAAAGTTTCAGGCAAGCCAAATAAGATTAAAACAACTAATATAGCAGCAAATATCACAATAAACCATTGAGTTCCTCTAAATCCAAATTCTGTAGCTATAGCACCTCCTATCAACGGAGCCAAAAATGGTCCCATTAGTGGACCCAAATAAAAAAATCCCATGGCAGTACCTCTTTCTTTTGGTGGGTATAAATCTGCAATTGAACCAGCAGCAACAGATTGCACGGAACCAGAAACGGCACCCGATAATGCTCTAAATGCTAATAACATTCCAATATTAGTAGATAAAGCACATCCAACCGAGAACCCAACTAAGAGAAAGAAAGAAATCAAATAAACATTTCTTCTTCCCTTTATTTCACTAATGGCAGACCACCAAATAGGAAAAACACCCAAGGTGAGCAAATAAACACCAACCGACATGTTTACTAGATAAGTTTTGGTGTCAAGTTGATCAATCACATCTTGAATAGCAGGCAATATTATCGAAGAGCCCAAGGGACCAATTGTTGATGCTAAAGCAACCAAAAAAACAATAAAGTTTTTGCAAGTATTTGGAAAGTCTCGTGGTTCTTCATACTCCGGTAGAATACAGAGGCTAGAAAACAACCCTCTTCGATCAGATTTTGCAACAATTATTGGCACTTTCTTCTCTTGAATTTGAGAGTTTGTGCAATGATTTGCTTGAATTTCAGAATCGTTATCGAAAATTTTATCTTTTTCAAGAGAAGCAACGGGAATAGCTGGAACCATCGTAATCAGAGAAACAGAAGCAGTTGAATTAGCAAATTATTCACAGATTTTCAACAAGTATCTTTCATTTCATGATTTTGAGCAAATAGAAAGAATCCAAGATTATTTATATTATTGCAACTCATAATGAAATTTCAAAGGTTTTAATTCAGCTCGGTTTCTGATCAAACTTACATAATTATTTAACCAAAGCTAAAACATTTGAAAAAAATATTGACAGGTCGGTAAGTTGTTTGGAAGCAGTTTTCAGTCGTAAAGCACGTGCTTTTGGCAGCTCAAAACCCAAGCATTGAAATTTCCGGTATACTTCCGACCTATGGTTTCTCGAAACTGTTTTTTCTTTTGCGGAAAAACAAAGCTGTGATTCCATTAAGAAGTTTGTTGCAGTCTGTCACGTGCCGGGACTCAATAGCCCTACTTTTTTTTGGTGGAGAAAGTCAAAATATATTTCGTGAAAAATTTTATTATCCTTCCAGCATTTGGACCATTAAATATTCAAGATATGAATTCATAGCAATACCAAGCAGAGTTTCTAATTGTAAGTTTTTTTCGATTTTGTTTTGCTTTCAATATTTGATAAGAATGAAAATAAAATGATGATTTAATAATGCATAGTTCAACTGATTATACTAGAAATTGAAGATAAAAAACATCATTGAAATTAGTCTTTCACCCCTATCTGATTTTTTTTCGTTTCTTACTAAATATTGTATTGCAAAATATATTTCTTTAAACAAGGAAAATCGAATTTTTTACTAATTTATAACCAAGAAATGTGGAACGTTTAAACTACTGGTATACTAGTAATATATATATATATATATATATATATCATTAATAAATAAGTTTGATTGAATTAAAAAGAATTCTTTTATTAAAATAAACCTATAAATAAGAGTTGAGAGCTTTAAAATGTTTTATAAAAAAATGGGAGCAATAAAATAAAAATACAAGGCTAAAAATGAGTAATTGGAGAATTAAAAATTAAATTTTAACAAAAAAAAACAAAAAAACAAAAATAAAATAAAATAGAATAAAATAAAATAATAAAACAAAAGTATAATATGATATGATATAATAAAAAAAAATATAGTTAAAGAAATTTGAATATTATGTTAAACAAAAAATTTAAACTTTGGGTTCAATTATCTCCAATTCGACTTTTATATCATCAATATGTAATATAATCAAAAATATTGATACAATGCAGTAAAATGTAAAACTAGTCCAAGTTAAGGCTTCTGATTTTGATCCAATATTACCTTCAATTATATACATGCTTGAAGGCTCAACCAATTGAACTCCTGATTTGATAGCAATGTGAGCCCACATTGCTCCAACTGCCCATATTAATGTTAGAACAAGAGATAAAATCACTGAAAAATTTTTGACAGCTTCTCTGTAAGGCACAAACGGAAAAGAGCAATAAAATAGAAAAACAAATAATATGATATTCAAAATTATGGAAGTCCATAACAAGTATGGTTTAATGACATGTTCTTGAATTGACGTTGCAATTCCAACAATATCTAAAGATCCAGTTGCATCCGAATCTGATGTACCATATAAAGAAATTGCTTGATATTTATTGTATAAATCCAAGTTTGGCGTATAATCACAAGTCAAACTTTCGTCATCATTATCAGCATCGTTTTGTTGAATACAGGTTCCATAATATCCAATTCTAATGGACATATAAGCAGCATTTGTTGAATTTTTGACTTCATATGCCTCTTCGATTAATCCATACATTGGTGAGGTTTCGTTGTATCTGTACTCAAGTAAATATATTGACGAAAATGAAGACGTTGTTTTTGTGCTACCCAACAAAAGAAATGACATTAAAAAGGCTGTTATAAATAAAAATATCATTAAAAAGAGTCGGGGCATTCTTCTGATAGTGAAGAGAGCAATTGAGAATATCATTTTTTAAATGATTGGATAATAGTTTATTTGTATATTGTTTGTTTATATATTGTTTGTTTGTTTGTTTTCTTGGTTTTGATTTTTATTCGAGTAGTATGTAAGAAGTTTAATGATTTGACTAAAAAATAGCTTGAAATCCATATTATTTGAAGAATATATTACCTTTTATAATAAATTGCAATCTCATCTTATCATTATTCAATTTGTCAGATTTCTTATATTAAAAGATAGAGCATGTTTCAATTTTTTTGAATTACTTATATTTCACTCATTTAACATAACAATGAATCAAAAACAAAATTGTTTCCGATGTTTTCTGCTGGTTTTCGATATTTAAAACCAGATCTATTACAGGTTATCCTATTTATCATATTTTTTGCTGGTGGAGTTGAAGAAATCAAAGCGATATAGTAAGATATTCGATCCATAAAGGTGGGAACTAAAGTAAAACAGAACCAGCGTCCAGGGGCAGATAAAAAGAAAAAGAAAAAGATGGACTTTAACTGAAAACAGAACCCATCGAAAAACCAAAAGCAGACCATTAACTTTTGTTTTTAAAATAGAAATGTATTTTAGTTTTCAGCACAATCATCATCATCACCAATATTCTCTGAGAGCATCTTGCTATTATAACAAATAGCCATTGCTTTTAAATATTATTTTGCAATCTCTAATATATTCAGTTGTGAGCTGATTGAGCCATTTTCCAATTGAATTTGACCATCGCGAATTGAACACTTTTTAGCAGAAAACAGAACTTCAGAGCGCCGGAGCCGGGACATACACCCAACTCTGAATTAGGGTTCAGAAAATCCAGATTAAATTTTGCTCGTATGCTTATTACAGCCTTTCTCAGCAGATAACCGTGATATTATGCAGCAGCTACTAAGCGACCATCATCATGGTACTATAGGTATGTGTGCAGATAAGACGCCACCATGCATGTACTGGACAGCTCTGCCATACCAGTCAAGTAGTTCAAAGCTAGATTAGCTACATAAGTGATATATAGCAACAACAATGCTTAAGGTTTGCAACGGTCAACATTTTTACTGAAATCGAGCGGTTGTGTGTAGCCTGCATCTAGGTTACGCAGTCCGCCTAGAACAGGTGTTATCTCATGACCATTCCATTCACGCAGTGCACGCTTGGACCTTTTTCTTGAAAGCAGATAGAAAAGATAACTGGAAAAACATTGGGGAAAATATTTGGAAAACCTGATATGGAGCTGCCAGACTAGCAGATAAGAAATCAATGAATCTCTTTGCTATTCAGTTAATCTTTCAGCACCTTGATATAAACCGGTAGTAATGATAAGTCACTGAATGTCTCTCGATTTCTATTTCGTTTCCCAAACAATTCGGAAACAAAAACTACATGTTGTTTGCCCCAGATTCCTTCACTTCCTTCCCACTTATTTTGTTTTTAGACCTTTTCATTGAATTTTTGAATAAATTTTTTGGTTGTTAAAAATTTGAATGCACAAGAACCAAATTCACTAACTTTAATATTTATTGCCTTAGATTGCCTTTCTTAATTATATCTGAAGAATTTTGAAGAATTTAGATGGTGTTAGAAAAAAAATTCAGCGGTTCCTTTTATCTATTCACTTTTTCTTCTTTTTTTTTTCTGTTCTTACGATTGGTCGTCTACAAATAAAGTATTACTTTAAATTACAGTAATCATTCAGGATTTGTTGAGAGATATAACCTTTAATGTAGCAGTTATTTATAAGTAAAAGTGATAACTCTTAATCCAGGTAAACGAGATCAAGAATATTTTGCTTTCTTGAAAAAGAAAGTTGAAAAGGCAACAATCAAAACACATGAATTTTTCAAAAAAGTTGCAAAAGATTTTAAACAAATATATCAAATATATACATTTAATGAATTAGTGAGTTGATAACCTGATAATAATAAAACCTTGAGGTTTTCATTAGTTTTTTTGTTTTTTTGTTGTTGTTGTTTTGCTTTGCTTTGTTTCATTTTGTTTTGGTTTCTTTGGTTAATTCTATTTTAATATGAACTTTTGGTTCTGTTAGGATTTTTGCAACTTTCCCATTAGTAATGGTTTCAGATTTAAAATTTCAAGGAGAGAAATAAAAAGAATTTTAGATGGATCTTTTTTTTAAACCATTTACATAAAGGACTGTCATGAAAAAACGCAAACAGGGAGAAATAATCAGATGAGTATTTTGGTTTATATCTTTTGATCAATGGGTTAAAGATTAAAGTATCTTGAAGAATTTTAAATTGAAAAATTAATCTTTATAATTTTAAATTAGGTGGGATAAAAACACCACAATAATTGAAAATTTGGGCTGTTAAATGAACCAAGACTATACAAAGGTGATAATAACAAAAAAAACAAAAAATCTGACCAACAGTGAAACCGAATAATCACCAAGGGTACAATTAAGTCGAATAAATTGACCATTGATAAAAAAATAATAGAATCAAGAAAATTTAGTATTGCGTTGATTATTTTTATTATTTATGTCCAAAAGAATGTATATTCAGAATACATAATTTCTTTTTAAACGTGTCTTTTCATACATACAGAAACTAGATCTGCTTTGATTTTTTTTTGTTTAAGCTTATTCCAACAGTTGATGTTTTTTATTTTGTCTTTATTGTTTATTGCTTAGCATAATACCCATAAGAAACAACAGATTGATAAAAAGTGGATACAGTTTTAAAATTCATTACATTATAAGCTTAAGTGATGTAATAACATTATAACAGTTGAATAGAAAAGTAAAGGAAAAAACAATCTGAATTTGATGATTATAAGATAATGAAATGATTTCTTTACATTAAATTTTAAAAAACATCTGAGTAAAGTGAAAAAAGCAGATGGTATTACCTGATTAATGAGACTGCGGTAAATTGTTAGAAAATAATCCTGTTATGTGAGGTTCAGGTTCACGTGAAAACAAAAACAGGTGAAAGTTTATCTTTGATTTCCGTTTAAGAGCAATTTTTGCTCTCAAAATGAAACGACAAATCCTAATAGAAGGAAGCGAGTAATTCTATTTATCCAAATGAATTATTGGATTCGATTGGGAGTAATTGTAAAGTATTTTTATTTTGGATGAAAAAAATAAACAAATAGAGAAGCTATGAAGAAAATTGAGAAGGATTTAAAGAGAATTTTAAAGAGTATTTGTTGTGTGGGAATGATCTAGCACAAATTAAGTTGAGTAAGAAAACCTTTAAAAGCTTGAGCAATGTATAAGGAGATAAATAAATAATAGTTAAGTAGCTAAATAGATTGGTATTCAAATAATCACTCCTTATATGGTGGCAATCAAACAGAATAAAAAATAAATTAAAATAAGATTCAAGATTCAAGACAATAACAAAAATAAATATTTTTTCTCAAAGTTAGTTTATTACTGTTAGTGGAAATTTTCATTTTCTTAAATTGACAATATGATGTGAAATTACAATTTCAAAGATATCAAGATAAGAATGAAAAGGTTTGAAAAAGTTTGAAAAAACACTGAAAAGAATTTCAACAAAGGCCAAAAAAAAAGTAGTATAATGAAAAAAAAAAAGTTTAAGATGGGTTTTATTATAATTTTATTATGATTTTATTTTAATTGCACAATGGTATGACAATTGATCTATAAATTCATATTGCAATTGATCTAAATTAATTTCTTTTATTTTAGATTTGATTGAAATAGAAGTGATAATTTGTATAGTTTTATTAAGTTTATAAATTTCATAAAATTTATAAAATTTTAGTGGAAAAAAAATGTTTTTTTTCTTTGTTAGTAAACTATTCAATAGAATCTTTTACTCGTTAGCTAAAATTTTGAGATAACTATAAGGATCGTGAGTTCATTCTCCTGTTTGCAGAGGGTTTTCATTGAATTACCATTTGTGGAGGATAGACACATGAGCTAAAAGAAAGAAAGAGAAAAAAAGAAAAAATCTTAATAAATATTATATAGTACTATATGAGCTTTTCAATAGAATAATTAATAAGATTTTAATATTATTAACATTTTAATAATTTTTATTAATAAATTGATAGTCAGAAAACACAGAATTTGATAAAAATTGGAAAGAAAAAGAATAAATCGATAAAAATTGAAATTTTTGAAACAAAGTTGGAAAAATTTTAATAAAAAGTATTAATAATGAATTAATTGGCTTAAGAATTAATAGAATATTTTGTTATTTGTCCTATTGGATCGTTAATGAGAAAGAAAAATAACATTAAGATGAATAGCAATTATTCATTTGAATTTGCAAATAGTAAATAGAAAATATTAAATTCAAAGTTTTTGGTTAGAAATTAAATTAACAGGAAAAAGAAAAAACTCAATTTCGATCAAAAAAAAAAACTTGCTGAAAACCTATTTAACAAAATTTAATTGATTTAAAGCATTTTAAGAGATTGTTGAGCCATTTTGGTATGAATAATAGGTACGTTATTTCAGAAGCAAGAATATTAAAACACCATCAACAGCAACAGTTGTGTAACGAAGCACAGCAGAACATAAATCACACTGAGAACAAATATTTCAATGGCCAATCGACTGCGGTGTTGGCGATTTGCACCAGGACCAGTTTATTCGCAACACCAAGAGTTCCAAGCCGTGCGCGTTTATGCTTTTCTAGCAACAAAAATAAACAATTAGACCAAAGACCTGTACAAATATGCAGCACAACCAGGCATATGCACACAGCATTGAATCAAATCATGCCGATCTCGCACCAGATCTATATATAGAGTTTGGTGTGTACATATGGAACATTTGCAATTTGCTAAACATTATAAATGGATCTGCAATCGTCTGAGAGCAGATTGTGTTTGAACGGGGCCACAGCAAGAAAAACAAAGGGACACACGAAGAGACGCACTAATAAAACCCCGTTTGCGCAGCACAGTCACTGGATGTGTTTTGCTGTAAAAAATTTTCGAACCAAGGCGGGCAGTAATCTCAAAGCTCAGCGAGTCCTGATAAGAGACCAGCGAGACTCAGCGAGACCCAGACAAATATGTGGAAGATGAAACACAGGACAGTGTGCAACTCTGGCAATGGCTTGATACAGGTTTGTGACCAGAAGAACAGAAAAGACACAACAGTCGCAGAACAGCGCAAAAGCAAGAGCAAAGGCCAACGATGGCAGGCGTGGGCCACGCACAACGGCCTGCAGACACGCATACCACCAACATCGGCGCGCCAACCTAATGCAGTAGCAAGAAATCCAGACGCTTGACCAGCTGGAAGTGCGCACATGTCGGCAGCACAGCGTACACCCATGTACAGCTCAATCAAAAGGCGGGACTGTGTTCGATACAGACGCCGCGGCCAGCATGGAACTGCGCATTAGTACCGGCAGACAATACGCGCGCACGTGTCACGACGGCCGATTAGGGTTTATTTGTGGGTTCCTGTGCATGACACGATGACGATAAATAATAACTGTAACTGCTCTTAACAGGATCATATGTCTACGCTTCAATCACACACTTACCGAAGATATTGAGTTGTGCTGTGTTTCACCCAAACAAAATTTCTTTTTTGGTTTCTCTGCTTTTTCTTTCTTTTTCACTTCCCTCCTTTATTCTTCCTCTTTTAATTGCAAAGGTTTTCCTTTTTTATTTAAGATATTACTTTTCCTCATCTCTTTTATTTTTCATCTCCCTTCTCGCTTTCATTTATTGCTTTGGCTTCCTGCTCTTCCTGACTTTGCACCATCTTTTTTTCTCCCACCCTTTTCTTTCTCCTTTTGAAACAATGCCTTCGTTGCCCTCTAATGAAAGATACTTTTCCAACACCTCTTCCTCAAAGCAAAAACCCTTCCAGCTTCCTTCTTTAGCAAACTTGGGCCACATCTCTAACGAGGATCGTTTACCACGCATTCAGGAGCTCTCCATGACTGACAGTTCCAAATCCCAGGCTCCTCAGCTCCAGTCACATCCTCTGGCCTATCCTCAGCTATATCCCCAGCAGCAACTACCTCAACCCCAGAACCAACAACAATTTTCACAATCTTTCCAGTCGCAATCTTTTCAGTCACAATCTTCCCAGCCCCCTTTACAATACCAGTTCAACTATAACAATAATCTTTCCCAACCCCAAATGCTTCCTACAAATAATATACCTCTTTCAAATTACGCTCCAATTACCCCAATTGCTCCCTCTTCCCCTTCTGTCTCCAAAAGTGCTTCTTCCAGCTCAATATCAAAAAACCCCAATGACAAAATTCCTTCAAAGAAACATCTACATATAAGATCCGAACAACGAAGAAGGGAGAAGATTTCTGATGGGTTTGCTCAATTAAAATTAACTGTTCCAACTGTACGACCTGGCTACGATTCAAAAGCTGCTGTTTTAAAGAAAACCGCTGAATATATTGAAGTTTTGGAATACGAAAATAAAGTCCTTAAACACGAATTAGCTCTTGTGTCTTCCTATCCTGCTCCCCATCCTTCTCATACAATGCCTTATTCCTCAGCGCCCTCCCAAAATCCTTTTCCTCCACAGAATGTTCAGTTGCCTCCTGGTGCTCCTCAGCTTTTGCAGCCTCAACACACATCTACCCAATCTCAGTCCCACTCTTCAAATTTTTCTCATCAAAATAGCATTTCATCTTCCTCTGCTACATCGCCTTCTGCGTCTGCTCCTCCTGCCTCCTTAACCTCAATGTTAAACAGCAATCACAGTTCTATCAACATTGATCGTAGCTCCCAATCCTCAGCTCAATCACATTCTCAAAATGGCTTTCAGCGTCTATCTTCTTCTACTCAAAACACAGGAACAAAAAAATTGCCTCCTTTAGCTCCTGCTCAATTTGGCTTCTTGCCTGGAACTTCTCCAAACTCAAATCGCTTGCCTTCTCCAAGTTTTATGTTCAATCAATCAACTACTGGCAATGCCAACAGAATTCCAAATATCAACTCAAATCCAACCATCTCCAACTCATATTTTTCCACTTCTAGTTTACATCAATAAGCTGTTCCAAAATCATTTTAATTATATTCCAACTATTTCCAATCAACTTCCAACTAACTTCCAATTGGCTGGAAATTATAATGGTAATTCATTTCATTTTATGATTGTTTTTCGCCTGTATTTTACACTACTTCATTTCTTGATTTTTTCTATTTTCTATTTTTTTGGTTTTTTGGTGTGTGTTTTATCAAAATTTCTTTCTATCAATTTACTTTTTATTCTACTCCAATTTCTTTAACCGCTGCAATCACTAGTTGCTATTTTTATTTAACTTATTTTTTGATCTATTCAAATATTTGCCAGTTAACTATTTAACTACCCATCTTTTTCTTTTTTTTGGTGTTGTTGTAATATCATGATTTCCATTTTCATTTATACTTATATTTATATTTCTATACTATTTCTACTATTTCTTCAATTTTTCAATTTTTCAATTTTTCAATTTTTCAATTTTTCAATTTTTCAATTTTTCAATTGCTTTGATTAATCAGTATTTTTATTAAATCAAAATTTAATCATCATACATTCAAATTATACACAAGAAAAAAAACAAAATCATTCATTTTTATTTACTTTTCATATTCATCAAGTAGCAATCTTACACTTCCATCCATATCAGCTGCGATTAATTTCTCACAATTTTAATTTTTTTTAATTTTTTGTTATTTTGTGAATATTTCCAAAAAAAAAATAAAAAAAAAATTCTCTTAAAAACATGCTATTTTATAATATATACACATAAAATTTTTTTTTCTGTCTTAAAAAAACTCAACTCAAATAAACTTGCTTAATATTGATCTATTCAATATTCAATTAATCGTCTGCTTTCTTTGGTGTAGGATCACTTGTAAATTTCAATGAAACACTATTAACACAATGGCGCTCATCTGTTGGCGTATTGAATCCTTCACCTTTGAATATATGCCCAAGATGCCCACCACATTTCGAACATAACATCTCAATTCTTTCCATACCAAATGATATATCAGTCTTGGTGACTACTGCTCCTTCAATCGCTTCGTAAAACGCTGGCCATCCACAGTGAGCATTGAACTTGGTTGACGACTTGTACAATGCCTGGTTGCATCCTGCACAGTTATATACTCCCTTCTCACTGTGCTGATAATATTCCCCAGAGAATGCTCTCTCAGTTGCTTTATTTCTCAAAACCTCAAATTGCATGGGCGTTAAAGTACTGGACCATTCAAGCTCGCTCTTTTGAATGGGATACGCCTCAGGAATGTTTGTAGAATAACCTTTGCTCATTCCCATCAATTTTATTGTTTTGAATAGGTTTCTCGAGTTCTGGAAAAGAGAATGGTTGTTCATTGATAGTAGTCTATAGTAAAAAATACTGATAACTGCTCTCCACCAGATATCTACAGTGTTTCTCTTATAAGCGCACATTATTCGAATCTTGCCATCGAAGGCAAAACTGAGAGGGATGACATCCAACATCCGGAAGCAGATCAGATCCGAGAAAGGAAGATAAGAAAAGTAAAGAGATTGAATATGAACCGTAATAAAACATTTGTCTATAAAAATTTATTTAACTATTAATGACCAATTGCCCCTGAAACTCTATTGAATTGAAAAAAATTTACAGAAATAAAACGTATAATAAATGAAAGTGATCAAACTTTGGCCTGGAGAATAAAAAACAACCATTACACTGATAAAAATAAAGATAGTAAAAAAATAAAAGAAAATAAAAATAAAAAAAATGGTAATAATTTTTGACTGATAAAATTAATAAGGATGACTCACGTCCACGTAAATGCTTTTAGTAATAGGAACTGATCTAACACTGTTTGAAAATGGCAAATTATATTTAAACTTACCTCTTAAGATTAATGTAAAGGGATAATTTATAATCTTTTTCCAATGTTTCTGTCCAGGATCTAGCAGTGGCAATGTTTTATCAAGAAAATCCAATGAATTAGCTGTGTTAATTACCATTAAATTATTGTTGTTTATGTTAATTATTTCATCATCGCCCTCACCATCATCCACAGGAGGGGGCTGTTCGCTTCTGGTGGTATTTTTACCAGGCTGTTTGAGTTTTATTTCTCCAATTGCATGGGTAGTATCTTTGTTGAAAAAGCCACCTTCAAATGATAGTGGCACATCAAACTTGTTTACATTTCCCAATAACAAGGTTACAAAAGTATCATCAAGGTTTTCCATATCTTGAACAGTTTTTTCAAACTCAGAGTCCTCCACATTTTTCATCTCATCCATATTCATGTAGTCATCCAAGCTATAGTGATTTGACTTCACAAAAACATCCAAATCAATATCAGTGATTTCCACTGTTAAAAACCCCGGGTTAAATCCTTCTACTTCCAAGTCAAAAACCAATTCATCAAAGCTTACTAAGATGTTTGTAACTTTATCGATTTTAACATTTGTTAAATCCTTTGTAGAGGCCATTAAAAACCCAGAAATAAAACCTAGACCTAGAATTAAAAGCATTGAAGAAACTAGCCAAAATATTGATTTAATATGTTGGTATCGAGAGTCATTTTCTTCTTCCTCAATATCATATCCGTTCAAAAGTCCTTCATTTATCGCTTGATAATTGTTTTCTGAATTATAAAAATCATGAGGAGAATATATTTTTCCTTGTTGTTTATAGTTTTTTTTTCTTTTATGATTTGATTTTCTTTTGGTCTTAGAAGTTTTGGAATTTCTATTATTGTATCTTGATTCAGGTCTTAAAAAATTATTTTGATTATCATATTCTTCTTGTGTATTATAGTTTCCATTTAAAGGTGTGAACTCATCATATTGAGCAGATGGTAAGCCTACATCATAATTATAATAATTATTGTATTCTTCATCATCATCAAAATCATCAATGTCCAGATCATCTGGGATCCCAGAATATCTCCTTAGCTCATAATTTCTCAAGTCAAATAACTTTGATCTTTGAGATTTAAGATCCTTTATTGATTTTTGGCCCAACTTTTGCAGTTGATTATTATGAGAATTATCATTGAATAATTTATGATAATTAATCAAATGGTTTTGATTGCGAGGATTGTTATATCGATTGTAAGTTGAAACTGATAAATTTGAGACTGATTTATAACGATTTAAATTGGGATTATTATAATTCGTATTTTGATTATTGTTGGGATTGTGATGGTTATAGTAATTATTAGGATTAAGATAGGAAGGAGGGTCATGGTAGTTTGCATATATTTGGTTATTAAAAGTACTACCAATATTTTGAGGATTGTTTAGATACCTGTTCACTCTATTATAATTCAGTTTATTAATAAAATGGTTATTTAGATTATTTTGGTTACTATATTGATGACTTATACTAGCCAGATTATTGTTATTGTTATTATTGTTATGAGTATTATTGTGGTTATTATTATGATTATGATTACTGTGGTTATTATTAGTGCCAATATATTTTGTAAAAGTGTTGTAATCATAATCATCAGTTGAATAGTCATCATCTAAATCCGAATAAGATTTGTGAGCTGGAATAAGATTAGGATCATCGTTTTGCAGAGAAATCGAAGTTATCTCTGGAGAATTATTAATAGCTGAATCAAAGTCATTTGTAGTAACCGTATTTGTTACAACTGAATTAATGGTTGAAATGGGTTTTTTGAATTTATAGTCTTTTTTAACTTCCGAATCCCTTTTAGAGATTCTTGTAGTGTTAAAGCCATCACTGTTATTACAACTATCAGAGGTGTTATTATTTGTAAGATAATTATTAATGTTTGATGTATTTTTATTAATTGAGTTGTTATTGATTGAGTTATTAATTGTGTTATTTGAGGGTAAAATTGAAGATGTTTGATTAGCTTGAGGAGGAATTCTTGATTTTTTTATGGTGTTGTTGATGTTATTATTGTTATTATTGTTATTATTGTTATTATTGTTATTATTATTGTTTGTATTTATGCTTGTAGAATTATTAGATTGGTTAGTGTTATGAATGCTATGAATGCTATGAATGCTACGTGCACTGCTATTGTTGTTATTATTGATTGAGGTTGGATGCTGATCGAGATTCGCATTTGAATAGGAAGTTGAAATTTGATCATTTGGAGCAGCGCTTTCATAAACGAAAGTTTCATCGCTATCAGAGTTGGATGCTTCTCCTATGGCACTTTCTAATCTTGCGGCAAATACTTCAGTTCTTGAGGAATTTGTATTGTTTATATTTTTTTTGGATATTCTTTTTGATAGTTTTTTCTTTTTTGATTTATTCGATTCACTAACCGAGTTTTTTTTCTTTTTAATAGAGTCTTTATTGTTGTTGGCGGTAGTAATATTGGTATTATTATTATTGTTATCATTATTATTATTATTATTATTATTGTTATCATTATTATTATTATTATTATTATTATTATTATTATTATTATTATTATTATTGTTATTATTATTATTATTATTATTATTATTGTTATTATTACTGTTGTTGGCATTTTTATTATTGTTATTATTGTTATTATTGTTATTATTATTATTGTTATTATTGTTGTTTATTGTATTGTTAATGAGGTTATTGGAGTTATTGGAATTGATGTTAGAGATGTCTATGTTATTAAGGTTGTTGGAAAGAATAATTTTTGAATTTTCATTATCTTTATTTGATTTAATATTGTCGTTATTGATGCTATTTGATGTGTTGTCGGGGGATTCTTCTTGAATGACATAATTTTGATTTAGTTTTGACTTTGAATTTGAAGGGGGTTTGTCCATTAGGAAGCTTCTTTTTGATCTTAGGGAAATGTGAGAAGAAGGGGGAGCAGGATGGTTGGAAAGATTAATGGAGATTGAAGATTGAATATCAGTTAGAGAATTTGAGTTTGAGTTTTGATTTTGATTTTGATTTTGGTTTTGGATCTGATTGTTGTGGTTGCTGATTGGGTTATTATTTACATGATGAATATTATTAGAGTCGAAATCAATTAGAGAGTTTCTAGAGGAATTGGGGTCAATAATTGAAAAATCGTATTGATCTAGGATATTGTTCGTGATGGGGTTATTAATTAGTTTTGGAACATTGTTAACATCGACAGTTTCAGTTTCTACAATCATTTTATTTGCAGAGTTTAAGTTTGAGTTTGTAAGAACTGTTGAGTTTGTCTTTGAAGGGTTCATTGTTTGAGTGATACTGTTTGAGTTGGCGGATAGATATACTGGAGGAGGAGCATCTAAAGAAGAAGAGAATTGCTTTGAGTTTTTATTTTTTGATATATCGTCATTATTGCTTGGTTTGATTTTGGAGCTACTTTTTTGTTGAAAATGTTTGGGAATTATGGTGAGAGGATTTGAGGACTCATTAGTATGCGATTGCAGATGAGGGTTATACAGGCTATTTATATTGGAAGCAGGGGGATTGTTTATGCTTTTATTGACGCTGGAGTCATTGAGAGTGTTCTTATTGTTCTTGATATTCTTAATGCTCTTGTTTTTAATGTTGGCGCTATGAGTTTGAGTACCATTAATGAGGTTCGTGTTTTTTGATTTGGTATCACTCAGGATCATATCATCATTATTCATTTTTTTTTTTTGGATTTTTTGGATTTTTTATGTTTTTTTGACTGAAAACAAATTTTTGATTGATTTTTCTATCGCGATTAACTTTTACTTTTGCTGGGTTTATTTGTTTTGCTGAGATAGTAACTAAAGTATCAAGATTTAAATCAGAAAACAAAAGCGCTTTAAAGAATTTTGACCCTTATTTGATCAGCTTTCCTGAGCCAAAAACCCAATAATATAAATAACTTTGAGAACTGGAAGATAAGCTAAGATAACTTTAAACAGCAACCAAAAAAGGAGTCAGAGGCCAGGGCAAAACAACGCTGTGAACCACCAAAAACTGTTGCTGTTGCTGGGAAGCAGAGGCCAGAACTTGTTGGAAACCACCGGCAATGAGATGTGTTTAAGGGGTGAAGGAGGGCTGACTGGGAACTGTCAACAGGAACAGGACAGGAGCAGGGCAGGAGTAGGACAGTTTTGTGAAGTATGTCTCGAGAGCGTTGGTGTGGAAGTTGCTGCTTGTGCTGTTTTTGCTGTTTTTGCTGTTTTTGCTGTTTTGAGTGCTTTTTTTTCTCGCCATCAGTCTCACTATTTATATTCCAGCAGCCCCGCCGTGTTTTCGCGCACACGAGCCCTGCCGCGCTGGCTTTTCTCCGTTTTCACGAAGCGGCAGGTTGTTTTGCGCGCGTTGTCCCACGTTGGAGACCCTGTGTTTTGGGCGTGGGCGCACTCCGGAGATCGCAGTCGGCGAAAACACAAGCGCAGCGCGCTACAGACGAGAGCGTGACGAGAAAGCAGCAGCGACATGAGCACAAACAGCGTAACGAATAGAGAATAAACAGCATAAGTAACAGAGAATAAACACTGGGTGGAATAAAGAAAATGCTGGTGTTTCGATGACCAGAGTTTGCTTGGATCATTATTCTGTTAGGCAATTTCAGCTTTAGAAACTTTAGGCTTGTTCACCAAACTTTCTCTTTGTGAATCTGCTGTTGATGACAATATAAACCGTAAAATATATACATTAAAACTGTATCAACTGTACTTATCACTGACTAAAACTCAAAATAATGCCCATCCTTCGAAATCTTCTTCTACCAGCTCTTTTTCATTTGCATTTTTTTGATTCTCCTCGTCCTTTTCATTCTTTTCATTCTTTTCATCCTTTTCATTCTTCACTTCTTCGGGCTTGGGATGGTTTATTTCCAAACACTTAAACTTATTTTCATATCCTCTGTCCTTTAAATAATAATACCATCCTGGGATAAATCCATTGGCAAACGCATCGTCATCAAAACTGCAATCCCATCCATACTTCATTATATCTATCGCCAAAAATTTCCTCAATTTCCCTATTTTAAATTCCTCATCTTGTAAATCATTAATCAACCTTTCAATTCTTCGGGCCAACGTAACTAAATTATTGTAAAATGGTGTAGGTCCTCTTCCTCCATCCTTTGCCGTAAACTTTATCTGTCTTTTAGTTCTTTCAATAAGTTCTTTCTCGATTTTATCCTCTTCTTCTTTTCTTCTCCTTAGATCTCGAAATTTATTTTTTCTTTCCTCTTCTTTTTCTATAATGGCTTTATAATATTCGCTATTAATATCCAAATGTCTATCGCCTCTATCGCCTCTATTAACTTTAATTCTTTGGTTTTTTTGCTCTTCTTGCTCTTTTTCAAATTCTTCCAATTCTTTCAACTTTTCTTGACTAATCTTTCTCTTATAAAAATTCTCTCTTTCAATATACAACTTTCTCTTAAAATATACGACCAAGTTCTCAAAATCGCCTCCACCATATTTATCAACATATTCAGCCAAATAAAAACACGTTTTATCCAATTGTTCAAACAAATAAATCAACTCTTCTTTTTTCTCTTCTTTTTCTTGTTGTTCTGCATCTTGGTTTTCCATTCCCGGTAGCTCGATCTTATCCAACAATTTCAAATCACTTTTTCTTTTCTTGTTTTGTATCATTTCAATCATCTTTAATTCAATTTTACTCAATATATATGGGGTATTTTGACAATACTTTTTGCCATCTCCCTTTCCTATAAATTCACCTGGATACCCAAATCCAACTAGCTTTTTTTGTGAATTTCTTTGAATTCGCAAAAAATTCAACCCGATTATCAATGGATCTCCACTATCCATAATATTTGAATCAAGACCTCTTCTATCAAATTCATACAAGTGAAGATTAATATTCTCATTAAAATCTGGTTTGCATCTGTAAAGTGTTCTCTGAATAGCTCGAAATAATCTTTTCGAAACAATTTTATTAATTATTATATTATCAACATTATCATTTAATTTTATTCTCTTCAATTTATTTGTCAATTTATCTCTTTCATCTCTTTCATCTCTTTCATCTTTTTCATCTTTATCGAAATCTAAATTCAATTTATGCTTTAAACACAAATTGTCAACAATATAATCAGGAATCTCAAGCTTTTGATCATAGTTCAACTTTGGTCGATCTCTCCTCAACTCAATTAACACATTCATTACTTTGGTTATATTCTCTTTATCCATTTTTCTCTTTAAATCAGTAGGCTTCTTAATAATAATTGAATTCTTAACAATAACTTCATGTTCCTCTAAAAATTTTAATATTTTTTGAATCTTCACATATCGATAGTAGTGAATATCAATAACAGGCCCCCCCTCTTTAGCTTCATGTTTAGTTGCAATTAAATCGTTTGCTTCATCCTTAAATGTAAACTCATTTGTGTCCTTGTACCATCGAAAATTATAATCAATAATAATAGGATCATTTTCGGGATTTTCAATCAAATTCTTAGCATATGGAATCAACACCTCCTTTTCAGATTGAGCCAATGAACAAAGAATTAACGCAACAACTTGATCAACATTCATCACCATATTATACTTCATTAAAACAGAAATCACATTCAAACACATTCCTCGGTCATAGCGCTTATTGTTGATATACTCATAATTTTCCTCAATAATCGTTCTCAATTTATCTCCTGAATACTTTTTAGAATTATAGTCAACTGCCATTCCTTCAATTGTATCGTACGAAGTCTCCAAGACTGGAGCATTTTCAATCATTAAACTGGTGACAGACTTCATTTCGGTGTAAAAATAGTGCTTCAGGTATAGTGCGAATAAACAAGAGAGCGTGAGTTGGTAAATGATAAAAACCAAACAATTCTCAGCAAAAAGATAAAACAATTGGTCTTATATCCTGTGGTCAATTTCTTGATTTTTAATCACCACAGGAAAACAAAACTTGATTACCATTCAATGTTCAAATCAAACTTTTTATTGCTAATCCTGCTCTGCCCAATCCGGAAAAAGACCCAAAAAAGAAACAAAACCCTCTCAAAAAAGACACGCCCACACTGCTGGTACTTTTGAACTGAGGTGAAAATTTAGTTGAAAGTTTGGTAAAAAATCAACCAAAAATTGTTCATCTTCTGCTCATGTCCTCTTATCTCTTCAAAAATGGCTTACGAATAGTGCCTCCTCACTATATTACGATAGACCGTTTTGTAAGACAAAGTTGGGCTGACAAGCATATTGTCACGACGTTGCTATCAGCTTTTGACTTGAAACCCTATGTTAAGCTCCAGTTGACCAAACACCAAAAGGCAGACTGCAAGATCGACTATGACAACATCAGTTCAGAGATCATCAAGCAGTATTTTGCAACCAGAAAAGTTTCGGTGACCAGGAAACTACCACACTTAAAAGAAAATTTAGTAATTGATGATCCAGAGCTACTAATTGATCTTGTTCTTCGAAACTCTGATCTCCTCTCTGTGGTAGTACATAAACACGAGATTCCTGTATCCGATGGCACTAATTTTATGGAAGATGCCAATCAAAACAGTTTTCCCAAAGATGAGGATAGATTCAAGATACCTATAGTTTTTGAAGATGATAACCTCGTAGTGGTCAATAAACCCTCAGGCATACCGACACATCCAACAGGAAGAAGCTATCGTTTGAATTCAGTGACCGAGGTAGTAAAACACCAACTCAACTTGGAAAAGATATTCAATTTCAATCGACTAGATAGGTCAACATCTGGGATATTAATTTTTTCAAAAAATACCAAAACAAATCAAAAATTTCAAGAGCAGATTGCAGAAAATAAAATTAAAAAGAGCTATCTTGCAAGAGTTGATGGCAATTTCAAAGAAAAACATAATACTATTTGCAATGATTTACTTTTTAGAATCAGTATTTCCGGGTTCCCATTACAAACAACTTCTTTAAAAGAAATTATGATGAATTCCTTATCAGTTCCTCAATTAGCTGAAACACATTTCAAGTTTTTATCTTATAATCCCGAAAAGGATCAGAGTTTAGTGATTTGTGAGCCAGTAACTGGAAGAACTCACCAAATTAGAATTCATTTAAGAAATTTGGGCCATCCGATATCAAATGATACAATTTATGGCTTTAAAGGCAACACGTTTAAAAATTCAATTGAAACTGATAAACTGATAATACAAAAAATATTAAATCATAAGGAGTTGATGGAAATTATATCTTCTAAAAGTTTGCGGGTAAAATCAAAAAATTATAATAGAATTTTTGATATACTATGTGATGATATTAAAGTTTTTACAATTGATGATTATCATAAGTTGAATGAAGAAAACGCTAAGCGAAGAAACAAAGCTTTAACTGGGAAAGTCTGCAGTGAGTGTGGAACAGAGTTATTTGCTGATCCAATCAAAGACGATATGCTATTATACTTACATGCTTTCAAATATGAAAATATTGATAATGAATGGTGTTTTGAAACAACATTTCCTATTTGGGCGAAATATGAGAATTGATTCAAGTTTAATAAACTTTAATTATACGCCAATCATTTATTTTTTACTGATATATATATATCACAATTTGTATTTAATTCACAATCAATTTTTTTTATTCATTGACATAAATACATGCAAGACCGTCAATCCAACTCGATACTCTTGCTGATAAACCAATAATTTCAAAACCTTCCGGTGGTGATAATTCACCTAAACCACCACCATTTTTATTACCAAGCATTTCACTTTGTCTTCCAGTTGATGTTATAATTTGAATAGCATCAACCCAAGAACCACATTTCAACTTAAATGAAGATATAGATTCATTTTTGTTTAAAGGAAAGTCAGTATAATTTTTTGTTTTATTTCCAACAAAATTTGAACCATATCTAGTCATAAACTCAACACCGTCTAAAGCACCACCATGATACACTCTGACACATATCACTTCTCGTGGGTTGAAGGTGATAAATGGTCTTTCTTGGTTATCTTTTGAGCCTAAATAAGACGACTTAAAAGCAACCAAGTTACCTCTGTTTAAACCAAAATGACCAGTGATTCGACTTTTTGAAGATTCGTTTGATAATTTTAAAAAATCATCAATTTTGTATTGACTACCAATTGATAAGATTTCCAAGGACAATTTTTTCCCCTTTTGATCTTGCGGTAATAAATTTTCCAAGCCATAATAGTTTAATAATATTTCGTTTTGGGGACCAACTCCGTTTTTAAGATTTTTGGGTAAATATTCCAAGTGAGCCCTGCATTTATCATCTGTGTGTAATTCAACTAAATAGATACCAGTACTTGATTTACAGACAATATTACCATCATTTAAGGGATATAAAACAGTTTTTTGAGGGTAGATATCGGGGTAATTAGGAACTGAGTTGTCAATCCAATCGTTTGGTAATTTAAAACTTGGATGATATAAAAACCTTAGTAGATCTAATCTATGCCAATCACATTCATCTTTAGGTAAAATTGGAAATAGGCCATTACTTTTTGTTCTTGTTGAGTACTGTTCAATTGTCATAAAAGATCTATTAAAGGTGACGTAATCTCTCAACATAACACCAGAAGGTTGGTGAGGACAGCCCAATAAATGGCCAATTTCGTGTAAAAAGGCACCCAAGGTGACATTTAGACATTCCCAAGCAGAGCCACATTCATTACAGTCGTTAGCAACTTCTTTTGTATTTGTTTTGATGCATTCTGAAAAGGATAAATGCAATTCTTCAAAGGATGATGGCCATGACCATAATCCATGAGAACCGAAAATTGCAAGTTTATAACGGTCAATTGAACCACCCAAGGCAGCATGGGCTAAAATCAAGTTTTTGTCAGAGTCCCAATGAGTATCTAAAAACATGACAGCGCATTGTGAAGGTTTATCAAAAGGAGCACCATATTTTTTCAAGGCATCACAAGCAATTCCAAATAATCCACCTTTATTTTTACCATTGTTGTTTTGCTGAGCTAGGTGTGGATCCCTTAATTGAGAAACAGTTTTTTCTGACTTCAAAATATAGACTTTAATGTTGCTTCTCAGGTTGTTGTAAGTAAAAGTGGGATCGTTTTTATTATTCTTGTTTTCAACTTTGGATAAGGTGTCATTTGAATATTCCTCCTCAAATCTAAAACACCTGTTTCCGAGGTTGTTCCTTAGCATTTGCTCATTTGTGAAAGCTTGCATTAACCTACCACCTAACTTTAGTTTTCTGACAGCTAGATTTAAATCATTGCCTTCAAGTTTCTTCTTCCATTCAGGAGAATCAAAAGTCATAGGCGAATCCTTTCCCACCAATAAACACAAATGAAGGGGAGGATTGTTTAGCAAAGGCGTATAATTGATAGTGATTGTTTCCGAAAATGGTTTGACATGCAATCTCGACTGGGAATCAAAAATAGGAAGAGAATTGCGAAAGTAGCCGGGATAATAGGTTAAATAGATCAAATTGGGCCCAGGTTGCAAGTAGATTAAGGCCTTGAAGTATTTGGCATTAACGTCAAAGTATTGCTGGGGGAAGAAGTTCCCGTTGTAGTAGGCCTGAATAATACCACTCTCCTCGGAGGAAACACCATGGAGAATCACAACTGGGATATGCACAGTGTCTAAAGACTTGTAGTTGAGAATCTTTAGCGACATTATTGGTTGGAAAAGGAGCACTAAATATAACTGGCAAAGCTGTTAGGAAGCAGAAGAAAAAGGGGAGTTATATAGTAGAGCAACACCAGTCACTTCAGACCTTTGTCACTCCAAGCGAATCGAATAAAGACGCTTATTCCACTTATACCCCAGCCATGAAATTAGATCCACCACCACGGGTGTCTGGGACCTCGGTAATCTCGCATGCATATGCGTACACATGCGCGATCCGCAGCTCTGGCTCGAGACCCTCTGGGCACGTGCAGCACTTGAGGTATAATTCAGCTGTTCTTTTGATTAGTTGGCAACAAATCAACAGAACACTTCAGATTGCCAAACCAACTGTCTCCAGCTGTCTCCAATTGTATATAAAGTGCAACCACACTTCTACCTTTATCAATTTCTTGGTTGAGTACCTTCTCTTTATTCTCGGTATCTGAAAATGTCTGGCAAGAGACGTCACTATCCAGCTGCTCAGTACAACCAATATGCTGCTCAATCTCCAATCTCTGGTGGAGCAGGAATGCCTCCAATTCCACCACAACCTCTACCCCAGCAAATCAATTCCCAGTATGGTGCCAATGCCTATCAGAAACCACTAACTGGAAATCCCCAATACAATTATCAACAGCAAAACCCTGGTCAACCGCAATCTGCTCCTGGCATCGACCAGCTAACTCAGCAATTCAATGATGTTAATCTCTATGGCTCTGCTCAACAGTCATACCCTCCAGTTGGTGCAAATCCCAACATGGGAATGGGAATGGGAATGAACATGGGTGCAAATCCCAACATGCAACTATCTTCTCACGCAGCTGCAGTCTTACCAATGAATCAATTATACACAACTGATTTATTAAACGATTTCCCTCCCCCAATAAAGGACTTATCTTTACCACCACCTCCTGTTATCTTACCCAACGATGCCACTTTATCTCAAAGACCGGAATCAAATGCTTCACCTGACTACTTCCGTTGCACTCTTAATACGATACCAACAACAAACAGTTTATTAAAAAGATCCAAACTACCTCTCGGTGTGGTCATTAGACCCTATACAACATTACATGAATCGGAAAACCCAGTCCCTGTTGTCAAAGATACTGTGATTGCAAGATGTCGCCGTTGCCGTGCTTATATTAATCCATTTGTCCAATTTGTTCAAAGTGATAGAAGATGGCGTTGTAACTTATGTGCTTTGCAAAACGATGTTCCTTCTGCCTTTGATAACATGGAGAATGGAAGAACAAGATATGACAGAGAAGAATTAAACTACGCCGTTGTCGATTTTGTTGCTCCTTCCCAATACATGGTAAGATCTCCTGAACCCTTAGTATATGTCTTTATTATCGAAGTTTCCGTTATTGCTGTTAAAAATGGAATGCTAGCTACTGTTGCAAGAACCATTTTAGAGTCTTTAGATAGAATCCCAAATGATAAAGGTCTAACAAGAGTAGCCTTTTTAGCTGTTGATTCTGCTTTACATTATTTCAAAATCCCTGAATCCACCAAATCTTCAAATCCAGAAAAAGACGATGACAATGATGACGACGACGATGAAGATGAAGATGATGACATTAACTCTCAACCTCAAATGTTGGTTGTCTCTGATTTAGATGAACCCTTTTTACCTTGTCCTGATGGATTGTTGGTAAGATTAGATCAGTGTAGAAGCCAAATTGAAACCTTGTTGGCCAATTTAAATGACATGTTCCATGATAATCTTAACCCCAATTTTGCTTTAGGTCCTGCTTTAAAAGCTGCTCATAAATTAGTTCAACCAATTGGTGGCAGAATTCAAGTTTTAGGCTGCTCTTTACCAAGTCTTGGTGTTGGTAAATTAAACGTTAGAGAAGAAGAATCCGTTTCTGGAAAACCAAAAGAAGCTCAAACTTTAATGTCTGCTGCAGATTCATTTTACAAAAGTTTTGCTGTGGAGTGCAACAAATCTCAAGTTACTGTCGACATGTTTTTATGTTCTACATCATATCAAGATGTTGCAACTTTAGCCAACTTACCTCGTTATACAGCTGGTCAAACCCATTTCTATCCTGCTTGGTCCGCTGCTAAAGAAGAAGACGTTATCAAATTATCTAAAGAATTCTCAAACCATCTTTCAATGGATGTTGCTTTAGAAGCAGTAATGAGAGTTAGAGGTTCAAATGGAATCAGAATGGCTTCATTCTATGGTAATTTCTTTAATAGATCCTCAGATTTATGTTCATTTCCAAGTTTTCCCAGAGATCAAGGTTATTTAATAGAAATGTCCTTAGAAGACAATATCACAAAACCTTACATTTGCTTACAAGCTGCAGTTTTACACACAACTGTTGGTGGACAAAGAAGAATCAGAGTTTTGAATTTAGCTATTCCAACAACTACCAATATCGCTGATGTATTTGCATCTGCAGACCAATTGGCAATTGCAAACTTCTATGCCCAAAAAGCCGTTGAAAAGGTGTTTTCAAATTCGTTTCAAGATGCTAGAGATTTATTGATGAAACATATGCTTGAAATTTTACAAGTTTACAAAAAAGAATGTGTATCTAGAAATGTCGGATCTTCCTCACCTTTACAACTATCTACAAACTTGAGAATGTTGCCATTATTACTTCATTCAATGATTAAACATATTGCATTTAGAACTGGAAAGGTTCCATCAGATCACAGAGCTGCTGCACTAAATTTCCTTGGATCGGCTCCTCTTCCCAAATTAATTAAAAATATTTATCCTTCAATTTATAGCTTACATAACATGGAAGATGAATGTGGGTTAGTTGATGAAAATACTGAAACAATAATTATGCCAAATTCTGTGAATGCAACCGCTGTAACCTTAGAAAGATTTGGATTATACTTAATTGACAATGCCTGTGAATTATTCTTGTGGGTTGGAGGTGAAGCTGTTCCACAGTTAATCCAAGATGTGTTTGGTATTGAGGATATATCGAATATTCCAGTTGGAAAATGCGAATTACCAGTTTTGAATGATTCTCCATTTAATCAAAGAATTAGAAACATTATTCAAAGTATAAGAGATGATCATTCAGTCATTACATGGCAAAGTTTATACGTTGTTAAAGGACCATCGCCTTCAGAGCCAATTGCACGTAGTAGGGAGGTTGCTGCTTTAAGAATGTGGGCCTCATCTGAATTTGTTGAAGATAAACAATCAACTATTAGTTATAGAGAATTCCTTGGTTCATTTAGGGAAAAAATTTCAAATTAAGCACATTATAAAAACTCAACCAATCATTCAGGAATAGTTAAAAAAAAAAATAATCTTGGAAGAAGTTAATGGCATATTTATATCAAATTTAATTTAATTTTTATTTAGTTTTTTTTAAAAGAATTTCAATTTTATTTTTAATGATTAGTAAATTTAATTTATGGAACTGAAGCTTCATTAAAAAAAAGAACACAACACGACATAAATTTAATTGAAAGTGTTTTTTTGTCCAATAACCATGGTTCAGAATTTTTTGTTTTGTTATTTGATCATTATTCAATTTTCTTTTTGAACGTTTTTCTTTATATATTTTTATTTTTCTATTTTATTTATTTTCGTATCTTTCTATACTTCTATACCTTTATACTTTTATATTTTGTATATCTACTCTTCTGTTTTCACAGTCATATCTCACTCCTATTGTTTTCTGACCGCAGACCACAGAAGCGCAGTTCTTTTCATTTCATTTTTATTATTTTGAATGGTTAAGACTGAGTCTTTGAAATAAATGAACATCAGACTATTAACTGTAACTCAAAGAGCAAGAGGTTTTTATTTACTGAGTTCCTCTCAATCAAGGTCATTATTATCTTGCACAAGAGTTCCTAGAGGAAATGCAGGGATCTTTTCAACAAGAGTATTCTCTCCAGTCCCATCGATTTCACTGTTGCTTTTCTCATCACAAATACGATTTTATGTGAAGAGCAATGAATTTCCAGATATACTCAGTATGCCACCACTTAATATATTTGAGAATTTGACATTTTTACAAGTTCCACTAGAACAGAATGGGTTATCAATTTTCAGAAAGAGATTGTTTGTTAGAAATGGAGCAAGAGTTAAACGTTCATGGACTCCCAAAAATAGGGAGACATTTACCCATATCTTGGTTAATCTATCAAGGGTTCGAGATAATAATGATATTTTGCGTCGATTAAAAATCCAAGATGGATCTGAACTTGGTCGAATTATAGTTGTTGATGAAATGTGGGCTTGTGATTCAATTGAGCAAGAAAAACTATTGGATACTGGTCCCTATGTTATACACTTTTTACCCAGGTTGGAGCCAAGTGAAAACACAGAATCAGAAGCGGAGAAAACCAGTGAGAAATTAAATGATTATAAGGAAAATACCAAAAAAGATAATGATATAATTAACAAGGAATCCAAGTTTGTTGCAGAGAGCTATAAGAATAGTCTTGCAGATTTTGTTCATCCCAATATGAAAATAATAAATGAGCTTACAAAGTTTATTGATATATATGAGGTGTTAGGTGAAGGTTTCCGATCATTGGCTTACAAGAAGGCAATTCGAACTCTTTATTCAACAAATAAGCCAATAACTACAAAAAATGATTGTGTTTCTTTACCAGGGATTGGAAATGGTATAAGTTCTAAAATTGAAGAATATTTTACAACAAATAAGATTGAGAAATTAGAATCCTTTAAGAATGATCCGAAATTACAGGTGTTAACAATTTTCAGAAATGTTTATGGAGTTGGGCCAGCAATTGCTAAGAATTGGTACGATTTAGGATATCGAACTTTAGATGATATTAAAAACAATGTCCAACTAACCACAGCTCAACAATACGGCATAAAGTATTATGATGATTGGTCCAAAAAAATACCAAGAGAGGAATGCACAAAGCATTTAGAGTTTCTCACAAAAATTGTAGAAGAAATTGATCCAAAAGCAAAAGTATATTCTATGGGTAGCTATCGAAGAGGAAAATCCTTTTGTTCCGATATTGACTATATCATTACAAGGGAAGAAACAGATTCGGTCGATTACTTAGTCGAGAACTTATTGCAAAAATTGATTGATAAGTTGTTTGAAATGAACTACTTAAACTGCAGTTTAAGTGGGCTAGGTCCCACCATAACCATAAAGGACGATATTGCAGATACCTCGCAAAAAAAGAGAAAAGTTATTCATGGAACCAACTTTCATGGTGGTTGCAGGTTGATTGAGTATGGCGACAAGGCCATCTGTCGAAGAATTGATTTTCTATTGACTCCCTGGAACCATATTGGAGCTGCTTTGATGCACTTTACAGGAAACGATACCTTCAATCGAAGCATCAGGCTTCGTGCTGAAAACAGGAATATGAAACTCAGCCAGAATGGGTTGATGAGGAAAAACGAGGATGGAACGTTTTCGTTGATAGAGGCCTTTGACGAAAGAAAGATTTTTGAGATACTCGAGATGCCCTATCTCACTCCTCAGGAGCGAAACTTGTAGACAGCAGAGGCAGCAGAGACAGCACTGCTCCTCCATTAAAGAAACAAAGTATTTATAGCGCAGAGCCCTAAGCTACACCAGGGCTCTAAGATAAGGCACTTTTCCACATTTCGACTTGAAATGATTCAAGTTCTGTAATGAGAAAGGTTAAAGATAGCCCACGATCAAAGATTCCATCGTTGAGAGAAGTCAGAGCCAGTGCAATATAAATACCTCTGTATTTCATCCTTTCTATTTTCCTTCAGCAGACCAGAACAATACAGAAAGCAAAATGAAGTTTGTTAGTTTTATCAGCCTTGTCTTAGTTTTTATCACCCATAGTGCCATCGCATCTCAGTATCTAGTTATCTTCCAGAAGGGAGACAGAACCCCTTCTTTGAGGATTAATGGTGTTAAATCTGTGTTGGCAGACCTAGGTGGTAAAATCACCTACGAGTACTCAAATATTCTAACTGGGTTTACTGTTGAATTGCCTGACGATCTAGTTGTATCCTTTGAGAGCAAAGTGAGCAGCGAAGAGTGGCCTGTATTCATTGAAAAGGATTCAACTGTCTCTATCTTATAAAGACAAAGAGAGAAGAAAAAGTCTATAACAAATGATTAGAATGCGCAAGTCTTGTTTTTATTGATGCTAATGCGATTGCAAAAAGAACATGGATGTCCCTATTTTCTCAAGATGCCTCTCAATTATTAGGATATGCAGTACGAAATTTATATATTAAGATACCGAACATTAATTTTTCGATTAATACCAGAATGCAATATTTTTTTGTTTTAAAGACCGATTGTAGTAATTGAAACTAAAATGAGTTAATTGGCTCAAATCGTGTTTAATATAATGCAATTGATAAGGATTCTACTTTGTTTCTTTCAAATGAATTTTTTTACATTTTCTAAAGAATTTTAATATATACTCATAAATATCAAATAAATCACAATCTTTTTTTTTTCTTTTTTTTTGAATTTTTAAATTTAATCATTCTCACCTAATATCGCTCAATATTACTCAATATTAGTTTTAATATCTTGATCCAACAAAGTTTTTGGTTTTTCCTGGCCTCTTTGAGCAAATTTTTTGCCAAATAAAAATATCAATATTTGATCAAATGATTTATAAAACCACTGAAATGAAATCATTATGCCACCACAAATTGTTATTAATCTGGTCATAAATCTAATAAATGAAATTCTCTTTTCTTGAATTAAAAGTGAAATTGGCTCAAAATCATATTTGAAAAAAATCCCTGGAATATGATTTAACCTCAAATCTTTAAATAATTTGTCTTGTTCAGTCAATGAATATTGATAGGTTTGTAATTCAACTCCCAATTTTTTATATGTAGTTGGAACAACCGACATATAGTATTGGTAACTTTGTTTTTGCTCCTTGGTTACTTTTGCTGTAAAATCTAAAGGATTAGTTAAATATGGATAAAATTCACCAAATGAAAACTCTGAGATGACATGTGTAAAATTCAATGAAGCTATTGGAACAGATGAACGATCTAAATAGCCAACTCCCTTAGCAGTTATATGAAAATCACCAGATACTCTGTTCACCGGTATTGAACCAAAAATATGACAGGCAGGGGCACCAGAATTCTTATCATTGTTCAATTCTCTAAATTCAGCTAACAAACTTTCCCTCATAATCTCATCAATTTCTGGAGTCTTTATGGGTTGTCCAGGTATATTAACTAAATAATTTTCTGGAATAAAAAAATTTATACCTTGATAAGTTAAATAGTCAGTCGCTAATAACCTATCGCTTGTAATATCTAAAACATTTGTATTAATGAAATTGCATGGCATTGCAACAACAATATCCATATTGATTTGCAAGTTCTTTCCAACTTGGTCATTAACAAAAAACTGATGATCAATTTCACCATCTATCCAACCGCCAATTTCAATCCATACTAAAAAAAATATTCCAACCATGAGAAATATGGTGGAATACCCACCTCTTGTTGATCTGACTGTGTTTGATGGCGCGAGTTTTGCTTGAGTTAATAGTAAATTATGAAGAATGTTTGCTAGTTAGTAAAATGGTCCATAAAAGATCTTAAACATGGGAAAAGAAATAACATTAATATCGACATACGAAAAGCATCGAAAGCTCGTAAGCCTCTGACACGATCATTGAAAGCCTGAAGTTTTTCATCCATTATAAATCCCAGAAATGCAGCAGATATACCAACACCTAAAATACCCTGTTAATGCAACAAAAATTGAAGAAAATGAGAAAAATGAAGAAGAAGATGGAAATGAAAATAAAATCCCAAAGAGATAAGCATCAAAATTTCAACTGAACAGCTCTGCAAATGTTTCTTTGAGATTTTTCCAGGGTAGCCCCCTTGAATCGGGATATATAAGAGATGAAGAAAAATTCCAATCTGAAAAGGCTTGGTAAACCCCGCAAAAGCAAAACACTTGTCATTAAAAACTTAAATACTATACAAAGGAAGAATGAGAAATAATTTTAAAAAATAAGAAAAAAATAAAATAAAATAAAATAAAAATAGTCAAGAAGCACAGCAAGAGAGATCATGGGAATAGAATTAAACAATAAAAAGAAGTAATGTGGCTAGTTCTGCTTTAGCCAACGTTGTTGCAAGAAAAACTCGTATATTTTGGAAGTTTTATTCACATCTATCTTCAACAATTCTCTAGCAGTTCTCTTCTTGAGTATGCCTCCAGTTCTCAAGATTTCTCTGAATAGTGTTTCCTTTATAGCCATGTATGGCTTTGGTAGGATTCTCAAAGACGAGCAAAGTTTCTGTTCGTCCATAGACAACAAGTGAACATCGGTTGCATTGGAAATATCTAAAGGAGCCTGCACATTTTTTCGTGTTGACGCATTTGGGTTTGAACTAGAGTTTATACCCAAATTTGGACTTGAATTTAATGCCAAATTTAAGCTGGAGGAGTTTATATTTGAGTTATTTGAATTTGACAATGAGCTATTTGGAATCAATGGGTTAGATAAGTTTGAATATAAAGAGTTTGCATTAGAAGTTAAGGTTGATGAAAGGAAATCTAAATGACTCGAGGAATTATAGTTTGCATTTCTTGAATGTCTTGATGATAAGTTATACCTTTGGGATACAGTTGACTTTGAAGATTTATCCTTTTCATATTTAAACCCACTTTCAATTGTGGTTAAGCCAGCATTTCTCCAATTTTGCAATTGAGAAATTTTATTTCTAATTTGAGATTCCAATAAAATATCATTTGAAAATTTTTGAAAATCTTCTGGAGTCATGATCCGTATGAAAGGTTTAATTTTGTTAAATAGTTCTCTTTCTTCTTTGGTTTTTTTTTTTTCGATCGAAAGATTTTTCTTGTATTCCAATAAATTATTTCTTATCATTATTTTTTTTCTTTCAGCTCTAAGAGTCAATCTTGAATTGTAAATATGCAAAATCGATAATTTTAAATCAATGTCACCAGGCTGATCATCTGGATCAAAAGTCATATCTTTAACAGGAACCTCAGCATCATTTTCATATTCGGTTTCAAATTCTAATCTGCCAGGCATGTAGCCTTGAATTTCATGACAAAGTGGAGTTGATGCTATGGGTTTTGTTTTTGGTGGAGGTAATGGAGTATTTCTCTTTTTCTCAATTCGTTTTTTCCTATTTTGTGCAAATATTTGGGGAGTGATTTTGGGTATATGTCCAGCATTTTTTCTTAAATCATCTTTATTTTCTTTAGTGCTTTTGTTTTCACTATCTATCTCATCGAGACTTGAATCTGGAAACGGAAAATTTTTAGAATCCAAATATACTTTGTGATAATGATTTTCGACTTCTTCCTTTGATCTGGAAAAACCTATATGGTCAGCAATTCCTTGCCAATTCCCTATTCCATACTGCTGAGCACCTTCAATCAATAACAATTCTTCATCTGCACCCCAATCATCATCATATATCGGGTAGCAATGTTGTTCTATAACTCTATATTTGTGATAAGGTTTATGAGACCCAGTGGATGCACCATTTGAGAAGCACGAGATGCACAAGTCGTAACCTTCGCACTCTGCACATGATATCCTTACTCTATTAGTAACGTCAGAAGAACAAACATCACAATGAAATTTGTTTGACATATTTCAACAACACTTACACCAAAGTGGTGAAGAAACAATAATTCACATTTTGAACCCAAAGCGAAAATACCCCGGCCAAGAGCGAGATGAGGTCAGCTGACAGAGGTCTGGGTGGGGTCTGAAAAGGGGGTTCTTTTAAATAGGGTCTGGTGTTTTGCTAAAAAGAGCCACAGCAGTGGTTTTAAAAACTGGGAGCCAGAGGAGCGGATGCGCTTATTGAGCCATTTTGGTGGATTGGTAAAGAGTCGATTGTGGAGATGGAAAAGAGTTGAGCTGAAGCTGTTGAACCAGAGGCCAGACAGTGCTAGAGCATCAGAGAAGCTGCTTAAAGCGTGTTTGGGGACCAACAGAAGCCATCAGAGCGTTGATTGTCATGTTTAAAACCAGCATAGGCTATTTGCTGACAGTTAACACATCAGAAACCACCCAGACTCTTTATTACGAAAGTGATGCCATGGAAGACATGTCTCGCCACATCTACAGGCAAAATGAAGATCAGATAGACGATGATTGCGATGGTCTTTCTCCCCATAATGGAGACAATAATGTTGACGAAGAAGATCCAAGAGTTGAAGAACTAACCTCGATAAAGGCAATTTATCCTGAATCAAGAATAAATCTCAGAAAATTAGAAGGTTCAGTAGAAATACCTATAATTCCAATAAATACAATTTTTCTTAAACTAACTGATAGCCAAAACAAAATGGAAATGGAGTCAACAAAGATGAGTTATTTTCCATCTTTGATTTTAAATTTCAAACTAGTCGATTCCTATCCATTTTCAGATCCTCCAGCTTTTAATTTGCTTTCTTGCTGGTTGCCTTCTGCGACAATCAATGATCTTAAAACACAATTAATTAACATATTTCAAGAATTAAACGATATAATTATTTTCAATTTTATAGATCATATCAATGATAAAGCCTCTGATTTTTTCAACTTATTGTCAATAGAAAAGGATCACAAGAGTGAGGTTTATTTAGTTAATGATCCTAATATCTTTCAAAAACTCAAATCGTTTAATGAAAAAAAATTGATTGATGAATTCAATAATAAAACCTTGTTTTGTGACATTTGTCAAGATTACTTTAAAGGCTCTGAAGGTTCAGTTATAAATAAATGTTACCATACGTTTTGTGATAAATGTTTATTTAATTTTTTTTTTAATGAAATTAAAAATGGAAGTATAAGGAATATTCATTGTCCAAATTATGAATGCAATAAAACATACGTCAAAAATTTAAATTCTGTTAAAAATTTTTTAAATACCACTAATAATCAAAATGCAAATACAAATACAAATGCAAATGAATTAATGACAATTAAAAAATTCGAAGAAAACTTATTTCAAATTCCAATATCGAAAGATTTTTTAATAAACTTATACAATAAAATTAAAGTGAAATGCGATTTGAATAAAAATTATCAAAAAAATATTGAGTTGGATATCTCAAATTTTAATATCAATCAAATGATTGAAAAATATTTGAAGTTATTAAAAAATGATCAGTTGTCAATATATGCTTCATTGTTTCCAAATAAAATTATTGAATGTCCCTTTGAAGATTGTAAACAGAGATTTATTCGAATTGACATTGATGATGATTTAGTTATATGTCCTCACTGCAATTTTGCATTTTGTGCTTTATGCCAACATTCATGGCATGGTACTACCAACTCTTGCAGATTAAGTTTTGAAATTGATGAGGATGTTATTCAAAATTATCTAGCTTTATATCAAGAAGTTAGGGATTTAGAAGATGAATTTCAGAATTCACTGGAATTGAAAAAACAATACGATAAAAAGAAGATTGAACTAACTAAAGTGCAATATTTTTATGGCAGAAAAAGATTAAAAGATGCCTTACAAAAATATAGTTCTGAAAAAATTGCTGAGGAGTTATTTGAAAAGGCTATAAGAGATAAATCAAATAAAATTTCTAGATGTCCAAGCTGTGATTTAGTGGTTCAAAAATTTGAAGGATGTAATAAAATGAAATGTCCTTATTGCTCAACATTGTTTTGTAATTTATGTGGTACAGATATTACCTTTGGAAATCCTTATTATCATTTTAATACTGAAAATACATCAAGTTTATGCAGTGGTAAATTGTTTGATAAAGATGATCAACTTGCAAATTAAAAATATTAAAAGTTCTAATCTCATATTTTTTTTTCTTTTTCTTTTGATATATAACATATTTGATTTTTTTATATCTTTGTTTGGGGTTTTTTCTTGTTAATGGTAATATTCATTAAAGCTTGCTATTTTTGTTTATTTATTAATTATAGACTATTTAATAAAATTCTTTGTTTTTAATTTTTTTTTATATTTATATTAGAAACTCTTCAAATTTAATATTCTTATTTGTTAATAAAATTTATATAATTAATGATAGAATGGTTTTCTGGCTGGCTTAGCATATCTATATACAATTCTTGTCCATCTTCTTCTTCTCCAAATACCGTCGGTTGTGTCATCAGAATCGTATACCCAGGAATCATCATTATTTTTAACATAGATATTGGGGATGCTTCTTTCTTTTAGCCAATTTTTGGAATTATAATCGATTTTCCATTCATATTCTTCTTGGTCTTCGAATTCGTATGGTTTTGATGAAGAGGTGTTTTTCTTTAAATAAAACTTCCAACTAATTGGAGGCAAAACATTATCAAGATGTTTCACACCATCAGGCGGATTTTTTTTCTTTCTTTCAGAACAACCTGGATCAAAAACAATAGTTGAAAAAGCTTCTGATATCCATGAATTAAAGATTATGCCTTGTTTTTCGATTTCAAAGATTTCGATTAAATTAAAATAAGGCTTTTCATCTAAAATTATATCTGTTCTCTTATGTTTGACAATAACTTGATCGATTTTTTCCTTTTCATTATTAATTAGAGTGTTGTATTGAGAGATGTATTTTAAGACCAAGGGATTAGTTACAGTGAAGACAACCCAACCAAAAAATATAAAGACTAAAGCCCAAGGAATATATGGGCCAATAATAAAGATCAGTATGATTAGAAGTAAAACAGTATAAAAGAAAGCAGTGGAGTCCTTTTCATTTTTAAAGCCAGCGGTTCCATATATGAACATTTCAAGTTGGTCGAACAATTCTAGTACATATGTTAATAAATTTTGGAAATCTCTTATATTGACAAATAAATCCATATTATATCTTAAAAATCTTGTGTCAAGCTTTACCTTTTTATCGTAATTTTCATTTTCAAATAGATTTTCATTGATGTTTACATTTGAATTCAGATTATCATTTGAAATAAGACCATTATTGGTAGTGATATTGTTATTTGCATTAGTATTATCAATATTGGTATCATTAGCGTTATCATTGATATTAAATTTGTTTGAAATCCTTTTATTTGTAAGCTTGTTGAAAAGTTTACTGGATTTGATATCAGAAAAGTTTAGTGCTGAACCATTAAGAAAGGAGATTTCAGAAGGAGCATAAAAAGAAGAAGAGTCATTTAAGTTGGTATCGGATAAATTGATGTTGGAGCTGTTGTTTAAATTGTATTTTTTCAAATCCCATCTTCTTTGATTTATATATTCGTTATTTTTAGCATAAACCTCGTTATTTTCAACTATGGTTGAATTTAATAAGTATTCGATAAAAGTTTGAGAGTCCTTTCTTTTAAAGGGTATTAGGGATCGAATGGACAATAGAGGATGCCTGTAGCTATAGGAAGGAAGCATTATAACCAATAATAGATATAGCAAAGGCAACATTAAGATCAAGTATGGGTAAAGACAGCAGTAGGTGTAAATGATTAAAGAATTGAGAGTTATAATTGGATCATTCCAGGTGAATATTTGTATGATTAGATATTGGAATTCAAATATACTTCCTGCTCTATCCATTAATTTTTTGATATTTTTGAATAGTAATTTTATGGATAGTTCAGGAGTGTTTTTTCGTAGGGGATCATTGATTCTTGATTGTAATTTGTCTTTGTTTGGCATGTCATTTGGTATAGCATGAATTAATAACTTGTCAAAAAATTTATCCATAAAGTGATCTTTTTTTGTAGAGGAATCGACTGGAGTGTTGTTTGTAGAAAGACTGTCCAGATCATTGTGATAAAAAGGGTTTGATGGTTCGAAGTTTTCATCATTCCAAAAATTTGAACTTGAGGTGGAAAGCAAATTCAAATTCAAACTTGAAAGCGAATTTGAGTTAGGATTTGGATTTGGATTTGAATTGTGGGTTAAACTCAAGTTATCATTGATGTTATCGGTAGAATTGTTATTGGTATCACTTTCAAGAAGGAGGTTATTTGTGGATAGATTTGACTGATTCAACTGGGTTTTGGCACTTCCTGAAGAGTTCACAGAGTCCAAACCTATGCCTATCAAGGAAGCAGCAGCACCAATGGCAACATTATTGTTTTTGTTGGCGACGTTGGAGGTGTAATCGTAGAGATGGGATAAGCTGCTGATTGCAGTTTTCCTGAATTTGGAAGGCATTTGGGGGGGGGTGGGTGGATTTCAGTATCAATGGGTTGGAGATGAAGAGGGTAAAGAATATGAAGAGCAATGTGAGCAATGAAGGAGATACAGAAACAAAAGAAAGTGTTACAGAAGATTGGAAAAGGAACTCAAGATAGCAAAGCCAAGGTGAGACAGAAGACGAAACGTTCATAGGCCAAATTTTCGCAAATCAAAGCCATCGCAAAGTTGGCGCAGGTTTTTGGAAACAGAAGAAGTAGAAGAAGCAGAAACAGAAGCAGCAGGAGAACTACAGGAAAGGGAAGAAGAAGAGGAGGAGTGTGTATTGCTATAGAAGACTACTGTTAGTATAAAGCACCAGAGAAGATCAAACCAAAGCATCTAATCCACAGCCAATGAAAATCAGACTGACATGCAAATCGATAATATTTTATATTCATATCAAAGATCATAAATTTGGGTACATAAGTTTGGTCATCATATCGATTGGATTATAGGGAGCGATACAAGGTAGAGTAAAATAAATACACAACATACAATTTCTAGTAATGAGTTAGTGATTGGTTTCTTTGCAGACTTTTTCTTTGGGCCTATTTTAATTTAATCAAAATAAATCAAGTTCAGACCACTGCCTTGTCAAAGGCAGAATATCATCAAAGTCTGCTAAAATAAAATAGCAAACGCAGTTGACCGTCGTGAGATTGTGGAAATACATCATAAACAAATTATTTTGATTAAAATTAAATAGCTAGACACTTGAATATTTAGAACATACCCTTTAACAAGATTTTAAACAATTGTTATCTAGATAAATGATAATCTCTAATGAGAAGTTAGTAAAATAAACTCAGTAGTTAAATATTCATAGAAAGTAATGAATCTCAAGATAGCATCCATTCAAAAAATTACATTGATAATCAGATTATATAAAAACTTTCTTCAATAACTTTCAGACATATGCTTGTCTTAATTTTTATAAGTTCATCATCTCATCGCATATAACCAAAAGAAAACACAAAAAAACACGTATTCCACAGGTCTAAGATGAAAAAAACAGAAAATAGAAAATTAGTAATTTGTTTCTTTATGCTTTATAAATAAATTAAGATATGAAATTAAATTGAATTAAATTTAAATCTTCAGAAATTGCATGAATGGTAACCGAATAGTTGTATCAACAATAGGAAAGACCCTAAAATTCTGACTCGTCATCTATTGAATTCTCATCATTAAAATAAATAAAATATTAAAAAACTAAAAATTAAAATGTTTCACATACACTTACAATCGGAAAATTTTCAAATCTAGTTATTTTTTTACTTTTTTGACATATTATCTTAAAAACTAGAAGAAAAATATTAGTTTCCTATTAATCTATTTTGAACGTCGGATAAAATTAAATATTCTTTAATTTGACTATTGGTTGGTAATATAATCATTATATTAAAATAAATATCAGTCATTCGAGTTTCTGAGGCTCAATACAAACTATCATTCATTAAAATGTTGATATCAGTGCCCAGTGCAAGAATCATCATAAAATATATTGATTATATCTGTAACAAAAAAATCGCAGTTTAAAGAATGTGCAATTCCTATTAAAACATTCAAATATATACCTAGTGAAAAATGAGTTAGTAAAAAAAATTCTTCCAAGTTAAAATTGTTAATTGAACCTTATATTATATTGATTTTTCACGAAATATTGTAATCAGTTAAAAATGCCAAACATTATCAATCAAGAATTTTCAGCAGGTAATTCCAGCTTTTGTTTGCTATTATCATCATATAAAACAAATCGAATAAAAATTAAAAAATCAATAACCAATCAAACGAGCATAAACATACCTTTTAAACTAGAAACCAGAAAAAACCGGTAAATTAGAAAAAAAGCAAAAAGAAATCTAATTAGCAATCAATGTTAGTAACAACTAAAACAGTGATATAATACAAAAAATGCAGATGCCATTCAGCCCAAAACCAACTGGAGGAGTGTATCGAAAAGCGTCAGAAAGCCATGCATGAAGTTGAAATCATTCATTTCAAGTCATATACTCTAGTTTGTATAAGTTAAGTCATCACAAAGATCTCCAGTAACAGTTGAATTGGACCCAGGAGGAACATTGCACATACCATAAGATCTTGCTGGAGAAGAAGAGAAAGTTTTTTTCTGCAACCAATTTAAAGAAAAAAAAACGAAACAAAAACGAAAAATTTTCACTTTTTTTTAGGGCACGCGACCCGGGTAACACTTCCCAAAAGAGAAGTAGATATAATCACAAAAAGAAGCCAGAAAAGAACCACAAAGAAAGAGCACACAAAGAAGCAGTTCTCTCCATGTCTCTCCTCAAGGCCTTGCGCGAGACACCCATTCTCCACGACGAGAACCTTGCCGTGGTTTCATTGGTTCTTCTGCCCCAGAGCAACCTTCCTCTGCCCCAGCTCGACTCCAGCCCTGAGCAGTACTTTGGCTTCCACTTGGCCAGTTTCTCGTCCATCCTCGACCTCTCAGGCTTGAACACCTATCAGTTCGATGCCCTCAGTGTCAAGTTGCTTAACAATGCCACCTCCTTGCTCTTGACGCCATTGTCCTTCAACACTGTTGTTTCCATCTCCTCCTCTACACTCAATTCGCTCAGAATCGACTTGCCCTTGAAGCTCTACAACGAAAACTGCTTGATCATAAACCACAACCTAACAAAGGCATTGGTTTTAATTGACTTGATTTTGGAAAACGGAAAGTTCTTGACACTTTATTTCAACTTGAAGAATGATTTTAACTTGGCCAATAACTTTGTTTCAAAGAGAAATCTAACCTCCAATATTTCAAACTGGTGCAAAGTTAACAATTTTGTTTACGACTTCAATATTAGAAAACCTAATTTTATTTACTCTGTTGACCAGAACTTGTTTATAATTTTCTTCAAAGATGGCGGTTTAATCAAATGCTCAAGAAAATCCAACTCAATTAACAATTTCAAGACCCAACTATTTAATGACGATATTTCTTTGACCTCAACTCTTGGGAAACTTTTTTCATTTACTTCATTTTCCTTTTCCAATTTAGTTTTTAATCAATCTCATGATGATGATAATGATAGCGACAATGATAATGATAATAATCATTCCTATTATCTTCATGATCAAAAACAAAACAAAAAATTAAATAATAAAACAACTAGTTCATATTCAAATTTAAAATTATCAAACGAATATAATGAAAGAACAATTTTAGACTCGGTTCATATTAAAAACTATTTAATAACAATTTCAATCAATAAATATTTAAAAATTTGGAATTTAAACGATTGTTCCTTAGTTCACCAATTATATTTAAACTCAAATGACTCAATTTCAAACAAACAGTTTATCCCATACTTTAATAAATCTTCACTTTTATCTCAATTGAAAAATTCAAATTATTTCATCACTTATTTACCAATAGGTGACGGAGTTTTCAAACTATGGAAACTATCCTTTTCTAATAATAATGAAAAAAATGATAATAATGATCCCACTAATAACACTAGCATTGGGAATGACAATGACAATGACAATAATACTGATAACGATAAAGATATCGATATCGATAACGATAATGATATTGATAATGATATTGATATTGAATTTATCAATAAATTAAATAAAAAATCAAACAATCACCCTTCTCAAGATCTTAATCATCAAACTATTAAGCATCCACATGAAACTCCAAAATTAATCGATTTAGGTGACAATTTCAAATTTAAACCCATAATCCCTGATCAAAATTCTATTTGGTTAATATCAGATATAAAGATAACTTCCTCCTATTTCTTGAAATTAAACCAAACTTTGTATAACAACTCAATTCCACCTCAAAATTTAATATCCGTATTCATTCTATGGAAAAGTGACACCTCAACTCAAATTCAATTGTTAACAATTGATTTATCATCTGGTAATTACAATTGGTTCTTATCAACAAATTCAAATTCAATTTTCAATTTTAATCATCATTTTAACCAAAAAAATTCAATCATATCCGATTCCTTATCTTATTCGGAATATTATATTAATAAAATTTTTGACCAAGGTCTTTATTCAAATCTTCTAATTGAAACAGCTATACCTGCTTTTGAAAAACTTTACAATAACGAAAACAATCACAATCAATTTCCTCTCGATATCTCCCTAAGAGAAAAAACTTGCCAAGTTTTACATAGATTAGTTGATCCCTCATCAAATTATGAATCAGATTTGAAAAGACAATGGGAAAGATTCGAGTCTCTATTAATTCAGTTAAAGATCAAATCAAACGAATCATTATCATTATCTACTATTTTAAATAATAATTTATTAATTCTAAATAAAAATTTAAATTATTCCTTGATTAGATTCGATACTAATTTTGAACTTTTTTATTTAAATAAAAATCTAATCTTAAATTCAAAATTATTATTAAATCAAAGCTTTAATGAAGCTCATGAGTTTTTAAATTCAAATTCTTCTTTAACTGACAATCAGAATATCTTGAACTTTATTAATGTCATTTCAAAATTTGCAAATTCTTTACCAAGTAAAATTTTAATCAATTTAAAATCTTTATTAGGTGATTACTCTTCGAATGATTCATCAGTCAACCAAAAAATGAACAAAGTCTTTGATTCTTGTCTTGCTGGAAAGATTAATGAAGATTTATTAGAAGCATTAAGTAGTGAGTTGAATTTGATCCCCAATGCTCTTGACATAATTGATTATTTATTAAACTTTTCTCGTGAAACTGATCAAAATGAATTTTTCTTAAATATGTTAAACTCAAATAATTATGTATTATTTTTTAGAAATCTAGCTTTAACCCAAGGTTTTAAAGATACTTTAATAATATTAAGAGAAATATATTTTAATATTATTTTAATGGTTTTAGTTTTGAATTTTAATAATAATCAATCCGAGAGTTATTTTTCTAAATTAGTTAATTTTTATAAAAATATTGATTTAACTTTAATTACAATGGAAATCAATTTTGAACCTATTTCTAATATTGATGATGATATTGAATTAACTCAAAGCGGTGAAAGCAAAATAATTGCAAAGATTAACAATAATATTGGTAATCTTTCCTGTTCTCTCTTTAGCAAAGTCATTCAAAAGCATTTTAATTTTGGTTTTGAAGCAGATCTGAATTTGACTTTTTACTTTAAAATTCTTTTATCTTTTATAAATGATAGAAAATTTGTCTACAGTATTTGTTCCAGTTTATTGTCAATGTCATACGCTCATATCCTCAAAAATAGGTTTTATTTCTTTATTGATACTACTCCAATATCACATTTGTTAAAGGGATTGATATTATTGAATTGTTCAGAGTTCAAACAATCTTCTAATGTATTTAAAGAAAATGCTGAATTAATTTTATCTTACAGAATTACCAAAAAAGAATTTTTATCTTTACAAACAATAGAGAATTTAAACATTTTTTTTGATAAAAGTGAAGCTGTTGATGACGACATTACAGAAGATTTAACTCCATTGAATAAATCTCTATCCACCTATTATTATAATCTTTCACTTTTATTTGCTGAGAAATTTTGTTTTTCTGTTTCTTTAGATTTGGGTAATTTAGCATTAAATGCCGGATCAAAAGAGAATGATGAAAAAATCACTGAAAGAAATTGTTTAAATTGCTTCAATATTTATTTGGAATTATCAGATTTTGATGGTGCATATTCTACATTAATGAAACTAAATTCAGATTCAATTCAATTAGAATGTCTTAAGAAGTTTATTAATAAAATTTTCAATTCCTCATCTAACGATTTAAAAAAATTAATTTCCTACCCATTTATAGGTATTGATGATTACGTTGATGACATTTTGTTTCAAGAGGCCAATTCCTTTGATTTTATCAACACTTCAAAAGAAGAATACTGGAACAATTTCTCTAAGGGATTAATGTATTTCAAAGTATTATATTCATGGAGATTAAACCACAATAATCCAAGAGGCGCTTGTGAAGCTTTATATCATGTTATTAATAAGTACAAGTACTCTTTATCGAATAAAACTCAAAAATCTTTAGTTATGACAAGTAATAAGAGCTCTTTTAAAAAAATAAAAAACCAAACATTGATAGTTTTTCAACTTTATAGTATTATTCTAAATCTTTTAAAGACATTCAAGGAAACAGATAAACAGTGGCTACTAAAACACAACTTGTCAATGAATATCGATAAGTCTTATGAAAAGGAATATGAATTGGTGACACTTGAAGAATTAAAAGAAGAATTTAATTCGTGGACAAGTGAAATTGACCAGTCTTTAAAAGTAGAGATTTTATGAATGGTTGTGTGGTGTTTTATAAATCAGTTTTATACATATAGGTTTGTTTTGAATAAAAAGTTCGATATAAAGTTTACATTTATCGTAAAATTCCATATGAGTTTATAAAATATTTGATTATAAAAAGACGTAAAGCAGAATATGTAAAAAAAAAAGAAGTGAACAAAAAAATTAAGATAATTTATAAGTTGATAAAAAAAATATAGTGTGATGATTGTGTTAAATAATATAAAAGCTCAATTGAAAAGATTCTTAAAGCCTCATCAAATTTTGAGAATATATAGAAATTTGTTCAACTTTAGTTAAGAACATAAAACTAATAATGAATATGAATTAATTAAACCTGAAAACATTTCGTTTTAACGTTTCCTTTCTTTTGTGGAAAAAGTATAATTATGTATTGATCGTTTTTATTAATATTTCTTTTGTTTTTTTTTTGTTTTTCAATTGTAAAAATTAACCACTTAATTACAATACTTAAGCAAAACTGACTTCTTGGTTTTCGTTAATTACCTTATCATTTTTAGGACCAAATGCCTTTATACAGTTAGCCATTGTTGGAGAACATCTTGAAATAACGTCAGTGAAGTAAAAGTTTTCAATTGGATTTTTTAATGGAACACCAATTATGCTTTGTGATAAAGAGGAAGACAAGTGATCATAATTTGTAGAAGCTATTTCAGTAGAAACAGGCTCAATAATATCGTATCTAGCAAGGTTTGGAGCAATTTCTTCCAATCTTGCTCTGATTGAATATATGTCATCGTAAGGAAGTGGAGAGCCCAAGTAATCAGATAGGGCTCTAATAATTTTCCAATCTTCTCTTGCAACACCTGGTGGGTTTGTAGCAGCCCTAGTAGTTTGAACTCTGCCTTCAGTGTTAACATAGGTAGCAGTCTTTTCAGTGTAAGCCGAACCAGGTAAGATAACGTCTGCTAAGGAAGCACCAACATCACCATGATGGCCTTGGTAAATAACAAAGGCATCTTTTGGAATATCTTCTGGGTTGACTTCATCAGCACCCAATAAGTATACAATTTTGGGGTCAACTTGGCTGATTTCTTTTGTAGTAGGAACGAAACCAACGTCTAAAGCACCAACTCTAGAGGCATCGCGATGTAAGACATTGAAACCGTTCCATTCTGGAGAATTGAATACTGATGAATTCTTTTTAACGAATTTTGAGACCAATTCATAAATGGCAGCACCATCTTGAGCGTCACTGACAGCTGAACCAATAATGATTAAAGGTTTTTTGGCATTAACTAATTTTTTACCGTAATCTCCATCAAGAGCAGATTGAAGGGCGTTTGCATTCCCACCTAAATGAGTCAAGTCAAAAGTGGATTCAAATTCTTGACCAATCGAGGCAATTTCCAAGTTACTTCTAAGCCAGACTTTTCTAATTCTAGCATTTAAAACGGCAGCTTCATGTCTTGGGTTAGTACCAATCAATAAGATCTGATCGGCATCTTCGATACCTTCAATAGTTGAATTAAAGATATAAGAGGATCTGATGTCGTTACCAGATGGTGGGGGCAAGTTACCATTTGGAGTATCGATTGCTAGGTTTTCAGAACCAAGTCTGTTGACCAAGTCCTTAAGAGCAACTAAAGATTCAACATCAGTTAAGGCACCAGAGATGGCTTTAAATTGGTTGCCTTCAGGTTTAAGGGTGTTGAAGGCGGAAACGATTGTTGATAAAGCTTCATCCCAGGTAGCAGTTTCGAAATGGTCATTATTTTTGATTAATGGGGTAGTTAATCTTTGAGATTTTAAACCGTCGCAGGCAAATCTTGATTTATCGGAAATCCATTCTTCGTTTATTTCATCGTTCAATCTTGGTAAGACTCTCATGACCTCGATACCTCTTGTGTCTACTCTAACATTTGAACCTAAAGCATCTAGAACATCAATGGTTTCAGTTCTTTTTAGTTCCCAAGGTCTTGCTCTAAAGGCGTAAGGTTTGGAGGTCAAAGCACCAACAGGACATAGATCAATAATATTACCAGACAATTCAGAATTTAGATTCCTTTCAACATAGGTGCCAATTTGCATGTCATTACCACGACCAGCTGAACCAAATTCAGGAGCACCAGCGATATCGTTAAGAAATCTTACACACCTTGTACAATGAATACATCTATTCATGACAGTCTTGACCAAGGGACCAATGGCTTTGTTTTCAACAGCTCTTTTACCTAGGATTTCATTGAATCTTCCTCTATCGGAACCATATCTTAGGGTTTGTTCTTGCAAGTCACATTCACCACCTTGATCACAGACAGGGCAATCCAAAGGATGGTTTTGTAGTAACATTTCAGTAACACCTTCTCTTGATTGTTTGACTTTATCGGTGCCAGTGAAGACAACCATACCTTCTCTGACGGGGAAGGCACAAGCAGCAATTAGTTTTGGAGCCTTTTCGACTTCAACAAGGCACATTCTACAATTACCTGCAATAGCCAATTTTTCATGGTAACAATAACGAGGTATTGTTACGCCTGCTTTATCGGCAGCTTGAATAATTGAAGAACCATTTTCAATTTGGACTTTAACACCATCTATGGTTACATTGACTTCACCATTCCTAGGTATAGAGGAAGAAAATTGTCTTTTGAAAAAGTAGGATAGGTTTGGTTTTATAAGATTACGAGAGAGCATTGTGAAGTGGTGTGGTATTGTTGATATTGGAAGAATATGGACGAGGAAAAAAGAGGAAATTGAGTTGGGATATGGAGTGTGTTGATATTAGTAGAGACTGTAATTGGATCAACAGCGAGATATTTGACAATAGATATTAGGGATGGAGGAACGTTGTTTCTGATGCAAGACACTGAAAAATGGCAGAAAGCTCAAATCAAAGCCGAGAGAAGAGAAATACAGATCTGAGATAGTGCTGAGATATGGTAGAAACAACAGTTAGTGTGAAAAATCAGCAGGCAAATAGGAAGATCGAGGTTGAATCAAGGACGTTGATTATATTTGCATAGCTCCAATTGAACATCTCCATCAGAGTTCGTCTCAAAATTCTTTCAGAATAGTAAGCAAAAAAAAAGCGCGCTGTGATTGGCGGGCTCAGCAAGGTCTGGTGCAGCAGGGGTCTGCATCACAACGGGGGTTGCCTACTCAACCCCGAAAAGAATGTCCGATAAATACACAGCGGTGGCACATGCCGTCAGACGAGTCTACGCACACAAACGCACACACACACATACACACAGACACACAGACACATACACACACATACACACAGACACATACACACGCGCACATACATACAGAGCGACACATACCGGCTTTTGTTCGTCTATGGCCGGGCTAGACGAGCTGGGTATTTATTTTTATTATTTTATATATTTAGCACCCAAAAGAGCTAAACCACTTTGACTGCTCTCGACGTCGCTGTGCTATTCATTCTCAGCTATGGTTGGTCAAGCTGGGCTCGTCCTGTCTGGCTCCACTAGGCTCTTTCTGTTTACCTCATCTCCTAAGGGATATCCATCCTTTTCCAGGTCTGCTGCTCGTTCGTGGGTTCATTTTGGGTTATATTTGGCTAGAGGTGAAACTGCCCTTGAAAGACTACTCAGTTTATCGCCTGTATCAACTGTTTTCGTAATGGTGTTGGTTCAATTGTTCCATGAGAATAGACGATGATTTCTCTCCTCTTGTATCCACCTACCTTGGCTTTTATTTATATTCTTTTCTTTTTCCTTTCTTTTTCTCTTCTCTTCTTACTTCTTCATCAATATCCAGCACTTGCACTAGATTCAATCTACTCAATTATTACCAAATAATAGTACTCAAGATTAGCAAATAATAGTTTCGACAACCATCACTAGTCTTCGTCCTCTTACTTTCAGTTCACCAACTCCCAACTATAAATATCAACTCAAAGAATCCCTTTGTTATATTATAAGGAATTTATAATATATCTTCTGTCTTTTTCCGTATTTATTCTTTCACTTCTCTTGACTTCAATCGCATTAAATCAGCATTTCAATAATAATGGCTGTCAGTACCTTTAGAATCTGTGTGGTCACTTTACCTTTCATTTTAACCCTTACTGCTTTGACTTTAGTCGTCTTAGCCTACTGTGGTTCCCAGTCCACTTTATCAGGTATAGCAAATATCTATCTCTTCAGGTTTGATTTATCCAATCTAGACATAACAAAAATATTGGTGTCCACCTCATCCACTCCAATCTCCTCCTACGTTTCAACCTACGGTTTGTCAAACTTAAACTTTGGTCTTTATGATGTCTACTCTGTTGGTTTATGGGGTTATTGTAGAGGTACTAAAGATGCTAACGACAACATCGACATCGTTAGCTGCTACAAATCCTCTACTTATTTTGAATTGAGCATTGAAGATATCATTACAAGAGAAATTACAAACTCTCAAATTGCAAATTCAAATATTAGGTCAATCTTAACCAATGCCCAATTAACCTTACCTTCAGCCGTCACTTCCTACAACAGCAATGGTGTCTTGTCTAGATTAGTCTTCGTCACAATGACAATTGGTTTAGCATTTTACGCTACACAATTTTTCTTAAACTTCAGCGCTGTCAAATCTCATGTTGCTAGTTTCTTCTCGACTTTTGTTGCTTTTGTTGCCAACACTGTCATCTTAATCGCTGCTGGTTCTGCTGTTGGTGTTGCCGTTGCTTTCAGAAACAAATTCAACGACTCTGAAGAAGTTTATGGCTGGACTTCCACCTTAGGTTCTGGTGCTTTCCATGGTTTAGTCTGGGGTGCTTTTGCTGCTGGTTGTTTATCAAGTATGGGTTGGTTCTTTGCCATCTGTTTCGGTTCTACTAAGGTTGATGATGATAAGGAATCCATTTCTTCTGCTTAGGTTTTTTTCTAACAACCATATCAACTAAAACGAAAAAAAAAAAAAAAAAACAACTAAAATAATAGAATTCAAAATTTAGAATTTTATAAAGGAGCATTTTATCAAATTTTTAATTGAAAATCAAAAAAACAAACCCCAACAAATTTATTTAACTATCTACTATCCACTATCCACTATCCGTTATTTTATTATTTTATTCTTAAATCTATTCTTCCAACTTTAATTTCAATTAAAGCTTTTAATCTTTTTTTTCTGGTCTCATTAATAATTTTGGCTTTACTTGGTTTGAATTGGTCTCTTTTTTCTCTCTTTTTAATTATGGTAAAAAAATTCAGGTGTCTTATTTTTTTAATTACTTTTTTATATTAACTTCAATAACTGTGGAAAAATCATTATGCATTTTATATTTTTATATAGCAATTACTTCTGTTTTACTTATTTTACTTTTATAATTTTTGTAATTTTTATATATTATCTTCTCTTGAACTTTTCAACTTATTGTTTTTGTCTTATATTTTATCTTCATATTTTAATCAAATCATTTGTCTTATTTCATTCCTTATCTTTTCGACTGAGTTCAATTGACTCTTACTCTGTTACTTTGCCTCACTTTTGTTCTTGTTCTGGATCTTCACTCTCTCCTCCATATTCCCTTTTTACTTCTATTTTTACTTATACTTTACGACAATTTGATATCAATTAAACTAAAAATTAAATTAAAAAAAATACTATGTTCAAAAGTAGATCAATTAGTGGCAAATCAAATATTGTGAAGATCTTGGAGATTTATTAGACTATAGAAATTGTTTTTAAAAAAGCAAAAAAAAAAAAAAATGTAATATAGAACTTCCATCAAGAAATTAAAGTAATCTTTTTGTCTTTTTTTTTGTTTTTCTCACAAACAAAGAACTAAATTAAACTAAAGATAAACTAGTAAACCAGTACCATTTCTAAAATATTATTTCAAAACAACAAACTAAAATAAGATAAAATAAAATAATAAAACAATAAAATAAGATAGTAAAATAAGAAAATAGAAAAATTAAAAACAGTTTCAAATTCAATTAACTGTTAAACCTGAAAACAATTAACAAAATTTTTTTTCAAAAAAAAGGAATATAAACAAGAAAAAAAAAATAGAAAAAATAAAATTTTTTTGAAAAAAAAGGGTAAATTTGTTAAAAAAGAGACTATAAAAAAAAAAAATAAATTGGGAATTAGATTGTTTGGAATTAGGATTAATAACTAAAGGAATGAAAATTATTAAGTTAAAAAATTCTTCAAAGTCAATTTGAAGTAATTTGAAATGAAAGTTATTAATAAAAACAAAATATTGTAAAAGCAACATCAAATAATATAAAAGTAAATAAATAAATAAAAAAATCAATCGATTGATCGTTTGATCAATTGACAAACAAAAAAATTCGGATTTGAAAAGATCAATATAAACCAAAAATAAAATTGAAATTGAAGTTGAAAAATCTGTAAAAACCTAATCAAGTTTTCCATAGACTTCAACGTCATAACCACAATTTAAACATTTAAAGTCTTTTCTTAAATTATTTGCTTTACTTCTAATTAAATTCCACTCGCTCTTTGCGGGTATTCTCAAACAAGTAGGATTGATGCATCTAACACCAGTTTTTTTGTATCTTAAACCACAAGAGTTGCATAACTGACCAGCAGATAATGACCAAGAAGGTCTCCAACATGGTGATTGGGATGAACCACAAGATACACAACTTCTTTTTGTGTGGTGATGAGAATGGGAACGGGCATTAGTTGTAGATGTAGAAGATTGAGTTGAAGAGTTAATGTTGATGTTAGTAACACTAGTGTTGGTGGTGTTAGTATTAGAGGAATTAGCAGTAGATATATTATTATTAATATTAATATTATTATAATTGATACTGTTACTATCAATTGAGCTATTCAAAGATGTATTTGAAGCTTTCTTTTTGAAAGTAATTGGAGTTGAGGAAATTAGTGTTGGGGGATTAATGTTTGATTTAAAATTTGGGTTATAAGCCAAATCATTAGAGGTCAAATAAGAGTTTGATAATGATTCCGATCTTGTATGGAATGAGGTATCATTATTTTGGTATTTATGATAAGTTAGAACATCATTAATGTTATTAGCATAAATGTAGTTTGACTCATAAGGAAAATTAAGTGGGGGTAAAATATTGTTAGCGAAAGCTGATGAAGTTGATGAAGTTGAGGGAATTTTAAAATTATTATTAATATTAATATTAGGATTGAGATTAGGATTAGGATTATGATTATGATTAATAACGTTGTTGGTGTTATCAGTTGATAAACCTTTATAATTTATAAAGGGAGAAGAGATATCAGAGGTTGGAATGGTTGAACCATTTGAAGAAACCGAGGATATTGAGGATTGATCAGATAAAGTTGAAGATGCAGAGGTAGTTGAAGATAAAGAGGATGTAGTTGAATTTGAGACTGATCTTTGATTGATGTTATTAATTATCGATTGGTTATTGTTATTAATGTAGGCGTAATTAATTTCGTCTTTAGTAGGTGGTGTCAAAAGGGTTGAGGATATAGATCTTAAAGAGGAATGATGGTTTAGGTTTAAATGTTGAAAAGATTTAGTTGAGATTGAGGACAAGTTTTGGTTGTTGATTATAAAGTCATTATTTGGATGAACGATAGGAGATGAAGTGTTTGAAGAATGGGAAATAGAAGGAGATCTGTTTGGAGAAACAACAGAAGAAGGGGTTGTTGAAGAGGGAGACAAATGTTTGTTCGATTTTGATGGAGATGAATGGGAAGATGAAGATGAGGAAGGGATGGATGATGATGATGAGGATGATGAAGTGGAAGGAGATTGCTTGTGATTGCTGTTGATAAGCAATTTTGAGAAAAAGTTGTTTGAAGATTTGAACTTTTTAGAGATTTTTGTATTGAATTTAGGTTTTTTGATTAGATAGGAGTTGATTTTTTCTCTGAGGGAGGATCTTTTGGATGATTTAGGTGATTGTGCTTGGGGTTGAGATTGGGATTGAGATTGGGGTTGGGGTTGGGATTGATTTGATGGAGTCGGAGTTACCGATTGGTTAGAGGATGAGGATTGTGATTTTTTATTTTTATTTTTATTTTTGTTTTTGTTTTTATTTTTTGATTTGTTTTTTATGTTTTTTTTGTTTTTATTTTTAGAAGATTTTGAAGAAGTAGAAGTGGACGAGGAAGTTGTGAACGAGGAAGTGGATGGAGATAGGGTTGAGGAAGAAGAGTTTGTAGGGTTTAGGGATGATTGTGAGACAGTTGTGAATGTGTCATCCGAAATGGTTAAATCGTTTTCAGTGTCAAAATCGTGAGGGATATCATGGATATTGTCATGATTGTTGTGGTTGTGATGATTTTCAATTTCAATATCAATTTTGTTAATATCATTATTGTTATTGTTATTGTTATTGTTATTATTATTATTATTAGTAGTAGTAGTAATATTATTATCAATACTAGTATTATTATTATTATTATTATCAGTAATAGTACTAATATTAGTAATATTATTATTGTCATGATTATCACAATTATTGTGTTGATAATTATTGATATTGTCGTTGTTAATGGTTTCATTATCAATGTCCATGTTATTGTCAACCGTGTGAATGAGTGGATTTGAGTTGATGTTGTCTAAATTATTGATTGAATATTTTAGATTTTTATAAGTGCTTGAGTCTTTTTTCTCCAACCATCTTTCAAAGGAAAGGGTCCAATTTGAGTAGTGGTATTGGGATTGGTAGTTATTAATGTTGTTGTTGAGGTAATTGTTGTTATTATTGTTGTTGTTATTATTATTGTTGTTGATTGAGGAAAAGTTAAATTTTGAGCTGTAATTGAGAGAGTTTACTTTGGATAGGAAAGATTTGGAGGGAAGAGTGTCTAGGTAATTGAGAGAATAGTTGAGGGTGAATGGGTCGTAATCGTCTTTTGAAAAGACGGAGTTTAAAGATTCTAGAGACAATTTTTGTTTTATTGGAGAGGAAGAAAGCGATTTTTGGGAGGATTGAAGAGAGTCAGTGATTGAGATTGTGTCATCATTGTCATGATCCTGGTCGTTTTCGTTTTCGTTGTCATTATCATTATCATTATCATTATTGTTGATGTTATTTTTTGCAAGATTTGAGATTGAAGAAGATGAAGAAGAGTTTGGAGGAGTGGGCAATAAAGAATTGGAAATAGGAGAAGTGTTAGAAGAGTTTTGACTGTTTGATTTAATTTTTTTATAATTTTTCAACAACGAGTTATTACTAATGTTTTTGTTAATGGTATTGTTGATACTATTGTTAATATTATTAATGTTGATGTTGTTGATTGATTGATTGGTTATTGATAGGGATCTCTTTCTTTTTTTATTATTATCTGAATCAAAAGACAGGGAGGAGATTAAAAGACCTGACATTTTGAGAGATTAAAGAAAAGGAGAAAAACAATGAATAGGTAAAAATAAAGAGATGATAGATTAGTAGATTAGATGGATAGATAGATGGATAGACAGATGAATGGATGATTAATGAGATTTAATGTTGTGTGATTTTGTTGATTGTTTGTCAAAAAAAACAAGAACGAAAAATAAAAAAAATAGTGGAAAAAAAGGGAACAAGTCGTGGATCAGAGTTAAAAATAAGGGGGGAAAAATCAAAGACAAGACAAAAGTTAAAAAAGGGCAAAAGAAATGGATGAGATGAGATATCTAGTGAAATAAATCAGGAAGAATAAAAAATAAGTGAACAAGAAGGATGAAGCAATGGTGATAGGTGATGAAGTGATGAAAAACAATAGAAAATGTCAGATTTATATGGGAAAAAAGATGTGAAGAGATGAGGGCGTGGACGCAGAGAAAGGAAAAGATATGAAGTAGATGGCGATTATGGCGATTATGGCGGTTATGCTGAATATGACGAAGATGCTGGTGAGGGCAACAAGAATGGACAGCAGAAAGAAGGAAGAGGCGCCGGGACTAAGAGGTAACAGAAACAGTTAAGGAGAGGCAAAAGATCGACAGATCGAACAGACAGCTGAAGGGCGCTGGAAAAGAAGCAGCAGAGAGTGAGGATGAAGCAGCAGAGGAAGCAGAGGAAGCACACGAAGGAGACAAACAAGAAGCAAGCGCTGGTGTTTACAGCGCACGCGCTCACGTGCTCCAGCGGCCAATCAGCGGTGTGCAAAACACACGCGCAAAACACACACGCGTGAGCGACGCACTTCTGTCTTCCGTTTAGGGAGTGTAAACAGTTCTGTTGAGTCTTCTGTTGAGTTGCTATAGAGTCGCTTCAAGCGCGCGCGAGCTCGCCGAGAGCGCGGTCGATTGCCGCCGCTCCCCTGAGCAAGTCCTCCTGACTAATCACCAACGGAGGTGCCAACCGGATGATGTGTCCGTGCGTGGGTTTGGCCAACACCCCAAGCTCCTTCATCTTCAAGCACACGTCCCACGCTGTTCGTCCCCCAAGGCCCCTGGGATCAATTACTATTGCCAATAGCAAGCCCATCCCGCGCACCTCCGACACGATTCCACGGTGTTTCTCCTGGATCTGGCAGAGCTTCTTCTTAAACATCGCGCCCAATGCTGCTGCCCGCTCCACCAACTTCTCTTCGCGAACAACTCGCAACGCCTCGATACCCACACGGCTTGCCAACGGATTGCCGCCAAACGTCGATCCGTGCGATCCGGGCTCGAAGCAGAGCATGATCTCACGACTGCTCAACACCGCCGAAATGGGCAACACTCCTCCGCCGAGCGCCTTGCCTAACAACACCACGTCCGGCCTGATTCCGTAGTGCTCGTAGCACAACATCCGGCCTGTTCTGCCAATTCCTGTTTGGATCTCGTCAACCACCAACAACACATTATGCTCGTCGCACAACTTGCGCACTTCTCGGAAGTACCCCTCGGGAGGAACAACGATTCCTGCTTCACCTTGGATTGGCTCCAACAAAATCCCGGCTACCTTATCTCCGGCCACTCGAAGACTCTCCCGAAGGTCCTCAATCTCTCCGTATCGAATGTATCTTTTTTCTTCACTTCCAGGAACAAAACAACTGATTCCTTCAACAAATGGCCCAAATCCCTTTCTGGCATCTTCATCACTCGACAATGAAATGATCCCAATGCTTCTTCCATGGAAATTGTTAGATGCTCCCAAAATAATTGCCTTGTTTTCTGCAATTCCTTTCTTGAAATACCCCCATCTTCTGATCAACTTCAATCCGGTTTCAACTGCCTCTGCTCCCGTATTCATTGGTAGCACCATCTCATACCCAAAATACTCAGTGATGAACTTGCTGTAGTTTGAAAACACATCGTTGGAAAACGCTCTCGATGACAACGTCAACTTCTTGCTCTGATCAACCAACGCCTTGATAATTCGAGGATGGCAGTGTCCTTGGTTGATGGCACTGTATGCACTCAAAAAATCCAAATACTCCTTTCCCTCAGGATCCCAGACTTTCGATCCCAATGCCCTGTGGAAAACAACTGGTAATGGATGATAGTTGTGTGCAGAATACTTTTCCTCGTATTCTTTACTCAACTCTGACGAAATATTAAAATCAACCTCACTCATACTTAATCAATAGTTAATAAATAAACACCAAAAATGTAGTAGCTATTATAATAAATATAATAAATATAATGATTATAATGATTATAATGATTATATATATAATTGTTCTTATTGCTCTTATATAATCCACTGCTTGGATGGCAAAAAAAAAAAAACTTCCCTCCTCCTTATATATTGCGTTTTTATCGCTTGCCCATGCTTATAGAAAAATTCTTTCCTCCCACTATTGCTTTCCACAAATCAAAGCTCATCCTTTTCTCAAAAGAATCATCTTTTTCTCAATCAATCTCGTTTTCTTCCTCTAAAAGCAACTGATAAAGAGCCTGCAATTTCTGCTTGCCAATTCTCGACTTTTTCGTCTCTCGCCGCTAAGTGAAGTAACACCCGAATGCCAAAAACTCTATCTTCTACACAATTTCACTCACTTCCTGATCTCATTATATCTTAATTATATATATATCTTATACAGGCTCTCACTGTCGACGAGGAGGTGTTGCTCCTACTAACTTGCCCAACCCAGAAACAAAAAAATTCGTTATTTGCTCCTCGGGTCGAAAACTCCCTCCATTATTACCACCTCCACCTTCGCTATATCCATTGTTATCCTGGTAGTTATACCCACTCGAGCTATTCTTATTCCCAAATACCTCGCTGGCTGAAGATGCTAAGGCCCTCACTAGGGTACTGTCCAATCTTCTATTCGGTGGGCTTCGGTTGCCAAATCCACCTCTATTACCCAATGGCATTTTACTTACTTTACTCATCTCAGAACTGCTCTTCTGCAATTTTAATACCCCTACTGATGATGTAGAGCTGTTATTCTCATCAACATCCACAACATTAATGCTCATCCCATTATCATATCCACTATATCCATTGTTATACCCACTGCCACTATTGATCAAATTATTATAGTTGTTATAATTGCTATTATAGTTATTATGGAACTTTTTCCTTTCATTATAAACCTTTTCAACCACTCTCGCATGTTTCAAACTCTCCTCAATATACACATTATGCTCAAACGAATTCAACGAGTTCAATGCGCTTTTCAAATTATTATAATAGCTCAATACAACACTATAATTATTTATTGGCACAATCAAAATTAATCTCGAAATTAATTCCAATTTTTCCTTCAAAAATTCATTAAATTCATTAATATCCTCAATATTTTTCAATCTTTCAACCATTTCACTACTATCATAAATTAAATTAATACTTTCGTTTGTCTCATATTTACAAACTTGGAAAATTGTCGTCCAAATCGTTTTTAACGAATTTGATGACTTGCTCAATAACTCATTACTTAATTCAACCGCAAACTTGAAATTATTATCAACTAACGATGACTCGATACACATTGCTTTGATTTTATCAACCAACAGTAATTTCTTGTCTTGATTATCATAATCAATAAAAGTCTTATCATGTTCTTCCTCCTTTTCTTCATCATCATCATCATCATCATCATCACCATCATCATTATCATCATCACCATCATCATTATCATCATAATCAATATTTATGTTATAAGCTTCACCTTCATCATATTCGTCAAAATACTTTAAAAATTCAAAATCTCCATAAAACTTCTTATCATTTTCATTTTTCAAGTAGTTGCTATCAATTATCAACTCCTCCAAGTTTAAACCGATGCATAATTTAAAACAAATTGAATAAATTTCATTATACTTTAAATATGATTTAATGTTTAGTTCTAATAATTTTTCAATAATTAAAATTGGATTATTCACTTGACTTAAATTAACAGGCTTAAAATAAATGTCATTCTGATTCTGATTTTGATTTTGATTCTGAGATTCATTATCAATTTGAAGATTTAATGATTTAAATTTGAAGTTACAATTGAAATTGGATAAATTATCTGTTGCAATTAGCAAGTTTTGTAATTTAAATAAAGAATAATCTAAATCCAAGTCTGTATTTGAATTATCATTATCATTGTATAACTTTCTTAATTTAGTTATTTCATTATAATCATGCAAATTAATTAAATTTGAATAATTGTTTTCAAATAAATTCAAACAATTAAAGCAATTTAATAAATTTGGATCCAAGTTCATATTAAAACTTTTAGCGCTGTTATAATAAAATTTAAATTTTTCAATAATTAATAATTTGAATTTATTTATTAAATTTATATTTTCGTTTTTATTATCATAAATATTGATGAATTTAAATAGTTTATTTTTAATTAGATCGAAGGAATTTAAATTCAATAGCTTATTAAAAATGATTAAATCAAACAAGAAAGATAATTCATTGATTGAAGATACGGATATGTTATTTGATTGCATAGCGTTTGGTATTGATTCAATACTATTTATATCAATTATCGATAAAATATGGTTAATATTATTAGCATGGTTATTGTCATTATTAGCGTGGTTATTGAATATGATACTATTATTGATTAGCCAATAAACATTATCGATAAACAAATCGTAATCGGTTATTGAATTGGTATAAAAAGAGCTAAAGTTTTGAAATAAATCTAGTAAATAAATAAATTTATTATTTAAATTTTCTGATGATAAGGAGTAAATTTTATAAATGTTGATATCCAAATGATACAAATTTTGGAAGATTGATAAATTTTTAATATTTAACTTTAAGGAGTTTAAAATTTGATTTGATAGAGCAGAATTGGAAGAGTTATTATCTAGAATTGCAATGTTATCGTTGATAAAAGTTGATATCAAGTTTGCAATATTATTAATTATTAATAAATTTTTTTGGTTTTGTAGGTTAAAATTAGAGTTATTTAAGATTGAAATAAGGTGGATAATCAAGTTTTTTTTAAAAGATAGGGGGATTTTTTCGAATATGATTTTTATGTTGATTATGTTGATGCTGTTATTTTTGGACAAAAAATATGAGGTAAAGTTTTGTAAAAGCGATAAATGAGTGGTATTTATATGAGAAAGTGATTGAGGTTGAAATTCATTGTTTATATAGGATAAGAGTAAATCGTAATCATTGATGTAATTCAAGAAAGGTAGTATTGATGAGTTTAATATTTGGTTAAAATTTGAGAGGGTTAAGTTTGATAATAGAGTGAATAATTTTGATTTATTATCCAATTTATTAAAGTGTACTAGTGAGATGTCGTTGGATTTAATAATTTTGTTGTTATTAGGATCATTTGAGTTGTATTTAATAAAGTAGTTAAAGGGGATTAGGATTCCATCTAACCAATTTTTATCAGAGTGGTTCAAGTAGTTGAAAAAATAGGAGTTATAGTACAAGTCATTTTTAAGAAATAATGAGTTTTTCAATATTTTTGCTTTAAGAAAGTTTGAAAAGATGTCTTTATAACGATTTGAGTTATTGAGATTATTGAGATTGAAATCAAGATTTTTTAAAGAGATTGATATGAAATTTTTTAAAGAAAAGGATCTGTTTAGTAAAATTTTGTAATTTGATATGGATAAAGAAGTTGAAAGAAAATTGTTGTTATTAATCAAGTTGTTCAAGAAGGGTTCAATTTTTTGGTTGGTGATTTCATTATCATTATCACTATTATTATCATTATCATTATTATTATTATTATTATTATTATTATTATTATTACTATTATTATTATTATTATTATTATTATTATTAATATCGTTAATATTAATAGAATTAGAGTTTGAAGCGTAAATTGTATTGGTGTTTAGATTGGATAAAAAATCATATATAAAAAGAAAATCCTTCGAATGAGTTGTTGAAGGGATTAATACCAACATTAAAGACAAGACTTGATGTAGATTTATAAATTCATCGTCGTTTTGAGATATTTGAGTGGATAGTAATTGTAGTAGACTGGATAGGTTTGTGATGCTGGCGGTGGAAGAGAGGTAAGCAAGAGCTAGGTAGGATTTCAAGTGCAAAATTGGGCAGGAAGACATTGCAGAGTAGGTTGTGGGTGTGGATGTGGGAGATTGGGCCTGAATATGGTGGATCTGGTGCTGGTTGTGCTCGTTATCCTTATTTTTGTTGAGCATTGTTCTTATCCTGTATCTGGTGGTGTATTTCTTGAGTTGCTTCTCAGTGGCTTTTCGTTGATACGTAGAACAAGAGGGGTCTGAGAGCAGGCCTCGGAGAGAGGGTCTGTTTCAGGCCTTTAAACAGCGGACGGAAAACTAGAGCTGGAATTAGTGAAACATTGGCGTACTAAAGAGAGAGTTGCAAGGCAGAACAAAATATAGGTAGTATAGCAAGACAGTACGGTTACAATGGCAGCGCTAAATGAAAGACTATTGCACGAGCGAGTGATGAACACTCAGCAGATGAAGCAGGTGCAGCAGTACACTCAGACTGTGTCTGACACCTGGAAGCTTTGCGACAACTATCTCCAGGCTGATTGTGCCCAGTTGGCAGAGAAGGACGTGCTTCAGTTTGAGGCCGACGTCAAGGACTTGAAGTTCAAGCTCATCAAGAACTACTATCTTATCAAGCAGTACCTCATGTCGCTAAATTTGATCTACAAGAGCTTCTCCAACAAGATCGACGAATTGATGTTGAACTACAAGAACCTCAACCAGCTCAACGACTTGATCGTCAACGAAAAGAAAACGTACCTCATGAACAACTACAACTTGCTCAAGTTTGAAAACGCCAAACTCACCGAGATCGACAAGTTCATCAACATCAACCTCAACTACAGCAGTGGACCAGGCGCCAGTCTTGCCAACGACAACAACGACAACGACCTCATTGCACTCAGCGAAAAGGACCTTGCAGAGTTCACCAACAACGACCCCATGCTCCTCAACAGGGCCAGGCTGCTCTCCAGGAAAAGGGCCAGCGATGGGTACAGGTACCGGTTGAAGTTCGACTACTCGTTGGAGTACCTCCGGAAGTACAACGAGCTCCTCAACGACGACCTCTCTTTTTTCAGAGAAAACATCAGCACCAACAAGAAGAACTGGGTGCTGTTATCCAGCAAGATCAAGACGCTCATCGACTCCATTGACTCCATCGACCTCGCCCAGTGAACACCCAGCAGCACCCTCCCTCAGGCCAGCTCGATCCACTTTCTGCACTTCTCCCGGCCTGGAGCTGTCCTGCAATTTGCAAGCTTCCTACGACCCTGCGTGCGCCAGCCAATCACAGCCCTTCTTAACCACTACTCTTCCTCAGATACATATATATACACAACACTTACAATATATATATATGGATGTGTATCCTGCCCTCGCTCTGCTCTTCTGTCCCTTTTTCTTCTTTACCCAGCTGTCTTGTCGTTCAATTGCTTAATTGCTCAATTGATTTCTCGCTCGCCCACCTAATTGCTTTATCACCTCCCCACATCACTTCTCTTTCACAATGGCTATCACTGTTGGTATTAATGGTTTCGGTAGAATTGGTCGTTTAGTCCTCAGAGTCGCTTTATCCAGACCCGACGTCAAGGTTCTTGCCGTCAACGATCCTTTTATTTCTGCTGATTATGCTGCCTACATGTTCAAGTACGACTCCACCCATGGTAAATACTCTGGTGAAGTCAAATCAATTGATGGCGGTATTCAAATCGACAACACTTTGATCAAGGTTTTTAACGAAAGAGATCCATCAAACATCCCATGGGCTGCAGAAAAAATCGATTTTGTTATCGACTCCACTGGTGTCTTCACCACTTTAGACACTGCTCAAAAACACATTGACGCTGGTGCCAAAAAGGTCATCATCACTGCTCCATCAAAGGATGCCCCAATGTTCGTTGTCGGTGTCAATGAAGACAAGTATACCTCAGACTTGAACATTGTCTCCAATGCCTCCTGTACCACCAACTGTTTGGCTCCTTTAGCTAAGGTCATCAACGACACCTTTGGTATCAAAGAGGGTTTAATGACCACTGTCCACTCCATCACTGCTACCCAAAAAACCGTTGATGGTCCATCCCAAAAGGACTGGAGAGGTGGTAGAACTGCTTCTGGTAACATTATCCCATCATCCACTGGTGCTGCTAAGGCTGTGGGTAAAGTCATCCCAGAATTAAATGGCAAATTAACTGGTATGTCTCTCAGAGTTCCAACTGTTGATGTCTCTGTTGTTGATTTAACTGTCAACTTGGAAAAACCAACAACCATCAAGGAAATCAATGCTACAATCAAGGCTGCCTCCGAAGGTAAATTAAAGGGCATCTTGGGTTACACTGAAGATGCTGTTGTTTCTTCTGATTTCTTGACTGACCAAAGATCCTCAATCTATGATGCCTCTGCCGGTATCTTATTAACCCCAACTTTTGTCAAATTAGTCTCATGGTATGACAACGAATATGGTTACTCTACCAGAGTCGTTGATTTATTGCAACACGTTGCTAAAACCTCTGGTTTCTAAGTATCTACTTCTGATATGATCAATTCTAAAAACAAAAAACAAAATAAAAAACAAAGATTTATGAAAACCTGTTATTATTTTATCTTATTTTATCTTATTAATTTTACTTGATTTTTTATTCTAATTTATATATATTAATAGACTATTGTTTTAATTAATTAATATATATACATATTTTTTTTTTCCACAAATTATTTTATCCCATCTTAAAAAATCAATTTCTCAATAGAATACAATGGTATAGTAGTAACACCACTCTCATTTTCTTTCTTATTGGCAATCTTATTATATTCATCGATATCAAATAATGATTCAAGGAATTCACTCTCATTTTTATTGCTTCTTTCAATTCTTGTGCCAGATTTAATAATATTATTATTTAGATTCTGCTTATTTTTATTAAAATTCTGATTTTGATTTTGATTTTTATTGCTCTTATTTTTACTATTAACATTCTTACTATTCTTATTCTTAGCATTTTTAACATTCTTATTAGTTTTGCCTTGATTCTTGCTACTCTGACCACTCTTATTATTCTTACTATTACTAGTATTACTAGTATTCCCAGTTCCATATTTTAATAAATTCTTTTCATTTAGTTTAACCTTTTCATATGTATCAATTATTGAATCAGTTATCGATAATAATTCTGTTGATTTAATTATCGCATTGACTTTAAATTTACAATACTCAATTAATATATCAACCAAATAGCTTTCTTCTTCATTTTTACTGTAATTATTATTATTATTATTATTATTATTATTATTATTATTATTATTATTATTATTATTATTTTTATTATTATTACTAATAGTATTATCATTTCGATTAGATTTACTATCTTCAACTCTCAACCTGTTCTCATCAATCTCAATAATATTTTCCTTTTTGAAAATCCTTATAAACTCTCGTTTTTCTTTATTTGTAAAACTTAAATCAAACAATAGCCCTTCACAGTCAATCAAATTGATTAATAACTCATGTCCCTCATTCAACTCAATTATATTCAATAATATAGTCTCAATTCGAAATTTTCGGTTATCTCCATTATCCTTGACTTTCTTATTGTTATTACTACTAACAATATTATCGACAACAATATTCCCATCTTCATCAATATCATTATTAACCAACTCACTAATAACTCGAGTAATAGTATCCCTCGGATAATCATTTATTATTCTTGAAATACAATCAATAAAAATCTCAATTTGTAAATTCTTAACCTCATTATCCAATTTTTCTGCAAAATTTAATTTAGATATTATTCCCAATAAAATCAATAAATCCTTGCATGATAAAACTGGACATGTTATTAATGTCTGTCTTAGTAATCGAGGATAGTTTAAAAAAATTCTTAACAATCCCTCGTTAGAATATTTTATTGGGAACAATGGATGATTTAATAAGTAAATGATAGAATTTTCTGGCAAGAAGGTCTCTCTAATCTTTAATTTTCCATCCTTATTAATATCAAATATTATTTCAACAACTCTATTAATAAAATATTTACTAATTGTTCTATCTTCTTCATCTTTATAAACTAAAAATTCATCATCTATCTTAACTAATTTCTCTTCAACTGGTAAATTTTTCATAAATTTGAGGAAAATCAAATCAAATCCATCTACATCTTTCTGATTTGCAGCTTTTTTCAATCTGTTTAAAAAATTATCAATTTCAATTTTATTAGTTCTCCTTTGGTCTTCGATTGATTTATTTATATTGGCTACTCTATCGTATTTATATTTTCCGATTAGTATTGGTAATAAATTGTTTTCTTTTTCTTCATTATCATATTTGTCTTTCTCCCGTTGAATTTGCTTTTCTTCTTCACTATCAATTTCAATAACAATTCCTTGAATATTGTTGTTACTATTGCTGTTATTATTGATATCTGAAATATCTATATTAGTGGAAATTGATTTTTGATTTTTCTTTTTTAAAAAATATTGATAATAAACATTGGAAATACTTTTATTCAATGATTCAATTAATTTGCCCAATCCAACATTAATGCTCATATACTCCAAGAAATAATTGTTATTATTTTTATTGAATGATAAAAGAATTGAAAAACTTTTTGAATTATAAAGAGAACTACCATCAACTGGACAACAGTATAAGTTGTTAAAATTTGTCAGGTTGGTTGATATGAAAAAATTCAAAATACTCTCATAGTTTGCATCAATAAGATATATACAATTTTCTATAGTTAATAATAATCTTGAAGGTGCAGCAAATGCTAGTGCAAACTCATTTATACTCCCGTTATTTACGGATTTTGCATGCCTGAATAATAGTGACAAATCAATAGATTTTATCTTTTCAAAACTGGTTAATGAATAAAGAACTAAACTTTTCTCTTGCTTTGAAAACTGATATAAGGTTCCATTATTAAATTCAAATCTGGAATTTTCAATAATTGAAGCATCTGATTTGCCAAAAATTTTATTTGAGATTTCTAATGCCTCTTCATTCTTTATTAATACTATTCTTGCAATTAATTTTTTGAGATCTCTATTAAATTCCACAATTAAAATCAAAGTATTTTTTTCAGTCTTATTTGCAGTGGAAATTAATTGACTGCTTGAAAAAAATTTATAGTGTAATATTTCACTTGCATTACTGCTCTTACAGGATAATGACCAAATCTGTGATCTATCATTAAAATTAAAACATAACAAGTTTCCATTAGCTAAGAGTGTGTAAACAAATAGACCATTAGAAGAAAAATGAACTGTTATTGGTTTAGAATTTAATGTGATTTTGTATTCAACTAAATCATAATTCTTATTGCTATTATTACTTGAATCGTTTTCACCATCAATTTCCATCTCAAAATCGCTTTGGGGGTTGTTGGTTATATGCGACTTTTCAGATTTGGAAATTGAAATAAGTTGCAAGTAGTTTTTTTTTCCATTAGATAGACCAGCAACAAAAAACTTGCTTTGTGGGTTTTTTTCGAAGCATGTCAATGAATGAACAGTAACACCCAAGGGCAAAGAATAAGACCAATATAGTTTTGGAGATGGCTTTAATAGAAATGTAGAAATCGAAGATGAGGAAATACCAACATGTAAGAAAGCTGTGTATGGGTCTTTGATGTCAGCTATGGCTACTCTGTCTTGTGAAGTGAGGCCCAATGTCCTAGGCAACAAGGTGATCTTATAGGGTTCAGTCAATAGTGGCATCCTGGGTATGAGTTTGCTGATATACTGGTTCTGCACTTCACCCACCAAGTATTTTCCAGCTTTTAATTATTTTCTTCAATTTTCTCAAAAAAAAAATTTCATTGAAAAAAAAATCAATGGCGGTGAATTACCTAAATAGAAGACGTGGCGAGTGTATCCAAAACAACGGCGTTTTTTTAAAACTTAAAAACGTTGATGTTTCCGTCCGTCTTTTGAAAGGCGGAAGTTCAATACGGTGCACTTTTAAAAAACACGGATTTAGACGGATTCTATGCTTCAGTATTAAGGAATTAATGACATCAAAAATATTAAATGTATTAATGGTATCTATAATTGGTGTTGAAAGGTATGTAATTGAAATATATAACAGAAAGATGATGGATTGTGTGGGCAGAAACTCTATTGACTGCCACTAGTATGATGACTGTGCAGCAACATTTTTAAAAGAGACCTCCTCCACAGGAGACTTTCCAGCAAGATTATTTTTGGCAAAATTTTCATGAACTTCCTCAACAGTAACTAGCTTTTCATAAAATGCTAGAACCTTAGGATGACATTTAATTTTATGAGGAAAAAAATTTAAAACCTGCAATCCATTTCTGGACGTTGCTCGACTGAGTGCAACATATGCTTGGCCCTTTTCAAAGACCTTGCGAAGATCAACTTTTACTTTTGGTAATGTTTGACCCTGAGATTTATGAATTGATAGCGCCCATGCCAAAATCAATGGAATCTGCGCTCTTGTAACCAATGGTCTCTCAAATTCATCTTCAACACTCCATACTTCGGGTCGAACTAGCACATCCCTTGTGTTTCCGTCAGCAAGTGGAAATCTAACTAATGGATATCTTGATATTTTGGAAGTGTCGTGGAGTTGTTTTACGAGATTATATTTTCTTTCCAAATTTTTATAAAGTTCTGGACTTATATTCCTTCTTTGATGATCTTTTAAAAAACTGAATACAGAATCATCAAATTCGTTTTCTTCATCACTATGAGAAACTTCGACTTTTTTTTTAATTATTGCTTCATCATCTTCCTCTGAATCACTGAATTCACTTGGATTTTCAGCCTCAACTTTTTCAAGTTGTTTTTGTATTTTTTTCTCCACTTCATCATTTTCAGGATTGGATTCCATTTCGTTGTAAAGCATATACGTTTTGGGATCGATGAATCCCAAAACTCTACCTAAAGATCCATTGACCAAGGTTTCATCAATATTTTTAATCATCATCACTTGAGAATTTTTTTTTAAAACAATAGTTTTAGGTGCCAAGAAATCTTTCAACAATCTTTGTCTATAATCTTCGTCCTGAACCATACCACCATCAAATGAAGTATATATATAAGGTTTCTCTTCAATTTTATCTAATTTTCTTTTGTTTGCAAGTTCAACTTCTCTTCGAGTTGAATAAAGCTCAGCAGGTTGAATCCCATCATCCATTGGTAATGGTCTTTCCAATTCTACAAATTTTTTAGTAGTTTGTACACTCAAAATCCCATTTCTTGTTTCATTTAGCATTCCAATAAATTCAGTATCACCCTTTTGTCTAAAAATGGTTTTTAATATCACGGTTAATCCGATTGCTTCTTTCCAAGCTTCAGATTCAAAAGCAAATAAGGGATTATTATCTTCCTTATCCACAGGCGGTAATTGATAAAAATCACCACACGCTACAATTTGAATTCCACCAAATGGTTTGTCACTTTTTCTTAGTTCTTTTCCTATTATATTTAACTTGTCTAGTAATCTTCCATCAATCATTGAAATTTCGTCAATAATTAGTACTTTTAATTTTTTCCATCTTAATAAACCTTTACGATTTTTCTTTATTTTCTTTATTAATTGTTCAGTTGTACCTTCTCCTAGTCCAATGGAAGCAAAAGAATACAAAGTGGTACCACCAATATTACAAGCAGCTAAACCTGTAGATGCTGTAACACCTACTTCACCTGGATAAAATTTCAGCCTTAATGCTTTAATAAGTGATCTTAAGAGAACGGACTTACCTGTTCCAGCCGAACCGGTATAAAAGAGAGAATGGCCTTGTTTTACCAATTCAATGATATGAAGTTGTTCTTCAGATAGACAAATTGGAACAGCATGTTTTGTTGCTGAAGATTCCAATTTATTTTTAGCCAATTGATTCGTAGGATTTTGAGTCAAAAATTCAATTTTTGAATTTTGAGCAGCATTAGTTTTAAAATTTCTTTGAGGTTGTTTTGGGAGATTGTTATTATTATTATTATTATTATTATTATTATCACTATTAAAATTGTTTATTATATCAAATTTGGGACGTTTTAAAGCTTTGAAATTCTGAGAATTGATAATCAGTTGGACAGCAGTGTTATGAATAATTTGGATAGCGCCATGTTTAAGCGGAGTGATATTAGGATTATTATTTGCAGGTTCTAATTCAGGTTTATTAAGGTATTGAAATGAAGTATTGAAAAGGATATTTCTTTTTGTTGTAAGATTAGTTCTATGATTTAAAGGAGATTCTGGATCCAAGGGTAGATTAGTCTCAGGAGAAGTTGAAAGTTTGTTAGTGGCAGTATTATTTGAGTTTATAGATATTGGGGTATGATTGTGTATAGTTTTATGTTTTAAAGGGGTTATTGGAGTGATATCGGAGCTTGGATGATAATAAACTTGAGATGAAGTGAATTTATTTTCATACAAGTCATTAAGAGGAATTCTCTTGTTTGGGGTTGGAGTTGTTGCAGTGGAGATTGAAGCAATAATTGAGCTTTCAGGATCGTCTATATTGTATATTGTAGGATTTGAATTTTTCATATTTATATTTATATGGTTGTCTAAATCTGTAGTTAGTTGGACAGGTGAAGACGTTAGGGTGTATGAATTTTGATCTATTTTGTTTTCATTATTGTCATTGTCATTGTCATTGTCATTCTTAGTATTATGATTAAGATTATTAGAATTATTATTAAATTGCAGATTTTGCTGAGAAAAGGATAATGAACGATTATCGCTAAATTTTTGAACAAACTCATTGAAGGAGACTTGTTTATTTTTCAATTCGTTATTTATGTTTATATTTTTGTTGATATTATTATTATTATTATTATTATTATTATTATTATTGTTATTGTTATTGTTATTGTAATTATTATTAGTGATGGTAGTAGTATTAGTAATATTATCAGTGTTGTTATTGGTAATTGGTCTAAATTGGTAATTTTGAATAAAATCATCATCACTAGAGAATTCATCGGAAGCAAAATCATCTCTATTGTTGAGTAAATTTGATAGAAGTGGAGAGTTTTCGGTTATTTTAATGTTTATTTTGTTAGTTTGAGTAGTGTTGTGAGTAGCATGGTTAATGGTATTTGTGTTATTTGTATCTTTATGTTCATCAATGGTAATTGATTTGTTGTTTAATAAATCATTAAAATATTCGTCTAAACCGTCATCCATATTGGTTGAGTTAGTCCATTGGGAAGAAGAGAATTCAATTGAATCAAAATCCGGATCAAAATCGAAAGTCTTATTATTTTGATTATCAATGTTGTTAATGTTATTTATTATTGGTTGAAAGCTAAAAAGTGGAAGATTTTTAGTACTGGATCTTATAGAATTATTTATGGTGTTGTGATTATTTGCATTTGAGTGGGATTGAGATTGGGATTGAGTACGAGGTTGAGAATGCAGTTGGGAAGGCCAATAATCGCTAGAAAAATCAGTATTAAAGTCATTTTCAAAATCATTAATAGGTTTTAGAGTAATGTCGCTACTGCCATTATTATTCTCATTATTAATACCATTATTATTATTGTTGTTTTTGTTGTTTTTGTTGTTTTTGTTGTTTTTGTTGTTTTTGTTGTTTTTTGAACAACTCATTTGGTGAAACGAGTTAATAAAACTTAATGAACGCCTATTTAGTATATTAGTCGAATTGAGATGATGAACTGTATTGAAATGACAGCTTTTAGAGAAAATATTGTATCTGAGCATGGAAAAAGTAATTCTGTTTTGCTAACACCATCGACTACAATCAGTGCTTTAACACAGAATTACAAGAAAATAACAAAAGTGAGGCCGATATATAGAATTCGAGGAATGAGAGATAAAAAAAATTATGATAGATCATTTTTGCCAAATTAAGTTTTATATTTGGCATGAACAGAAAATTGGACCAAGACGTGATTTGCACGTGAGGTTTTGTGCAAATTGGCGTAGAACAGTCCAGAATGAAAACCGCAAATTGAATATTGCTGAAGTCGTTTATTTTCTTGTGTTTTGTAGTGGTGAGTATATGAATTGGTGGGTATATGAATTGGTGTTTCATTTGCAGGCTGTAGTTGGGAGACAAGTTCGGATGATTTTTAGTATCACCTAGGTTGTTTGGTTTTGGTGAAGGAGGTGAATAAGGCTGCAAAGCGAGGACGAGCCGGGCGCGGAACCGCGGCAGATAAAAGCGAGGAAGGAGGTTGGAGAAGAGTATATATAGAGGCAGACCTGGCTAGCGATGTTGGATTTCAACAGGTCGTTCAAACAACAGCTAAGCAAACCTTCGCTGTATCTGCCAGACACTGAGGCTTTGGGCAAGTTGAAGCAGCAAAAGCTGAAGGTGTTGTTGAAAATGCGAAAGTGCAAGGTGTTTGTGGGTCTGTCGCACCCAGAGCTAGGAGCCAAAATTTGCGAAAAGTTGGATATCCAGGCCAGTCCATGCAGTTTAAACAAGTTTTCCAATGGCGAGACGTCAGTGCAAATCAACTGTTCTGTGAGAGACAACGACGTCTACATTATCCAGTCGTCGTCAGACACGATCAATGACCATATCATGGAGTTGTTGGTGCTTATCAGTGCGTGCAAAGGTGGATCTGCTTCAAAGATCACAGTGGTGGTGCCTAATTTTCCTTACTCGACGCAATCGAATTTGTACTACCACAGCAATAAAGATAGTGGTGAATATTTGAACAGTGTTAGCCACACCAATAATGGGAACAATGAGATTATTTCAAGAACTGCCATCACAGCTAGAATGTTGGCCAATTTAATTGTGATGGCTGGAGCTGACCATGTTGTGTCTATGGATTTGCATGCTGGGCAAATCCAGGGATTTTTCAATAAACCTGTTGATAATCTCTATGCCCTACCGTTTTTGGTCAGATGGATCAAGACCAATGTTAAAAAGTATGAAAAGTCAGTGATTATTTCGAAAAATGCCAATGGAACCAAAAGAGTTACTGAGATGGCGGATAGTTTAAATGTTAATTTTGCAATGATTCAAATATTGGAAAAAAAGCGAAATGTTTACAATAATTTGAACTTGTTAATCGAAGATACAGTTAATTATAATAGTGGTACTATCAATGCAAATGGGAATACTAATAACAATGCCAACGCGAATACTAATAGCAATACCAATACCAATACCAATACCAATACCAGTGATATCGGGACTGAAATTGAAATTGGGAATGAAGAGGTCAATTCAAACAAAGAAAATTCGGCGTCTGAAAAAACCAGATTTATGACCAGCTCCCGAATTGTGCAAGGACATGTTCTCAGCCAGAAAGACAACCTTGAATTGGAGAACCAAAGACCAGCAGAGCTCGAGAACACCAACCCCAGCAAGCTAGATCGTACAATGGCCGAGTTCTTCGAAAACTACAACCAAAACAGCATGAGCAAGTACGTGAAAAAGGAGACTGTGATCACTCTTGTTGGAAACGTAAAAAATCGGCCTGCAATCATCTTGGACGACATGGTCACCAAGCCAGAGATGTACATCTCGATCAGTGAGCACTTGAGGATGAATTGTGGTGCTGAGTGTGTGTACTTGGTGGCCACACATGGAGTGTTCTTGGACAGCTGCCTCGAGGCCCTCTTCCACTGCCAGTACCTCGACAAGATTGTGGTGACCAACACCTGCCCCTTGCTGAAGAACGACTTGTTCAGATACAGAGACAAGCTCGTGGTGATCGACGTGAGCTCCATCTTCGCTGAGTACATTCGCCGGGCCCACTTTGGCGAGAGCATCTCGACTCTCTTCGACAACTTGTTCCACCTCTAGTGCACCTGGCCCACGTTGGCAGTTTCCAGCCTCTGACGCCTTTCCAGGCCTTCCAGCGCCTTTTCTTCCTCTGCCAGCTCCGACGGCTGTCGCCAGCGGCACGGGTCATCGCTGCTCGCTTTTCCAGCAGTTTTCCAGCCAGTCGTTTTATCGCTCGCCCACTTCTGTCATGGCTCCTGCTCATCAGTTTCACCTTTTTTGCTTCTCTCCCTCTGCAGACTTTTTTCAGCTTCGAATTTCACAGGGAGCTCCTCTCTCCAGCTCCTTTCGTCAGCTCCTCTCTCCAGCTCCTCTCCAGCTCCTCTTGCCTGTTGTCTCTTATAAATATCCCTCTACCACCTCGCTCTTCCCTGCTAGTCGCCCATAACTTCCTTTCCATAATGGACTCTGATAAGACTAAGACAGACTGCGACACTTGTATTGTCAACTTTATCAACAGCAACGATAAATCCCAGAACACTGCAACGCTTGACACAAAAAGCTGTAAGAACCACGATAATCTCTACAATCTCTCGCTTTTGAAACAGCTCGATAACCACCAGGTCAAACAAGTCGAATCTGCCATCCTCGAACGTTTTTCTCCTAAAACCTCTGCTTCTGAATCAACTGAATCTCCAAAATCAAGCTCTACGAATCTCCCGAGAATGGTCGTCAGCAATACTGAAAACCAAGCAGATATCGTACCTGTTCCTACCACCACTCCCACTACTTCCACCACTCCCACCACTATCACTCCCACTGCCGAAATTTCCCCTACTAATATCACCATAAACAATATTAAACCGCTTTCCAAAAAAATTGCCCCAAATGCTTCACGTCTCCAAAATGACAATATTAACTCCAAAATTCAACATCCCACCCAAAATAGCACAATTTTATCAACAAGCGCCAACAACAACAAAAATACTCGAAAAATCGGCAAAATTGGTGTATGTGCAATGGACAAAAAAGTCCTCAGCAAACCATGCAGACACATCTTGAATTGTTTAAACCAAAACGACGAATTTGAACTAATCATTTTTGGCGATAAGGTAATTCTCGATGAATCAATTGAAAACTGGCCCACTTGCGATTTTCTCATAAGTTTCTTCTCAAATGGTTTTCCTCTAAACAAAGCCATCAACTATGTCAAACTACGAAAGCCCTTCATCCTTAACGACCTAGTCATGCAAAAAGTCCTATGGGATCGAAGATTGTGTCTACGTTTGTTGAAAAAAGTTGGTATCCCAACTCCCCATCGTCTAGAGATCTCCAGAGATGGTGGTCCCAAAATAATCGACGCTGATCTAAAACAAAAACTACTAGAAAAAAATATAGACATTGATCAGAAATTTAAAACTCCAAACTGGGAAATGCTAGATCAAGACACCTTGAAAGTTGATGACCAAATTTTGAAAAAACCCTTTGTTGAAAAACCCGTCGATGGCGAAGACCACAATATCTTCATCTACTATTCTTCCAAAAATGGCGGTGGTGGAAGAAGACTATTCAGAAAAATTGGCAACAAAAGCAGTGAGTTTGATCCTTCTTTATCAGTCATCAGAACAAACGGCTCCTACATTTATGAACAATTCATGGACACTGATAATTTTGAAGACGTCAAGGCCTACACTGTTGGTGAAAATTATTGCCATGCTGAAACAAGAAAATCTCCCGTCGTTGATGGTATCGTTCGAAGAAACACACATGGAAAGGAAATAAGATTTGTCACCACTTTATCTGACCAAGAAAAGGAAATCGCCTCAAAGGTTTCATCTGTCTTTCACCAAACTATCTGTGGCTTTGACCTATTAAGAGTCCAAGGTGTTAGCTATGTTATCGACGTTAATGGCTTTTCCTTTGTCAAGGGCAACTCAGACTACTACAACAACTGCGCTCAAATCCTTAAAAACATCTTTTTTCAAGCTAGAATTAAAAGAGACCTACAAAGATCCCTCACAGGCACTCCCTACCTTTCTCCACAAACTGAAGAAAAACACCAAAAATGGGTCTTCAAAGGCCTTGTCTCTGTTATTAGACATGGTGATAGAACTCCCAAACAAAAAATCAAATATTCTTTCAAATCTTCCATCTTCATTGCTCTTCTAAAGGGCCACAAAGAAGAAGTCATCATTAGAGCTGTTCCCGATCTTCGTATCGTACTAGCTGCTCTACATCTAGCCCAACAACAAAAATACGAAGACTCAATGAAATTGCAGCTCCTAGCTACTACTTTGGCGAAAAAAATCAACTTTCCCGGCACTAAAATTCAACTAAAGCCAATATTAAATAAAGAATCTAATCAAGTCGAAAAAGTTCAATTCATCCTCAAATGGGGCGGTGAACCAACCCATTCTGCAAGATACCAAGCTACTGATTTGGGTGAAACTTTCAGACAAGATATTAAACTATTGAATAAAGATGCCTTGAAAAATGTCAGAGTTTACTCTTCTTCTGAAAGAAGAGTTGTTACAAGCGCGCAAATTTGGGCTTGCTCATTCTTAGAAGCTGACATGCTACCGGACGATTTCCTAAGAATTAGAAAAGATCTACTAGATGATTCAAATGCTGCAAAGGACCTTATGGACAAGGTTAAAAAGAAATTAAAACCTCTACTTAGACAAGGAAAAGAGCCACCAAAACAATTTGCCTGGCCAGCTAGAATGCCTGAACCTTACATTGTCATTAGAAGAGTCGTTGAGCTAATGAACTATCACCATAAAATCATGGAATACCACTTTAAAAATAACGATGTCGAATCAATGCAAAGAAGATGGTGTTGTTCTGAAGATCCTTATTTATTTAAAGAAAGATGGGACAAGTTGTTTAAAGAATTTCTTACATTTGAAAAAGTCGATCCCTCCAAAATTAGTGAATTATATGATACAATGAAATACGATGCTCTTCATAACAGGTCTTTCTTGCAAAAGATCTTCTCTCCTAATGTCGATTTAAATCACTCCGATGTTGAAATGCAATTTTTGGTCGATGACTTGAATTCTCCAAGTTTAGTCAACGAATATCCAATTAATGTGCTTGCAATGAATAATTTCAAGTTGCCAAGTGAAAGCAATCCAAATAATGGCAAATTGGCCAATTTACTGACATCTGCTTCTTCATCAAATACTAACCTAGCAAAAGTCTCCTCTAAAAATTCAACAAATAATGAAACAGCTACAAAAGAAAAGGAATTAGAAAACTCTTCCTCTGTTGGTTCTTTAGGTTGGGTATTAAGATCTGCCAACAGAAAGACATCTAGAACCATCACTTCTTCTCCATTTGATGATCCAAAATACAGTAGATTAAGAGAGTTGTACAAATTAGCCAAAGTTTTATTTGATTTTGTTTGTCCTCAAGAATATGGTATTGAAGATAACGAAAAATTAGATATTGGATTACTAACTTCTTTACCATTGGCTAGAAGAATTGTTCAAGATATCTCCATGATGAGAGAAACTGATAAATCAGAAATTGTTACATATTTCACTAAGGAATCTCATATTTACACACTATTAAATATCATTTATGAGTCAAAACTTCCAATGAGAATTGCTAGAAATGCATTACCAGAGTTAGATTACTTATCACAAATTGGTTTTGAATTATATGAAAGTGCTGACACAACTTCAGGAGTAAAAAGGCATTCCATCAGATTGTCATTATCACCTGGTTGTCATACCCAAGATCCTCTAGATATTCAATTAGATGAGAAACATTACATCAGCAACATTCCAAAGATATCTCTTACAAGACACTTGGATATCGATTTAGTGACACAAAAATTAAAATCAAGATTTTCAAGAGTTTCTTTACCCAAGAAATTTACTGCAGTTAATATAACTAGTCCCTCTGTTGCTAGTTTAACAGAAAACAAAGTCACATTATAATATTTAAGCCCATAACTATATTATTTTGTAATTTCTTTTTCTTTCTTATATCAAGATTTATATTAATAATATTCTCTTTTTTGTTCATTTCCTTGTTTTTATAACTATATTATTATATTGTTTTTTATTTGAACTTTAATTGTATTTTTATTTCCAAAAACGACTAAATTACAGCTAACGATATTCTATAGAAAAAATAAATAAAAAACTCTTATCAATATTCTCTAATACTTCCTATACCTTGTAAGCTTTTATAAATTAAGAGCATGAAATATTTTCCTATCCTTCCACAACCTTCAAGACAATTGGTAAAACTGTTTTCTTCAAACTTGTCTCTGTTTTTTTTGGCTTTTTTTTTGTTTAATGAGTATTGCTAGCAATAGTGATAGAGTAGAGAAGGTATTCATTTTCATTTAAAAAGACAAATTCAAACTTAGATTGAAAGCTTCCACCATCCACTTTTTAACCCACTGCACTAAAAACTCAATAAATTAATTCCAAAATAATAAAAGTAGAGCCAAACAAAAATTGGACAAAATAGTATAAATACAAACGATTTCTAGCTAGTATGTGTGGTTTTTATTCTTTTGACAAATTTTCATTTGACGGAAAGCACTTGATAAAAAAACAAGGCAATTGAAAATGAATTTATCTCGAATTAACACAATTTCTGCAAATGCTGGATACATAAGGGATAACATACAGTTGACAATTCTCTTTACACGATTGAAATGGTAATAGGTCAACACTATAGTTGATAGCAATATCGCCTTTTTCGAAAACTTTCGGATGTTTTCCAGGTGGGCGTAGTTCGGCCTTCGAAACGGAAAGTAAAGTTGCCTTGCGAATGCTTCGAACCACCAACACTCGTGTCCTCTTTTGACTGTACGCAGCTACCCTCGGAAATGTCACTGAATCTCCCACAGACTTTACTTGAAACTATTATTTATTAAAACTAGTGCAACTGCGGTTTATGTTTGAATTGAGTGTTCTTTCTTCTACTTAATTGTTGTCCAATCCACAAGTCTCTAGATACTTGCCAATTGGTAATGTATATCGCACAGTGTATCCGATTATCTTAGCCAACATCGTTTGAGTTCCAAGCAAAGAAGAGAAGGTGCACAACTCGGTTTACAACTCCAAGATGGTTAACAGTTATTGATGAGAATGATTTTGCTTTGTTGTCAAACTATTTTGAACAATCTAAAAGTAACAATAACAGCATGTAGAGTAAGAATCAAGTGGTTGGTAATAGCAAAAACGAAATTGCAGAGAAAAAGTATCCATAAAAGAGAATCGGGAAAAGTAAAGTAATATCCTATAAGGGCAACAACAGTATCAGCACATTTGTGGATTTATCAAGTGTGCTAATCATTCCTGATACCAATACAGATATCGACAACCATTTGAATAGATATACAGAAATTTGGTTAGGATTGGTGATGATAACAATAATTGCAACACTAAAATGGATAACTCAACAATCAAGTTGTAAAATAAAAAAAAGGGGATACTTTTGAAAATATGTTTTTGTATAACATTGGACATCACATTGATAATCAATGCCAAAACAGGAGAAGAAAGATGTCTGAGTATAAGAAAAGGCTATGTTGTTCTCTGATGACCCTCTCATTTGCTTCGCGTTTGGAGCAAATGAGACCAATTATTTGATAATGCAAAAATTTAATTAGCAAACAACCAACTCCACTAAATCGATTCAGAATTTTAGTTGGGTGGAAGTGGGTCATATGTTGATTGATTAAATGAATTCAAATTATCTGGTTTGGACTTGAATTTTTGAAAATAAATTGGTGTATAATATGGGAATTGCATTACTTCTTAAATCGTATTAATACGCTACAAAATCTCTTTTTTTTTTTTTTTTTGTTTCTATAAGCAAACTAACAATGAATTCTATAATATTTATCAATCCTCCTTTCTTCTATAATTTCAAAATTGAAAGCCAATCAATAAGGGGAAGGCAGTCTTCAAGTTCAACCAAACGACATCTAGATGACCGTAATCTTGTGACATTATCCACAAACAATTATCATGCAGATGCGAAAATTCTGGTGTGTGTCCATCTATTAAATGAACATGGGAGATATAATGAGTTAGATCAGAAATACTTGGATGGCCAAAAACTTATTGAAGCTTTCAACTCATATCCCCTTACTCTGAATTTTGATTTTCCTAACTTAGGTATCAGAAAGACTGGACGATGGAAGTTGGCTTACACTTTATTTTTAACCAGTCCCAAGAACATAGAAAATGTTTCAATACATATCATATCTAATACGATTGAAGTTTACTCTTCCAAAAGTTACCGTTTTTATTAACCAAACTAAAATACCAAATAAGTTTAGTTGTTATATTTGACTGGTTATTTTTTTCTAGAAATTGTCATTCAATCAATTCAAATAACGAATTGATCGCTAATAATTTATACCAATTACATACAATTTTATATTATATATTATATATTATATAATATATTTTTACTATATTGTATTTTATTTCAATACATACTTTGTTAAAATGTTAGTGCTATATTCCATTATACAAAAATCACTGTCTATGAAGAGAATTATGAAATTGCGTCTTTTCCAATAGCACTCTTCTGTTAAAAGCTTTATGATCATAATTACAAGTAGGAAAGTAAGACAGCAAACATAAAACCGGATCGCTGAATAATCAACCATAGAAGTTTCCCATTCACAATAAAAGTATGAGCCAAAGCAGTAATTTAGTATGACATGGGTACAAATTGGAAGCTCTATGCGATTTTTACAAAAAAATTTCTTGAATTTAAGCATTTTCGAAATGTGATTAAAAACAATGCTGTGTCAATCAAACTCATGTATTAAAAGATAAATTTTGACTCTTAAATCAATCAATTAGGTTTGAAAAAAATTAACGATACTTGCCGAGACTCTTATCAATTCATCAATTCTATTTGTTTTTTCATTATTTATTCTATTTAATTCATCTAGCAAAGACTCCAATTCTTGTTCGTCGTTCAAACTACTGGATATCAAATCCCCATGATTTTTCAATAATAGATTAATTAATGCCTGGTAAAGCTCGAAATTTTTGTTAGAATTTAATCCGTGGATCATGGCTTTCACAAATAATTTGATTTCTGATAAAGAGGAATCCTTTGTGTTTAATGATTTGATTTCTAAATCTAAGCTGGAAGGAGAGGATGTTGAAATTAAATCTAAAAATATTGTGTAATCATCCAAGACAGAACATTCTCTTAATGTTTTTGTGAATTTTGATTCAAAAGCTAATGTATTTTCATTATTGAAAAATTTCAATGGTCTTTCGGGATTTGTGAGTGAAGGAATCTTTTCACTATTATTATTATTATTATCAGAATTTTGATTTTCAGTGCTGACGAGCTTTTCAATTTTTTCTGATTTTCCATTTGAAGTTATATTTTGTGATTTATCTTCAGTTTCATATAAAAAGAAAGGAGCCTTTTCTGACTTTTTTGGTGGTTCTTTTGGTTTATTTCTCTGTTTAATTGTATCTAAATTTAGCAAAGTGTTGAATTTTGATCTTGGACCTATAGACAAAGTTAATAAATCTTTGCTTATTTGATCAACTGTAGAATAACTGTTCAAAGAGTCGTCGTTATCTTGATTATCATTATCAAAAGCCGAATCTATTATGCCCAGACCACCAGCAGAAGTATTATTCGGAACATCGATTAGCTTAAAATCCTTTTCAGAAACATGTCTGACTGAGATCATTTTAAATTGGCTTTTATTATTCCATAGTGAAATACCATTGCCATTTACATGAGAAGTAGCTAAGAAATCACCATTTGGAGAAAACTTAAGATTAGTAATTATGTTTGATATTTTGAAACCATCAATACAGTTCCCGGTTGGCAAATCCCAAACTCTTAAAGTTGAATCCAAAGAACTTGAAACAATCCATCTGCCATCAGGAGAAAAATCTAAAGATGTTATTCTGTTTGTATGGCCAAATAATTGACGAATAATTCTTTTAGTTTCAAAATCTATGATTATAATAGATAAATCATCCAAGGCCAAACCCAATAATTCCGAAATGGGATTATAAACAATTTTAGTGATGGGAGATTCAAGATTAATTTTGCTTAAATATTTTGAGTTTCTGAAATTGTAAAATCCAATGTAACCATCTAAACTTGTAGAGCACATTTTGTTATTCATGGAATCTATAATGATACCTGTTACAGAATTTTTGTGCAATTTGAATTTTTTTCTTAGTATACCACTCTGCAAGTTATAAACGTCAATATTTCCATTAGCAGTGCCTAAAAAGGCAAAATTTCCACAAGAAGAGATTTTAACAGTATTAATATTTGAATTATCGGAGGATTGTAATTTGAAATTGCCAATTTTTTTATTTTTAAAAGACCAAGTATTGGCAAAATTTTGATTTTTATGAGCAGTTAGGATATTATCCCAATCGTCTTCTTTTAATATTTGATAATCCATTGATATGATTTCATTATTGTGGTCATTGCTATTGTTTGAGTTATTGATGTTCATGATTTTTTTATTTTTTTTAGACTGTTTAAATGATAGTTTTTGATTTTGAGAATCTTTTCTTAATGAAAAAGACCAAAATGAGTTATCAGTTGAGGCTGAAAGAATGAAATGGGATTGATGGGCTGTAAAAAGAATTGAAGTTGGAGGAGCAGAATGACCAGCTCTTGATCTTAGTAACCTTGGTAAAGGAACTAAAGAGGAATCATTGATTGCTTTTTCATTATTAGAGGAGAAAGAAGGATCAAAGATGTATTCTTTCAATTGATTGTCAGCACCATTTGTGATGAAAATGGGTTGACCATTTAGAAACTTGACATTGGATATACCACCGAAGGATTGTTTGTGGACACTTTGCAATAGATAAATTTGCTGAAAAGAATTTAAATCAAAGACAGATAAATTACCATTTTTAAAGGCTATTAATAAGTGAGGAAAGCTGTCAGATCTAAAAGCTAGAGATGTTATTGGAGTAAGATTTGAGGGCCCTGATTTCCTTGAGTAAGTTTTTATTATTTTTAATACTTTATCTTTTCTGAAATCATAAAAAATCAAGTTTCCTAAATTGGTTGCAATTAATATGATATCCAATACTGTGGAATTTTCAACTGTTGATATGGCCCCAAGATAATTTTTATTTCTTTGAGAAGTATCCTGTTCAGTGCGACTGAATATGCTATTTAAATTTGATTTGAATATTAAATTTATTGTTTTGATATTGTAAATTAAAATGTGCGAAGTTGTTGCGATGATCAATTTATTCAAGTAAGTTGAGGGATGAATTATTTTAACAATTAAATCGTCAGAGTTGGCGTTTGATAAATTGATGGTGTTGTAGAATTTGATTGGCAATTTTAGTAAATCCTGAAAGTTTGTGTTATTTTTAATGATTTCATCATTTTGGTCAATTGAGACTGGTTTCTTGAAGAGGGAAATTTGGTTATTTGAATTAGAGACAATCAAATAATCACCAAAGGTCAAAAGATTATTGATTGGGTAGTTTGAATCCAATTTTGAGTCCAAAGAAATAATTAAACTACCTCTTTTATAAATGTTGATCTTATTCTGATATGTTACGAAAATGTAGTGATAATGACAGTAAATATTTGTGATTTTCGATGGTAAAAACGTCTTTGAGACAAATAGCAAATTCAAGGTTAGAGCATCGTATACCTGGAAAAAATTCCCAACACTGGTGACTATGTAGTACGTTTTACCCAAGGTGCCAATGGCAAAAGGAACATTGTTAGTTATATTCCCAATTGATCTGTATGGAGAAAAGATCTTGGAAGCACTCGTGCTGGATGGAGAAACAGAAGAATCAGTTTTCCTTTTTTTAACAGACACATTGGAAGCAACAGCAGAGTCATTCATGGTCAGCAAAGCAGAAGAAGAAAGCACCATCACACACAGCTAGAGCAGAGACAGCTGGATCAGTTGAAGCTCTCATATCTCCTCTCTTGGGCAAAATTTTTCACTCCGAAAAAAAAATTGCCAGAGCACCCAAAGCGGAAGGTGCCGCATCAATGGTCTCGCAGATTTCACGTGTGTTTTATCACGTGAATAAGCGCACGTGTGCTGAGTGTTTCTAAATAAAAGCTCCTCCACGCAGAGTCGAACTGGTGCGTTTCCGGAGGCTCCTTTTTGGTGTTTACTCGTTCCGGGAAAAGGTGGGCTTTTGGAGGAATGTCGCCTCAACCGCCATTTCTGCCTCCTCTGCTTCTTCTGCTTCTTCTTCTGGTTTCAGTCCACCTTCTACTCTTACTACGTCGCCAACTTCACCAGCTCCTATACTAATATGTCAGTGGCAATCGGTTCAACATGATTGATGTAATAACTCCTGCTTCCTACGTAGACCTCGAATCTCTCAAGTTCAAAATATCCTCCATCTTGGTGATCTACGATAATCTCTTTGTCGCTCTCAACAATGGTTCAATCTACATATTTGATCTTAATTCTTCTTATGGCAGTGTATTTCCAGACTTCGACGCCTCCAACGACACCCAGAACTCTATAAATCCTGATGCCAGCTACACTCAAAATGCTGGTGATATCGACAATGACAACAAAAATGACGACGACGAGCTCAATAAACAAGTCACTTTGCAGTCAATAAATTCATCCAGCAATTTAAGTCCCATTTTGAACCCAACCTCAAGAAGAAACTCTTTTATTTCAAACACAACCTCAAAGGCTGCTTTCAATAACAATTTAACTCCTACCACCTCAAATGATTTGTCTAATAGTAACAAAAACTTGAATAATAAACCTTCGAACGGTAATTTAAATAAAGATAATACAAACTTGAAATGGTTTAATTTCAAAAATTTAAACAAATTGAAATTATCGCAAAAATTTGAAAATATATCAAAAAAACCGATAGATCAATTGGACTTCTTGCCAGACAATAACTACCTATTCATTTTGTCTGACAACATAATCTCAATCTATCTCTACATCAACATCATCGCAAATAACAGCAACAGCAATAATCCAAGTGACACTATTAATCAAAATCAAATTGATTTGAAATTTTTAGATTCAATTAAATCTTCAAAGAATGCTCCTTTCTTTAAAGTTTCAAGTGCTTTGAAAAACAATTTGCTAATCAATTCTCCCATAGAAAGACCAATAGACTCGAATTTATTATTTGATAACCACTCAACTTCTTCAATCCACATAAATTCTCATAATAATCACAACAACAATCCAACACATAATAACACCAATATTAACAATTTGAATCAAAGAAGATCTTCGTTCTCATACAATTCCTCCATATCTCCATCCAATTCCTTAACTTCTATAAACTCCTTGCTTAATAACAAATCAAGAAACAACTCTGTATCAAGCTCCAAAACCTCCATCTATTCTTTTGCCTCAAATCAAACTAATCCTATTTTCTATTCTAAAGATAAAAATGATAAAGTTCCAAATAGTCTTTATTCTAATCCATCAATCGCTTCATCCACTTTATCTTTAAACCTGAATTTTGATCCCAATTTAAACGATATTGACCAAATCAAAAAAATCAATAAAAAATCAACTCTCCTCAATAACAATAAAAATATTGATTATAACAATAACAATAATATCTCAAAAAGTAGAAAAGTCAGTAGATCTTTAACTAATCATACTAATGACTCCTTAAATTATCAGGTTTCTTATTTAGTCTATAACGTTAGAAGAAAATTATTTATTCACTCCTTTAACAATACCAATAACAACAATAATCTCAACAACAACAATAATAACATAAATATCAATAATAACTTAATTATCAATAGCCTTAACCCAGACATCCTCGATGATCCAAATAATATAGACTTTATATACGATAATAATAACATCCTCAATAATAATAACTTTAATGATTCAAATTCAATTGCAAATTCAATCTCCCAATCCATTTCCAACTTCAACTCAAATTCCTTTTTAAATGAATTGACTTTGACTGACAAATGTAAAGCAATTGAATTTATATCTCCCTCAAAGATTTTAATTGCCCTATCAAACGATTATCAAATTATCAACTTGAAAAATTTTAAAATCAAATCAATTAATAATTACAACGCAAACTCGATACTAGGAAACTTGGCCTCAAACCAAAACAATTTAAATCTAAATACTAACACTTTCAATTATTTTTTCTCAAACTATCAACCAACTTACCATTTAGCTAAAATCTCAAGAAAGAGAACTTTGATTTCAAAGGATATCAACACTTTTAAAATCAATAATAATACTGGAAATTTTATTAAAAACTCAAATTTCCTACTAAATAATATTCCTCAAATTTTAAAGTTTTTTTTTCCCTATTTAATCTTAATTCACTTGAGAAATCTTGAAATTAGAGATTGTGATAATGGCTTTTTAATTCAATCAATTCCAATTCAAAATATCAATAACTTATTTATTGATAACTTCAAAAAATTGATTTTTTTCAGCTCAAATCATAATAATAAACTTTACATTTGTTTTTTCAAAAACTTTATCAATCAATTAAATCAACTCGAAAAGAGAAACCATCTTAACGAAGCAATCAATTTAACCATCCAATTACCTTTAGAGATTTTGCCTGATAAAATTCAAAGATTAAGACAATTACAAATTAAAAAAGCTCAGAAACTATTTAACGATAGCAAATTTCAAGAATCGATGCTAATTTTTAGTGAATATTTAGCTCCTCCATCCTTAATTATTCCTTTGTTTCCATCTTTCATCACTATCCCCATCAATAATGATGGTAATAATAATGATAATAAAAATAAAAATAAAAATAAAAATAATAAAAATAGTAAAAATGAGCATTACTCTTCAAATATCCCAATTCCTGACAATTTCAATTTAAATATCAATTTAAGTAATCAAAATGCTTTAAATTCAATTAAAATCGAATCTTTGTCTATTATTCCCCAAAAATATCATTCAAACGTAATTAATGACAATATGAACAATGACAATTATTCAATAAAATCTAGTTATTACCCTTCGTCCCCATTAAAGAATTCATACACTGCTTCGAATAACGCCAATATTATTATCAACAGTCCTAATAATTCTAGCACCGTTTATAATTCACCCAACATAAATACAAAACCAATAGTTTCATCACCTCTAGTAAATTCATCAAGAGTTGCAACAACAGCTATGAAGACTTCATTGAGTAATGATAATATCCATAATCTTCATCAAAGCTATATGGAACATTTGCATAATAAAAGTTCGAATTATTACAATAATTACAGTAATAAAGATTTATCAAGTGATAATAAGAGCATTTATAGTGTTAAATCATCAATGTCAAATTTAAATTCAAACACATTTATCAATTCAAGAAGAAATAGTTTATCAATAAAACCGAATTATTTAATACTAAACACTCAAACAAAGAAATTGTTAAAGGCTATCAGATATTTGTTGCCATATTTGGCAGATACTAGAAGAAAAATTAATAAACTAATTAACGAAACATATAATGAGAAAGATGAAAACAGTAATACCATTGATGACGATGACGATGATGATGGAAATGAAGATAAATTTGAGTTTAATCAGTATGAAGAATTATCAAGTATATTATGGAAGGGCATTCAAATACCGAAGAATATATTTGGGGATTTAAAGGTATCAGCCGAGTTGGTTGATACTACATTATTTAAATGTTATATAATATCTTCACCAAAATTGATTGGGCCATTAGTTCGAATCAAGAATTATTGTAATTTGAATATTGTTGAAAAGGAATTAATACATAAAAAGATGTTTAAAGAATTAATTGAATTTTATTATGGTAAGAAATTTCACGAAAAAGCATTAAATTTGCTCGAGAAATTAGGAAAAGGAGAGTCAATTAAAAATACAGATGAAACAATTATAGATGATTTTGATCAGGATGAAGGTATTATTGATAGTTGTGATATTGAAGATGATCAAAAAGATGATAAAAATAAAGACAAAAATAAGGATAATGATAAAGAAAATGATTACATTTATACCCCAATGTTAGTACTCAATAATTATAATTATTTGAATAATAAATTATTAAAAGGACCAATTAATACTATAAATTATTTGAAAAAATTGAATAATGATTATATTGAATTGATATTTAAATATAGTAAGTGGCCAATAACGATTAGTGAAAAGAAAGGAATGAGTATTTTTTTGGAAGATTCTATTGAAAGTGAAACATTGAATAGATTTAAAGTGATTGAATATTTATTGAATAATTTTAATAAAAAGTTAGGAATAAAATATTTAGAACATGCTATTGATAATTTGAATGACAAAAGTAGCAAGCTACATAATAAATTGATTGAATTGTACATTGGAATTATATTGGAAGAAGATGAAAAGGAGATTAAGAAAGCTAAACAAGCTGTTGATAGTGAAATTGCTACAATTGATAATGACAATAAAGAAAAAACTATCAAGGAAAACAAGGATAATAAGGAGCAAAAAGACAATAATAACTTCTTGAGCAACAGTGATACGTTGTCCGGATATAGTGGTAATGGAGATGATAGTGATGATGAAGAAGAAAAAGTTGAGAAGGTAGGAGAAGAGGTGTTTAAGAAATTACTGAAATTTCTCAAAATAAGTAATTATTATGAACCTAGAAAGATATTAATGTTACTACCTAATGAAAGGAAATTTTTGATAATGAAGACATTTGTTTATAAGAAAATTGGGGAAGATGTTAAAGTGTTGGAGATATTGGTCAATGAATTGGAAGACTATAATAGAGCATCGATATATTGTTCCGAATTATATTTGGAAGATAATAAAAAGGGACAAGAGATATTACACAAGTTGTTAGAGATGTATTTGAAACCTTATAATGGTGCAGATGATATCATGAATATTGGCGATGAAACTGATAAGATCAATATGAAGAAAAGAAAAGTAAATTTAAAAGAAGGATTGAACTTGTTGAACTGTCAGGGATCCCGAATGTCATCCATAAAGATATTGAAAATGTTGCCAGACGAGTTGTCTATCGAGGAACTCAAACAGTTTTTGAAGTCGCAGTTGAGGATAATCAACTACAAGATCAACGAAAGCCGGGTCTTGGGATCGTTGTCAAAGGTGGAGCTTGTGAAGAACCAAGAGAACTTACTCAAGTTGCGGTCGTCCTCTGTGGTAATCAACGAAAACAGCACCTGTGAGGTATGTCTCAAAAAGCTCTCGCACAGTGTGCTAGCTGCGTTTCCTGACAACGTTGTGACGCACTACGGGTGTGCCAGAATATACAAGGAGATGGTGCAGGAAAAGAAACGACAGAAGAACAAGCACGCCAGCTATATCCGCAGCATGAGACGCTAGAATAGACACCACAAGCACCAGCTGTATGTAGTAACTGAAATGCTAATATCCAGAGCAATGGATTTCGTTATTCATGCACAATCCGCAGGGCGCATGCGTGATCCACGGAATTGGTGTTGTATGCACAAATGCGTTTGCATACATATCCACATCCGGAGTTGAGTATTTCTGAGTATGCACTTCCGAGAATGCACTTCCGAGAATGCACTTCCGGGCCGAGACGAACGAAGCGAAGAGCGTCTTTCGCACCATTTTCTGCTTCTTCTCCTGCTTCTTCTTCTGTTCTGCTCTTTTCCACCATTCCCAGCCATATTTCTGCTCGTCCAGCAGCTCTTTGAGGTGTTGCTGTTTTCTAGGTCCAGGTTCTCTTTCCACGGTTGCTCTGAGCTTCAAAATGGCCACTCAAACGAATAGTCTCCTAAACGCTGACACAACCAACAACTTGACGCTATCTTCACTTGATAACCACCTCAACTCGCTCAGTAATTCCATCTCCAACGACAATCTCAAAGACGTTCGAGCTGATAATGCTCTAGTTCCATGCTCAACTTTTACCGAAGAGAATATTCCCAACGAGAATAAGGATAATGCTCTGATCAATAGGCAAATGAATCTTAATCTTAATCTTAATCTCAATACAATCTCAAATTCTGTCTCAAATTCAACCATCCCAATTACTCCTCCAACAACTGTTTCAACAACCCCAGTTCAATCCAACGCCAACACTGTTTTAAAGGATAGCAATATCAACAATAAACTAATCAATATCAATACCCTAATCAATATCAATACCCTAATCAATAGCAACAGCACACCAAATACTGAAGCTACTGAAAACACTCCAAATACCCAATTTTCTCTAGATAATAACAACTATATCGAAAAAATTCCTGTCAACTCTAAAAATAATCTCCCAGCTGAGTTAGAAAAAAAAGATTTTTTTCAGAATTTGCCTTACAATCATTTGATCAAATCCATATCAAATCCTAATCCAAATACTACATCATATAACAATAGCCATATAAGAATTATTAATAATACTAAAAATACCAATACCAATAATCTTAAAACAAATTCTAGTATAAAAATTAATATTGATAATAAGACATCAAATTCAAATTCAAATTCAAATTCAAAGAAAAACCTCAGATTACATAAAAGGGCTTCATCAATCTCTGTCTCTTCTTTTAGAAAATCAAAAATAAATAATACAATCAATAATTTTAACAACATGACTAATAATACTATTAATATTACTAATCATATCAATACTACCACTGCTATCAATAATCTTAATGATACTGGTATTAATAGTACAAATAATCCTAAACTAAAGTCCAAACAATCATCCTTATTTAATAACTTGCCAAAAGTGAATTCAAACTCAAAAAATTATTCAACGCCAATTAAATCTTTCAAAAATTTTTTTACTAAAATTTTTATAAATATATCTGATTTTAATAATAAATTAAAATCTCTAGCTGATCAGGTCTTGAGTTCCGATGAAATTGTTGAAGAATTATTTTTAAATTCCGATGACGATAATTCCACTTTTTTAAACACTTTAAATTTATCAAAAAATAGTAATTTCTTAATCAATGAAAACTCTTTAAACGATAACAATAATAACAGCAATAACAATATTAATCAGAAATATCTAACTAATATCCAAAAATTTCATCAATTAGATGTCGTGAAATTGGCTCAAGATCAAATAAAAAACAATCCCGATAAACCATTTGTCGATGGTGAAACTTTATGGAATTTAAGAAGAGAATTATGGTTAAAATCAACTGCTCCTATTTATAAATCTGAAAATTTAAATAAAATCCTTAGTAATACTAATAGTAATATTACTGATAGTTCTACAAAGACTAATAGTATTAAAACTTCTAATACTAATACCAATACCAATACTAATACCAATACCAATACTATTACCAATACTAATACCAATACTAAGGATAAGAATAAGAATAAGGGTAATGACAATGATAATGATAATGATAAAGACACCGACACTGATTCAGATACAGATAATAAAAAAGGTAATAACGATACTGATGATGAAATTAATTTAGAATTAAGTGAATCTGATATAAAACTCATATTAAGAAAAAGATATCATGATACAAGCCTTTCATCATTAAATATTCCAAAGGAAAAATACGAAGTAATTTATGAAAATCTATTTATTCAAAACAAAACCTTAAAAAGACCAATAAATTTAAAGGATTTAATGCCTATTATTAATGTTGGTTGGCAAATTCATAATGTTAATAATATAAATAATAATTTGCCCTCTGCTTATAGAGGCCCTAATATTAATTATAATAGAAGTTATAAATATTAATTAATAATTATTAAAAATTGAAATATTCATATATGGTAATGTTGATATCTTGTTAGTTTATTTTTTTTTTTATTTATGAATCTTTTCCCCTTTGAATTTTTACCTTTTTTATTTTTTTTAATTTTTAATTCACCATTTTTGTTTTTTTCTTTTTGTTTATTCAATTTTTTTTATTCATTCGTTGTTTTTTTCCGTTTTTGTTTTTGTTTCTGTTTTAATTTTGATTTTGATTTTAATTTTAATTTTGGTCTTTCTTTTGTTTAATTATATAACGATTTCATTAACTTATTAGTTGTCTTTCTAATAATCTTTAATTTACCTAATTTAATATTTATTTAAATTTCATTTCAAAAATTAAAATTCAATTAATTGGATTGGTTATAAATTTTTATTTGATTCTATTAACCTCTGGGTATTTTCTAGTATTCTGATTCTTTGATCAGTTAATTCAGCGAATTTTTGTAAATCATTTGCATTTCTAGTCAATTCTTTCTCCTTTTTAATGAAATTGTACTGCAATTTTTTGTTGAATTTTTTCAAATTATTCAAATTGAGATTCAATTCAATAAATTGTTTTTGAATTTTTCGATCGTTTTCGTGAATTTGCTTTATCTTATATAGGGACTCGTTTTCATTGAATTCCTTATCTTTTTGGCTAATAATGTTGCTGTTATTATGAACATTAGTATTGTTATGACCACCTATATTATGGTTGTTATTACTGCTGCCGATGCTGCGATAGTTGCTGTTTGAAGTGTTGGAACTACTCCCAAAAGTGTTGTTGCTATTGCTGTTGCTGTTGCCGCCACTGTTAAGATTAAGATTGAGATTGAGATTGCCTATGTTGTTGATGTTGGCACTGTTGATTAGGTTCATATAACTTTGTTTCAAGAAGGAAGACTCCTTTATCGTGCTCTTGTTGTTTATGATCTTTTTTAGATTGGAGCTGAGCTGCTTCTGGTACTGCTCAGATTGCCAGAGCTTCTTTGCCTGCAACTGAGACGACTTCTGGACAACTCGTTTGAAGTTGTCAAACTCATTGATCTCGCTGCTGCTCATTGTCTCTTTCCTGGCTCTTCTAGTTCTTCTGCTTCCTCTTCTTTTGCTGTCTGTGCTGAATAAGGAGCAGATGCTGAAGGCTGGAAATAACCAGTGGAGGAAACTTGCTGTGGTTCGATTTTCGTTGGGAGCCGTTGAGCATTTTTGTTGCTTTTACTTTTGCTGCTTTTGCTGCTTTTACTACTTTTACTGCTTTTGTTGCTCGACACAGAGTGTGGTTATCAAAAAAATTTCAATTAACTAAACCCTACCTAATATATACTGAAAAAACTAAAAAACGCATTCCACTGAACCCAGAAACCCATCTAAACTGCATCTACAACTGCATTATCATTAACTTTTATTACCAAACTTGTAACTCTTCAAAAAAGTCAACTTGGTAGCTACATTTACTGACATTCTCTGCAACAATGTTTCTTAATGAATCACACATCGAAGAGTTGCCACAAGTAACTATACAAATAGATCCTTTTGTATACTTGAAGTTTTGGAGTATAATCTCCTCAAAGTTGGGTCGTTTTCCATAGTTTATTGTCACATATTGTCCAATTTTCTTGAGTATTTTATATTGATTCAAGTTTTCTGGTTTAAAATTGTCCTCATTAATCTCATAGACATCATTATTTAGTAACGAATCAAGATCCACTAGATTGATATTGGAATTGGAATTGGAGTTTGTTATTAAATTGGATTCATCGGTAATATCCATTGCTGCCAAATTACTACTACTATTATTACCAAAATCATCGTTTAATTCAAATTTTGAGGTATTCAGTTCATTCATTAATGAATCCAATTTTTTAAAACTTTTCAAACTTCCATTTTTATCACTTGTTTCAGTATTTGAAAATATTGGTTCATTTGAGACTCTAGTCATATAAATTTCAATATCAACTAAATTCTTCATTCTATTTGTATTTATTTTTTTATTTTGATTATTATTATTATCAATGCCAATAAGTCTCAATAACTCTGGGTAAATAAACTTGATTGATTCAAAATTTTTAACCACCCAAATTAATTTAATATATCTTAAATTTTTATACCCATCTTTTTTAATCATATTTATAGCATCATATAGTGGACCAGGTATACCATTACCACCTGCAATTAATAATATATTGTTATAATTTTTGAAATTTGGGCCATGTCCATATGGCCCTTCAACTGCTACTCTTATATTGATTTCTTTATTATTATTTATACTTTTTTTCAACATCTCTCCTATTTCGAATGTGATTCCCTCTTTAATTTTGATATAAATTGTAATTTCATTGGGATTTAGTATTGAATCAATAATTGAAAATGGATGTGATTGATAAAAATTTTTGCCCTTCAAGAAATAAATGAAAATATAACAACCAGGAAATGGTTTCCAGTTTTTTCGTCTTTTTATTGTAACTTTAAATGTGTCATCACTAAGATATCTTATTTTAGCAATTGGAAAACCAAATCTAATTATATTTATAATTCTAATAACTCGATCTGATGCCCAAAATAATACTGAAAGATGAATATATCCATGCCATCCAAGTCTTTTGCAATGATAATAAATAAATAGAAAAAAAATTCCTGCAAATAATATATGCCCATAAAGAAAAATTTCATAATAATGGTTTCTGAAAAAATGTAATGACTGAAACATTAAAATCCCACAAACTATTGTTGAAAAGACTCCCCAAAAAAAGTAATCAGTTTTAAAGCTTTTCAAGTATGAACCCTTTTTTATTTCAATTAATGAGTATAAGATTCCATGAAATGTTGAATTCAAAAACATCATCCTTGATGTCCATTTATGATACATAATTAATGATTTGTAAGGTAATCCAGTCAATAAAATGGTTAAATTATTACGACCAGCTAATAGTATTAATAAAGGCAAATGAGCAAAAGCTAATATCCCTGCTCTATCAGCTAGAAATCTTGTAACTTGGAAAACCTTTGGACCAAAAAGTTGGCTATTATTATTAAATTTATAGTCAAACATTAAGAAAAAGAAATTTAAAAAAAAATATAAAACTAACACAATGCTCTCAATTTTGTTTGGAAATAAAATCGAATTGAAAAATTTGAAGAAGAAATTGTTTTTAAGCGAATTGAAAAAAAAGAAGGGAGTTAAATGATTTGGTATATTTTTATTATGCAATAAAGTTGGGTATAAAGAAGTTGATTGCAAAATTTGAATTAATGAATTTGATCTTGATTTTAAATTGACAAAATAACGAGAAAATAAGTTTAAAAAAGTGAAGAAAATTAACGATAAAACCCAAAACAACATTATTAGTTGACCATATAACTGACTTGCATCAAGATTGTGATAGAAATTAATCAAATCAAGATAAAATGAGTTGACTACAGTCATGTTTGAGTTTATGGGAGTACTGTAAACATAATTTGGATCATTTTCATTTGGATCGATTAAGTAATTGGTTCCATTTTTTAGGATATCAAAGATTCTCGAAGAAGATAGATTTCTTCTACCGTATTGGAGACAGCTATTCTGGTATTCATTTAGAACATTCATTAACAAGTTCTCATCATAAGATTTAGTAGAGCTTGTTTGAATGGTGGTTTCATTTAAACAGTGTGCAACAGATGCCACCTTTGGTTCATAGTAGCAGCTACAGCCCCAATAGAAATCATTTGCACAGTTGAATTTTTTTTTGATTAGGTGAGATTGGCAGGCAAAAAGTGCGCCTTTATAACCACGACCAAAATTCTGATATGCTAAAGAGTGAGATATGAAGAGCAAAAATATGAGTGATTTATGAAGTAGCATTATGTCAATTTCTAAGTGATGTGTATTTGGTTTTCTAAAAAAAAATTTTATGTATTGTATTTATTGTATTTATTGTGTTTATTGTGTTTATTGTATTTATCTGTATCTTGATGGAGCTATGATGAATGGTTTTATATAAGACCAGCAAGAGCCCAGCTAAGTATATTCTATTGGTAAGATAACAGAATAAGTAAAAAGATAATAGAATCAGGCTGTCTCAACATGATCAGAAAAAAAATTGGTTTTATAATCAATCAACTACTGATGTCTGAACTGGTGAAGCGAGCTTTATGGCTCCATTTTGAGCGTTATCAATTTGATCTATCGGCGATTAGCACATTTTAGGAAGGTGCGGAATAAGCTTTAACATCAAGCGACACCCCAAAAAGAAAAAGAAGAAAGAGAAGAGACGTTTATTGTTAGTGTATGATGTTGAATTCTAGTATAGCGTAGTGTATATGATGGAAGCAGACAGCTGAGTAATGCAGAGATGCTATAGGACAGCTAGATGAACATCTCAACGTTCTCAAGATCGCCAGTGTTAATGAACCGCTGGACTATGAGCAAGTTTTTGTCAGCAATTTCCTGGATCTTGTTGTTGTAAATGCCACAGATTTGCAAGGCTTTCTTTGGAGGAATGGTCTTTCTGCCTTCCTTCAAGACGTACTTGGTGGTCAAGATGCAGTGGAGGTTTTTGTTGTCCTTTCCTGAACAAAACTTGGAGAGAACAAAGATCCACTTTTCGTCCCACGTCAAGATTCGGGTGATGATGTTGTATCTTTGAAAAGGAGCAATTTCTTTCTTGAAGATGGCCTGAATCGAAGCAACAGGAACATAAGGCGAATCTGCTAAGGATTTGAAAAACGAATTTTTATTTGGGGATGAATCTTGATAATGCCACATGAAATTTTGGAAAACAGACAACATTAGCTCGGTTCTTGCAATATCGCATTCAGTAAAGTAAGCAGCATTGTTTTTATGTAGGTAGAAATCGCATTCAAATGGAGAGTTATAAGTCTTTAAAATCGTAGGTCTAAATACTTTCAACTCATCGGTAGATACAACAGAGGAAGGTAGGGGCAATTTGGAAAAATCAATGTTTTTATGTTTGGAACAAAGTTTTGGCAAGATTGTAAGTGACACAATTCTCTTGTAGAATCTGAAATAATATGCTAAGGGAATTGATTTGTAACTTGAAAGAAAGTACAAAATGAAAATGTATTTCAAAACCTGAAAGAGTGCTGCTGAAAAGCCCATTATTCGTGGTTTACCTTGCTAGTAGTCAATTGATGAGAGTCATATATATTGCAATGTACGTTACAACAAGAAGATGTTCAAAGCTGGGTAGATATATAACGAAAGATAGCGAAGAGCAGTGGTATTTACTGAGCCCAACAAAAAGGCAACAGAAAAAGAGCCCGGTATCTCGGCTCACGTTCTTCCGAGGGGGCCCCTTCCAGAGCAGAAATTTGTTTCTCATCGCACCCATTGGGAAACGTGCCCTTTCACTTTGGGCTCAGCCAAAACCAGACCGCCGGATTGGAAAGAGAACCACAACAGTGGCTTTTGATTGGCTGATTTACATTTCGCCTAAAATGAAACAATTTCAAATTTCAATGATTCTGAATTAAGGTGTGTCTGTCTTTTTCTCTTTTGGGTGTTTGTTTTTTTCCCCAAAGAAACATATATAAACACCAGCAAACTCAATAGCAAGAAACACAAAGGGTCATAGGAAAGTGTGATTTTGGGATCAAAGGGCAAAGCAGAGCAGATCAAGAACACAGCAAGAACACAGCAAGAACAGGTCAAGAGTAGATTAAGAGTAATATCTAGTTGATTCAAAATGATTCCGATTGAGTACAGCATACCAACACTAGATAATGTGTTTGGGCTAAGATTATGGCCAATCTATGATTATTTTTACACTCAAATCATTGGATATAGAGCAGAGGACTTCAAATTTATATCTGGCAAGACATTCATGGCTAATGGATATGTTGTCATTGGAATGATGTTGGGATACTATGCTGTGATATTTGGAGGAAAATATTTGATTAAATATTTCAAGATCAAGCCATTCAAATTGAATTTTCTATTTCAACTACATAATATTTTTTTATCAACATTTTCAGGAATCTTGTTATTATTAATAATTGAACAGGTTGTGCCAATATATTTTAGAAACGACTTTTACTATAGTATTTGTGCTAAAGAAGCCTTTGATTCAAAATTGGTGTCGTTGTACTATTTGAATTATTTAACTAAATACTGGGAGTTGATTGATACAATTTTTTTGGTGTTGAAACATAAGAAATTGTTGTTTTTACACACATATCATCATGGAGCTACAGCATTGTTGTGCTATACCCAGTTGATTGGACATACATCAGTTGAATGGGTGCCAATATCATTGAATTTGGGAGTTCATGTTGTTATGTATTTTTACTATTTTCTTTCTGCTAGAGGAATAAGGGTTTGGTGGAAACAATGGGTAACAAGATTCCAAATCATTCAGTTTATCTTGGATTTAATTGCTATTTATTATGCGTTGTACCACTTTTACCTGGATAAATATTTCAAATGGATTCCACACAGAGGATCATGTCATGGTACAGAAGTTGCAGCAGCTTATGGATATTTGATTATAACTAGTTATCTTGCTTTGTTTATTAGTTTCTACATCAAGTCTTATAAGAGAAAGAGCCCAAAGACTAGCAAAATTGAATAGATATATGACAATTACGCCCAAACCAAGAAAAATAAAAAATGCCTACAAAAAATTTGAAAAAAAATAAAAACCTAAAAAAAAAAATTAAATCAATGATCAAAAGAACTTAAACTTAATAATATTTTTTTAACTGATTCTTTAATGATTTTTTGATCACTCTTTGATATTTCTTCAATACTCCTTTAATAACTATTTAATTTTCTCTATTTTTTCTCCTCACAATTCTTTCGTGCTCACAGTTGGAAGAAGCAAAATGGAAATGTGACAAATAGACACTGTATCTTGAACACATTGAGTATTTTAAACCATTCCAGCTTGGGCTTGAACATGTTTTACTACACTATTTGCTCCTAGATAAACCATTACATGTACAGTACCAACGATATAATAAATAATAAATCATAATGTTTTGCTTCCTAGGCATCGCAGGCTTCGGCACCGATAATTAAATCACTCACCAGGAAGCAGCTCTTGCTTACCCGCCGCGTACCAGCGTTGTGGATGCAAACCAGCGTTGAGGGTCTATTCAGCCTCACGCAAGGAGCAGCTTGGCCGCAGCGCCCAGCCGCGCTTGCCGCGAAATTTTAGGCGTCGGCGACGGCGGCAGCACGGCCGAGGAGGGCCGGGAGCGGAGGACGCACGAATGGCACCGCGACGGGACACAAACATCTCCAGCATATGCTTCGACAATAATTAAATATCTCAACTTCTCGCTTTGCTGATTCTCAGAAGCTTGTTTCTCCAAGAAATGGAATTGTTCTATGCTTTTGCACAGATCGCTTCCACTGGGTGTGTTTGGCCATCTTATATATAGTCCGAATACCTGGCCAGTTCTTTCAAACCCGTCCTTTTTCTACCACATAGCAATCCTTCACTGACTACCAGCTCTATCTGCTATCACCATCTCTCTTTATCGATCATGGAACCCAACAACTCAGCTGTCACCATTGTCAATGGCTACAAAATCCCAAACGATAATCTTTTGCCAATGGTCTCCCCTGTGAAAGTGCTGATTCCTTCCTCTTCTTCATGCTCTTTAGCGCTTCCTCCTCTCAAGTCTCTTATAAGGATCTCAAATTCTTATTTCAATGAAGCTGATTACTACTTGAATTCTAAAAACCATCAAAATCAAAACCAAAAAATCATTTTGCCACCTTTGAATATCAAACCTGCTATTGGTAATAATAACACAAACAAATTCAATCCCGTATTCAACTTGGATTTCCAGCAGCGCAGTCTTGATTATACCTCAGGTATTCCCCCACTTCTATCTTCATCTCCAGTTTCAGCCTCTTCTCCTTTGTATTTTTCCTCCCCTTCAAATTCCCCTTTCAATTCCCCTTCCAATTCTCCTCCTTATTCTGCTTCTTACTCCTCCTCACAAGATTCGGAGACAAAAAAGGCAAAAAAATCCTCAAGAAAGAGAAAACAATGCCCGATTTGTAACAAATTCTTTTTAAATTTAACCACTCATAAATCTAGGCATTTGGCTGAAGAATTGAGACCTTACATATGTGAAAACTGCCACAGAGGGTTTTCAAGACAGAATGATTTATTAAGACATTCGAAAAAACATTTGAAGGATAATATTGATATAAATAATTTAATTAATTCTCCCAACAACAGTAACAACATTCTTCTTAATAACAATATTATCACTGACAAAAATTGTCTAAATAATGGAATCTTTATCTGTCCTTTTGCAGATTTGAATAACATTAATCATAATAACTCTCATGCCCATTCCCATTCTCATGATCATGATCATGATATTTCTTCTTCCGATGAAGAAAACGTTTTTAAAATTCACAACGAACAAGTATGCCATCCAACAGGTATCTTTTCCAGATGTGACACTTTTAAAAACCATTTAAAAGCCTTGCATTTTCAATATCCAATTGGCACCAAAAAGAAAGACAGAAAATTTGTATCTGGTTATTGTAAAAATTGCGGTTTAAGTGTTTTAAATGTTGATTTATGGTTAAATCAACACATTATGAATAACAAATGTCCTGGTATTATAAACAAGCTATAATTTTATTTTTTTTTTTTTTATTATTTCTTCCTAATTTGATTTTCTTGTATTCTTTTTCTTGTATTCTTTTTCTTGTATTCTTTTTCTTGCGTTTTGTTTTTTTTTCTCTATAATTAACTAATATTCTGCTCTCTTAATGTTTTTTATACTTCTAACTTCTAATGAATAATACACATAAATTTCCTTGTAATAATGAATTTCTCATCCAATTACTTCCTCTTAATTCGTAGTTCTTATATCTATTAAATCAATCATTTCTATTAAATCGATAGTTCTATAATAAATTATGTTTTATTACTTAATTTCCGCTGCTTCCATTATTCCCATTAGCTATACCCTCTTTCAGCTTATTTTTTGGTCTTCGATGATAGGATTTATTGTTCTTTGCATCATTCAAATTGGAATTTTCGTTATCATTGCTTTTTTTTCCATTCAATTTATTCTTCGCTTGATTACTACCATTATTTTGTCCTGATTTTGATGCTGTTGATTTGTTCTCATTTAATGATGCTTGCGACTCTTTCTCTTTTCCTTTTCCTTTCCCCTTTTTTATCGGGTTCTTTTTATTTGTTTTTGTTGCTCTTTGCTTTGGTTTGCCACTTAATGACGATGGTGATGTCCCTTTTTTCATCATCTTCTCAATCCTCTCTTGTTCTTTTATACTTTTCTGAATTCTACTAGATTCCTGTTCCCACCATTTTTGAAACTCCTCCTCTTCTTGAATCTCTGCAAGTGATTTAACCTCAACAGCTCTCTTTCGGTTATTCCTGGATTCTTCCTCATAAATGATAGAAGACAATGAAGGTGCAGATAGCTTATCAAATGATCCCGAAAAAGAAGTAGCACTCTTGGTTTCATTGTTACCCCCATCTTTATCTTGATTTTCCTTATTATTCATTATTGTAGATTTATTATTTTTCCACTTAAAAGAACTTTTCGAAACTGTAACTTCCTCTTTTAATACTGGCTCCTTTAATGATGAACTAAATCTTCTTTCACGTTTTTCTTTTTGATTCAGTCTGAAAATTTTAGAATTTAGCTTGCTTCCAAATTTTGATGTGTTCAGAGGTCCTTGTAAATCTGGCCAAATGTTATCATTGAAATTGTCATATAACGTTTTAGAAGAATTGTTTATAGAACCCCAATTGCTATTAGCACTTAGTCCGAATTTAAAATCATTGTTATTTTCATGAATGGGTTTACTTTCACTAAAGTTCCCAAGAATTTGAGTTTTTGATAAAAGAGGAGAATCTGCATTGAAACTTGAGAATGACAATTTTCTTGGTTCAGGAGACTCTAGATAAACAAATGAAGATTCATAATCAGTCTTTGAATACTTTCTTGTTTGTGTTTGAGAAAGTTTGCTATTTAAACTATTATTTTTATTTTGAGAAGACTTCCTGCGATTAGAAACAACTGGAATAAACTCTTCATCTGATGACATTTCATCTAATACAGAATCTTCATTAATAATAACAGAAGGCTTTAATGAAAGAACTGAATTAATTGGAATTCCAATAGGTGCAGAAGAAAGATTTAATTTAATTTCTTCAGTTGAGACAGATGGTAAAGCCTTTTCAATTCTTATTGGTTTGGGCTCCAGAATATCAATATCAATTATGGGATGGAATGTCTCATCTTTTCTATCCAAAAACAATTCATTTGTTTTTTTCATATCATTAATAAAACCCTTTAATAGAGAATCACTTTTCTCACTGGAATAATGTTGAATTGAGTCTTCTACTTTTGAATTTTCCAATTCTTTCTGAATGGGATCTTTAAGGCCTTGAAATAAATGAAAAAATTTCATATATTTTTCAACTTTTTTCAAAACACTATTATCATTCAAATCAGAAAAGGGTCGAAATAATAATTCTTCAAGATTATTGAAAATAAACCACATGCTATTTTCAAACAACTTTTTAGCATTTAAAGCATCAGCAATATTCAATAACTCTATGACATTATCAGCGTCAATAAAGTCAATAATAAAACATTGAAAATAATCCTTTAATGTAAACAACATCAATTCATCAGAAGCAGCTATAACTTTCAAAGAAAAATCAATTAGTTCGTCAACTGAAAACTGATGGGTACTTGAATCTAACAAATCTAAAAAATCACAACCGTATAAATGTTTTAAAACAACTTTAAAAACATTACATTCAACATGAGAAAAATTTATTGTTTTGTTAAAATTCTTTTGAAACCAAATTCTAGAAAACATTGTTTCAAAGTAAGCAGATCTTGCTAGTAATATGCAGGATGCACAAGAAATTTTGCCATCAGATAATTGAAAAGTAACATCATTAAAAGAATTTAAAGATGGATTGTCAATTGAATTTCTCAAATCTTGACAAAACCTATTTTTAAAATATCTGCCAACAGAAAAGTTTAGCAGGAAAATTTCAAGTAGTTTAAAAGTAAATTTTTTAGTTTCCAATATAATTTCTGAAATGCTTTCATCTTTAATTTTATAATTCTCCCATGTAGAAACAAATTGGTCAGTGTAAAACAAATGAATAATTATTAAAACAGAATTAATATTAGCGTTTTGCACATTAATTACTTCAGTTTTTGGATCATAAGAAATTTTTAAATCATCCTTTGTTAAAACATTATTGGAAGATTGAAATAATTTATAAAAAACAGGACTTCTAGATGCCAAAATAATTTTATGAGCTCCGATTTTTGTATTTTCAACTTGAAAAAAACAATCATAGTTTTTGATTGTTGTAAAATCAATCAAAGACAATTTTTCGGCGATCTTTTTCAGATTAAGCACAGATTTTAGTTTTTCAAAGCTATCATATGAAGATAAATGAGAATTGGTTGTAAGTTTATATCTTTTTTCCCATCTATCCAGATAACTCTTTTTCCAATGATCAAGAGATATGGTTTGGTTTTTTTCATGAATATTGTCATCATCTATACTAAAACTATTATCTTCATATAATAATTTCTGCTGTTGCATAAAATAAAAAGTGTTAAATTCATCTTGAATGTGATATTCATTGGAAAATAGGTCATCTCTCTTGCTCAGGGGTGAAAATCTGCATAATGGAGACAAATACTGTATATCGTTATTTATTTGTTCTTGTTTAATTCGTAAGGGAAGTAAATCCGTATTATTTTTCAAAAAACCAAAAGTAGAAAATAATGAATCGCAGGATACTTTTACAATGTTAGTGAGCTTTGGAACTTTAATAAATTTGAAATCTGAATTAGAATAAAAGATATCTTTAAATGAAATACTGTTTTCAAATGCAAGTGTTTTGCTAACGGTTTTATAGACAGCTCCATCAGCAGTACAAAAAACAAAAGAACCATCGGCTCCTATCTCAAAGTCTGTGACAATCAAAGAAAAGGAACGTGGTTTCCAAACTCTTTTAAATTTGATAGATTTTTGAAGTTTTAAGATATTTTTAATTGAAACATCAATTTTGAAGGTAAATAAATCACCGGTATCAAATAAAATGCCGAAATTATAAATGTTATCAATTAAATTTACATCTTTACCAACAATTTTAACTATTTTTCTTCTAGAGGTATAAAATATAGATTGAAAAGTGTGAAATTTTTTTTCTTTTTTTTCTTCTAAATTGGACAATTGTCTAAATTCAGATAAGTAAAGTGGAGGTTGAACCTTTATATGAAAGCCATTTAAATAGATATGTAATTCATTTGTTGATTCAACTAGAATGACGGTGGCAAATTCTAGAGAAACAATATTTTGAATGGTTCCAAAGACAAAAGGGATATTTATTGGATTTGATTGAACAACCGCTTTTGAATAATTTTTATATTTTATAACATCCCCAATAGATGTAATTCCAATTTGACCAACATTCAAACCCCAAAAGAAAATATGAGAGGAAGAAAAAGCGATTGAGTAAATCTTGGAGCAAGAAATACCAATTATTTTTTCTTTTTTCAAATCACCACTAATTTTTTTAGGAAAATTGTTAAAAGGGTCTATTAACTTAGTTTTCTTATTTTTAGAAAGATTATCGTTTGGAGAAAATTTGACTTTATAACCAAGTTGACCATAATTGTTTAAACCCCAAGAATAAACCTCGCCTTTTGAGGACAAACATAGAGTATGCTCTAATGATAAGGCTACATCAACAATATTGATATCTTCAAAGACATTGTCACCTGTTGGAATAAAATTTAATTTTGGTAGCTGATTATCGAGTTCACCTAAACCTAATAAACCCTTTGAATTTTTACCACAAATATAAATATTGTCGTATTGTTCATTTGTTAATACAATTGAATGATATTTTGAAATGAAAATGTTTTTAATTCGTGGTTGGAATAGTATATCATTGAGATATTTCCTATTATTTGTAGCAGATTTTGAATTGTATTGCTTGATCGCCACCTTTGTCGGGTTTAATAATCTGTCATCTAGGTCACCAGTACCTAAGATTCCATTAATATTGGAGCCAAGCATAAATATATCCAAAGCGCCTCTTTTTTGTGTCCACCAATTATCAATAACTGGAGTGTTTTTTTTGAATCTCAAGTATGCCTGGTAATTGGAATCATTTGGATTACATTTGTCAAGTTCTTGTATATTCCATCTTTTTTCAACATTAATTTGGTAATTCGAGTTAATTGAAGTATTTAAACAATAAAAATCGCTATCTTTCCCAATTGAAGAAGGATAGTAGTAAAAAGTTCTGGTATTTGTGTAGTGCTTTAGTAAATCTATTGGAGTAAGCCCTTCTCTGTCTCTTGCATTTTTTAGCCGTTCTTTATCCCTTGAAGATATAATATTTGAGTGAATAATTGCAGAAACACAGCTGAAATTTCCATTTATGATGGATAAATGCAAGATATTGTAGCCACTTTCATAATCAGTTGCATGGATATTCAAAAATTTCTTGTTGTTGCTGTTGTGGTTTGAGGATTTGAATCTGTGACACAGATACAGAATTTTTTTATTGTAATATAACTTTAGCAATCGTTGAAGAATATCAGACCTTCCTAGAATACAAACCCAATGTAAAACGTTTCTTCCAAAGATGTCTCTTTTTTGAAGATCATATTCATTTAGATTCGAAAGTAATGCTGACAACTCCTGGCTTTGAAGTGGTTCTTTTGTGTCCATAAAAAAAGAGACTGGTTCTGGGTTTGATTTCGATCTGGTAAGCGTTTTTCAGTAGTTTGTGCTGAGTAGAATAAGAGAGAAGATGAGTTAGAAACTGCACTTTTTATCTTGGTGATCTTCTTTCTGAAGCACAAAGAAAACTCGATCGGGTCCGGACGCTCGTCGAAGAAGCAGATGATTTATAATCATGTTTCCAGTGGCATTGCAAATGTAAGCCAAAGGGAAGAACACAGCTGTTGGAGTTTTGGCAGAAATGTAGCATGAAAGATACTCAGTTAATAGCATATTGAGAATAGAGAAAGAAGAGCCTCTTTGGCTGGAGATTCAACATTTTCGCATATACAGACACGTAGCATATGTTCGGAGATTGCAATATCTGTATTCGTATCAGCCTTGTTCGAATTGCATTTCGAACAATAGTGCTTTTGGTGCTTTTCTATCGTGTATCTGATTAGATAAAACTGTAAAAAAACCATTGAAATAATTATTTTCTATCCAATCTCAACATGAATATCTTTTTAAAACCAAACCTCTTAGCTTTGTTTATCTTGCAAAACTTGGAATGATGCTTATCTCATTAAATGAAAGATTTAAATACACCAAGTTAGCCAAATTTAATAATGGTTCAACATTGCTGATTTGATTAATTAACAAATTCAAATACTCCAGTTTAAACAATCCAGATAAACGTTCAACATTGGTTATCCTATCCGAGGGCAAATTTAAATATTTTGATTTAACTAAACCCTTTTAACCTTCGAGCTGCTCGATTTCATTCCCTGCTAAATTTAAGTGAGTTAAGTTCTTTAGCTTTGTTATCTATATTGCTTATAGAGTTGTCTCGCAAATTTAGATATCTCAAATTGGTGAATTTGAATTTGTTTTCAATTCGGGTATAGCTGTTTTCAAAAAGAAGTAGATTATGCAAATTGATTAAATTGAATAAATTTTTTATTATCGAAGAAGTGTTTGCACTAACATATAAATTATTCAAATTAGGTGAATTGGGTAAATTGAGTAAATTTGATAAATTTTCAAGTTTCTCCATAAGATTGAAAGTCAAATTTAAATATTGTAATTTAGTTAAATTCGAGAAATCCGGTATGTAATTGATTAGATTTCTTGCTAATTGCAGATAAACTAAATTGACTAAATCCTCAGTTATAATGATATTATTATTTGATAGATTCAACACTTTAAGACAATCAAACCTCAATTAATAGTTGCAACCCAAACAAATGTCTTTTCTTTCAAATCTAAGATAAGCAACTCTCAAATATTTTAATATGCTTGAACAGAATAATGATACATCTTTTTTATGAATTATAACTTTGGTTTTTGCCTTTAAAAAGTTCATAGCTGGAAAAACAAACAACCACCAAGAAAAATAAAAAACTTTTAGATGTTTTTTGATATATAAATCATCAGGTAATGTTAATAACCATAATTTATCGCACCTCAAAAATAATAAAATTTCTCCGATGAAATTAAAAAGCAAGTAACAAATATTCAATTTTTCCTTAGAAGAAACAATTTTTGTGTTAATTGCATTGTAACTCTCCGATAAATTGCAATCGGTTTTTAGCACCATTATTATTTTTTGAAATCAAAATCAAGTGAAAGAGTAGCACTTAATGAGATCATATTCAGTAAAAGTAAATATTAAGTAATAGCTATTGAAAACAAAAGAAAATAATAGAATTTAGCTAAAGTTGAATTAACTCAAAGTTGCAAATCACAAACAGAACGATTCTAATGGCTTTCAGAGCCATTGATATCAAAACCTGCTTTGTTTTCTTAATGATTTAAAAATTACACAGCATACTTAAAATACTTTTTATCTATCAATTATCTCACAAGGAGAAACACAAAAAACTAATTATTATATACATTATCATCAATTATATATATTATCATTTTATATCAATAACAACGCATTTCCTGATCAGGAAACAATCTAGCCTCAGGCTTCAAAAGCTGTTTAATCGATACTTTTTATAGAGAAAATGATATTTTACTAGTAAAACACCTTCAAGATTTGAGATATTTTTGCTTTCTATTTTTGCCGAGGATGATTTTTCGGGTTTTCTACATCCATAGAATGAAGAAAGAAAAAACTTCAGTAAATAGGATTGTTTTCTAAAGAACATAAACCAAGACATTACTTTCTAACATTTTATAAAATCTAAACAGGAGTTTTTACCAGCTTCTAAAGAATCAAAAATTATTTACAAGATACAATGCTACATATTCTTTTCTTTCTGATAACTAAATATAATTGATGCAAAATTTCGACTATTTGAGTATAAAACACTTTCAATAATAATAATATAGGTTTTTGTTTATCTAATACGATAAAATAAACACCATTCCAAAGTGAATGAACTCTTGTTTCAAATGATCTCAAATTGTAATTCAATTTTTTTTTTTAAATTTGAAACAAAAACATAATATCCTATTCAAAATTATTTAAAAGTTCCATGAAAAAGGTTTTAATTATACATTGCGTGTGAATTCTATATCATTAACTATTTGCAATAACAAATTTTTTGTTATTTTCAGTTGTAAAAAAAAGAAATGATCTCAGTGATGTTATAATCAATTTATAGTTGCTTCTGTTTTTTCTTTGGTGGAGCCAAAGACTCGCCATCATATACATTGCCATTAGATTCATTTCCTACAGGTTGCTCTGAGACCTGCCTGCTTTCAGTTTGTTGAGACAATACTAGAGTGGGCTTTTTCTCTCTTTTTCTTCTCAATGCATTTGGACCTTCATATTCTCTTGTCAAAGCCAACAATAGAGTATTGCATCTTCTAGATAATTCTTGTGGTGTTCTAGATAAAAAGAACCAATCAAATTTGAATAGCTCACATTTAGAGATTAACTCTTTAATTTTTTCAAACAAGTTTTCACAAAAAAGCCCCAATTTATTTACCATTATTAGTAAAAATTTATCTTCAAGCTCGGAATAAATTCTTTTAGAGTTATTAGGTGGATACTGAATTACCATTTCCTGTATTGGAGCTCTGTATTGAGAAACCTTTGACAAAAGCAATCTTTGTTGGTTCATTAATCTTTTTGATTTTTTTTCGCCGGCTTCGATTTGTAATATATACTTTTCATGTCCCTCTATTTCTTTATATCCTTTCCAAAATGCTTTACTATAAGAGATTATTTCCTCTTTGGTCTTGTTACCCATTTCTCTCACTATTAAATCAAAAGAATTTCTTCCATATTTTGCAACTGCATGAACAAAATTTGTAAAATCACGTCTAGTCCAATTACCAAAGGCCTCGTCAATATATTTTTGTTTTAATTCTTCTTCTTCTTTAGTGAGTGGCTCAGCTTTGTTAATTTTTAATTGTTCTCGTTTTTTCCTTTTATCTTTGCTTTCGTGCTCTTCAGATTTATCATTTTGATCAATATCTGGAATATCAGCTGATAGTACTTTGTAATTGATTTGTTTTTTATAGTAATACATTTCCTTTTCCAATATGGTTTTAAATTCAGAAGAGTAAAATTGATGGTCTTGGATATGAAAATTTTTTGGAGCCTTTGGAGCTTTAATTGAATTGGAAACTTTGGTGCTTTGAAGCACATCTTTATAGTAATTGTCAATTGAATATGTTTGTTCTTTTCTTTCTCTTTTGCTTGGATTGATCCATACAGAAAACCCTTTATCATTACCCTTTTTAGCAAAATTTGTTCCATTCCATTCATAGGCTGAAGAATCCGATGTGAATTTTTGTAAATCATCAAGACCCAAGTTTTCAAACTTTTTATTAAGCGTTTTAGTTTTTTGTTCACCCTTTTTAAGAATAGTGTCAATGTCATCATCGCCTATGGTCGAGTCTTTTGATTCAAAAACCTTTTGAGCACCATGTTGGATCATGGTTAATAGATCATCTTTTGTGTCACCAAGTTTTGAGTTGTTTTTATTTGAACGCCCTTGTTGAATAACTAACTGATCTAATCTTAGTTTTTGAGCGGCTCTTTCGATAACTTTTTCTTCAATAGCATTTTCAGTAACAAATCTAAAAACCTTGACTTGTTTCTTTTGGCCAATTCGATGAGCTCTATCCATTGCCTGTAAATCAGCTTGTGGATTCCAGTCTGAATCATATAATATGACTATATCGGCAGATGTTAAATTTATGCCCAAACCACCAGCTCTTGTTGTTAGAAGAAAAATAAATTTATCTGAATCTGGTTTATTGAATTCATCGATGGCAAAAATACGATCTTCATGAGGAGTTGAGCCATCGATACGGCAGTATTCGAATTCTCTAAAATAACAATAATCTTCCAAAATATCTAATAGTCTACTCATTTGGCTAAAAATTAGGACCCTTGATCCTTGTTCTTTAAGTCTCTTTAGCAATTTATCGAGAATAATCATTTTTCCCGAATTGAAAATTAAATGTTCATCAGTTGTATATGGAGGACCAGGTTCAGCTCCTTCGAAAAGATAAGGGTGGTTACAACATTTTCTCAACTGCATTACAATATTTAGCAATCTTGTTTTGCCTTCTCTTTTACCAATGACACCATTAACAGCATCAATATCTTTTTCTAATAATTTTTTGTACCATTTAATTTGCATTTCGGACATTCCAACATAAACGTTGATCTCCTTTTTTGGCAATAGTGACTTTTCCACATCGGCTTTTACTCTTCGTAGTAGAAAGGGAGATAGAATTTTATGCAATTTTTCAACCATCAAGTCTTCATCTAGTCTATCCAGATTTGGATCAGTGGTGGTTTTATTAGGAGTGGATGTGACCGCATTAGTGTTTGTAGCAGAAGACTCAATGTTATTTTCTTTATGATGGATGGTATTTAATTGATTTCTCTTGCTGCTTCTTAGTTTTCTCGTTGTTTTATTTTCCAGAGATGTTTTTGATTCATTGTTATTGTTGTCGTTGTCGTTGTCGTTGGAATTGGGGTTGGAGTTGGAGTTGATTAATTTTTGATTGTTATTGTTATCTTTTTCAAACCATTGATCGAAAATTTCTGAATCACTGAATATGTCAGGTAATAAGAAATTCAATAAGGCCCATAATTCATGTAAATTATTTTGTAGAGGAGTGCCGGTTATTAATAGTCTATTTTTTGAGTAAAAGAGTCTGATGATTTGGGATAAGGCGCTGCTCTCATTTTTAATTCTATGAGCTTCGTCTACAATAATATATTTCCAGGCAAATTTTTTTAGGTGAGATTTTTCCTTTATGACGGTTTCAAAAGAGGTTATACAAACATCAAAGTCGCAAGTTAGTAATTTTTGTTGGATCAAGTCAGCCCTGTCATTTTTCAAGCCTTGTAAAACCAAGACGTTTACGTTGGAAGTCCATTTTGAAAATTCTCTTCTCCAATTGTCGAGAGTTGATTTTGGGACTATAATTATAAAAGGGCCGGAAATTCTTTTGTAGTATCTTAAATAGCCCAAAAAGGATATGGTTTGTAGAGTTTTTCCTAAGCCCATTTCATCAGCTAGTATACCCGAGATTGAGTTTTCGTATAGAGAGATTAGCCAGTTTAAACCTTGAATTTGGTAGTCTCTTAGTTTTCCATGATTTATGTAGTAGGGAGATTGTGTTATTAGAGGAGAGGATGTGGACAGAGATTCGATGTCTTCTTCGTCGTGAATTAGTTCAGCATCTTCTTCTTTTTCAGTTTTTCTTCGTCGATTTGAAGAGGTGGTGGAGTTTGAATCGTTGGGTAAATTGTTCAAATTGTTAATTCTTTTGCTTCTTCTGGAGGATCTTAGATTTGATTTTTGGTTTTTTTTTAATTTTTTAGATTTAATATTTTTTGTATTTTTGATGTTTTTGTTGACTTTATTATTATTAGCCTCGTTTTCCAGATCTAGTTGGGTTAATATTTTTTTCAATTCTCTATCTTTGGATAATCTTGATTCGATAAACTCTCTGAATAAATCAGTCAAGTTTAGTAAGTATTTGATTCTCTTTAGGATATCGTCATGGTCCTTTGATCTTTCAATTTTAGGGTCGTTTGTGAGCAAATAGTGAGGTTTGTTTTCATTTACTATAGCAAGCTCAGCTTTTTCGTCAAGTTTAAAGAAAGAGATTGAATCATCGTCAGATAATTGAGGGGTGGAGATACCCGAAGCGTTTTTGTTTGAGATTCCATTTAGCTTTTGGTTTGAATTTGGAAGAGGGGCTTTAAGAGAGTTTTGGTTAGAATTTTGAATCGATTCCAGGGTTGAAATTTCAGCATCATCGTCGATGTTGCTCTTAGCAAGACGATGTGTGATTGTGTTGTGGTGGCTGTGATTTGAAAGCAGCTTTGGGGAAGTATTGCTGTCCAAATCAGAGATGGGTGCAGACTTCGTTGTTCTGTCCAGACGATCCTTCTTTGACTGGATTTCCAGATAATGGATATGTCAGTAGAATGTAGATAAAGCAATGCGAGTGGGCGAAAGAGATGAGATCTGGTGCAAGTCGAGAAGATAGGATGGAGGGAGAGTACATACCATGATGGAAGAAAGACAGGAAAGCAGGTGTAGTGGGTGGAAGAGAGAGCTAAGGGGAATACATATCTGAGAAATATAAAGAATTTGCCAATTGAAGACAGAAGAGAACAAATAAAAACGTGAAAGAGTTTCAAGAAAGAAAACATTATGCTCCAGACAGAAAAACCACCGCTGCGGGTGGAAGTTAGAGTTTCTGCCGGAGAGAAACCCGCAGCGCTGGACATAACGGTCCACACGTGCGGGTCTTCTTTGCAGTGCTTCTGCGTGCTGCTTCTGCTGCTTCTGCTGTCGGTGCTTCTGTTATGGACTCCGAAGCTGCTCTTTTCCACACCGCTGTCTACGACGCCGTCAGAACTGTGCCCTGGGGCTGCGTCACCACCTACGGCCACGTTGCGAAGATGATCGACAGACCCTCCAACCCCCGCCAGGTGGGCCACTCCCTCAAGTTGCTTCCCCAGCCCTCTGTCTCTGCTGGTTCTGCTGGTTCTGCTGGTTCTGCTGGATACGACAGCGCCACTGTTCCCTGGTGGAGGGTTATCAACTCCCAGGGCAGGATCTCCAAGAGAGCCAATTCCAATGACGAGCTACGCCAGCTACACAGACTACTTCAAGAGAACGTCCACGTCGATCCAGATCTTCTAAAGGTTGATTTATCTATGTATGGTTGGTTCCCAGCTACTGATTGGGACTAGTTGTTGCTGCTTCACAGTCTACTGTTGCTGCTTTCCATCTGAAAAACTCATCACTGCCCACTTGCCAGAACTGCACCACAACTCTCCTACTTCATTGCCCAAACTTTCCCAGTACTTGCATAACTCTTCGTCTTTTCCCTTGGGCAATCCAGCAACGACGTCTGCTTTGCAGGTTCTCAATGATAGCATTTTCAATTTTGACCATGCTAGGTCTTGAATCGCAACACTGAAATCAACGCTTCTATCCCAAACTCTATCATCGGTTAGTTTTCTATAGTTCAAATCTCCCTTAAAAATAATCAAACTCGACTCTAATAAATAATCGTAAAGTTCTTTGTTTTCTTTCTTTCCTGAAATATCCCAGTACCCAGAGTTTAGTGTCCAAAATTCGTTGTCCTTTAGAATAATTTGCTTCCTTTCATAATACTTTTGGATTTGTTCCCCGACAAATTTCAATTCCTCTTTATGAACAACTCTTTCTCCAAAAAAACTACCATCTTTATCCAACAAATCCTCAATTGTCAAAAAAAAGTCCTTCTTAGTAACGTCAGACACCATCCATGGTCTAGGTTTGCAATGCAATACGATCTCATCTGCAATTTTCGAATCCAATAAAAACAAACTGAAAACTAGATCAGTGTATACTTCAAACCCTGAATTATCTAAAATAAAATCAACTCGTTTTTTCCCATCTCCATTCTTACCCCCATGATACAACGCCTTCCATGCTCTATCCAACTCGTTGATTAAAATGTACTCTTCCGATTTCTTTCTCGCTTCTTTTCCTTGAACAGATTGGATATCTTTCAATGTAGCATTAGTCAATAATGATAAATCCGTAGCATTTCCCCATAAACTAATCTCTGCAAATTCATCAAATAACAATTCCAACACTTTTTCCTCAATTTTTTCTCCACTCGCTTTTTGCTTCTCAAACTTGTCCAAAAACTCATAATGCAATTGTTTGTAATGAATTGCCAACTCTTCCACCCCAAAATGCGAGGACTTGAATGTGTCTTGTTTTAAATTTTCAAATATATCATAATCTTCAAACAAGTCTTGATTTTTAACAATAACATCAATTCTCCTATAAAAATACGTCTCAGAAAATAGCCATGCGCTGTTCAACCAGCTCAATTTCTCTTCTTCATTATCAACTAACAAATATTTTTTGTATTCCTCAATTTGTTTATCGTAAAAATCCAACCCAGGAATCTCAGAATTATTAAACTTACTCAACTCTTTGTTTGACAATAATTCATCCTTCATATCAATTAACTGGCTTTCAATTACCTTAGCTTGTTCCAAGTAAGCACTGTCATTGTCCTCATTTTTACTTTGTTTTCGAATGAGATTAGAAATATCGCCAATTGCACCATCAAGAATCTTGGGCCATCTCGATCGAGCTGTTGAATAGGCAAACGACCTCTTGTTATCGTTATAGTAGTACTTGGGAACAGTTACAGACATACTCCACAATCTTCAATCAGATTCGCAATATCTTACTATATATTCTAGCTGATTAACTCATTCAATTTATATCTCTCCTGGAAAGTGAATGTAGGATGTCTTTCTTACGACAAAACACGAAATTTTAAGTTGATCATTAAGAGCGAAATATCAACTATTTTCAACTGCAAAATCTATATTTTTATATATTTTTATACATTTTTATACATTTTTAAATATTTAAAAATATTTTTTTTTTCTTTTAAAAAATACAGTGAAATAGATAAATAAAAATGCCACCAAAGGGATGGAGAAAAAACCCAGATGGAACATATCCACCTCCCAACCACGACCATGAAAAGATCTCTATTGATGAGATTTTATTTCCAAAGGCAACTCTACTTCGATTATCGAAATCAGTATTACAGGATGGTAATTTAATTTCCAGAGACTCAGTAACTGCGATTCAAAGATCGGCTACAGTTTTTGTTTCTCATTTGATGCTATTCGCAAGAAATATAACCTCAGAGAATGGCAGGAGCACTGTTAATACTCAGGATTTATGTGAAGCATTAGAAAAAGTTGGGTATGGGAGTTTTGTGCCAACCATTCAAAAAGATTTGGAAGTGTTCATTGAGAATAAAAAACAGAAAAAAATGAGAAAGCTTCAAGAAAAAGAGAATTCAAATGTCAATCAAGAGCCAATAGAGATCGATGATCTGAACATGAATACAAATGAAGAATTAAAGTCAAAACCAAAACTAAAACCAAAATCAAAATCAACATCAAGTAACACAGATCATGGTAAGATAGTTGATGATAAGATAGAGTTACCCCCAAGTAAAAAATTGAAAAGTAGTTTGGGGAAAAAGTCATCGACGATTAAAGCTCCAAAAAATAATGAAAGTGACGATGAGGCAGATGAAGAATGGAGTGATAATGAGGTGGTGGTTAATAAAGAAGAAGACGAAATAATAGAGAAGGAGTTAGTTGAAAGCGACAATGAAAATGAAAATGAAAATGAAAATGAGAAGGAAAATGGGGATAATAATGAAGATAAATTTGCTATATTGGATAAAGAAAGCAAAGAAATAGAAGGAGAAGAGAGCAACGAGAATGAAAATGAAAACGAAAATGAAAATGATAACGATAGCGATCTTAATAATGAAGATATAAAATAGGTAATTTATTGAATATTTGTTTATTTATTTATTCATTTATTAGATTAGCGAGTGTATGTTATATTATATAAATAAATAAAGAAATAAGAATTGAGTGGAAAAAATTTATAGTTATTTATTATCACCATCATTGGAATGACGAGGAAAGCATTTACCATATAAAGGGAGGCCACAAAAGTCACCAATAAACAAATATAAAAAGAAAAGGGCTATAAAAGCAACAATTAATCTAAATTTCAAGTCATTTAACCAGATTTTTCTCTTTAGATGAGTAGTTCTTTTTTTGAAAGTATTTGAATTGAAGTTTAGTTTATCGGTTTTATTGACTAATAGGCCGATTCTTTCATCTCTTTCGATAATTTTATTAATGTTTTCATTCATGATTTTTTTAATGTTATTTAGTTCTTGTGTAGCGAATTCTATATCTAAATCAGCCACAGACAGTGGGTCGTAGTTTTGAGTAGTTTTAGCAGGGTTGTTGGTGTTATTATTTGAAGAGGAAGCAATTGAAGGATCTGGATAGACTAATTCAGTTAGAATTAAATTTGAAGGTTGAGAGAGTAATTTTTCCTCTTCTTTTAGGATTAAATTGTCAAAAATCTTTTTAAATTCAGACAAGTAGGAGGTATCTTTTGGAGAGGTGTTTTGAGGCGAAGAAGTGGAGCCGTAATCGTTTGTAATGTTAATATTGTTAGTGTTTGTACTTATATTCAAGTTTTTATTGTTATTGTTATTTTTTTTGTCAAGATTATTTGTATTGGTAGTGTTGCCATTGATGTTTGAATCGATGTTATCTTTAAATTTTTTGAATTCATTGAGGATATTGTCCATGAGTTTGAAGGGGATTTTTTTATTGAGAATTGTTGGACATAGAGTTATTATGGTGATTAGGTCATTGTTCAGATGGGAGTTGAATTTGATGTAGTAAAGAGATAGTTTGCAGATGTTTAGGCAAGCTTTTTCTGAGGGGGACAAGTTTTTTAGAGAGTTTAGTGGGATGATGCCCAAGTAGAGGGAGTTTGAGTTGTTAATTGGGGGTATTTGGTCAGAGATTATTTCAAAGGGATTGAAGTTTAGATTGTTGTAGATTGATTTTTTGAATTTGACATTTTCGTAGGCGAATAAGGTGAATGAGTTTAGTGTTAAGGTTGTGAATAGAAAGTGTTTGAATTTGTTGTTTGGGTCATTTGCAAGAGAAGAAGGGACTTGGGTAGCCATTTCAGGAAAAGATGGATGAGTAGAGGTATGTGGAGAGGTATGTGAAGAGGTGAGGTGAAGAGGTGATGAAGATGAAGATGAAGAGATGAAGAAGAGATGAAGAAGAAAAGGTAGGATGGAGGAAAGGGTGAAGATACGGAGGGGTTTTTTAGGAGCAAGGTGAGGTGCGAAAGAGAATAGTATATTATATTATATTATAGTATATTATATTATATTATATTATATTAGATTAGATTAGATTAGATCAGATAAGATTAAAATGAAAATAATTCGAAGTAATTACGAGATTTATAAGTATAATACGAGTCTATATATAAAGGAATTGGGGATCGTAATTGATTGAGATTGAGATTGAGATTGAGATTGAGGATTGTTTTTTGATGGCTTTTTGACGGCTTTTTGATGGTTAGTTGTTTTTTTCTACAGCCGAATTTGGGGTGAGTTCAGTGTTGAAGATTTTGTCCCAAAATTTGCTTGTGACACCAAAACCAAGTTCGTAGTTTTTGTAGTGGTGTTCTAAATGGTACTTTTTCAATTCCTGGAGGTATTTGGGAAGACCAACGTGGTGGAGAGAGTAGTGGCAGACATCGTAGATGATGTAGCCTAGAAAGCCACCAGAGAAAGCTGCACAGGCAATGTAGTAGGGGAAAATGGAAAAGATTAGCTTGTAGAAGGGGAAGCAGAGGGCAACGAATAGGGTTGGGGGCATGACGAGTCGTTGCTTGTCCATGGGTAAGAAGTGGTGAACGCCATGGAGAAGGAAGTGGATCATGAAGGCGAGACTGTTATTGGGGAGATAGTGGTCGAGATGGAAGAGAAATCTGTGCATACAGTATTCAATGAGGGTCCAGATGAACAAGCCTAGGGCGAACATGGAAAGAGAGTAGTAGAGAGGTAGGTTGGCGAGGGCAATTGAGAGTATATAGAAATCGACCGGAAGCCAGAGAGTAGGCACAATCCACCAGGGAGTTAGAGAAAGAGGCTCTAGAAAGTTGCCAAACAATGGGGCAGAACCCTTACCATAGTGACGAGGTCTGTGGACTTGGTCGAGATAAAAGTCTTTGCTGAAGTGGCCATAGAGAACTTGGAGCAAGAGAGGTTTGTTTAGGTCGAGAAACTTGTGTTTTTTGTAGTCAGAGGAGTAGTCGGTTTGGATGGATAGTTTGTCGTAGGTTGGTAGTTCTTGGAAATGAGTTGAGTCGAAATCGCTATTACAGTTGGAGGTGCTATAGTCGTAGACATAGTTGTAGGAAGGGTGGTTGGGATCGGATAGTTTCACTTCGACATGATGATTTGGATTTGAAAGTAGTTGATTTTGTTCTTCTGGAGTCGCCAAATAGCCTACTAGATAGTTTTCGTCGAGGATTTCGTAAGAGGATTCAGAGTGCTCATGAGACATGATATCAGACATGATTGAGGTTACATCTTTTCCAGCGTAATCGAGGATAAGCTGCGAACCAGCAGGATGCTCATCTAGAAATTGGGTGACATCGTATATTTTTCTGTGGTAGAGAGAAACCCAACAGCTTTTTTTGTTGTTGTGGGTGGATAATTGAAAGAGAGTGATTAGAGGCAAGATTTTGGACATTTCAGAAGAAAACAAGAGAGGAATATAAACAATAGGATCAAAAGTGATTTCTGAGATCAGATCGAGGAATCGAAAGGGTGAAATTTCCTAGTTGAAAAGGAGAAGCTGGCGAATGGACAACAATAAAGCGCAAAAGCTGGATGGGCAAAGGCTGAGTGGGCAGCAGCTGAGTGGGCAGCAGCTGAGTGGGCAACGAGTGGAAGCAGATCAAATCCCAGATTAAAAAAGCAGAGAGACCCAGAAGCCCCAAAGGAAGCTCTCGACCCATTTTATAGCTGCTTGTGCTGCATCTGCTTCGGATCGGCTCACGCCATGCGCTAAGCCGGACCCCCTTCCGAGAGTTCCGATCACGCGACCACCTCCAGCCACCGGTCTCCAGCCACCACCGCCCTCGACGCGGTTTCAACAGCTGTCTTCTCAGCGCTTTTCCCCCATTTCCATCTCTTGCATCTCCTGGCCCATCTTCTGCTGCTTCTGCTGCTTCTGCTGCTTCTGCTGTTTCTGCTGCTGGTTCCATTTCCCTCATTTCCTCTTGTTTTCTCGTCCTCTCGTCCTCTCAACCCACTTTCCTGTTTCAATTATGTCGTGCGTATATCTTCTGAGTCCACCTTCACTTCCACGTTCACACCACTAACTCTCTCACTTTCTCTTCGCCTATCCAATTGCTTTTACCAATTGCAGTTCTTCGGCTCTATTGAATTCCTATTCGTTTCCTGTTTTATAGTAGAAGATTTGTTCGTGCCTCAAAATATCGCCATGTTTTCGCTCAACCTTCCAAAAAGGAACTCTGCTATGAAAACCTAAGAATCTCCAAAAATGCCTGGGATTCAAACCTACTCAAAGTAAACTCAAAGTTTCTCTCTGTCAACTGGGATTCCTCTGGTGGTGGTGCTTTTGCTGTCATCCCATTGAACCAGCATGGCAAGGCTCCCGATCAGATTCCTCTCTTCAGAGGCCACACTGCTCCTGTCCTAGACACTGACTTTGATCCTTTCAACGACCACATTGTAGCCTCATGCTCAGAAGATGGCAAAATCTTCATCTACAATATCCCTGAAGACTACTCCTTCCATCTTCCTACTGATCCAAAAAACAAGAAAAATTCTGACCCCCAAATTAAAGACATCTACCCATCTACAAAACTATCTGGCCATACAAGAAAAGTAGGCCACATCAGATTCCATCCCATCGCCCAAAATATCTTGGTCTCTTCTTCAATGGATTACACCATCAAAATTTGGAACACGAAAACTGCAAAGGTTCTTCAATCTTTAAAACACAACGACGCGATCACCTCCTTCTCCTTCAATTACAACGGCGACCTCCTAGCTTCGGTATCAAGAGACAAAAAACTAAGAATTTGGAACATAAGAACCGGCGCTTTGCTACAAGAAGGTCCATGTCATGGCTCCCCCAAGGTTTCAAGAGTCTATTGGCTAGGCAAAAGCAACAGAGTCGTTACAACTGGCTTTTCAAGACTATCCGATCGTCAATTCGCTCTCTGGGATACAAACAACATTCAAAATGGTCCAATCAATGGCTTCCACACTGTTGACGTCTCCTCTGGTATCCTAGTCCCCTTTTTTGACGAATCAACTTCAATTCTATTACTCGCAGGAAAAGGCGATGGAAACATTCGCTACTACGAATACGACCCCAAGGACGACCGCTTCTACGACATCTCAGAATTCCAATCAATTGAACCTCAAAGAGGTTTTGCCATTGCTCCCAAAAGATCCGTCAACATAAAAGAAAATGAAATCATTAAAGCCTACAAAACTGTTAATGACAACTTTATCGAACCCATCTCATTCATTGTTCCAAGAAGATCTGAAGTATTCCAATACGATATCTACCCTGACTGTCCCTCTCAAATTCCTGCTCTATCTCTAGAAGACTACTTGAATAATAAATCTGTTAATGGTCCTGTTCTAATGAACATGGAATCGTTATTTGAAAATGATGATCCAATTTATACAAATGCTCGATCAATTGAATCCAATTCAATTCAATCCAACCCAATTCAATCCCAACTTCTCTCCAAAAAAGTCCAATCTAACACCCCTTCTCCAATCAATTCATCACAAAACTCCTCAAATACTTCTCTCTCAAAAACTAAACTAAATGACCTATTAGAGAAAAAGGAAGTCAATGATTTAATCAACAAAGCCACTGATCTAGATAACGAAAATGAGGTTCAATTTGTATCTTCAAATTGGGATGATAGTGATGATTACGTTAACCTTTCTTCTATTAATTCAAATCAAAATCAAAATCAAAATCAAAAATCAATTCAAGAAATCCCAGAAAAACCTTCTCCAAAACCAACTCCAATAGTTGCCGAAAAGATTCCTGAAAAAGCTTCTCCAAAGTCTGCTTCAACAGCAACTCCAAAAAATATGGAAAATAAACCTTTGATTGAAACCGTCCCAGAAAAGTCTCACAAAATTGAACCTAATGATCCTAAAAAAACTGAAAAAAATGAAAAAAATGACACAAATGACAAAACTGAATCAATTAAACCTTCATTACCAACTGGTGGGGCCACTAATAAAGCATTGGCTCTAAAAGAAATTGTTTCAAAATTATCCGATCTAATCACAAAATTTGAAACAGAAATCTCTCTATTAAAAGCAATCAACTCTGAAAAGGATAAAAGATTACAAGCTTTGGAAGAAAAAATCGATTTATTATTATCAAATCAAAATTAAATATAATTTTATCTCAAATGATTTGTTTTTTGGCACTTATTTCTGCTTTAAAATCAACTTTTTTTTTTTTTTGCTTTGTATTTTGATTTTTTTACTAATTTTGAATATATATTTATATATAATTTGTTTATTATTCTTTACTTCTCTTTATTTGTTTACTAGCTTTTTTTATTGATTATTTATATTTTTACTTGTTTAATTACATTTTTGCCTATTTCTTTTCTTTTCTTTTCTTTTCTTTTCTTTTCTATTCTATTCTATGCTATTTTTTTTTTCTTTTTTTCTTTTTTTAATATAAAATTATCGTCCATTTGGTTATGTTTATTATTATAAAAAGTTAAAAAGACATAAAAATCAAAAGATGATTCATTGTATAAAATAAATGGTAACAAAATCTTTGCTAAATAAAAATAATTGTAATTGATTAAAAAAGAAAAAATCATCCATTTTAAACAATCCCCACGTTTGTGTTTACATAAAAGAAAAAATCTCGATGAAAACAAAATAAAATAAGTAAAATGAGAAAAAAAAAAGAATTGGAAAATTAGATTAAATAAAATAAAATAAAATAAAATTGATATAATTAATCTTTTTTATTGAAAGTTGCCTCAGCGTCACCGAAGTGAAGAGATTGATAATTGACTTGCTTCGTTTTTTTACTCAAATAACTATAAGTTAGAGCAGAAGCACATAAACCCGAAATAATAGCAGTTAAAAGTGAAATCAAACAAGCAGATTTAAGGAAATTATAAGTTATTGATAAGGGTAATTTATAAAATCCATGAAAAAAAGGTTTGTGTTTAAGATCATCAGTTGGATCAGAGGTTGTGATCCATTTAACAGAGAAATTTATTGGTAAATCATCCCCAATAATATATCTCGAGTAATTTGTCCCTGCGCTCCAAGCAGTGGATGAGATGATAGTGTTAAAGGATGAGGGAGATTGAATTATGACATTCATTGTATTATCAATTTCTAAATGAGAGGTAGCTACTTGACCTCTGAAGTTAAAGATTAAAGGCACCAAGTATTTATCGTCTTTATGGCCAGATACAGGCAAACGACAAGAAAACGGAACATCTTCATGAATGTATAGTTGGAATAAATGAAACAATTCGTCGACCAAGGCAACAGTGCAAGTAAAGTCTTGACTAAGACCATATTTAAAGGATAAGTGTTCGCCGGTTTCTTTGCATTTGGGAAAAGCTTCATAAAGAACATTGAGCTCTTCATCAAACTTATGTTCACCATTATCAATTGCTCTTTGGCTGCAGTCAATAAATAGATCTTGTCCTTCAGTGAAGGGCTTGATCACAGGAATAGTATTTTGATCGAAGTTTGGATCCTGAATATACCAACTGGCTTGACAAAAGGATATTATTGTGGAGAGAAAAAAAAGAGCAAAAGGGCGATTTACCAACATGATGGTTAAGAAACAACAAGTATACTGGTAGCACTGCAGATAACTGTTGTAGCTAATAATCAAAGCAAAGAAGAAGAAGAAGAAGAAGAAGAAGAAAGAGCTGATGTTGTGTTATATTCAAGGATAATGATTAATTTTGCTCTTTGCTAAATTTCAGAAATCTTTGGAGAGTTTGAGAACATGTTTCCACTTCAAATGTAAAGCGATTGTGTTTAGGCTTTGATCTGGGTTTGTGCGTGAGAAAACGCAACGTAGAAACGACACGCAGAGAGTTATGCCACGTGTTTAATGCGTGACAACGCCGTGACACCGGGTAATAGTTTCAAAGAATATAACAAAAATCAAAGATGGAGGAGAAGATGGTGAAGATGGTGAAGCTAAGAACATCGACAACGTTGATAATTTTTCTTTCTCAAATATTCTTATTCAGATACTTTTGTTTTAGCAAATTTGGAAATGCCTCCAGTACAACAAATCCAGTATGGTCAGCCACCCAGCAACTTTGAGAAGTTCAAAATGGGTCTTATGATGGGTGTAAGTAATTTATTGGTGGATATTGTTAATGCGATTGTTAATAGTGGTCTGAAATTATTAACACATTGATTCTTTTTGTTACTTTTTTTATTTTAACAATAGGGAACTGTTGGTGTTGTTATTGGCACATTATTTGGCACTGTTGCAGTTATTCAAAACGGACCAGGTCCAAATGGATATTTGAAGACCATTGGACAATATATTGGTGGATCTGCTGCCACCTTTGGGTTATTTATGTCAATTGGCTCAGTGATTAGAAGTGAACCAAACTATGAGAACAGCTATATGCAAAGAATGAAGCAATTGAAAATGCAAAACCATTATCAATTAAGAGCTGCAGTAATGGCAAATTTAAGTGAACTTAAGAAGAAATAAAATCAAAACTAAATGATTCAATATTTTTAATTGTAAATAACTTTAATTTTATTCTAATATAGTATAATATAACGCAATGTCATGACAATAATTTTTATAATTTTTGATAACCAGCCAAGATTAATCGATGAATGGTATGATAAAACAGTTATAATTTATATTAAATAATAGATAATAGATAATAATAAATAAACGAAAATTATGTGAACTTGATTAGAAAGTATAATAGAATTGAAAAAAATGAAAAGATAAGAAAAAATACACTACAGTAAAAAAGGATGTTAAAAATTAAGAATAACAAATGATACTAAAAAATAAAGAAAAAGAGTTGAATTTTTATATACATTTTATTAATTGTATCATTTACCAACTATTCGTCTTCAACGTCTTCCAAAGTAACGTTACGTCTATTTCTTAACTTGCTAGAGTCCTTATCGATCCCAGTTGTTTTTTTCTCTTTGTTTCCTATTTTTTCTACCTTTCCATTGTTAACTATCTTATTGGAGTTGTTATTATTGTTATTAATATTTTTGGATTTGGAATTTTCTTTAGCAGCATTGGTATCATCAATATTGGTGCTTGATGCGGTGGTTGGTTTTGAGTTGGATTTCGATTTAGCTTTTGATTTTTTGCCTTTTGAATCATTAGTTTCATCCCAGCCGTACAATGGAATGAAACTTTCAACAAATCCACAGTCTGCAAACAAATTTGGAAAAATCCAAAAGCCCTTTGGTAGTATAAAATAACTGATAATATAAACAATCAACCTGACGATAGCCAAACCAAAGAATGCCCCAATTAAACCCATCAAGGAAACAGATATATAGTACACAAGCAATCTCATTTTTGGTGGCCACAATGGGAATAAGACAATTGTAAGTATTAGAATTAAAACCAAGATACCGTAAATGATGTCCTTTGGTTTTGTTGGATTATAGTTCCAAACATAATATTCATCTGGTGTCAAACTCGCTTTAGTTTTTAAAACTAGAGTTGGATAATCCTTGACTGGTTTTAAATCTTTTTCTCTTGCTTCCTTGGTCGAAATTTTTTCAACTGGTAAAACCATTTTGTTTTTGATTAGTACAACAAAGATCTTCATTGCATCGACATCGTTCAAAATTGGAGATAATTTGGCAGCTTGCCTTTTTTTCTTGTACTCATCGCTTTGTAAAGCTCTAACCATTCTTTTGTATCTGAAAAATTGAGCGCGATTGTGGTTGAATAGACCTTCTCTTTGCTTCAATTCTTTATGATGTCTGACGATATTTGCCAATGCAATGGCATTGGAGTCTTGTTTGACCTGACTCATTGCAATATACAATCCAAGGCTATAGTGATTCTTGAGGTAGTTCTGGTAATACAAAAATCGAGATGAAGTCTTGGTGAGTTTGCAATGCTAAAAAAACACTCAATCAATTCCCACTTTTCGGAATTCCTTTGATCCTGTTTTTGAGCGTAGCACTAATAGGGGACAGTTCTAATGTTGATTCAAATCCAATAGAACAAAAGGGCAAAAAAATTATATAAAAAAACGTATTTAACAACTGTCGGTAAAACACATTAGAACAATTGGATCAAAATGGTGTATTTTTCTGAGCAGAGCAAAACACTACCAAGCAGTTTCTAAATGCTACGTATCAACCTGGACCGGCACGTGAGCACACGCGGTGTTTGGGTTCGAGTTGCAGCGGAGGCAACTTGAGACGTGTTTTTGGGTCTTTTTGTTGTGGGCTCAGAGGAGTTATTTGAGAGAGAGAAGAGAAGAGGGTAGAGAGATTCAGAGTGCACTGGAGAAGAAGCAGGACTCTAGTTATCCAGTACAAAGTACTGTTTCACCAACACACACTCACCGCCCTTTTCCAAAGGAACATTGTATATGTAGAAGTTCCCATCATTGCAGATAATCATAACATAGTTGCTATTATGGTTTAGAGCCACTATGTTTTTGAAGTGATTATTGCCCTTTCCGGCAATTATCTGCAAACCTTCGTGATTGTTGGTGTTGGTGGTGCTATTGCCGCTGGTGTTAAAGTTGCTGCTAGTGCTATTATGGTTTGGTAGTTTTATATATGCAAAATCTCGGACAGGTTCTAAAATGTTGGATAGTTTGGGAGGTAGGTAGTTGTTCATTAGAGTTTTTGACAAATTTCTGCCATGCTGCCAAAACATGCCTGATAACGAAGAGCTCCTTCTTCTCACTTTTGTTTTCACAATTTCAATATCATTGGCATTTATATCTGAGCCGCTAGTGTTATTATTGTTGACGTTACTAGCGGTATCATTATTATTATTATTATTATTCGCAGTATTATTATTATTATTATTATTATTATTATTATTATTATTATTTGTATTTGTATTTGGAACTGATCCAGAGCTACTTTCAACTCCAATAGAGCCACTGTCATTAAAATCGTAGAAATTATCTTCATTCGTATCGCTATTAGATAACTGGGGCTGAGAATTAGAGTGTAGAATAGACTGCTTTTGCTTTTGCTTTTGTTTTTGAATTTGAATTTGACCACTGGATTTTTTAATAAATTCCCCATTGTTTTGATGATTGGATAATTTGAAAATATGAATAGTTTCATTATTTGACGAACAACATAATAGATTCGAATTATAGTTGAAATTTATTGAATGGATTAGTGTGCCTGCCATCCCTCTTCGGAATTCGTAAATTTTTTTATTTTGAAGCACATTGAATACTCTGATTATCGTTCCCTTTATCGAAGCTGTCGCTAACAAATTGCCTTCATTATTCAATTGAAATGAAATCAAAGGAGATTTGTGAGCAGATATAATATTAATTGGTTGAATGTTTAAGGCATCAAAGAGTATAATCATACCGTTATTGCTGTTACCACTACCACTGCCACTATTATTGCTGTTATTGGAATTGTTATTACTACCATTAACATTGGAGTTCGTTGGATTATTGTGGATGCTGTTATTGTTATTGCTGCCAGGATTCAAAGCATGGTCGTCATTGTGGTCAGAGGCGATGGGAGAAAGCAATATGTTGGTGGAAGCAGGAGCAGGATAGGCCAAAATGGAGCTGTCTGAAGGAGATAGTGAGATAAGACCCCTTAGATTCTTCGACGTCTCGATGGTGTGCAATAGCTTCATACAGCTCACATCGTATATGAAAATCTGGTCAAGCAAAACCACAACCAATCTCTTTCGGTTCAACTTGACATTTAATATGGTGGAGGGAAACGTTAGCTCACAGATAACGGATTTTCTCTTGGTGTTTATGATCTTCAATCTCCTGGTGGAGCTGCTGGAACTCAGCCCATTGCCCACAATCGCAATCAACGACGTCGAAAACAACATCTCGATGATGGTAGCACCACCATCGTCGTTCTTCTCAAAGCACTCGCCAAAGGGATCGCAGTTGAAGATCTTGTAGGACGAGTTGGTGCCAATGGCCACACACGAAAAGTCCTGGTTGAAGTTGATGCACGTAATCTGCTTGCTCATTCTTGTTTGCTGTGTTGCCTCTATCAGCAGTCGTCTTTATCAGCAAAGTCGCCTTTATCACCTCAACCGCCTTTATCAACGCTCCTCACCCGCTGGTATTCACGTGATAGTCACGTGAATTTGTTTTTTCAAGTATCTTTAAATACCCACCTTTTCAATTTTTTTTATCTTTTTTCCCATATTCTGCCTCATTTTCACCTTCGTTTGACTGTTTTATCTACTAATTTCTGCTTTATCGTCTATAAATTCTATTTTTTTTGCTTCTTTTTCTTTTCTCAGGGTGTCTGCAACTTGATTTCATTTGGCTCCACTTGCCCTGATTCAATTCATTTTAATTCTCATTTTCTTGTACTATATTTTTCACCATGGCTTACACTCAAATTGACGCTTTTGCAAAGAGACTTACTGATGATAACGATTTAAAGGCAAAACTATCCACTTTAACTGACTTGTGTGAAATCATCGAGAGCTTTAATGTTCCAAATGAATACCAGTACTTTCTCGAGACTTTGGTGCCAATTCTATCCAACTTACTAGACAAAATTCCAATCAAGTTTTCCTCACAATCAGTCGAACATAAATCAAGACACTTGATTTTGGAGATCTTTCAAAGATGCAAAACGGACGAAATTTATAAGAACTACTCCATCCAGATCTTGAACAAATTAATGTCCATTTTCAAAATCGAAAACGAAGAAAATGGCGTATTAATCCTACAGATTTTAATGAATTTACATAAAGCTTACAAAAATTTCCTAGATGACCATGTTCAACCCTTTATCGACATTATCATTCAAATGTATGGCAATTTACCAAGTCTAGTTCATGAAAGCTTTAATAAAAATGTTGAACCAATTAGTATCGACTCAATTAAAATTAAAAATAACAATCAAAATGATTCCAAAGACAATCCAGAAATTAACAACAACAACAACAACAACAATAATAATAATGATAATAATAATGATAATAATAATAATGATAATAATAATAATAATAATAATAATAATGATAATAATAATAATAATAATAATACTGCGAATAATAATAATAACAACAACAATAATAATAACAACAACGACAACGACAATAACGACAATAATAACATTCTGATTACGAATCTGAATAACAGTAACAACCAGAATACCAATACTATTGGGAATGATAAGGATATTCAAATGAAAGAAGAAATAATAGAATCAAACTCTCCTGCAAAATCAATATCTATTTTACCTACCTCTTTTACTGGAAACAATGACGATCTGAATCTGGTCGCACTTTCAAATTCATTACTTCCAGCTATGAGCTCTTTTAAAACTTTGGCTGACTGCCCCTCAACCGTCTTTGCTTTAGTTTCCTCTCATAAACAATTAATCAAAACTACTTTACCAAACGTAATTCCTCATATAATGACTGTGTTGCAACTAGAAGCAACCCACCAAAAAAATGCAAGGATCTTGGCTGAATCAAAAGGTGAGAAATTAACATCCGTTTCGCCTCTAATTAAAAACAGGTCTCTTTACTGCGACTTCATTATCTGTCAAGTCAAAACTGCTTCCTTCCTAGCCTACATACTAATCAGAGGTTACTGTATTGATGTATTGGAAAACTACAGCAAAATCATACCTCGTTTTATTTTAATGCTACTACAAGATTGTCCGAGCGAATTAAACTCTTCAAGAAGGGAAATATTTGTTGCCTTTCATAATATTCTCTCAACAAAATTAAAAAAACTTTTTATCCCAATAATTGATGATTTGTTTGATGAAAAAATCTTAATCGGCGATAGTTTCACCAATTATGAAACAACTAGACCTTTTGCCTTTAGTGCACTCGCTGATTTTATTCACACTTTTAGAGCAGAACTATCTCCAGAACAAATAAAAAAATCAGTCATATATTTTTCAAAAATTCTATACGACGAATCATTAGCAACAACGGTTCACATAATGTCGGGAAAATTACTAGTCAACCTTCTTGATAGCATATCAAAGTTGCCCAACAAAAAGGAAGCAAGACAATTATATATGATTATGATTGATGCTTTTGCTAAAGAATTTCAAATTCTAAATCGCGAATATCCAAGTTTGATTCAAAAATCTCGACAGTATGAAAAGAAAAAATTAAACAATGTTAGAATTCACTCAAAATTCAAAAACCGTAATGAAACAACTCAAAACGATAACGACCTTATTAAAACAGACCCTGATGGCGACATCAAAATGTCCGACTCTTCAAGCTCTAGTCCCAACAAAGATAAAAATATTGATAAATCAATTGATTCCTCAGATAAAAAAGAGGAAAATTTTGAAATATATAGTTTTAATGACCTACAAAGTAAAGCTCTTATTATTATACATCAAAACTCAAACCATCATGATCCAATTGTTGAAATGAGATATATCTACAAAAATTTGATGGGTTTTTTGAAAAATATTATAAGCTACTTAAAAGAAAGTAATCCAACCCCCATATCTGATTTCAATAAACAACTTTGGGAGCAATTTGCCTGTTCTTTTTCTTCCGAAGAAGTCAACATTCTAATCAAACTATTTAAAGAAGCTTTAGATGGCTTAAAGTACTTTCAAACATCAGTTAATGAATTGAAAAACAATGATGAAGCAAATAACCAACCATTTGATATGTCCTCAACCATGTTTTCAATGTCAAACTCAAAGGATGAAAAGGAAATGATGGAACTTTTTGCGACTATGTTTTTTTATCTCGACTTGGCTACATTCAATGAAATAGTTCAAGAATTGATGGATACTTTATACGAAAATATTCTAGAAAATCCTATTCTATTGCATATTCCTCAATTTTTCATGATGACTGATATTACTTCAGCAAATTTTGTTGGTATTTTGATTAATTTCTTAAAAAACAAACTTGAAGACTTGGGTAAAATTAATCTTCTTCGCTCAAATGTTTTGATCAGATTATTCAAATTGTGTTTTTTAAATAACCTCGTTTCTTCAAAAAATAATGAAGCTGTTCTTTTCCCTCATATTAACGACTTAATTTTAACTTCATTAAAACTTGCCTCCACCTCAAAGCAACCCATAGTATATTTTTTGGTTATAAAATATTTATTTAAATATATTGCTGGAGGAAATCTTAATAAAGAATTTTACCCATTACTAAAAATGTTATTGAAATACTTTAATTATGCAATCAAATCTTCAAGGACTCTTCAAGAAAGAGATCTTTATGCCGAACTATGTTTAACGGTTCCAGTTCGACTAAGTGTTTTGGTTCCCTTTTTGTTTTATTTGATGAAACCTCTAGTTCACGCTTTGAATGGTTCTTTTGAATTGGTGCCCCAAGGTTTAAGAACTTTAGAACTTTGCGTTGATAACTTGACTGCAGAATTTTTTGATCCTATAATTGAACCTGTCATTGAGGATGTTATGAAAGGATTATGGAAACATCTTAAACCTTTACCATTTTTACACACTCAAAGTCATACAGCTGTTAGAATCTTGGGTAAGCTTGGTGGAAGAAATCGAAAATTTTTTAGCGCTACCAATGATTTAAAACCTGCTACAAAACTTTTTCAAGAAATTTTTGCAAATTTTCAAATTGCAGGTTTGCCCTCCAAAACAAAAATGTCTATTACCCCAGGGATTGAGGCTGCAATCACTTTGATAGAAGCTGAACGCTCAAGTAAAGAGTTGAACCATTATAGAATTAATGCATATTATTATTTAACCGCTGTTTTGAAACTCTTTATTAATTTTGACATGCCACAAGACATTAAAGCTCGTATTCAAGGATGTACTAGTTTGTTGTTGAAACCTAAGATTGAAGACACCAAGGTATTATCGGATGGAGTCATTATTGATCCAGCAGTGTTAAACCGTCAACAAGAATTGATTATTGAGTTACTAAAATCATTATTTTTTTCTATATCTATTCCTGAAGTTAAGGATAACGCAAAAGAGTTGATTAAAGGGCTATGTAATCATTTTACTATTTTATTTTTGGGAAAATCCATTATTGGAAGAAGAAAAGCTGAGCGTTCTTTTGATATAGATGATCTCGAAGGCGACGTTTTTATTGATGAAGGTGTGATCCTAGATGCAATTGTGTTTGCTTTAAGCTCAAACAAAAGGGAGGTATATGAACAAGGTATTGAAGCAATCAAGGATATATATAAAGCAAGTGTGACTTTATTTGGGTCAAATGAAGACGCTACATTTTATCCATTGCTTCAGGTGATGCTTAACAGGTTCACTCATGAATGCTATGAAGAGTTGTTTTATATGAAGTTGGGCGGGGTATTTGGTTTGAAGACAATGATTGAAGACTTGCCTATTCCTTCTTCTTGGTTTAATCAATATCAGTCAGAACTTATCCGTGCTCTTTTTTTTGTTTTGAGAGATTCTCACTCAAACGTGCCTGAGGAAGTTACAACTGAAACCAAAAGCTTGATTTTGAAAATTTTAGAAAAATGCAATAAAGGCAAGGAACAAAAAGAGACCACATTACAAGCATTTGGAGAAATTGTTGGTGCTCTTGTTTATGATTTAGCAAATTCCAAAGAAATTGTCCGAGAAACTTCTCAAGAATCACTAAAAGTGTTGTCAGAGGCTACAAAAGTTCCAATTGCCGAAATAATATTGCCTTGTAAAGCTAATTTATTGACACCTATCTTTCGTAAGCCTTTAAGGGCATTGCCATTTACAATGCAGATAGGAAACATTGATGCCATTACGTTTTGTTTAGGATTAGAAGGAACATTTTTGAAATTTGATGAAGAATTAAATAGGTTGCTCCATGAAACGTTACAATTAGCAGATGCAGATGATGAGCTGCTTGCAATCAATCTCAATGATTACAAAACCTCCACCCATTTAATTAAATTAAGAGTATCCTGTATTCGTCTTCTTTCATTAGCTTTGTCTAAATCTTATTTTACGGCACCACCACAACATAAAATTAAGAATAGAATGCTTGCTGTATTTTTCAAATCTTTATGTTCTCCATCTTCCAAAGTAATTGATGCTGCACATCTTGCTCTCAAAAATAGTTTGGATTCCAATTTCAAATTACCTAAAGAACTACTTCAACAAGGGCTTCGTCCAATGTTATCTACCTTGTCAAATCATTCTAAACTTACAGTTCCTAGTTTAAATGCGTTGGAGCGTCTTTTGCAGTTGCTTATTACTTATTTCAAAGTTGAGATAGGGAAAAAGTTGCTTGATCATGTTAGTTCTTATGCCAAGGAAAATGCATTGCATCAGATTTCTTTGGCAGATTTGAAAAGTCATCCAACAGTTAAAATAATTGTTGCAGTGCTAAATATATTTTATGTTCTTCCTCCTAAAGCAAACATGTATTTTGGTGATATTATGTCTAAATTGGATTATCTTGAAACTCAATTGAGACGACGTAAAGGTTCCCCATTTAGAAGACCAGTTGCAAAGTATCTTAACAGGTTTTTCAAAGAAGGTTACGAATATTTTACTAATCATTTTCATAAGAGATATATCGGAATTCTTTTTGCTGATTTTATAAGCATGGAAGAATGTCCTAAATTGACTGAAGTTATACTGGATAATATTTCAGAAATATATCAAAACATAATCCAGGAACCGACCCCCGCTATAAAATGTGCAAAATATGCTAATTTTATAGATGTTGTTTCTGCATTGGTTAAAACAAATCTTAAATGGCTTGATAATAAACTATTATTATTAAATAATATTTGTCTGTTGTCCAAAAGTGTTATTATATTTGAAAAAGCTCAGGGATTTGAAACCGAAGTGCGTTTTCAGGTTCTTCAATCATTTGATAAATTTCAGAAACTATTTGTTAGCTACTTTAAAGGTCATCCTAATAGTCAAGATTCAGTTTTAAAACTCATTGATTTGGTTTGTTCAACAAAAACAGATATGGCATTTGAATTAAAAGACTATATATTTTTAAAAATTGTTAAATCTGATGATGTTGAATTGCGTCAAGAATATTTACTTAAGTGTGTCAATATGGCAATTGATCCAGTTTGCTCGCTAAAAACCAAAGTTTATCTTTTCAAGAATATCATAAATTCGATTATTATTTATGAATGTTACAAAAATCAAAGTCTTTCGAAAATTTGTCAAAAGGAATCACCCTGGTTTAACTTAATTTGTTCTAAAATATGGAGAGCTACCAATGATTTGATATCTGATCATAGGGCTGGACCAATAGATTTTTATCGGTTTGAATTGTTACAAATGACGGCTTTTCTTATAAAATACTCAAAACCTCTTGTTTCCGATATTAGGAAAGATATTATTAAGTTCAGTTGGGAATTCTCCAAATTGGATGATCTTTTGACTAAACACGCTGCATATGTTACAATGTCTTACTTTATTATCAGTTTTGATACTCCTACCAAAATAATTAGTAATATTTTTATTGCTTTGCTCCGTTCACATACTCCAGAAACAAAAAATTTAGTAAAATTGTCACTCAATCTGTTGGCTCCGGTCATGCCTTTAAAAATGAACCCAGGCATTCCTACTTCAAATTGGTTAAGGTTAGTTAGAAGAATATTATCTGAAGAAGGTTATTCTGCCATGCAGGTATTTAATATCTATCAGTTTATTATCAATAACATGGATGCTTTTTTTTTAGCAAGGGAGCACTTCACCTCAAATATTATCAATGCTATTAAACAATTGATTTCTTTAATGAATATACCCACAGAGAATCAGTTGTATGCAATTGATCTTGCAGAGCTTATTTTGAAATGGGAAAAAAAAGCTCATATCATGAAATCATCAAATAAGTCACCTGAAGATTCAAAATCTGTCATTGATGCAGAAAACTCAAATATTTTCTATCAAATACCTTCGAATCAAAAAGAGCTTTATATATCGTGCTTGATAAAATACATTAATTCCAATAGTCAGCGCGCTACAGAGGTTGGAAATATTCAAAGATCTGTTCGAATATTGCAAGAAATCCTTCAACTCAAAGAATGGTCAGGGGTTAATATCGAATTGACTTTATTTGAAAAATTTTTGATAAATATTGATTTTTCTACCATTTCATCGATTGTTTATACATTGAATTCTTTGGAAGTATTTTGTATTGTTATAGAATCAAAAGATTCAGTTTGGATTGTCTCAAATCTATCATACTTAAAAAAATTATTTGAAAACTGTCTGAAATGTGATAATTACGAGGTTCAAAAAAATTTGCAGGATTTATTAGATAATATACTTAAAGCTATCTTTGACATTTGCAGTGATGTGGAGAAAAAATTTGAGGAAGCCAAGGAGTTTGTCAAATTTTTGGTTTCTATCACAACTGAAAATCTCAGTAGCAACACAAGTGTCAAAATAGCTTCAGGAATTATGTCATGTTCTAGTATAGCAAAGTTTGAACCGCTATTGGTGGATAATCTTTTTCCTTTAATATTGAAGTCTTTTTCCAGGCTTTTTAAAGATATGAACAACAGTATTAATGACTCCAACTCTGCTAATCAAGAGTTGGATTTTAAAATAATGGCTAAAAGTTTGCAGTGTATTATTGATTTGTGTTCTCTCAGAATGATGAATATGGGGGATCAAAGACATGATTTTCTAAACCAATTATGTCAGTTTATAGAAAACTCTTCAAACAAGAACCTTTTGAAGATTATATTAGATCAAGTGAAAAAGTGGGTTTTTTCTAAGGATTTGTTTCCTACTGTCAAAGAAAAATCATTGATATTGACCAAAATGCTTTCATTTGAAAACAGAAGTCTTTTTTCGTTGTCAAAGGACTTTTTTAACATTATTGTTTCTATTTTTGAAAACAAAACATTTCTTTTCAGCGAGTTAACCTCCAGAATGGAAAAACCTTTCTTAGCGGGAACAAAATTCAAAGACATAGAAATAAGAAAAAAACTAATGTTTGTTCTTAATGAAAGTCTCGAAACAGAGTTAACTGAACGTTTTTATTATGTTATTAAAAAGCAAAATTGGGAGCACATTGCTGATTATTATTGGCTCAATCAAGCTTCTGAATTATTATTGGGTTCTTTTGAGAAAAACTATAAATTAAAATTAACAGAAGATAATTTCAAGTTTTCCTCCTTATTTGATTTAGAGGAAGGTTGTTTTATTCAAGATTCTAAGGAGAAAGAAGAAAAACATCCAGAACTTCAAAAATTTCTTGATGAACATCAAAAATTCTTAAACAAAGTGGGTACAGTAAAAGCTGGTGATTTGATAAACCCTTTAATTGAATTGTCTTATCAAAATAATATTGTTGGTCATAACATATGGCTTCAATTATTTCCAATAGCTTATAGAACTATTCCAGCTAAAGAAAAAATGGATTTCATGCAATTTATGGTGGTTTTACTTTCCAAAGAATATCATATCGTGCAGGCTTCTAAACCCCAGAATGTTATTTTGACTTTATTAGAAGCAGTTGGAAGATGTCCAGATTTGCAGTTGCCACCCCAATTGGTTAAATATTTAGGCCATACATATAATAGTTGGTACCAGTCTTTCAAAATATTAGAAGAAAACAATTTTAATTCTCCTGTTGAAAATTCCAAGATTAAAGAAATCAATGAAGATGCTTTAGTTGAACTATATGCTTCTCTACAAGAATTGGATATGTTTTATGGATTATGGAGACGACGGGCAAAATATAGTGAAACATCATTTGCTCTTTCGTTTGAACAGATTGGGTTGTGGGATAAAGCATTACAAAAATATGAAGATGCGCAAATTAAGGCTCGAAGTGGTGTATTGCCATATGGTGAATCTGAATACTCTTTATGGGAGGACAATTGGATTTTTTGCGCAGAAAAACTTCAACACTGGGATGTTCTTACCGAACTTGCAAAACATGAAGGGTTTACTGATCTTTTCTTAGAGTGTGGCTGGCGAGTTGCTGATTGGAACGATGGTAAAGAACACTTAGAAAATCATGTTCGGATTGCAATGGAAGTTCCAACTCCAAGAAGACGGATATTTCAAACATTTCTATGTTTGCAGGCTGTTGCTCGTCGTGAACAAAAAGGCGCTGAACTCTATAATAATTGTGAAGAAGGTATTCAGTTATCTTTAAGAAAATGGTGTTCTCTTCCTACCAGGTTTACTGTTGCACATATTCCATTATTGCACAATTTCCAGCAATATATTGAATTTATGGAAGCAAGTCAAGTATATAACAGCTTGATCACAACTAATAATCAGAATTTTGAAGAAAAATCTCAAGAACTAAAAAGAGTTTTACAAGCTTGGCGTGAACGTTTGCCGAACAATTGGGACGACATTAACATTTGGAATGATTTAGTAACTTGGAGACAACACGCCTTTACTGTGGTGAATAACGTTTACATGCCTTTTATGCCAGCTGCACAAACAGCTAATGGAAATGGAAACAATAATACAAACTCCTATGCTTATCGTGGTTATCATGAGATTGCTTGGGTCATAAACCGTTTTGCACATGTTGCTAGAAAACACAACATGCCATCTGTTTGCATAAGCCAATTAACCAGAATTTATACACTACCTAATATCGAAATTCAAGAGGCCTTCTTGAAATTACGAGAGCAAGCCAAGTGCCATTATGAAAATGAAGATGAACTTAATACGGGTCTTGATGTTATAAGCAATACTAATTTAGGCTACTTCAATCCATCACAAAAAGCTGAATTTTTTGCATTGAAAGGAATGTTTTTAGCAAAATTGAATCAAGAAAATGAAGCTAACCAATCTTTTGCTGCGGCTGTTCAAAATTTTGTTCATTTAGCCAAAGGTTGGGCTGAATGGGGATTTTTTAATGATAGATGTTTCACAGCCAATCCTAAACGATCTGTAGCTGCTCGTTATGCTATCAGTTGTTATTTGCAAGCAGCGGGTCTTTATAAAAATGGAAAAACAAGAAGAGTTCTTGCACGTATTTTATGGCTTATTAGTTTGGATGATGAAAACATTGATTTGGCCTCAACTTTCAACACATATAGTGGGGATGTTCCTGTGTGGTATTGGATTACTTTTATCCCTCAATTACTTAGCTCTTTGTCTCGTAAAGAGGCTCTTCTTGTTAAATCTTTGTTGAATAAAATTTCAAAGATCTATCCTCAAGCCCTTCATTTTCTATTAAGAACCACAAAGGAAGATTTATTTGCTAAAAGCCAAGCAATGGCAGTTGTTCAAAATCAAGAAGGCAATTTGGATATTTCTATGCAACTACCACCTAACACTCCAAATTCTGGAAATAAACCACAACCTTGGCTTCATGTTAATGAAATTATGGGCATTCTTAAAACTGGGCATCCTTTATTAGCTCTTTCATTGGAATCGTTAGTTGATATTATTAGTCAAAAATTCAAACCAACTGCTGATGAAGATGCGTTCCGTTTAGTAATTGCATTGATAAATGATGTTGTTCAATATCTTTATAATCCTTCAAAGGACAAAAAGGTTCCTAAATCAATAGTTGAAAATATAAAACGATTTTCTTCAACAGTTTTGCCCAAATTGATTAGGGCTAAATTTGAGAGAGATCTTGTTGAATCTAAACCTGATTTGGATACATATATGGTTAGGTTAAAAAAATGGAAAGCAAGACTTGAAAATAAACTTGATAGAAGAATTCAAAAGACTAATTTAGAAGGATTTTCTTCTCATCTAACACAATTTCATCATCAAAAATTTGAGGAGATAGAAATTCCAGGGCAATATTTAGAAAATAAAGATAATAATATGCATTTCATTAAGATTGAAAGGTTTTTACCAACGGTTGATTTATTTAGAGGCTCGACTGCTTGTTTTAAAAGATTGAAAATTAGAGGGGATGATGGATCATTGCATTTATTTACTGTTCAATCACCTGCTAATCGTCAGTCAAGAAGAGAAGAACGAAATTTTCAAATGTATCGTATATTTGGAAATGAATTACTTTATAAAGTTCAATCTCGATCAAGAAACATCAAATTTACAATTCCAATTGCAGTTCCCTTAGCACCACATATTAGAATCTTAAATGATGATTCTAATTATATAACGATGCAAAAAATTTATGAGATATTTTGTCGAAAGAGAAAACAAGATGTGGATGAACCTCTTCTTTATACAATTAAGAAAATAAGACAATCATCTAATGAAAGGTTACCTAAAGCCGAGTTTAATAGTATAAGAGTAGAAATTTTGCCAGCAATTCAAAGTTTGTTTGTTCCCAAAACAGTATTTAGAGATTATTTTATGGAGTTGTATCCCAAATACGAAGATTTTTGGATATTTAGAAAACAATTTACATCACAATATGCATCATTTTGTTTTATGACATATTTAACATCTATTATATCGAGGTATCCTAGAAAAATTCATGTTAATATTGCAACTGGGAATGTTTTTACTACAAGTATGCTACCATCCAAATTACCATTAAATCTTATAGATAAATTTACCATTCCAGTTTTTAAAAGTTTAGAGATGGTTCCATTTAGATTAACACCAAATATTCAAAAATTGATGGGAGAAGCTGGATTAGAAGGAATATTTTCTGCGCATTTATTTATAATAGCGAAATGTCTATCTAAACCGGAGTTTGATATGGAGCAATATTTGTGTTTATTTGTTAGAGATGAAGTTCTTTCATGGAATGTTCAAAAAGAATTTCGAATTCAAGATTCACCATCATTATTGAAAAATAGTGTTGAAATCAATAATAAAGAAATATTTAAAAAATTGGAACTGATCAGTAAAATTGATTCTAATGCGGAACTTGCTACGAAAGGAGTTGTTAATTTAATATCTCTGGCAACTCATCCTATTAATTTGGCTAGTGCAGATGCACCATGGATGTGCTATCTTTAGTTTTTTAAAAGAATAAAAAGAAAGAAAAGTAATCAGCGAAGTTAAACAATAAAAGTATAAAGAATCTAAATTGTGTAAATTTGAAAAAAAGAAAAAAAGAAAGGCTTTAGTTTTAGTAGTTGTTTTAGTTTTTATTTTATAAATGAATAAATTAGTGTTTTGATAAACCGAAACTAGATGGGCCAAGAATTGCAATGAAATTTGCGATTTAATTCGATTCGATTTGATGTGGTTTGATTTAATTTAATAAAGTGGACAAATTTAAGTTTTTATTTTTCAGTTTTTCAGTTTTCCAGTTTTTTTATACTAGTTATTTATTTATTTTAATAAAGTGTTATAATCAATTTGATCCTGAAGATCGGTTTGGTTTTTGAATTGAGATTTATTTCGAATTCTTTTTTTGTTTAATAATCTTGATAAAGCATTAAAATGATAAAGAGCGTTGATTAGAGAATTGATTAAAGTTAAGAAAGAGATGAAAAGTGAAATTAATATTACAACTTTTAAATAAAACGTTACATTATAGTTGTTTTTTGTTAGATTATTATTAGTAAATCTTTTTTTTAGATTGGATACAATGTAGTTATTAATGTCATTCATTTCAGTGGAATAAGAATCTTTGTTAAAAATTGAATTTAAATGTTTTGAATCATCTGAACTATTTGTACCATTTAAATGGCTGGAATTATTTGAATTATTTGAATTATTTGAGATTTCTAAAGTTTTGGGATTATGGGAAGAATAAGCTTTGTAGTGTAGATTGTCGATTGGAAGAATCAAAATTAACGAAGCAAGATATAAAATAAAACCAATAAATTGTACAATGACAGTAAAAATATGTAGTTTTAAAGCAGTGTAATTTGGGATAGTTGTTGATGAAAGAGGTAAAATACAAGAACAAATGGCAAACTAAAAACGAATAAATGGAGAAGCGAAAACAATAAGAAAAAGGAAAAATTCAGGAAAAACTTGTGTTAGTTTAAAATTTTAAAAATTATAGTTGATATTAAGCCGTAGCAGCAATATTAGCATATTCAGATGAACGAAAAAAAGAAAGTAAATAAAATTTAGACGATATGTGGTTTTTAGAACCAAAAGATAAAAAAATGCAAGGAAAATAAACCAGGTTGAAAAGGTGATAAATACCAAAATTAGGTGATAGTAGGATGCTAAAAGAGATAAGACTGGTCTTTTTTCTATTTGATCAAAGGGCAAATTGAGAAATGCCATGAGGTATTCCAGTATAACTAGAGCAAGAAAGGATTTGAGAAAAAACCTTGTTTTCTCTAAATCATAGATATAATTTATTGTTTCCAGGTGATTAGAACCCCCAGCATAAGTGATTAAATCACTTGGTTGAACAGAGAGCTGTCCCAAGATGGTATTTTTAGGTTGAATGAGTAATTGGTGGGGATTTCGAGAAGGAAGAACTTGAACGTCTTCCATGTTGAATTGAACAGACTGCAAATCTCTATCGACCAAAAAGATATATGATTAGCTTATATTATTGAGAGATTAGAGAAAAATGGATCAACCAGTTTAAACATAGTCAAACAGTTCAAACAGAGCTCAAACAGAGCTCAAACACAATTAAACAGAGGTCGAAAACAGCTCCAACCGAAAGCAGGAAAAAAACACAGAACAAATTCCCATCTTTGTGTCTGCAAACAGCGCTCGTAACCATATGGATTTGTATGCACATGCAATGCAGAATCAAGATATTCTGCCGCGGCTTGCTCCGTCTGCGGCGCGGTGCGGCAGCCACTGAACCAATCAGCGTGCGCTTTTTGCATGGGTCTGCTAACACAACAAAGATGGGAATGCGATTTGGAACAAGGTGATAAGCTTGAGAAATGTTTCACACTTACAGAGCTTCCGAAAGTGCAGTTCGGAGATTATTCTTAATTAATGGGCCTACACAGTGTCAGTAATCAGACGTAAAGATGGGCAATGACAGGGAATCGCTGTTTCACCGGCTGCTACAGGGCTTTTGCCACTGCTGCAGCGACGGCAATTGAGAAAAGAAAAATGTTGGTATCTGATACCAGCGAGATTCAAGCTCACATCTTCGAAGAGACCCATTGATTTAGAATTGCAGAATAGCTCTGCAAACTACAGAATCCGAAAACGAGTGCAATATGTTCTTGAAGCGGGTGCCTTAATCACTCAGCCACAGTCTTAAAGCTACTATCATTAAATACAGAGCCATTAAGTTTGACAGTGACAGTTCTTGCGCTAGCAGACGCACACCGGATGGAGTGTCTTACTCTGATGCAAAAAATGCGTTTTCAGCTCCGATTGGCCGAGCGGAGATCTTTATTGTGGTCCTTACGCATTTGCAAAGCCGCAATGTTTATACGTAGCGTTTTATGCAGTTATATGCGTCACGCCGAGGCTTTGTATGCATCCCGACAATTGTTTCACTGCAGTTTTCTGCCTGGCTGGCCCCGAAAACAGCTGCTAACCGTTCCAGTGGACTGGATCTTTTCTTGTTTTCGATTTACGAAGAGTACAATTGTCGGGTATTAAGCCAATTGGCAACTTCGATAAATTAGAAACGAAAACATAGCATGATAAAAACAAAAATACATTATAACTAAATAATAACTAAATGATAACAAAATAATAACTAAATGATAACTAAATAATCAGTAAATAATAGGCAATCAGAGAACTAAAGAAGAAGAGCTTGGAAATGAAAAGTTAAAAAAATAATTAAATAAACAAATAATTAAGTAATTAAGTAATTAAGTAATTAAGTAATTAAGTAAATAATTAGATTATGAAGTGAAGGGATGGAATTGCTATAATGCAAATATATCCAGGCAAATAAAAAAACCATGAATTTAAAACAAGTGGTTTTGGAGAACTCCATTACCAAAATTAAATGTTTCATCAGAGTTATTGAAATTACTATTATTTAGTTCAATTGAATCAACAGTATAATTGAAGTTGTCGTTAAATGTTTGTGTCAAGTTTGGTTCGTTAAATTGAAGTTTTTTCACCCCTAATTTTTCTTGATTGATGTAATTATTATAATTAAAATTGTAAATTGGATTATTATTAATCCCATTATTACTGATACTATTATTAAATACACTGTTAAAGCTGTTATTATTAAGACAGACACTATTGTTCTGGTTATTGTTGCCAGCAGCAGTACTATTATTCAATAATGAAAAATCAACATTAGAATAATTGGAAATCGTTGAGGTATTTGAGAGATTAGAACAAGAAACATTAGATAAATTATATTGAGTTGATGTCAAAGAATATGGCAAAACATTATCTAATAAATTAAATTCCTTAACATCGTTATCTGTGTTAAACTCGATATACGATGTATCAATCATATCATTACTGTATCTATCAATAAATGTAGTGTCAAAAGTATTATAAATATGATTATTATTATCATTTAATGAAGTATCCAATACACTACCAAATGTTCTATTATTAATATCATTTTCAAATAAAAAGTCAAATGAACTTTTCTCGTATGGTGTAACTAGTTCAGTGTTACTTGAAGATAATGTAGAAGTTGTAGATAATGATGATGAGTTTGAACTTGCACTTGAACATCTTAAACTTGATGGTATGTTTACTAAATTGGTATAATTTTCCTTAATTGGTGTGCTAATATTATCAAGATGACTTAAATTGATAATCGTATTATTACTGTTATTATTATTAACATATAGGTTATTTGAATTATTGATATTATTAGCAATATCAACATTATTAGAAGTATCAACATTGTTAACAGTATTAACAGTATTTATGCTAATATTATTAATGTCATTATTACTGCTAATGCCTTTATCATCATTTTGACCCACCTCTGGGGCATCTATTTTGTTTAAATCACTTTCAGATAATGATAAATTGTAAATATTTTTGCTTTGCCTTCTGAGAGTCTTATTCAACGAAGTTGATTTTGATGATGAACTTGTACTACCCAAAGTTGGCTTTAAATATACCTGATTCTTTAAAGGATCCTTAGAAGTATTGACATCATTAACATTATCAACATTATTAATAACAGTTTTATTTTGAATAGGTGTGGCTGGTTCTAAAATAGCTTTTCCATCGTCAGTCAAGGAAATGGAAAAACTTTTTGAGATTGAAATAGTTAAATTGTTTTGATTTGAATTTCTATTCACATTCTGATTCAAGTTTTTGTTGCAGTTTTCATTAACAGCATCAAGTTTATTAATATTAGTTAAAGTATTTCTTCTCAAGTTTTTATTATCGATTGGTGAAATTGGTGTCTTGGTATTATCATTATTAAGACAAGAATTTGAAAATGATCTTAATAATTTGGCTGGAGGTTTATCTAGTTTCTTAATTCTAAGGTTATCGATGGATTTCTTTTTCCTTGATACTGAATAGGGAGAATTCAAATAAGAACTAGAACTGAGTGTCAAATTCTTAAATTGTTTTGTGTTGGATAAAGGTGAAGATTGCAAATTGTTTGCATTATTATTGGTAGTATGAGTAATATCAAATTCATTCTCCGATTTAATTTCTTTAAGTTTGTTTGTAGACGAATTGACTACATAATTTTTAAACTTAAAGAAGGAATTATTGGGCGTGAATTTGGTTGATATTGGTGAGTTTAATGGAGTCATTTGATTATTGATTGAGTGGTCGACAAATATATATTCAGTTGGCGAGTAATCGTCTAAGTTATTTGGTGAATTGGGTGAATAGCTATTGTTATTGTTGGCAAAATTTTGTTTGAAGATGTTTGATGAGTTCTTCGAGTCATTGGTATTAGTACTGAGATTGCTATTATTACCATTATGGTTGTTGTTATTTGATTTTTTATTGTTGGTGTTAGCATTTGAGTTGTAATTTCTTCGGGAACTTGAAGTTGATTTCTTATAAATTTCGATTTTTTGGTTTGTCAACTCAAACAATATATCATCTTTATTGTTGAAATAAGAATTATCATTGCTATTAGAATTATTTGAATCATTAGTATTTAAAGTTGAAGCCGAATTTTTTCTCAATCTCCAAACAGATTTCGAAGAGGACAATTTGTTTAAACTTGATTGTCTTTCCAAAGTTATCTTTGATTTAGAGGAAAAGTTGCAGACGATGTCAGTTTTTAGGTTTCTATATGAATTGAGGTTGAACAGTTAGTTATTTGAACCACACGAGATAAAAAAGGACAGAGTAAAGTGAAGTGAAATGAAGGGAAGGGAAAGAGAAGAAGTGAAATAAAAGGCGATATAAGAAGTTAAACGAGAGACATACTTTGGAATAGAGGATGATTTCATTTTAAATTGAACTAGAGTGAATTGGGATAAATTAAGTTAATTGAAATAAAATAGAATAATAAAATAAGGTAAAGTAAGATTGAGTAAAATGGAATAGAAGAGAAATAGTATATAAGAGAGATAGAAAGGATAAGATGTCTTATTTTATGTTTTATATTAGTTTATTTATTAGTTTATTAGTTTATTAGTTTATTAGTTTATTAGTTTATTAGTTTATTTATTAATTAATTAATTTATTTATTTATTTACTTATTTATTCATTTATTTATTTTTAAAAGATTTACAATAAATAAATTAAATAAGTAGAAATATCTGATGTAAAAAGAAAAAGAATAAATATTTTCAAAATACAAAAAGGAAAGAATTATTGTGGGTCTTATATATTATGAAAAATCTATATGTTTGGGTGAAACAAAAAGAAATTGTTTTTGATAGAATTGGGACATTTGTAAAGATGATGTGAAGTAGATAAAATTAGTAAGTGGATGAGTTAATTAGTGAATTTTAAAAAAATGATAAACAAAAACAAGAACGAAAATGAAAATGAAAATGAAAATGAAAATGAAAATGAAAATAAATAAATAAATAAATAAATAAATAAATAAAAAAGTGTTAAAGTAAAATATTAAAGTAAAATAGGAATAATTATTTGGAAGGAAAAAATTAGTGTTGATGTTAATGCTAATGCTAATGTTAATGTTAGCGCAGTAAAGGTTGTAATGGTTGTAATGGCAGTAAAGGTAGTAAAGATAGTAGCAGTGGTAATGAATAATGATAATAATTGAAGTAATTTAAGCAATCGAAATAGTAGATGGAGTTTAAGTTTATTGTACTTTTATTGTACTTTTATCATGCTTTGGTATTATTTTCATGTATGAGATAGTTGAGAAAAATATCCCCAGTTAAATTTTGATTGCGAAAAGATTGGAATTATTGAAAAAAACCATTTAGAATTATTGAAAAGTTAATTAGAATTATTGGAAAAGAGCATTTGAATTTTACTAAAAATATTTGAGAATATTTCGAAATGTTTAAATTTAGTTGAAATTAATTGAAGCTAATTAGAATTGAATAAAAATTGAAAGGAAAAAACATAAAAATTACTAAAATCATTAAGATTATAAAATTATAAAATTATAAAAGCCAAAAAAATCAAAAAAGCCAAAAAAGCCAAAAGATCCAAAAAATTTAAAACTTTGAATATTGTTAATGTTGATAATAAAAGTTTAAATAGAATAGGTGAAAAATTGTAAAAAGTTGTGAAGAGATATGAAAAAATATGGATCTTTTGTTTTTAAAAAATATAAATATTTATAAATAAATTTAAAGGATATGTATAGAGTTGGGAAAATTAGTGGAAATTAGTGGAAAATAGTTCAAAGAAAAAAATGTTCAAGTGAGTAAGCACAACTTTAAGCAGAGGAAGAAGTTTAAGAGCAGGTAATAGCAAAGAAAAGTTAGAAAAAAAATAGAGTTAGAGGAAAATAACAGTGAAAGAAGTAATTGAACAGGAGAAGAGAGGAAAAAGAAAGGAGAAATAAAAAGAGTAAAGAGTATAAGAAGGACGAGAAGGATGAGAAGAGTAAAAGGAATGAGAGGAATGATGTGGAAATGGGATTGAATGGAGTGGATTGAAGAAGGGTGTTTAATATAATTTTGATTGAATCGAATTGAATTGAAATTATATTGAAATTGGATTTGAATTGGATTTGAATTGGATTTGAAGTCGAAATTAAGATTTGGATTTAAGATTTGAAGTTAAATTTTGAAATGTGGTATAAAAGATGAATAAACTGGGGGAAAATTGTTTTTTTGAAAAAAATAGTTAACGAATTAATATAACGAAAATCAACCCAACAACAAGATTATTTGCAATTTGGAATTTACTGAATAAATTGTAAATAAATAATTATGAAATTTTTAGTTTTTTAGTGGAAAGCAAAAAGATGTGAAGAAGAATCATTTGCTATTATTTGCTATTATTTGCTATTATTTGCTAGAATTATTTGGGATATTATTTTGTGGATCCCTGTAACAATCAACATTTGTTTTAGAAAATGGGCCATAAACATAAAGAATGAGAAGGCAAAGTGGGAATAGGAAAAGATGGGATTTAAGGATAAAAACGAAAGGTGTGAAGAGGATTTAATGATAGAATAGAGGCAAGGAGTCTAAAGGAGTAATTTCATTAAAGGAGTAAGGTAAGAATAGAGTAAGAATAGAATGAAAAGTGGACGTGAGATATAGATGAAATATAAATACGGTAGTCATAGAAAAGGGCGAGTGTTAATTAACGCATGTCTTAATTTATTTTATGACAGGTTAATAAAGGATGGATCGAACAAGCTATGAAATAAAAGAGAAAAAGGGTATAAAAGAAGAAATAGAAGAGGATTGAATGGGGATTGGATGGGGATAAAATGAGGATTGAATGAGGATAAAATAAGAGATTGTGTGAAGAAGGATAATGGAAAAGGTTCCAAAAGGAGGAAGAAATTGATGAGAAGAGGGAAAAAGCACAGAATAGGTAAAAGAGAAAAGCAAAAGCAAAAGCAAAAGCAAAAGCAAAAGCAAAAGCAAAAGAAAAAGCAAAAGAAAAAGAAAAAGAAAAAGAAAAGGAGTTGGTGAGTGAGAGATTGTGTGAGCATAATGGGTAAAAAACACAAGATCAGTCAAAAACAAAAGAGCAAAGGAGTAGCAGTAGTAATAGTGATAGAGGAAAGGTAAAACAAGGGAAAACTGGACAAAGGAAAGTGGGTCAGTGAATAAGAGAAAGAAGAATGGGAATAAGTATGTAATAAGTATATAATAAGTATATAATAAGTATATGGCAAATATATAGTAATCGTATAGTAAGCGTATAGTAAGAGATGTATGATAAAATTCAAGATATTAATGATTTCATTTTTAAAATTGATTCTAAAATTATTGAATTATGTTAGATTATTATATTAGAATAAATTAGAATGAATTAAAATAAAATAAAATAAAATAAAATAAAATAAAATAAAATAATTTTGAATAACATTAAATGAAACTTAGTCAGGTAATGGAAAATTAGTTTTGGTATTAGACTGAAAAAGAGAAGGATATATAATAAAAGAACATAAAGTGGTCAAATAGATGAGAGAGAACTACCATATAACAGAAAAAAAGTGAGTAGAAGTGAAAAGACAAAAGCACAACGAATAAAGGACGAAAAAAAGCAGAGAGGACTATTAAAGGGTAGTAAAATAGAATAAATGAGTACAAAAAGTGAGAAACAAATTGATAAAAGAGTTTAAGATTTATTGAGAGTAAGAAAGTTTAAGATTTGAGTATGGGAATACGAGTGATAGATGTAAAAATTGTTTGATGTGTTAGATATTATTTTGGGACAGTGGGATAGGATAAGATAGGAAGGAAGAATAAAAGAAAGAATGAAAGAAAGAATAAAAAAAAGATATAAGGAAAGTAAAAAGCTGGAGGTAAAGGTGATTGCGAGTAAAAGATGGCATGGATAAGAAATATGAAGATGATTATAAGGTTGGTGAAATATTGGAAATAGAGTTATTTGATATGGCGTATGTAAAAAATAAGTGAATATGAAATGAAATTAAAAAAAGCGGAAAAAACGAAAAATTTGAGAAACAAGAGAAAGAACAAGAGGATATAACAAGAGTGAATAGCAAGAAAAATAAAGTATTGGAATGAGTATGATGGATATGGTAGAGCAAATTACCAGAGTTTGAAGAAATGGAGAAATCACTGATAACGAGGCTAGAAGATCAAAAGTGTAATACGAGCACAAAAGAACAAGACGAAGATTAGGGATAATCTCAATACGAGGCAAGACCAAGTGGAGCTAGCTCTTTTGGCTCTTTTAGCTCTCCAGCCAGGGCCAACAAGAGTGAGCAAAGGTGAACAACAGTGCACAAGTTTGAGAAGAGACGATAAGATTTGCGTTTCCACTTCTGAGTCTGTATATACAAGTCTATAAAGACTGTAGATCGAAAATCGTATTTCGAGTGGAAGCGTTGGAAAACAAAGCAGCGGTTCTTTTGGAGTGAGGTGTTTTGGGGTGAGGTATTAATGATTCAAGTCAAAATCACTAGTGTTTCACCCCAAACCCCGGTTTCTTCGGCAACCCGTTGCCACCCCAGTCCATGCGGGCCGGCTTATCCTGTACCGCCCTGGCGCTGCTCCACTTCCACCTCTCTCGCCATCCCCGTGGCTCTCACCGCACCACACGTGGTCACGTGCATAGTGCAAACGAGCTGATTGGCTTTGCTGCACTCCAAGTGACACAGCTAGTTGCGCACGCACCCAGCGGTGCACTGACATCACAGACCAAAATGGATCCCTGTCACATCGCGCCGGGAAATTGCTGTGCCCAGCAAAAGCTGCTTATTCTTGCAGTGCCAACCATTCCGGCAGCGCCTGCGCGCTGCACAGGAGCCGCTGAGTCAGCACACGGAGGCTGCTGAGTCAGCGGGCGCAGCAGAAGCAGCAGCGGCGGACAAGAGAGGAGCCGGTGCTGAGCCGGGAAGCCGTGCCGGAAGCAACGCGCGGAGTAGAAGCAGCGGCATCTGGCGGCCGTGATGGAGAATCGCTCTTATCGCCTATTTATAGAAAGCTGTTCTTACCAACAGAAGCCATCTCATCCAAGCGCTGATTTGCTGTGGTCGTTCTTCTGCTTCTTCTTCTTCTGCTTCTTCTGCTTCTTCTTCTTCTCTTTCCAGTGTTCTTTCTCTCCTTTTCAGTGCTTTCTCTCTTTGGTGTTGGTTTTTCTCTTACTTGCTCCTGTTGGTTATTACCTCTTTCAACTGTTTTTCAATCTCAATCAATCCCATTTCACTCTCTTTTTCTTATGAACTTGCCAATTTTGGTTCAATAACACATCTGCAATAATATCACTCTTGTATATTAGTTATTATTTCATCTTTATCTTTATCTTCTCTTCTTTCTATTCTATTCTTTTCATCTTCAATTCAATCTTCTCTCCATTCTACTCTTAAATTTCAACCTATATCAAACCTGTATCAGCCTCAATTTCTTTTTTCTTTTTATTTCTTGTTTGGTTAATTATTCCAATATTCTTATCAAATGCCATCTCCAAATAATAATATTAATAACACAAATCAAAACCATTATAATCACCACGATTATAATCGTGGTGATTATAATGATCCAAATTCAAACTCAAATTCAAACAGGAATAATCATCTAGACACCTATGATTTTGAAAACTCAATCCATTCATTTGAAAATGACATCTCTAATAACATCATTATCAACAATAACTCCATCAACAACAACAACAACAACATCATCATCAAAAAAGACTCTTCAAATGATGAAAACATCAGTCCCTATAACGATTACTCATTCAATAACTCCACTGTTCCTCTAAATACTGATCAAAATTTATCCTCCTTTATACCCACAATCAACACTTCCTTCAACAATAGCAACCATAACAACCATAACAATCACAACAACCACAACAACCTTCATGCTACAAATATCAACAGCAATAAAACCTCAGAACTACAAAATATAAGTCAAAGCTCTCTACACTCCCCCATAAATAATCTAACTCTACACTCCCAGTACCAGTCCTCAAACTCAATTCCTTCCCTGTTTTTACATGTATCAAATACAAACAACATCTCTCCCGAATCAGTCAAAAGAAATCAAACCATAATGAAAAGAAATCGATGGGGAACTCAAAGAAACAAACATGGCAATCCTAAAAACATTAATCGTAACAAAACCTGGAAAAAATCAATCCATCATAAATCCTCAAATAGATCCTTCAAACCAAGAAAATCTTCCTTCAATTATCACGCCTCATCTAGTGACAATAATAACAAGGACAATGATAACAACAAAGAATCAAAAAACACCAATTCTGATGACGACCAATCAATGGATAAATCCCACAAAAAAAGATCAATCTTCTTCAACTTGCCTCTTCCCAAAATCTTCTTAAACGAAGAAAATGAACCCATCTTCCAATACTCGAGAAACAAAATCAGAACCACAAAATATACACCAATCTCTTTTATCCCCAAAAACATGATCTTCCAATTCAGTAACGTCGCCAACATCTACTTTCTTACCATGATTATTCTCAGTTTCTTCTCAATCTTCGGTGTTTCAAGCCCTGAACTAGGTATGGTTCCTTTAATCATCATCTTCTGCATAACCGCCATAAAAGACGCAGTCGAAGACTCTCGAAGAACAATCCTAGACCTCGAAGTCAACAACACTCTAACACACATCTTATCTGGCATAGACAACCACAACGTATTAAACGATAACATCTCCCTTTGGAGAAGATTCAAAAAATTCAACACAAGAACCCTACGTTCCTTTTTTAAATTTCTTCAAAAACATTTCTCCAAAAAAGCTAAGCGCCAAAAGAATTCAAAAAATCTCAATTCTGATAATGCCATTGACTCTCCCAGAAACTCCTTTGAAAGTTTCGAAACAAGATTTGAAAACAACTCAGACTTTAACTTATCCAAAAGAAACTCCCTAGATTCTCTACAATTCAATAACGACTCAAACAACTCAAACAACTCAAACAACTCAAACAACTCAAACAACTCAAACAACTCAAACAACTCAAACAACTCAAACCCAATTAATCCATTCGACACTCTCCCAAATCAATCTCCTCCCTTCTTAAACAACGTTCCCCAGATCCTAAACAAAAACATTCAATCCCCCGGAAACGCCAGATTCACCAAAGACTTTTGGAAAAGCGTCAAAGTAGGCGACATCATTCGTATCCACAATAACGACGAAATTCCTGCCGACGTCCTAATCTTATCAACCTCAGACGCTGATGGTGCTTGTTACGTTGAAACTAAAAATCTAGATGGTGAAACAAACCTCAAAGTTCGTCAAGCTTTAAAGTGCTCAACCTCTTTACGCCATGCATCCGATTTTGAAAAATCAAAATTTTGGATAGAAAGTGAAGGCCCCCATTCAAATCTTTATTCCTACCAGGGTGTTTGCAAATATCGTAATCCAAATCATCAAGACAAATCAATTGACAATGATTCAAATCAGAATCAAGATCAAGATCAATATCAAAATCAAGACCAAAATCAGAATCATGTCAAAATTCAAGACCCAAATCATGACTCAATTCACGACCATGACCAAGAAGATATCCTAAATGAACCAATAAATATCAACAACCTACTACTCAGAGGCTGCATGCTCAGAAACACAAAATGGGCAGTTGGTATAGTCCTCTTTACTGGTGATGACACTAAAATTATGTTAAACGCCGGTGTTACTCCAACAAAGAAATCAAGAATATCAAGTGAACTAAACTATTCAGTTATCATAAATTTCGGTTTATTATTTATTTTATGTTTCTCTTCAGGTGTCATCAACGGTTTTTACTATAATAATACTGGTGTATCAAGAGATTATTTCGAGTTTGGTACAATTGTTAGCACCCCTACTCTAAATGGTATTGTTAGTTTCTTTGTTGCAATGATTCTTTATCAGTCTTTGGTCCCTATCTCCCTTTATATTTCCATCGAAATTATAAAAACTGCTCAAGCCTATTTTATCTATTCAGATGTAAATATGTACTACGAAAAACTCGATTACCCGTGTACTCCCAAAAGTTGGAACATTTCCGATGACTTGGGTCAAATTGAATACATCTTTAGTGATAAAACTGGAACTTTAACTCAAAACGTCATGGAATTTAAAAAATGCACTATTAATGGCGTTTCATACGGAAGAGCTTACACAGAAGCTTTGGCTGGTTTAAGAAAAAGACAAGGTATTGATACTGATGAAGAAGGCTCCATTGAAAGAGAAGCCATAAAAAAGGATAAAGAAACGATGGTCAAAGAATTACTAAAAATATCCGCAAATCCTCAATTAGACCCCAACGATGTTACTTTTGTTTCTGTGGATTTTGTTAAAGATTTACAAGGCGAAAAAAGTGACCTTCAAAAGGAATGTAATGAACATTTTATGCTAGCTTTGGCTTTATGTCATTCAGTATTAACAGAACCAGATAAAGAAAACCCAGAAAGATTACTACTAAAAGCACAATCACCCGATGAAAGTGCATTAGTTGGTACAGCTAGAGATATGGGTTTTGCATTTATTGATAGAACTAAAAGAGGTGTCATTGTTGAAGTTCAAGGATCCCAAAAAGAATTCCAAATTTTGAATACTTTGGAGTTTAATTCCACAAGAAAAAGAATGAGTGCCATTATTAAAATACCACCAATTCACCCAGGAGATGAACCTAAAGTGCTTCTCATATGCAAAGGTGCAGATTCTATAATATATTCAAGATTAAAAAAAAATACTGGCGAAGAATTACTAGAAAAAACCGCTCTACATTTAGAAGAGTTTGCAACTGAGGGATTAAGAACTTTGTGTATTGCTCAAAGAGAACTAACTTGGAGCGAATACCAAGCATGGAATAAAAAACATGAAGTTGCATGTGCCGCCATAGATAAAAGAGAAGAAAAAATGGAAGAAGTTGCTGACACAATTGAAAGAGAGTTGACATTGATAGGAGGTACCGCTATTGAAGATAGACTTCAAGATGGGGTACCTGATTCAATCTCGATTCTTGCTCAAGCAGGTATAAAATTATGGGTTTTAACAGGTGATAAAGTTGAAACTGCTATAAATATTGGATTTTCTTGTAATCTTCTTAACAATGACATGGATTTATTGGTCATCAAAGCAAGTGGAGATGATGCCAAAGAATTATCAGGAAAAAATGATCCAGAAAGTGTTGTTAGAAATTTAATAAATCAATATTTGAAAGAAAAATTCAATATGCTGGGTTCAAATGAAGAACTTGAATATGCAAAAATTGATCACAATCCTCCAGCAGGAAATTTTGGTGTTATAATAGATGGTGAAGCACTAAAACTTGCATTGAAAAGTGAACTTAAAATTAAATTTTTGTTGCTTTGCAAACAATGTAAAGCTGTTTTATGTTGTAGAGTTTCTCCAGCCCAGAAAGCTGCTGTTGTTAAAATGGTGAAAGAAACTTTGGATGTCATGACTTTGGCCATTGGAGATGGATCAAACGATGTGGCAATGATTCAAACAGCAAATGTTGGAGTTGGTATAGCTGGTGAAGAAGGACGTCAAGCAGTGATGTCTGCAGATTATGCTGTGGGCCAATTTAGATACATATCAAGATTGATTTTGGTACATGGAAGATGGTCTTATAAGAGATTAGCTGAAATGATTCCCAGTTTCTTTTACAAAAATGTTATTTTTACTTTAGCTCTATTTTGGTATGGTATTTATGTGAATTTCGATGGTTCTTACTTATTTGAATATACCTATTTGATGTTTTATAATTTAGCTTTTACTTCCTTACCAGTGATTTTTATGGGTATTTTAGACCAAGATGTCAATGATGTCGTTTCTTTGTTGGTTCCTCAACTATATACGACTGGGATTTTGAGAAGTGAGTGGACTATGAAGAAATTTTGGTGGTACATGTTTGATGGGTTGTACCAATCCGTTATATGTTTTTTCTTTCCCTACCTTTTGTTTTATCAAACTGGATTTGTAACTTTTAATGGTTTGTCTCTTCAACATAGATATTTGATTGGGATATATGTTACTAGCATTGCTGTTACCGCTTGCAACATATATATAATAATGCATCAACTTAATTGGGATTGGATTTCTGTTCTTTTTATTGTTCTATCCATTGTTGTTGTCTATGCTTGGACTGGGATCTGGTCATCAAGTTTTATTTCAGGTCCATTTTACAAGAGTGCTGCTCGTGTTTATGGAGCTCCTTCATTTTGGGCTTGTATGTTTATTGGCACTATTATTTGTTTGCTTCCAAGATTTGTTTATGATTGTGTAAAGAAAATATACTTTCCAAAGGATATTGATATTATTCGTGAATGTGTTGCTAGAGGTGATTTTGCTCAATATCCAATTGGTTATGATCCAACGGATCCTAACCGAGTTAAAATAAGCAAATATTCCTCTCTTCATTTATCTGAAAATCAACCAAACGTCACTGAAGGCTCTCCATGGAGCACTGCAACAAAAAATGGTTCTTTTATTTCAAGACATTTTTCTAAAAAACAGAAATCTTATAATTATGGTACTCAAAATGACAATAGAGATTCATTACCTACCTATTCTATTTCAAATAGTGAAGTTACCACTATTAGAACACAAGAAATTCCAATGCAAATAATCTCTGCGCAATCTGGAAGATATAATCCTCGTAACACAAGACCAGGGGCAAATGAAGAACATCGTACGAGAGTCTCATTGGATCGCACAAGGCTATCCATGATTCAAAGTAATGAACTATCACCAACAGTATCTAGAGCAAGAGCCTCCTTGGAAATACCTGGCGTGAATGTTGCAGAGAACTTAATGAAAAGACTTTCAAGACAGTGAAATCAATTATTGTATTATTATTTTTTAGTTAAATTTTTTTGTTTTCTACTCCTATATTTTTTTCGTGATTTTCCTGAATATTTTTGAAAATTTTTTGTTCTTACTGATAACATCATCCCTTTTCATTTTTTCTTGGGTATCTTATTAGGCTTTTAAATCAATATAAAATTGTATCACTAGTTTCAAATCACTATAAAAATAATACACAAGTAAACATAAAAAGATTGTTTTTAATTTTGGTTCACAGCGTTGATTGCTCTTTTGTAAGAAGGAGCAATACCATTCCAGATTTTAAATTGAGCTATGCCTTGATTAACAAGCATTGAAGTTCCAGGTATGACCTTCCAATCAAATTCATCGTTGGCGAGTTTCATCACAGAAGTCACCAATGGCTTATAAGCAGCTTCTAACAACACAGGATCAAATGAATGAACGTTTTCCTTTGCTAAAATCTGTTTGTAACAGTCTAGGACAAACTCATCAATTGGTTTATCACTTGGAATACAGTTAACAACCAAAGAAACAGTCTCTGCCTTTTTAGCATCTTTTACACTTTGCAAAACCTCTATATTATAATCTTCTGGGAAACTATTTTTGATATCAACCAACTTGGAAACTGTTCTGTTAAGAATATATATCTTTTTAACACCCATGCTTTTTAGTGCAAAAATAGCAGCTCTAGAGGTGCCTCCGGCACCAACAACCAAACCAGCAACATTTACATTATTAATTTCTGGGAATCCACTCTTGTAGAATGATTCTTTGATTCCAACCCAATCAGTATTATCTCCCTTGAATTTTCCTTCTCCCAATGGGATAACTGTATTGACAGCTTTGATGAGTTCTGCGCTAGTTGATAACTCAGTGATGTATTTTAAAATATCAAGTTTGAGTGGAATTGTGATAGCTATGCCTCCAAGGTTTGGTTTAGTCATGATTTTAGAGTAAAGTTGATCAACATCATCAGTTTCAAAGACATTAAAAGTATGTGGAAGTCCTAAAGATTTAAAACATACATTATGCAATGCTGGGGATCTTGAATGGCCAATAGGGCTACCAGCGACATAAAACTCTTTTTTTTCCAATCCACCGATTTCTGATAAATATTGATTGATTTGTTTTATATCAAGTTGTCCAGGGGCTGCAGCAAAAGGCAATAGAGAAGAAGTGACTGGAGTTAGAAAAGAATTTATAACTCTTGACAACTTACCTTTTTCACCCATGTTTATTGCGATAAATGGTTTAGCCGTATGTTTCTCTCTAAAGATTTCTAGCAAAAAGTTATCATTGAAATCAGTAGCGGTTCCAACAAACTTGATAATATCAACATCAAGATTTACTGCTTGATTATATTTGTTTTCCCACTCAATATTATCCCATTTGAACTTTCCAGAAAAATCATGATGGGAACCGAGAACCTTTGTAAAACCTCTTCTTGACATTGAGGAATCTAATAATCCATCTGGAAGAGATAACTCCAAATCAAGAATATCGATTCCCATCTTAAACACCAAATCTATCAATGATTCAATTTTTTTAAAATCCTCATCAGGAAACTTACCACCTTGCTCTTTTGTTCTAATAGTAGCAATTATTGGCAAAGATGAGTAAGTTCTTAATAATGATAATTGATCAGAAACATATTCAAGTGAATAATCTTTCAAATGATCTAATCTCAATTCAATAGCGGTGCAACCTTCTGAAATATCTTCAATTTTATTAAGATGTTCAGATAAATCTTCATAAGTTAGACAAACAAAGAACGACTTTCCAAAATTTAAATTCAATTCTATTTTTCCGGTTATTTTATTTATAAATTTACTGAAAGAACTTCTGAATAATTTGAATTCTCGATCGTTTGAGCAGTGTGGGGAGTAAAAGTAATAATTGCTGCATGCTTGATATAATGGTTTTCTTCTCTCCCACACTTTAGAAATTTCTTCCAAGTATGCTGGCCTTACTTCATCCTTGTTGAGAAAAGAGATTGTTTCATCAATATTACGATGAAGATGAAGAACTATACCACCTTCATCCTTATAAGTATTTAATAAGTTTCTGCATTCTTCACCTTCAACTATGCCACCACCAGTTGAAATAACATAGTCTGTAGAAAATAGTTCAGTGGCCTCCAAAAAAAACTCAGATTCTTTTTCACGAAAAGCTGGCCAACCATTTGATTCAACCCACGACTTGATATCTCCCAATTTGGATTCAAAATAGTGATCAAGATCAAGAATCTTGAATCCAAGAGTTTCGGCTATCCATTTAGAAATGGTAGATTTTCCGGCACCTCTCATACCAATAATAATAATACTTTTATTGCCGTTTTTCTTTTTTCTGATATTTTTTGCTTTAGTCTTGAGGTTTTTTTCAAATCCACTAATCTTGATATTGAATTTGTTGGAAAGAATATCCCACCAACCGGGCCATGTTTTACTTGTGCACGATCTTCCCTGGATCAAAACACCACTGTCACAGAACCCAGCTAATAAGGAGAAGGACATCGCTACTCTGTGATCGTCATAAGTGAAAACACCCTCTTCTCCTGGATTCTTTAATTGATTAATATTAACACCAGAAATTTCAATGCCATCAGGGAGTTCTCTAGAATTAACGCCAAACTTGCTTAATTCTTCAACCATTGCCTTGATTCTATTACATTCTTTCACCCTCTGATTTGCAATACCAACAATATTAGTTTTCGTGCCATTGTCATCTGTTGCGATTGCAGCAACAACACTAGCTGTCAAGAATGCATCAGTCATAGGTTCCATATCAATAAGAGGCAAGGGTTTCAAATTACCTCTTGTGGGCCCAATAACGGTTGTTGAGGTTTCAGTTTGTAAAACTTTGCATCCCATTGGCTCTAAAACATCGGTTGCAAATCTTGAATCACCTTGAAGAGAAGTAGAACCAATGTTTGGAATGGTACAAGTTGTACCAGTCATGGCAGAAAGTGCCAAAGGATAAGTAGCACTCGATGCATCACTTTCCACAACGTATACAGGTGGGTTTGTGTAGCTTCCGGTAGGAATATGATAGGTATATGGTTCAGTTTGGGATTTTGTAACTTCTATTCCAAAAGATTTCATCATAGATATAGTCATATCAATATATAATTCAGAAATAGGCTTTCCACCAACAAGGGCCAAAGTCACTGGATTTTGTGCGTATGGGGCACACATCAAAATCGAAGAAACATATTGAGAAGAAATAGTAGCACCAAGCTCAATTCTTCCACCTTTGAAATTGTTATTAGCTTTGATTTTCAATGGTAAGGAGCCAGTTTTTCCAAGATATTCGATAGAAACACCATTTTCCACCAACGAATTGACTAAGGAACCAATTGGTCTTTCTTTCATTCTAGAGTTTCCAGTCAAAACAACACTATCATTCTCTGGGGAAGAGGAAACTAAAATTGCAACGGATGTCAAAAATCTGGAGGCGGTTCCAGCATTTCCCAAGTATAACTCATTTGAACAGGCAGTAAGTTTACCTCCATTGCCATTAACTATGATGCTTTCGCCATTATTTTTCCATGAAATATCAGCAGCATTCAACTGCGCAATGGCATTGAGCATGTGCTCTGTATCATCAGAATGTAAAAGGTTTTTAATTTCACAAGCACCTTTACCCAATGATGCTAAAATAAGAGCTCTGTTTGAGATTGATTTTGAGCCTGGAGGAGTTATAACTGTTTCGGGGAAGTTTTCAACAAAAGGAGAAACTATGACTTCATCGGTTAATATAAATCTCAAATCATCATCATTGACATAAGAAGCCCTAGGTTCGTAACATTCACCAATTCTCTTTAACAAGACGACTTTCTTTTTTGAACCGTCATTTTTTTTATCTACAGCCATTAACTTTAACAATTGATCAACAGGACAAACTTTTCCGTCGATTTTGGTTTTAATAATTTCATCATCTAAGGAAATTGGCAATCCGTAGGAAGCAAAAGACTTTGATAATCTTGCAACAGCAACTGGAGAAAGTATGCCTAAATATCTAGCTAGCTCAGCTTCCTTAATAGCACCAATGGAAACACATTCGCCATGAAGAGCTTGAGGGGTAAGTATAGCTTCAATTGCATGGCCGATTGTGTGGCCAAAATTTAATAAATTACGAAGACCACCTTCTCTTTCGTCTTTGGAAACAACCTCAGCTTTAACCTTTATGGATTCTAATACTAGCTTGATAATATGGTCTAAAAGAGGAGATAAATCCACAGTGGTGTCAGGTTTTCTGTTTCTAATGACAGATAAAAAAGTCTTTGAATACTCTTCTAAACGGGTAAATTCGTCCTCATTCCAAATGGCAGCAGTCTTGATTACTTCTCCCATGCCATTTATAAATTGTCTTTCGGGTAATGTAGTCAAAAATTTGATATCAACAAAAATATATTCAGGTTGCCAAAACGCACCAATAAAGTTTTTTCCGAGTGGTGTGTCGATGGCAGTTTTACCACCAACAGAAGAATCAACCATTGCCAATAACGTGGTTGGAATTTGAATAACCCTTACACCTCTCATAAAAGTGGCAGCAACGAAACCAATCATGTCACCAATGACACCACCACCAATTGCAATAATCAAAGTATCTCTAGTGCAACCATTTTCTAGTAAAAAATCTTCGATTGCAGCTTTTGTCTGTCTATTTTTGTTGGCTTCGCCCGGAGACACCACATAAGTTAGCAATCTGGATTCAGGTCTTTTAGCAGCCAAAACCTGCAAAAATCCATCTGAATACTCGTCCAAATGGCCATATTTCTTGATATTAGTATCGGTGATAATAGCATAGGTCGAAGAAGGTTTGGTATCGACAATAGTGTTTATGATGTGATCTTTGATATCGTAGCCAAGGTGGATGATTTCCTTCTTCAAGATGGAAACCCTGTGAATTGTAGAAGCAGCCATTTTGAACGTTGTCTTCTTTATCCTGTTCTCAATGGTAGCTGGTGAAAAGAGTATATATATCAGTTCTGTTTCAATGAGTCAAACATCGAAATATGCACCAAAGTTGGGGAATGAAAAATTGGTACACAAAGGTCACGTGCAGATCACCGTTATGTCTACCACTGCACTGGGTCTCCAAAAGACATAAAGAAGTGTTCTGGAAAGAGGTACTATTTCTTTCGAGGTTTCTTTCTCGTTGAATTGATAGCAGAAAGCCTTTGCAGCTGTTCTACTCCAGATAATGTCTGCTCTCGAGAGGATCCATAGAACTCTTACGTTTGCTGATGCTCCGAGCATAGTAAGAGCTCACCAGAAGGACTCTTTCTACGAGAACAATCTAATCCAGCTATTGCAAGATGCACTAAAAATAGTCAAAAACCAGAGGTTTATCCATTTATACTCAAACGAAATTGTCATTTTTGGCAAGTTTCTATATCTAAGCTTGACAACCTTAGTTGGCTCTAGAACTCTAGGTGAAGAGTATGTTGATTTAATCTACGTCACAAGAAAGGGCAAGAAGTTACCTAGACTCTTCAGAAGATTGTCGTTTATACTATCTTATGCCATTCTTCCTTATTTGTTAAAACACATTGCCAAAACTTTGGCCAAAAGAAATGATCCACCTAATTATGATGTCAGTAATGAAAAAGAAAGTGCAAATTATCTTATTAAAAATTGCAAATCTTTATCTTCATTCAAAATATTTTTCAAATTGTTATCATCAAAAATATCATACCAAAATTTGTTAAGTTTTATAATGGATTCCCACTTGGGTTTCTTTTACATCTTTGGTTCCTATTACCAGTTATCAAAAAGAGTTTTTGGCTTGAGGTATGCTCTCGGCCACAAAAAGCCAATTTCCTCAAACAATGGAAGTTACGAAATATTGGGAGGTTTAATTTTCATCCAGTCATTTTTCAAATCTCTTAATAATATCCTTGAATTTTTCTCTGATTACTTCAAGATCCTATCTATAAAAAACGTTCAGATTACAAAGTCAAATCAAAACCAAAGCCAAAACTCGGGTTCTGCCCACAGTAACGGTTCAGAATACAATCACAGTGATAATATAATTTATAACTTGAACAGTGCGAATGATCTATATGATTCCCTAAAGTCAGATCATGACATAGATTTATCAAATCCAAATGTTTTGCCATACATACCTACAGACTCCAGGCTGTGCATGTTATGTCTATCACCAATGATCAATCCTTCTTCTGCTCCTTGTGGCCATTTATTTTGTTGGACTTGTATTTTGGATTGGTCAAAAGAACAAAATAACTGTCCTTTGTGTAGAACTCCTATTGAAAGCAAACTCATTCCTTTAAGATAGTTTTCCAAACTTTTTGCTTTATATTTATTTTCGCTCATTTAGGTTTATTTTTAGCTTTAATTTTTTTTGATTTTTGATTTTCAATTGGAAGAATAAAAATACAATTATTTATTATAAAATGCAATTTTTAATCTATGTACTGCTTAGCATTATATACCGACATGAAATAAGATCTTTTTCTTATTCTTTTTCCCTTTTTTAGTAGAGGTATGGATAATTGGAATCCCATTGATTTCATTCTTGGAATCATTTTCAGTTTTTTGTTTCCCCCAGCCTTTAGGGTCTGTTTCGACTGGTGGTACAGCTGAGGGAAACCTTTGAACTTTTGTAGGTAGTGAAGGAAATTCTTCTTCCTTCAAAGAAGTTTTATTATTTGTAACCACTAGTCCGGTAGATGTCTTCGGCTTTATTATTCGTACACCAGCACCAGATGACGAAGCAGCATAACTTGGTTTTGGAGTTTTTTCTGTTTTTTTTATTTTAACATTACTATAACGAACATTTCTTTCAATTACAGGAAGTTTTCCAGACGGCTTAGACAAAGATGGAAAATTTTCTAAAGAATCATTCTTTTTTATTGAAGTTTTATTCAGAGTAGGTTCTTGACTTTCCCCCCAATTTAAAACCCTTTTCGATGAAGACAGCGAGCTTAAAGAGTCGATAGATAACGAAGAATTACTCGAAAGAGCCTTTTGCTTTAGCGATGGAAAATCTGTTGAGGATAACGATTTTTTCTTTGAGGCCTTTAATGTAACCCAATTCAGATTTGAATTAGAATTTAACTTTAAATTTGTTGCAGAATTATTTAACTTAGTTGAAGAGTTTCTAGATCTCGCAAAATCCGACAAAGAAGGAAAATTCTGTTCATTGAAATGAGATGAGTATGTCTGGGTTGGCTTTTTAACTGGCATTTTGGTACTAATTGAAACAGAAGAACCAGATTTGGAGCCTGAAAGTTCAGGAAAATCCAATTCATTTTTCCTTGCTGTAATGCTATTTTTTGCTGTTTCTAATAAAGATTTTGACAAGGATGATTTTTTGCCCATTAAATCAGTAAATTCCTGAACTAAAAGATCAATATCTGAAGAATTTACACTTTTAAATAATTCAACATACCGATCTAAAAACTGATCCGATGTGATTTTTTTGTCTCGATAATTTTTATTAATTTGCTGAAATGATTCAAAATCATCAGATGAATATTGTAAATAGTGCCTTGCCCTTTCTTCAAAACGCATTTTTTTTATTTCAGGATCTTCACTAATTCTATCATTTCTATTGATGTTGTTGTTTTTGTTATTATTATTATTATGATTGTTATTGTTATTATTACTATTGTTATTATTATTGTTGTTGTTGTTATTAGAATTAGATTGAAAAGGTATTTGAAAAGTTGAAAGTTGAGACTGGTATCGTCTTGTTCCACCCAGATTATCGTATCCTGAATTGAATAATTGCAAGCTTTTTGATCCACCAGATAACTCAGGATGGTCTTTTATTATGTGCGCTTTCAAGTCAATATCGTTACTAAATGCGATAAACTTATCTTCAATACATTTTGGAACAGTGCAAACATAGTGATCTTTTGAAAAATGTTGATATAAAGTATTGTAATTTAAGAAATATTGAGGTTTTGTGATTCCAATCTGTTCACAAAGTTGGCATTTTTCGTGTTTTTCTCTTAAATGAACATTTAACTCATCTTCAGAATAAAAATTGAATTTGACACAAAATTGACAAGTGGGATGTCCAGTAAAACCTTGTTCATCTCCAAATTTTTTATGTTTTCTTAGCTGATTATACGTGTACAATTTTAATTCAGAAGTAAAAGCATGTTTATATTTTGCACATATCAAACAATAAAATTTTTCATGGTCATTTTTGGTATGATCGTTCAATCCATAGATTGTATTGTATTCTTTTGCACAGTCCTTGACTGGACACCTATGTTTTAGTAGCTCAATTGTTTTGTTGTAAGCATTTAATGAGTAAAAATTTATTCCCAAAGTATCATCTTTATAAACTGGCTCAGTGTTACTAAAGTCATCAATATCTTTATCTAGTTCATCGCAAAATATCACAAATTCGTTTTCAGTCTATATCGTTGAAAAATTGTTAGTATATAATTGAAAAATTGAGTGGGTGGATTTGATTGGCTGCTTTTTAGTTTTACTTACTCTACAGACAATACAGGCTTTTTTCTTGTACAATGCTCTTTGACGAAGGGTGCAAACATGACAGGTTATATGGTTACAGGCAGATAAAGCAGCACATTCAATTTTATTAGCACAAATGATACATATATCAGATTCATCCAAATCATCATCATCTTGTTTTTTAGGATCAGTGAAATTAGGTTTCCAAGTGGTTTTCAAATCTTTATTTTTGTTGGTTTGTCTATTTTGGTTTCTTCTGAAATTGTTTGTTTTAGAATAACGAGTTTTGGGAGCGTTTCTTTCCCTTGGAGTAGTGTTGAAGTCCATTTTTAAGAATCAAGAATCAGAGCAATTGGGCGATAAACTGGGATTGAAGACAAATGGATGAGATATAAGAAAAATTTTCCATGATTTGACGAATCTTTACAGCTTCCCATTGGGGTTTTTCCGCGGAACGGATTTGAAAAAGAGGGAGAAAACCCGCGACGGTTGCTGAATCCACGGACAGAAGCAGAATTGAGAGACTACACTAAAGCTATTGAAAGTAATATATAGATACCATCCACAGAGTTGTAAGAAGAATTAGTGATTAGGGAGATAAAAAATGAGTCAGAAATAATGATTGATTTATTTTTCAGTATAGAAGTTAAAAAAAAGAAAAGGTGTGGCAAGCAGCAGACAATTACAGCTGTAAATAAAACTACTTGCTAACTCAGCAGTCTCCGAAAAAACAAACATTCCCATAGTTGTTTGATAAAAAAGGAAAAAAATTAAATTAAATGAAAGTTAAGTTAGTAAAACAATAAAAAATAAAAAAAATAAAAAAAAATAAAGGTCAAAAGCATTCAATTGTAAAAATTCAAACACCTCCTTCGCCTCTTTCTTTTTTCCAGGCAGAAGAACCACTGATTCTTCCAGCTTGGTTGGATTTGGGTTCAGAACTTGGTTCAGATTGAGTGTTATATTCATCAAAATTGATTAATTTTTTTCTGGTTAGTCTGTAAAACTCAATATTATCTCTTATACAGGCTTGGTAGGTTTTATTTTTATCATTTAAACGTTTTTTCAGTACAGCATTTAGGAAAACAATTGTATTTTTAAGGATTTCTTCATCAATTAAATCTCGTGGTAATTGTTTGGATCTATCAACAATGTATTTTGATGATAAATCTCTAACGTTTTCGTTACTAATACCAAAGACGTAGCTCATCTTTTTGCCCCAATTTTTTGAATAGAGATCAGGTTGGTTGTAGGAATTTTCACAAGGATCGAGGTGAATCCAATCTTTTAAAGAATTTGAGTAATATTCAGTCCAGACATGATCTTCTTGATTCCAAATGTATCTTGCGTTGATGTTCATGCTTCTTAGGATAAGCATGAAGCAATTAGCCCATTCACCACATCTCCCTCTTCTCGTTTGTAATAATTTTACCGGGTCGTTATATCTTGGAAACTTTATTATTGAAGAGCAGTTTGTGCATTTATAGACTTCGGTTTTAATAGCTTCGCCATCTTGAGCAAATTTTTTAAAATTAAATAATAGGTTTTTAAATAAAGAGCAATGATTAGGTTCTTGGATCGAATCGTTCTTAACAAAAACGATTTTAGATTCGTCGTCGTTTAAACATTCATTATTTTCACAATGAGGTATGTTGACCCAAGCAAAAAAGTCGTTTTTAAACCAGGATAGTAGTTCCATTACTAAGAAGTCTTCATAATCGTAATTAAGAAATTCATTTTGAAAGTTTTCTTTTGATTTTCTTTTAGAATTTTGCTGTTGGATTCTTTTGTATACTTTGTCGTAAATTTTGTCAAAGTCTATAACCTCAAAAACCTTTTCTTGAGCTAATGGAGAATCATATTTATAAACCATTTTAGATAGAAAGGATAGATTGTGAATAAAGCTAATCTGTGACTCTTTAAAGACAGGAAGATCTTTGTTTGATTCATTTGTGGACTGGAAAGGATATCTCATGTAATTTTGGTTTGTGTAGGAGGTTTGAACATAGCAATTAAACTGGCTAAAAAAATCATCATAGGTTTGTTTAACTTTTGAATTTAGGTATTCCTTATAGTCTTGATTAATTCTTTGACTGATCATATGAATGTTCTTCTTGGTCAAAGAAGGATCTGAAGGCATTCTAGAGAAAGACAGAGATTTTACTCAGGAGGAGTATTTGAATTTGAATTTGAATTTTGAAAAGGCTGTGAACTCAGTAAATCAGATGGATTGGATTAGATTAGGTTAAGTTAGGCCAGATTAGACAAATTGAAGAGGTAGTAAGTTGAGTTAAATGGGAGCTTTGGCACGAGTAGACCGAAGAACGAAGAACGAAAAACAGGTAAAAGCTGGTGAAAAACTGGAGTGTTTTTAAGTGGAACAGTCGCAGAGTGGCTAATAACAACAAGCAGTACTGTTGGAGCTGTCTTCCCTGGACGATGCTGGTACCAATCCCACACTATTCGCTTGCTGTGTATCTCTTCTCCAGCTATGTCCATGATCCATGAAACTGTCATCAAGAAGTAGAGACCTTTAAGGGGCTGCCCAGAAGCTTCTGCTTTTCGGTACAAGCCGGAGCTGGTCTCTCAGCAGAAGAGAGACCACTTGGACTACCCAAGTTGCTACAGAGTGCTGGAACATGTTTGCAGAGGTCTTGCTGTGGACATGATTGGCTGTTCTGCGTGTTGATTTCAGATATTTTCAAGATATACAGTGTCCAGTGAAACCGTCGAGGACCGGATTTGATGCTGTTGTTCTCGTTGCCAGTGTTGAGACTGCTGCAATCACTGCAATTTCACTTGCTGTTGTGATTTTCGTTCTGGAACTTTAAATCAGGCTGTACTCTGTGTTTTTTGGATTGTGATTACAAAGACATTTACTCTCAAACAACGCATGTTGGTTAAACATGTCACAGTGCTTGGGCGACTGGATATGAAAATCATGGAGAAACGGTGAGCGATATTTCCTACAAAGCTTAAATTTAGGATAAACCATATGGTTATGATTAGATCAGTGTTTTCTCATTCACATTTGTTTTCTTTTATCAATTTTTATTTTGTAATCAATACTTTTTTTAAAAAAATAAAGGAGCCAGCCTCAAATGATAACTTGCTTAAATGGCAATTAGCATTCACTTAGGTTTCTTCTACTAATTGGAAAAAAAAATTTTTTGGTGGTGCTCAAAGTTATTTGATGAACTCAAAGTAATCTTAAATTGCAAAACGTTTCACAATGAATATAAAATCACAGATATTCTCAATTTAAAAATTGGGTAATTAATATTTAAATACGGCGAAAACCCATTATAAGGTTGAAAAAGAGTTTTCCCTAAAAGGATTGAGGCAATGTTATGCATGTAACTGCAGAGTTGAAGTGTGTTCGCAGAAGCTTTGTTCTATTGCTTTCAGTGGATCAAAAAAGTGGCAGCTCAATTTATGTAGAATGAATTAGAATTCAGTATAAAAGAAATGGGTATTAATTCTAAATCCCTATTTTGTAAAATTGAAAAGTAAAGCAGTTTAGCTGGATTAGCTCATGAGTACAATATAGAAACCCAAAACAGTAGGATGTTGTTACAAGTCACAATCATATGCTACAAACTTCATCGATTGATGCATTGATCAGATCAAACATATTTATGAGATTAGCAAGATTAATTGAGAAATATCAAAAAGTAAATTAAAACCTTCAAATTTTCTTAAAACTGTATTAAGAAACTACAACCACACACCAATTTAATATTGCGCTTGAAAACACTCACAATTTTGAACCAATGTAAAAATACGCATATGATTAAATATATTACAACTTATCTTTCGATTTTTACAACACTTTAAATACATGTTAATGAAAAATTATTTAAGTTTAAATTTGCAGTTACAACTGCAATTGAAATGTTCCATAAAAACAAAGAAGTTTGAAAATACTTTAGTATACCAGAGGCTTAAAATATTTACTGAGCAATTGAATCATAATCAATTTTAGGTTTACTGATTACGATTTTTAAGCTTTTGATCGCATTTTATACTCTCTTTTTTTGATTTTCTTTTGATTTTTGGCATTTTTTATTTTTCATTTAAATTTATGCAGCAATTGCACCGGATTCCTAGGTAAAATTTTTTTTCAAAGGATTTACACTAGTTTTCTCTTTTTCAATCCAACTCTTTTCTGAAAAAAATTATATAATAAAATTTACAAACTGGAACTACATCTACAAATTTCATGTGATACAAATATACCACGTGATATATTTTAATGGATCCAGACCACTGGTCAATGTATCACTAAATTAGCACGTGCTTTTTTGGTTTAGAAGCAAAAACAATCCGAAAAATAGTTTTTTTCTCCCTCAGCTGCTTTTGTCAGTTTCTTTCCCAAACCTAGCAAGATTTCTAAGTTTGGGAGTGTTCGGAAGTTACAAATCGCCATTGGATTTTCCGTCCTAAGAATAGAAATGTTTGGTTTCCAGCAACTTTCTCAACAGGAATCAAACAAGCTGATTTTGCTTAAAACAAACTAGTCTAGCTGCGGCTTCTGACGATCCAGTTTTCACAGGGCAGCCAATAGGTGTACAAACGTGACTGAGGGCGTGTAAACATGCGCTCTCAGGCGGCTTTCAGGCAGCGCTCAGGCGCGTTTCAAGCGCCGCAACAATCCAACGCTTAGTAAAGTCTCTGTTATAAGGACTTTCTGGTTGGGACGGTTCCTGCGCCAGGAAGAATCTTTTTGTCCTCGCACAGTTGCTGTCAAGGTGGTTTCTGTGCAAACAGGACTGCTGTGCCACAGCGATGCTACCCAATCTTCTGCTTCTTTTTACGGGACCCTCTTCTATACGGAACCACCGGTGGAAACGGTGATAGGTTACCCTCTGCCGCGCTGAAGAATTACGGAAAGGGCCCAGGGAGTTTTTACTGCTGATGTTCCTCAGCAACAGTTGATTAATGTTCAACTTTCTCAATTATCTTTCTTCTTCTGCACTTTTGTTCTTTCTTCCAATAGCAACCCTTCAGAGAAACAGCACAATCGGTTTAAATGTCTGTTTAACCTCCACTCAACTCCTTCTCTGCCATTTGTTATAAATACACCTGCTCTTCTTCTTCCCACTCCATCGTCATTGTTAGCATCTTATCCACTTAATTCCTCTTTTATCCAGCTAGTTTAACCTCGCTAACTTGGTGTTTTTTTTTTGGATTTTTGGGTTTTTGGTTGCTGTTTTTTTTATAATTTGTCTTGATTGATTTGTTTCCAATTTAATTCTGCCTTTATTTATCAATTCTGTTAACAGCAATTTGCTTGCTTCAATCACATTCACCAACAAAACCTTTAATAATGGAAACTAACGGTTTGGTTGAAGCTGTCTCAAAGAAGAACTCTTTAGCATCAATTATAAACCAAAACGACACTCCTATTTCTACCGAGCCTATCGATGCTAAAGAAACCATTAATACTAATGCCGATACCACACTAAATACAGATACCAATACTGATCTCAATGCAAATCCCAACATAACCAGTGCCAATAGCAACAGCAATGACAATAGCAACAGCAATAGCAATAACAATAGCAACACAAATGCAGATACAGTCATCAATACTAATGCCAGTAATAGCTCTGAAAAATTGCTTATCCCAACCAGCAACAGTATTAATACCAGAGAGGAAAACGGTTCTGTTCAAAGATCGTCAGCAAAGAAAAAAGATGTTCCTCCCAGAAAAAGAACAAAAGTTTCAAGAGCCTGTGATCAAGTATGTATAAATCTTTTTAAGAACAAAACCTTATCAATTATACTCAGTGTTTAAATGCTGTCTTTAAAATAAGCATATTACTAACTCTTTTTTAGTGTCGTCGGAAAAAGGTAATTATTTTTGATTTGTCCATTCATTTTGATTTTTATTTTTATTTTTATTTTTTTCAGAAATTCATACTAACAAACTTTCAAATCATAGATACGATGTGATGGTCTGTTTGATCAATCAAGTAATAGTGCAACCAAATCTTGCTCTACTTGTCTTAAAGCCAATGAAAATTGCACCTATGTTAGAACCCCTTTAAAAAGAGGTCCCTCAAAAGGTTATTCAAGAGATTCTGAAGATTTGCTGTCTAAAAATATCAATAACAATCACAATCACAATCACAACCATAGTTTTAATCTGAACCACAGCTTCAACCCTTCTCACCCTTCAAACTCAAATTTTCAGTTTCATCAAGAACAAATACTGTCACAAAGACAACCACCACAACCGCTTTTATTATCTCAACAACTGCAACAACAACCGCAAAACTCTCTTCCATCTCAACCTTCTTTTCAACCTATCCAACATCAAAACAATCCTCTACAACCCTCAACACAAAAACAGTTGCCAGCATCATCTACTTTACCTTTATCCAATAAAAACCCTATACTGCTACCTCCCATAAGTACACTTACTTCCCAAACTTCTTTCACAAGAAATCCAACTAATTTTCCTTCTGCTTTTCAATCACAAATCCATTCCCATCATTATCCCGATCAATTTTCTGACCAATTTTCCCCTTCTAACTATCTTGATTCTGCTTTATCTAGACCACGCTCCCAATCTGGTTCAATAATTAATAACAACTCTACCGATCCAAGAATTCCTAACATTTCCAACCCAGATTTTCAAAATTCCTCTTCTGGAAACTTTTGGAAGGTTCCCTATAACCTTCCTTTTGAAAAAAGAAACATGTCCTCAGATTCTTTTAACAGCTATAATACTCCAAATAATAACGACCACAACAAACAATTTAACAATTTGAATCCTGGATTCACTAATTTTAGATCCACTAATTTTAGATCCACCTTCAGTGGTGGTTTTAATGATTCCACGATGAATTCAGATTCAGAGGATTCGGATTTTATTTCAAGAAGTAGACAAAGAAAAACTCCCTCTATAAATAATAGCCCAAGAAATTCGTTTTCTCAAGAAAGTACTGTAGCAAGAAATATTGGAATTACAGCAAGCCCTGCTGGTTCAATATCAAGTCTATCCAGTTTAAATCAAGGAACCAGAAATTTAGAAATAAGAAATTCTCCCACAAAATATTTCCCTCAACTGCCTATATTTTCCAATTCTTCTGATGTTTCTTTCAACATTCAACAATCTCCATCAATACAATCTCAAAACCAAAATCAAAATCAAAATCCTTATGATCCTTCAAAATCTCACAATTCTCATTTTTTAGCTCAGCCTCAGCCGATTCCAAAATATAACGATATTAACCCAAATACAAACACAAATGCAAATGCAAATGAATTGAAAAATAATTTAGATCTATATTATGCTACTGTTCACAAAAGTATACCCATACTACCAATAAATAGAAATGCTTTTGACTATATTTTATCACATGCTCAGACCCTTGAATCAAAAGAAGTAATTATTAATCTTTTTGATACTGTTCTTCAATTTCTAATTAGTTATTTGAGCAATGATGATCAGAATTTAATAGCCAATACATTTACACCAAGCTCGGCTTTAATGAGAAGTAGTTTTACAAATAAACCTTTGATGATTAAAGAAATAATCCATCCGTTGTTTACAAAAGTATTCCAAATTCATAATATGATAAATCCAGTTGATATAAATCATCTATCCAGTGAAGAGCAGAAAGATAATGCAATTGTGACTGTTTTCTTGTTATTTACTATTAATCTAATTAATTTTATTATCATAAAAGCGGGTGAAGAGTATTCATCATCTTTTAGCTTGTCATTTACAATATTAAATAGTTCGAGAATTCATCGAAATATAAAATCATTAATCAAAACAAAAAAAAGCCTTGAGAAAAATTTTTCTAAATTGGATACAATAAATTTCAATCAAATAATGGAAGCAATTGATGTTGATAATGTTGACCATATCAAATTACTCCTAATGAGGCTATATGTTGACTCTGTTGTTTTAGAAAATATATATTCTCTATCGTTTGGATTCCAAAGAATGTTTGGAGGGATGAAAATAGATTCAGACATAGTCAAATTACTTCTACCGGTCAATCAGAATGATCTCAACTCTTCTACCTCTCATTTAGAAGTTGGATTGATTCTTTGTGAAATTAATGATAAAATTAATTGTAATGAAGAATTCCAATCTTTGAAAAACTATACTTGTGAACAAACAGAAAATGTTGAGAACAATATTGCGTTCTTGTTTTTTACAATGATCAAAGTAAAATTAGAGCTAGTGGAAGTTTTGAAACAGTGCTCAAACATAGAAATTGATTCTCGCAAAAACGGGAAAGAAGATCTTGAAGAGCTTGTTCAGGAATATCAATCAAAGCTTCATAGAATTTGCAAAAGGCTAATTTCCACAATATCTTCTTTGTTGAAAATATTTTCAGACAGGGAAAGGTCTTTATTAGAAAATTCAAAAATAAATAAAAGAGGCATCGATCCTATCCAATCACCCTTTTTGCCATTGATTTTTAAACAATCCATCAAACTTAAAAATGTAATTCAAATAATCACTAACTCTATGGATTTTAATAAGGAGTTACTTAGCCGCTCATCAAAAATATTTAATGATATAATAGCCATAAATGATAGCTTACCACTAATCAAGCCATTCAGTGAATCACCTAACTATACTGTTACTAATTCAAAAATTAATAATTATCTATTTGAAATCAAATCCTCAGATCTTAACGAGCTTTTGGAGTACAATAAAAGCGCTGGTGAAAAAGATATAACCAAAGTTGTAGCACTTTGGAAAAATGTGGTCTTAGACATCAGAAAGTTTCTCAAAAAAGATGATGCAAAAGGATGGTTGTATTAGTGTAGTTTTCTTTTTATTTTATTGGAGTATATTCCTTTTTACTTTTGTAGATTATAAAAATAATTTATAAATTATAAAATTAATTCAAACATTTTTTTTAGCAGCCTTTTAAACAAAAGGTTGTCAATGACTCATTTTTGATCTTTAAGTACTTCCAAATCATATGTAATGTTTGAGTCCTGAAAGTTTTAAGAACAAAAGTTCAATTTTCCTAAAAAAATAAGGCAAACTTTCGTTTAATCAAAACTAAAAAAAAATTAATAATCTGGTACTTCATCAAATTTTTTTTCTTTTAAATTGGCTTTATAATTCGGATTTTTATAAAACCCATTTTTTTTTTGTGAATAATTTTGAGTTGTATTCAACACTCCACTATTATTAGGTCGTGGTAAGTAGTTGGTATTAAAATTACTAGAGCGATTGAAACTGCTACTATCTTTTGAAAAGCCGGGAAACATTGCTCGAGGGCCTTTAGGAGGACAAATAAGCTCTCCTGACCGTTGTGGCTTTGGAAACGATGGATAGATTTGTTTGGCATTAATTTGGTTTTTGTTAATATACATTTTGTTGTTAATAGCGTTACTGTTATTGTTGTTGTTGTAGTTTGAAATATTGATGTTGTTAATATTGTTATTTTTAATATTATTACCGTTTTGATTTAAAATATTTTCACCTATTTGGTCACCAAATATATTCAGATTTATATCGCCATCCCTTTTTTGTTTGCTTTTACTAGGTATAACCAAAGATGTGGTTTTATATTCAAAATTCATATTTAAATTGTTTGCAGAGCTGATATTAAAAATGCTTTCTATACTGTTGTTATACCCAGATTGATTAGAATTTGAATTAGATATATTCGGAGGGATAGAATAATTTTCAGGTGCTTTAGTATTTATATTTTGATTATCTTTGAAAGAAACTAGCTGGTTAATATTTTTCGTGATAGTTTTCTCAATATTATTTGATTGGTAGTTATTTGGAAACTGCCTTCCCATTGAGTTATTGGAATTATTTAAATTAGTATTGGTATTTGATAACGAATCATTAGTAAAAGATGAATTTATAGCTTGTATTTTTTTAGATTCTGGATCCACTCTAGATAAATTAGGCATCGAATCTGATTTTGATTTTGAATCAGTTTTAGAATCAGTTTTAGAATTGGAATTGGTTTTTGATTTTTGATTTGATTTTATTTTTGATTTTGATTTTGATTTTGATTTTTTATCTTCTGTAGTATTTTCTTTGTCATCAGTCTTATTTGTTGCATTATTTCCGGTTTTCTTTTTCTTTTTCTTTTTCCACTTTTCATCCTTAGATCTCTTTTTTCCACTTGTAGAATTTTCTAATTGGGGTGTACTAGAAACAGATGGATTTTGCCCTAGAATAATTTTTGGAGTGTTTTGAACTTTGACAGGATCTTGCTTTTTAAATGACTGATTTAAAAATCCAGGATAGGTATCAGTTAAAAGCCCTCTTTTTTCTGCATCAAAAATAAGTTCTCTCCAAATCCTGTTTTGAGAAAGCGAATTTCGATTTCCCAATATCCACATTGTTGTTTTTGCTCTAGTGAGACCAACATTCATACGTCTAACATCGGACAAAAACCCAACACCAGACCCACTTGCTCGAACACAAGAAATAATTATAATATCTTTTTCTTGACCTTGGAAACCATCAATAGTATTAAAATCAATCTCTTTTAAAATACCAGAACCATAGCTCCTGATGAAAACATTTTTCAACGTTCTGACTTGTTCTTTATAGGGAGAAATAATTCCAATTTTCCCACTAAATTGGTTGATAAAGTTTTGTTCAATGTGTTTAACTAGTTCAACGGCTACTTGGGCCTCCAAAGGATTAAAAAAGGACCGAGTTCTTTGATTTTGCTCTTGTCTTCCCATAATATTAAAAAATTTATATGGTGACAAAAGAGGGTTACTGTGCCACGGCCTAGTAGTACTTTCTTTCATTCCAGGACCATCGATTAAACGATTAGCATAAAATTGAGTACTGGGAAACTTGGATATTTCTGGGTGCATACGATACTGGACATTTAAAAGATGAACTGAACTTCTATGGTTCTTTTGCATGCGTACAAACAAACTTTGTTCATACTGAAATGAAGCAGCGGTCTGAGATAAAACCGTGGGTGGTAATTGATTAGGATCACCAACCATAATACAAGATTTGCAACCATAACGTAATGGAATAATAGCAGATAATTCAGTACATTGGCAAGCTTCATCAATAACCACAGTTTCAAATCTACATGACATGTTGGCTAAAAAGTCATGAGCAGCTCCTGAAAGAGTAGAACATATGATATCAGCTTCGTTAATTATTTTTGCTTGAATATTTCTTTTTTCGATCTCTCTATTACGATAATTTATTGAAACTCTTTCTCTTCTTTCATCCAATTTTCGTCCTAGTTCATTCTTTCGATTAATAATTTCTGTTAATTTTTTTCGAATTTCATTTTGTTTCTCTGTAATTGGTTCAAGCCTTAATTGGTTTTTTAATATGTCTCTTTCAGTTACACATTTATTTAGCATCTGTCTAACATTATTGTTATCTTCAGTCGCGTCTTCTATTGCTTGCTTTTGAGATAACTGTTTTTCGACTTGTTCTTCTAAAGTTAAATCACGTACTGCAGCATTAATCACATCTGACCTTCCAAGTCTGACAACTTTTGGAGCAAATGTCTCTCCTTGGTGTCCAATTATTTTGTTTCGAAGACGAAGAACTAATTCATCAACAGCAGCATTACTTGGAGCACAAACTAAAATTTTCTTTTTATCAGGAATAGTCTTTTTGGATGTTGACGCGTAACCAGGAATTAAAATTGGAGCTATAGGTTTTGCTGTCAAAAAATAACCAATAATCCCCAATATTGTTTTTGTTTTTCCTGTACCTGGAGGACCTTGTACCAACGAAAAACCTTCTGAATGTACTGAGGAAAAAATTGCTCTTGCTTGCGACTCGTTCACACCATATATTGAGATTAATTCGGTCAATGTAGAAACAGGAATCGTTGGTGGAATGCTGGGGATCGCGTTGATTATAGAATCTTTGAGATCATACCAATTTAAACCTTTTAAAGATGAGTATTCTCTTTCAATAGTTGTCATCTGAATTACCTTCATACCAATCAATTCGGTTCTAGCAGAAATAAAAGTTAAAATTCTGCTTTTTGAATTTGGAGATATACGCAAAATAACATCACAATAATCTTTGTTTCCGTTTTTAATTTCAGTGATTTTAGCCAAACAACTGTTAGAACACGATTTTAAAAAATTTAAAGGAGGTAATGTTTCAGGGTTTTTCCATGTATCAGCAACATATGACAAAAGAATTAAATCGGATTCATTCAATTTAAGATTTTGAACAACACTTTTCTTAATAGAAGCATAAACATCAAAAAAGTCATCAATAGAAGTTCTACTTCCAATAACCATCCTAAAAGGTTGTTCCTGTGAAATCTCTCTTGCTTGCACAATGGATTGCCAGCATTCCAATAATAACAAAGGCTCAAATGTGCTCAGATAATCACGTATATCATAAAAAGTATCTTTCACTTTAGAATATCTTTCACTCTTCTCGTCATCAGGAAAATCAGATATAGTAGTAAAATTCCATTTTAGTATTTTCTTATATAATGGGAACATATTTACATTTAATCTTCTCCTCATGTATTCCTCTTCTCTTCTTTTATCATAAATTTTAGTGAGTTTTAATTTTTTAGAACTACTTTTACCATCTAAAGAGTTTTTTGAGCTTTTCTCTAATAAATTTTTGCCTCTTGTGGATTTGATTCCAGTGAACAAGGATTTTGCAGCTTCAATATCTCCATTTTCCTCAGATTCATTTTCCTCATCATCATTTTTCTTTTCGTTATTTTGATTTTTCTTAAAAATATGAGAAATAACAAGCTTGGGTTTAATTTGAATCACATCTGAATTTGTTTTTTTGACTGAATGATACCCAGGTTTAGTAGGGGGGTGAATTACTTGAGATTTTAAATTATTTTTTCTGTTTTCATGTATTTGTTCTCTAGCCAAATGCATTCGGGATTTAGGAATTGTTTTTGTAGGGATTGAAGGTGCTTCTTTAGTGAATTTTCCAAAACTAGTTATTTTAGATTGAGTGGATACCGCTGGTTTTGAAGAAATACTTTTTTGAAATTTAATCTGGGTAGACGAATTAATAATTGGTAAATCTCCTTCTGGCTTTGAAATTGGCTGTGTTATAGTAGGTCTTTTTTGTTCCTCAACATCAGCGACAATCTTTTGAACAAAAGCTTCATTAAACATTTTAGCTTTTTCAATAATATCAAGGCTTTGTTCAGAGGTTAATCTATTATTAAATCCTTTTCCTTTGGTGGAATACTTTACCAATAAAATAAGAACATTGTCATTTAATTCTAAAGACAACTCATTGGCTAAGTCTAAGGTTCCCAAAATCAACTTAACACAAGATGATAGTAGTGCATCATCATTCAATTTCAACCATACCATCATATTTTCAAAAGTGTTAATTAATTCTTGAAAGACATCTTCTTTGACAGATTTCTCATTATTACCAGATAAAACTGAGGCAAAAATTCTAAAGGATTTTAAAAGTAAATTGCTTAAATCCAAGACATCTCTTGTAAAATCAATCAATTCATCTGATTTTTTCACATTTGCTGACCATACAAGGGTTCGTTTATAAATAAAATTAAGGAAAAGCCATATGTTGCTCCAAAAGCTTTTAATAGAGTTTTTACAATCAACAGAAGGGAACTTTAATATGTTTTCATTAGTTACTAAAACTCCATTACGGGGACTAACTAAAGCATCAACAACATCTGTCATAATTCTCACAACTCTTGGAATTGGAGTAAAGTATTTTAGGAAAATTAGACTTTGCAAATTTTTAGAAATTGCATTCAATCCATTGACCATATTGCCATCAAATAAAGAGATGATACCTTCAAGTCTCCCTTCAGCATCATAAGTTTCGTATAATATACTAATCAGTGATTGATAAACTTCTGAGCTGGAAGAAAATATACAAGACCAAAAGCCAATCAAAGAATCCTTATTTGAAAGAATTGTTTTCAAATCATTTTGGTCAAATTCAACAAAATTCTGAAAAAGTTTTTCAACCAAATTAAAGAATGAACTGCATTGTTTGTTATAAGATTCGCATCTAGTCATCTCCATAGGAGTTAAATCATGTGGTTCATTAAAAGCTGAGGTTCCAGAAAAATGTTCCAAAGAAGATAATATTTCAATTGATAATTGAACTTTGTCTGAGTTGCCTTCTATTAAAGAATTGCTAAGACATTCCCAAAACTTGGGTAAAAAAGGGATTTCCAAAAGAGGTTTTTTGTTTAGAAAGTTATATGTGGATTGTGCAAAAACAAGAATGTCATACTTAATTGTACTTGAGATCAATCTGATTGTGCTAGTTGAATTCAATTCATTTATTGAATTGTTAATTAAAATGGAACTTTTAGAATCAACTAAAGATCTTGATTCCATAGCACAGACTAAATTAATTATCAAATCTTTTTCATACAAATTTGAAGTAATTGCTAAATTTTTCGATATTAAATCAAAAACCACAGAAAGAAAGGCCTTAATAGTCTGTATGTTTTTTGAAATAGCTGAATTAGAAATTATGCGAAAAATGAAGCTTGAAATTTTCAAGCCAGACTGCTGTTGATGTGATTTACTATTGCTCAACGATTTATATAACGAAGGAATCCAATCAATTAAATCATTAAAATTTGCATCCAAATCTAAACGATTTGAAGTTTGATTCAATAAAAGCTGAAATTCTTTTGGCAATGATTCTAATAAAGTAATGTAATAAGGATTACCAAAAATTGTGTCCAAAAAATTTGAATAAATATGAGGAGAAATTTTCAGCCAGAAAGTTGCATTTAATTTTAATAATAAAACACTGAAAGCTCTTAAAATAAAAGGTAAGGGAACCTTTTGATAAGACATTATATGGTTTCTTAGCATTTCAAGTAAAGGTACTAATTTGTACGAAAAACGATTTTTAATCGCGTCTATTTCAGGTGGAGCTAAAAGAGCATTTAAAATCGTAGAAGGGTCGCAAGCATTTAAAATCGGAACGATATTTCTCCAAAATAATATACAAGTGTTGTCATTATAAAAAGATGGATTCTGAATATTGTACAAATGAACTGAATATTCTTGAATTAAAGACAAATTAAATTCACTTTCTAAAATCGAGCTTGATTTTTTTTTGGAAAAATCGGAAAAAATTTCCAAGACCCAGTTCCTTTGAAGAGTATTTCCATTGAATAGTAGAAAAATTAAACCAGGAGCCAAATGTTTCCTGCCGACTTTGAATTGAATTTTTGATGTCAAGATATAATCAAAAATCTTGCTAAATACAGAAAATAAATTTGAGTTGAGTCTCAAAACTTCAGGGCCACATAAACATTCGACAATATTAAGCATAATTGAGTTATTTAAAACTTGAAATATTTTCTCATTGCTATCATTTGAAGAATCATCCTCGGTCTTGCTATTTATATTGTTATCTATTTTGCCAGCAGTTAATTTTTCAAAATCATTTTCACTAATTTTGCGAAGCTTATCCAATATTTTTTCACCTTCCCATGTGTATATTGTATTTATGAAAGTTTGAACAGATGTGAAATCAACATTTCTTAACAATAAAAAAATCAACCTTAGCATTGATATTCCCTGATGAAATTTGTGGATACATGATTGGCAGGTACTTAAGTAAAAGGAAATTTTGCTTCTAAACCAAATTAAAGCTTCAGACTCACCAAATGAAAATAAAACCAAACCATGAACCACAGCAGGAAAACCTAATGGATCACAAAATAGATGCTTATCGGCTGGAAACAGGTTAATGTATTCGAAACATTGTTTTAAGGCAATTTCTTGCAAATGATCATCAGATGGGTTTTGATGAGATCTTTGGATTATTTCGAAAAGTTCTTTATTTTCAGGCAGTAAGGAGGCTAATTGGTCAGGATTTACAAGGCATAAGTTTTTATTCAAATTTGAGAGAGACAACTTATCAAAATTGTTGTTCAAGTCCTTTTTAGACAAATGTGATTGGGAAGCACTATTTGTCTTAGAGCTGATGATTTTTTTGTTATTTGCAGTATTGGCAGCACTTGTATTAGAGGCATTGTTCGAGGACATAATATTTCATTATACAGCTGGTTTAAAACAAGAAATTAAGAACGATCAAGAGCTGAAAGACAGAATATAATATATTCAAAGAATCTTTGAGTAAAGGTAATAAAAATAAGTGAATTAAGAACAGGAAAAGAGGACAAAAAAAATAGCGTATTGGAAAAAAGTCCAAACAAAAATTCCAAAAGAGTAAACAAAAATAGAACACAGGCTTCATTTCACGTGATTTACACCTTTAATTACAGTATATTTTTGGAAGCAGCTGTGAAATTGCTTGATGCTGTTCATGTGAATTGCGGCTAGTATCCCTCTAAAATCAGAATTCGGGATTGTGACACCAGAACCACAGTCACCAAAAGCAGCAAAAGCAGCTATGTCGAGAGGCAATTTGAGCATTTCTACGGTTGTGTCGAATCACTGAAGCTGTTTTATACAACTGGTGGATACTTATACATCAAGGGAAATATTAAAACAAATACCAGAGAAAAAACAAAAGAAAAGAGAAGAAAACAGAAGAAAACAGAAGAAAACAGAAGAGAAACAATTTAAAAAGAAATTATATAGAAGGAGAATAAAATATACTTTTTACTTTTACTTTTAATATTAATATTGAATTTGAATTTGAATTTGAATTTGAATTGTAAAAATTGAATTAGATTTTTAGAGACATTAAAGAACCAACAAACGTCAAAATAAGTCTTGAACGAACTTCGTTAATATCTTCTGGGACCAACCAAATTAAAGCACCTAATTTTCTAGCGATTGAAATGGCTAGTCTCGCATTTGCATATTTTTCTTCTTCAGTTCTACCGGGGGAGACTATGTTATAATCAACGTAACCAGGCTTTAAACCATTCAAGACATCTAATAAAAAAATACCAGTGCTTAGTGACTGATCTTTAAAAGATCTTATCAAAGAGTTTTTACCACCTTTTCTAACCATTTCATTTGCCCATTTCAAGATATCGTGGTCAGATAATTCTCTACCATTCTTTGATAATTGAGATAAAGTTACAATGACATTTCTTCTCATCAACTGCCAGACCAAACCTAGGGTTAGTAATTTGTTGCCATCGACAATATCCGAGCCTTCAATACCGACCAAGGAAAAGTGGTTTACTTTACCGGTTTCAACAGCATAATTGTTATTCTCTAGAGATTTGAATCTTGACAATTCTCTGCCCGGAGGTTTTTTATTGACATATCTTGGGTTGACAGAGCCTGGCATGACTTTATCAAAGGCTTCTAGTAAGATCAAACCATCTTTTAAATCTTCAAATAAGGAAACAACGGGGGTGGAAACATCTAAAGAGTTCAACCACAAGGTAAAGACTCTAGCTTCTCTTTCACCTTCGGCATCAAATTCCTCGATTTCCGGTTTTTCTTCTTCTTTTAATTCATCCAAACCTGGACAGGTATTAAATAAATGAGCGACAAAGGCCAAGTTCAATTTAGGGTTACCAGCAACCAAAGCAGTTGGAGTCAAATATTTTCTGCAGTCTAGGCTTTCAGCATTGACTAAAACCTCCTCGGCTCTTTGCAATAAATCATTAGTTTGTAGAGGTTTCAAGGAGCATAATTGGGGATTTAATTGATGCAATAAAACCGTGTAATTTTCACCATCAGCGATATCCTTTGAAAAGTTACTGACGGTACGATGCCAGTTAGCCTGATTTAAATGGTAATTGAACCACCTTAGTAAAATCTTTTCAGGCGGTAATCTTAAGAATTGTTCTAAAGTTTCATCATCTTCTAGTAAACGGTACAATTCAGGGTGCAATTTGATATCAATTTTGCTTAAAAGACCTCTTCTGATAATTTGCCAGATCAAACCCAATATCAAATGTTCTTTACCTTCAATGATATCTTCGGAGTGGACATTAACAACAATGCAGCCAATGGCCTTTGCAGAATTGATAACGATGTTTGCGTTTTCGTTCATTGTGAAATTGTTCAAAGACCTCCCCTTTTTGGGCCAATTCAAGACTCTTGTATCTATGGTGTCAGGAACAGAATCATTGATCAATTTGGACAAGACTAAACCGTCTCTGCATTCATCGAATAGCTGGAAAGTGTCAGTAGGAAATGGCAAACGATTTCCAATGTCGGGATCACCAGCCAAGACACTGTTGATGTGCTTTGTGAATTCTGTTCTTTCTTCTTCGTTGATGGTGTGGGTTGTGCCTGAAGCACTCGAAACCACAATTTTGGCATTGGCACCTTTTCCCCTGTGGGAGATTCCCCCGCTGAGTCTATTGACTGATTTGGGGGCAGATTTGATTTCCTTCAATTTGGCATGCAATTCAACAAAATCGTCCAACTCCACTCTGCCAGAGGCGTCGACAGAGACCTGTTTCAACGTTTGACGAACCTCGTCGTAGGAGCTGTCGCCATTCTTGGAGACAGACTCGATCACTTGCTGTTTTTCAACCCAGCCCTTGTCGTCGAGATCGATTTGTCTGAACCTGTCAATGACATCGAAGAGGTCTCCCTGGGAGAGAACAGGATACTTTCTTTGCAACTTGACGATGTTCATGGTGGATTGGATACAGATCAGTTGGAGAAGCAGAAGCTGAGCAAGACACGCCCTTATGCTGCCCTTATATACTAAGATTGGGGAATAGGAGAGCGGATCGCCGCGGAACCGCGCCCCTGGCGAGATGCCGGCACGGGTCGGAAAGGCCAGCAGAGGAAGAAGACGACAGAGGAGGAAGAGAAGCACAGCCTGTCCCTCTGGAAGCTGCTTTTGAAACTGATCTGAAATTGTTCTGCGATAGCCCAAGCTGGATGGACACTGCTGGATGATGTTGGATCTCTGGCTTCCTCTTCCTTACAGAATCGTCTTCTTCGTGGTTCTCGGAGTGTGGTTATGGTGGTTGAACCTCCACATCTGCCAGTTGGCCTCCATCAACACCAACAGGCTTTTGCAGTTGCTGGCTGCTGGCTATGGCGACGAGAAGCTGCTGCCCAACGACCCTGAGAAGGAGCCCCAACTTGAAAAGGGCTGTTTGGTCGTCTTCAGACACACATTGTGCATTGCCTTGGTCAGCTACCTATGCTTCTTGCTATTGCCTGTGCAATCCACTGGTGACACTCTGTTGCGTTTCAAGGACTTTATTCCTCTCTTGACCATGCTCTTGATTTTCGTTTATTTGCTCAACTTGGTCAGGTTGCCCTTGTTGGACTCTGAAAAAAGCAGCGCCAACCTTGGGAGGAAAAGACTCTTATCCACTTTCAAAAGAATTATTTGTGGAAACATCAACTACAACCAATTGAGAACCAATGACATACTCTTGTCCGACACTCTAACCTCCTACTCAAAGATCCTTTTGGATTTCTTCTTGTACCTCTTTTACCTATACCATGGCCAGACTTGTTTTCCAACCGTTGACGATAAACTGCAGTACAACTTGAACTTGGATAGATCAATCTTCAATTTCAAATCAATTGAACCCCTTTTCTTGATTTTTCCTCAATTCATACGGCTAAAGCAATGCTGGCTTGAATACAACCACTCCAATAAAAGAAACAATCAGCATTTACTAAATTTTTTAAAATATTCTTCAAATTTAATTCCAATCTTTCTAAACTCTCTATTGAATTATTCCACTCAATACAGTACAAGATTGCAAATTGCTCAATTATACATCTTCTCGATGTTTTTAAATTCGGTATACACCTTTATTTGGGATGTAGCAGTTGATTGGAATTTCAATTTTTTTAACTTTTTCTTGAAATCCCACCAAAATTTCAACAAACCAATTAATTTAAACCGCCCAAAGCTTTTAAGAAATATATTGGTTTACAAAATTAAACACTTTTACTACTTGGCTATATTATTGGATTTTATTCTAAGATTTTTTTGGTTATTCAACCTTTTTATCTCAGATTTATTTTTTTTCAACTCGGAGTCCGGTTATTTTCTCTTGGAATTATTTGAATTGATTCGAAGATGCATTTGGTGTTTCATTAAATTAGAAACTGAATGGGCAAAAATCAGTTATAACGATCCAAATTTAATAGTCCTCGATACCTTAGAATCTCAATCAATTTCTCATAATCATAATCATTCTAAATCAATAACTAGTAATTGACCCAATTTTTGTTTAAATAATATTAAAAAATTAAAAAAAAATGTTTATTTTATTATACATTATCAATTTATTCTTTATTAATTTATTCTTCACAAATGTATTGTTACTTTTATTCTTTTACTTTCTCTTTTCATTTTTGTTTATTAACTTTAATCTTAATCTTAATCTTAATCTTAATCTTAATCTTAATCATATTAATTTATCCGATAGATTTTCTCTTGTATTTATTTGTATCTATTTGTATCTTTATATAATCAATTATATATTTATTTATTAATAACAAATACTAACAGCTGAAATATTTTACATTCTTTCTACTGGAGTAATACCTAATAATCTCATACCATTATAAAGTATTTGTCTGGCAGTCAAATACAAAGCTAAACGAGAAGTAGCCAATTCTTCTTTTTGACCAGCAACCCAAAGGATATTATAACATGATGAAACTGTATGGGTCAAGTTGAAAAGATATGTAACAAGAGTTGAGGGTTCATGATTTTTAATACATTTCAATAAGATATCAGGATATTGAGCCAATAATCGAATCAAAGTGGCGGCAATTGATTCGGTTAGCAAAGAATAGTCGCAATGAACTAAAGAGTCGTAGGATATGTTAGAATTTCTTGCTACTGAACATAATCGAGAATGAGCATATTGCAAATAAGGACCAGTGTCTCCTTCAAATGACAACATTCTCTCCCATTTAAATGAGTAATTGCCAATTCTTTTTGCCGACATATCTTGAATCATCACAGCAGAGATACCTACTAAATCAGCAACTTTATCAGGATCTTGAACTTGAGCATATTTGGCTTCGTTTTTTTGCATGACATTATGCATTTCAGATTTGGTCTGTTCCAAGATATCATCAAGAAAGACAACAGTACCTTGTCTTGTTGACATACCTAAAACCATACCAAAATTAACATGAACCAAGTTATTTGCCCATTCATAGCCCATTTGTTTTAAGATTTCAAAAAATTGAGCAGTGTGCAAATCTTGTTGAGAAGCAATAACATAAATCATTTTATCAAATTTATATTTATTATAACGGTCAATGGCAGCACCGATATCTCTTGTTAAATATAAAGTAGTACCGTCAGATTTTTGGACAATTGCTTTACCCAATTTCTTCTTGTTAAATTTTTTGAAATCAATTAATAAAGCACCTTTATCTTCAGTCAATAAATTTTTTTCTTTGAATTTTTGCAAGGCTTCATCCATTAAATGACGAGGAACCGTGGATTCACCAGAATAAACTTGATATTTGATGTTCAATCTTGCATAAGTGTCGATATATTTACCGATAGACAATTCTCTAAATCTTTTCCAAATTTTAAGGGAATCTTCATCACCGTCTTCCATTTTTTTAAAAAACAATCTTGCTTTAGTGTTTGTTTCATCTGTATTTTGAGTTTCTTCCAATTTGATATCATTGTTTATCTTGACGTAAACATCAAACAAGTGGTTAATTGGATCAAGCTTTAATTTTTCCTCAGAGCCATATTTTTCAAAACCAACGGCTAATAAACCAAATTGTTTACCCCAATCACCTAAATAGTTCATTCTAATAACTTCCCAACCTAAAGCTTCATACAAATTAGATAAGAAACCGCCAATGATAGTTGAACGTAAATGGCCGGCGTGGAATGGTTTTGCAATGTTAGGAGAAGAAAACTCAATGATAATTTTTTTATTTTGACCAAGAGCTGGTATCGAGCCAAAGGATTCCTTTTCAATTAAGGTTGATTTGATGACGGTTTTGAATAAGAAATTTGAAGATAAAAAAAACTGAATAAATGGACCTTGAGCTTCAATTTTATCTAAATAATCGCCTGTTTCTAGAGCATCAGCCCATTTGGCGGCTAATTCCTTGGGATTACCCTTGATGCCTAATCTAGGAATAGGAATTATCAAATCACCTTTATCTAAAGTGTTTGGAGTATTCAAAGCATCAAAAACCAAATTTGGGGACACGCCAGTTATAGCTGAAAGTTGCTCAGCGATAAAATTACGGGCTATATCAATTGGATTGTATTGCGGATGAGAATTTTCATAGGACTTGGGTTCCTTGAAACCAAACTCCTTGATAAGAGAAGTTATATCATTGACAGAAGCCATTGTTTGGTGAATTGAGTTGTTGTGGGAAGAGAAATCAAAATTGTAATTTGGAGAATTGGGCAACGAAGTGGCTTTCTTGAAGGGCTGACGAAGCAATTGAGCAGAGGAGTATAGAGACCTGAAGTGCTTAATTGAACAAGGAGAAGCAAAGAGTAGCGATTGTGAAATCAAAGACCTATCTGTGTTGGCAATGAGAATTCTGATAGCATTCATTTAACTGTTCAGAGGAGCACTTGCAAGAGTTGGAATTACTCACTGAAAAATTCAGCAGACAAAAATATTCAAACTCAAAAGCTTCATGTGCACGTGTGTTTGCTTCACACGGCTGGCTCCGCTTAGTTTCCACAAAGACGTCTCAGCGATAGCACCACACGACTGGTTATCCTGAGCACTTCTCCAGAACTTTGTGTGCTTTTCTGAGCAATTCTCTTCATAGCCCCTCTGTAACAAAATATGGTAGATGTGGGTTGTGTTCTGTTGAGGACAGTTGAGGACAATTGAGGACAATTGATCCTTTTCCTATCCCAACACCAATTATATCATTGTGCGACTGGGTGAAGATCGGTGGAGAACATCCAGATCGCCGTCATCTGGTCATTGCCTACCTCAACGGCAATGATTAATAATTCTTCTTCATGTAGGTTAAGCACTTTTCTCTTAGATGTTGCATTCATAAATTTGGACTATACTCTAGAGATTTGGAATATAAATACTCGATAAATGCATTTCCCATGGCTTTGATTTTGCTTCGATAAAAAACACATTAGCTACACTCTTATTCAATTGTAGCTTTGGTCCTGCCAATTTTAACTGCTTCCAACTCGGTTTTTCAACTCAACGTTTGCGCTTCAGCTTATACTATAAGTTTTCTCCAGGTCCTTCCTTCTCTTTTTTCATTTTCCAAGATTCTTCTCTCTCAACATGTGTGGAGGTGGTAACGGCGGCGGCGGCGGTGGTGATTGCAGCGGTGGCTACGGCGGCGGCGGTGGTTGCAGCGGTGGTTACGGCGGCGGTGTTTACACTGGTTCTGGCAGTTATTCCGCCCGACGTAAAAACAATTCAACCAAAAGATACAATGGAAAAGGTACTCAGAATGACTCTCACTGCTGTATTATTACCTAATTGGCTTCTGTTCGGGTCAGGCTCAGTCTGGTCTATTTGTTTTTAATTTGAATGCGATTGCTGCTATAATGTTTTCCCTTTATTCTCTGTTTTTTGTCTTTATTGTTGTCCTATCTTGATGACTACTCTCTATTTGGCTTTAGAAGCTCGCCTTTAGTTTTGGTTATTTTTTTATCTTAGTACTGTTTTTCTTCAATAATTTTAAATTACAATTCATTGTTCAAACTCAATTTGCTCGGCTATTTCTTAATTTGAAGATGTAGGGTAACGCTTTGAAAACCAAAAAAGTTTTTTTGATCTTTGATGTTTTACCAATTTTATTCAATATAAAGCTATTAAATATGGATATAACCACTGTGCTAAATGAGGTCGACAAATCAATAAGCAATTTATCCCTCAACGTTGATAAATTGATATCCAAATCATTTAATGAGCGATTAAGTAGTTTCAAGAATAACAATGAAATCACAAATACTAGTTCAGTTTTCTTGCAATCTGCTAAGTTTTCAAATGATTATTACTTAATCCTTATTGATTTGATCTTAAACTATTTAAAGATTTTAGGCATCAACACTAAAAATCATAAAATTAACCAGGATCTAGAAAGGATTCAATCCTACATCTCTAGATATAACAAATATTCAAAATCATTGTCTTCATTAAATAATCCTCAAAATGTTAATAAAGCTAAAGATTTCTTATCCTCAATTTTAACAAATAACACTGCTATAAGTTCATCCAATTTTGACAAAAATCAAGACAGACAAATATCTAAAGATAAAAAGGATAACAATTCCATTAAAAACACTCAAACTGTTATTTCAAAAGATGATTCAAATCAAAAATCAAAATTAAAGTCGAAATCAAAGTCGAAATCTAAACCAAAAGCAAAAGCAAAATCTAAGACTCTGAATGATTCAAAAAACCTGAAGGAAAAAATCTCTTCAAGTTCGGCTCAAACTAGTAATTCAAAAATAGCAAAAAAGAAATCGAAAAAGCAGAAATCGTTTACAAAATCCTGAGATATTCATATTGAATTTTAATATTGAAAAAAAAAATAATTGTTTCATTAATTGAATTAATAAAAATTATATACTATGAATTAAATCCATATTTTATTTATTGTTTTTTAACTTTTTGTTTGTTTTACTGTATTTTTTTGTTTAAAATGTAATAATATATTTTTGTAAAAACTAACTTAAATAAAATAAATCCCATAAATTTAAAAGTTTCCCTAACTGTTTTTTTTTTTGTTCGTTCATTTGTTTTTCCTTTTTTTTTAGCAAAAAATATGAAGTTAAAAAAAAAGTTTCAAAATAATATAATTTGAGTATAATAAAAAAATAAATAAATAATAAAAAATAAATAAAAAATAAATAAAAAATAAATAAAAAATAAATAAAAAATAAATAAAAAATAAATAAAAAATTTTCTCCAATGTAAGTATCATATAATTTGAAAGGTAAACGGAGAAGAAATAAAATAAAATCTCAAAAATAAAACGAAAATGAAAGACTGAATGAAATATAGTATGCAATAAGTTTATAAAACTGATTTCATAATAAATGAAAATAAAATAAAATAAAATAAAATAAAATAAAATAAAATAAAATAAAATAAAATAAAATAAAATAAAATAAAATAAAATGAAATGAAATGAAAACAATAAAATAATAAAATAACATAAAATGAAGTAGTTAAAAAAGTAAAAAAATGGTATAATTGAAAAAAAACAGTTTTCATTTTTTTCAGTTTTTTTTATTTTTTATTTTTTTGATTATAAAAATGACTCAAATTCATTTTTCATTTTATTTCCAATAAATTGATAAACAGTGATTAACAAAGTAGGAAATAGATTACTAAAGAACGGATAATAACTTTCTTCCGTTATATTAAACTCAGAAGGAATTTCATGAATATGGTGATACTTATTTCTAAAAACTCTTAATAAGTCTAGTAATTTTGTACTATCATACCTCCTAAAAGAGTTAAGATTTTCAAAAAATGCAGGATTAAAGTAATTTTTCCAATCATTTTTAAATATCTTTTTGGAAATTTTTTCAAAACTTAAAATCACAAATGAATCTCTATCAAGAATATTCAATTTATCTGAAACTTTTAATAAAAATTCGATTTTTCGTTCATTAGTCCAAAAATATGGATGTTTCAATATCATTGAAGAAGTTGGTCGTTCTTTAGCATTTGAATTAAGCATACTTTCAATCAAATTTCTTGCTTCATACAATTCTATATCATCTAGCTCATAATTGTTTCTTAATATATTTGATTCTCTTGAATACCTGTCTCCAAATGGATGTTTACCACTTGCCAAAACAAAATAAAAAACCAACCCAAGTGAAAATATATCAACACCTTTATTAAGTCTTAGCTGGTTATTTTCTGTCAACAATTCAGGAGCTCGCCAGCCAGATGTTCCTGAAGCAGCTGTTGTTCCCCTGAATGATGATTGATCAGGTTCTAATTTTTTGCAAAGCCCAAAATCAGATATCAAAACTCTATAACCGTTTGGATTCGTTTTTGAATTCGTTACTAAAATGTTCTGAGGTTTAATATCTCTGTGAACAATATTCAATTTATGAAGATGGTTCAAACCGCTAGCCATTTGAAATAAAATATTTTGAGGATCATCAAATAACTCCTTTTTCTTATCAATTATATCTTCTAAATTTGCTAAACACAATTCCAAAGCAATATATAAAAATCTATCTGATTGTTCTGAACAAAAATATCTTATCACATTTGGATGATCATCACTTTCTTGTAAGAGAGATATTTCATGGTTAGCAACATCATAAAAATCGAGTAACATTCTTTTAACTGCCACAGGTCTATTCTCAAAAGTTCCTCTATACACAACAGTTCCATGTGAACCATAACCAAGAATTTCATCGGATATAGTCAAGTTACTCTTCTGTATAGATGAGGTAGATTCTCTAGCTTGATCATTTAGTATTTGGATGTTTCCATTTTTGATATTTGCATTGTTTATAGAATTTTCAGGATTGAGAGATGTAATTGAACCATTTAGATCAATATTAGTGACAGGTGAAGTGGCACTTAGGCTATTATTGTTATTGTTATTGTTATTATTCTTTTTATTTCTTCGGCCACCACGGCTACCTCTTTTTCTTCTTTTAGGCGTTTTTACTATTTCCTTATTTTCTGTTACAGGCTCTTCAATTCTGACAGTTTTAGAGGTTTTAGATTTTATAATTTCTGGTTGAGGAGAGATTGGAGAAATAAATTCACTATTATCATCATTTTCCTCTATCGTTGTATCAAGAGTTAAATTGTGTTTTTTTTGATCAATTTTCATTTCAATTTTCATTTCATGTTTTATTTCATTTAAATTTTCAACAGCTTCATCTGCTTTTCTGATTGTTAATGCAGATTCTTGAGAGATGTTGTCATCAGAGGTTATATCTTTTTCGGAGATTGTATCTTTATTTGCTTCAATAGAGGTTTTTTTAATATCATGATCATTAAGTTCAATTGGAGATGAGATAGGCTCATTCAATTTGTTGATTTTTTCGTCTTCAATTCCTTGGTTAAATTTTGGGCCTGGTACTGAGTGTTCTTGAGGTTTAAGTTTATTAGACAGTTCAAAAATTTCTTGTTCAAAATTATCCAATTTTTGAATTTGATTTGAATTTTCATTGAAGGTTTGGCTTAATGAATTGGTTTTTTCCAATTTTAGATCTTGATCTTGTTGAATTTCTTTGTCTTTTTTTTGTGAAAATTCCAAGGTTTCTTTTGATTTTTCAAATTCAGTTGAATCAATTAAATCTTGTAAATCCTTTAGACCTTGATGATTTTTGAATTTTTTATTTAAAGTTCCTTGTAAAAGACCCTCTGTAATTGATTCATAACCATTTGTGATATCAATATCAATATCAGTTTCAGCGAAAACTTTTTCTACAAACTCTACAGCATGATGAGTTCTTCTTAAAAATCCAAATTTATAAATTATTTGGGTTAATGGTGGAATTATATGTAATTTTGATAAAACAAAGGCGATTGTGAATACGACGGACATGAAAAGAAAATTTTCGACAAGTCTCCAAAAGATAAGACCCATAGCTTGAAAGAGGGAGTTTTGAGATTGTTCTAATTCATTATTTTGATTTTGATTTTGGTTATGATTATGATTATGATATTGGTTGGAGTATTGATTGTGATATTGATTTAAGTTATTGGAGTAAGGGTTAAAGTATTTATGGCTTTGATAATTTCTTGAATTAGGATTCATGTTTGGATTTGGTGGATCGATAGCTAGTATGCTTCTAGAAGGAAAGGGTAAAAATTTGTGATAGTTTAAATTCAAGTTTGAATTTTGATTTTGATTCAAGTCATGATTGTGAGATTGATCTTGATCCTGATCTGAATCGATGAGAAAATTGTCAGTTATTTGGGGGATATTTGGACTTGAAGATTCAACAGGGGAGGAGATCTTGTTATTTAATAATAGGGGCAAATCGGAGGATAAAGATGGGTAAGAACTTGAGGAAGGATTTTGAATCGAAAATTGATTGTGGGGATGAGATAGCTGTTTATGAACGCCTATGATTGAATTTAAAGAAAAGTTAAAGGGTTTATTCAAAGGGTTTGAGGATTTGAATTTGTAGTAGTCAGATAAGGGAGCACTATTAACTAGAGCAGGATAATTTGATTCAGACATTGCAAACCAGGAATGGTCGTTAATTAGTCCGATGTAGACTTTTTCGTTTTCATTATCGATTTCGTTATCGATTTCGTTATCGTTATCGCTGTTGTTGTTAATGCGGTAGTTATTTTGATGGTGATGATTTGGGTTAATTTTATTGTTTTTAAAGTGAATTGGGTTGATTGGGTGGGAGACTAATAGGTATTGGCTAGTTGTGTCATCTTTGAAGATGTCAAAAACGTCAATTGCTGGGGAATCGAGGTTGGTTATCCATTTGGGAGTTGACAGAGATGAGTCTAAGGATAATAGAGAGTTTTTATCAAAAGGAAAGATTAGGATTCCATCAACAGATTTTTTCTTATTTTGAAGAGTTAAATCTTGGTTGATGTTGTCTTCGCCAAATTTTGTAAAGTGAATGTCTATGACTTTGTTTGTTTTGTTGTTTTGGTTGTTGATTGAGGTTATAGTTAGATGGTAGTCTGTTTTTCCTATATTGATAATGGGGATATCATCATCGTTATTGTTTTTGTTGTCGTTGCTGTCGTTGCTGTCGTTGTTGTTGATTGAGTTTAGAGTGTTAAAATTGAAATTGTTTTTGTTGCAAGTGTTGATGAAGGATTGGTCTAGGGGGTTATTACCAAAGGTGTTTAGTATTTTGCCATTGATTGGGTTGATTGAGATTAAAGAGGACTTTCTTGAACCAGTGAAGACGTTATTATTTGATAGGGAGAATGGAGAGTTTAGGATTAAGTCGTTGATTGATATTTTTAGTTTTGATAGACCAGTGTTTTTATCAAAGAAAAATAAAGCGCCGTCGTTGTGAGGTTCCACCAACCAAAGGATATCATCGTTATCATTATCGATATCGAATAGAGATGAGTTTGTGTATAAATTGTTATTGTTTTTGTTGGTTTTTGTATTGATATTCGAGTTGTTGTTGGTGTTTATGATGGTTGATGAAGAAATGTTAGAGGTTAGATTTGAGTTGAGATTCCAAATGATTTCACCAGTTTCTCTGTTTAAACCAGATAACGAGCCATCTATTTGAGATATTATGATTAGATTTGTTATATCCAAGTCATTTATAGCTCTATTATTTTGGAATAAAAGGTTATCATTGATATCATTGATTTCATTGATGTCATTATTATTAATTATATCGTTATTAGGGTTGAGGTTGAGGTTGAGGTTGGGGTTAGTATGTTTATTTATTGATATCTGATAATTATTTTTATGATTGTTATGATTGTTATGATTGTTATGATTGTTATAATTGTTATGGGATATTATTGAAAAGCAAGAGATAAATATTGAAAAGTTTATATATATAATAAGAAAACTAAAAAACAAAAATGAATTCATTTTTCAGATAAATATGAAATAATATGGTTTAAGATGAGCAAAAAATTGAACGAGGTAGACGAATTGTAGATATTAGTAAAATGAGAGGTGATTTTTTATATTTCATTGAATTGAATAGTTATTATTATGCTATTGTTATTGTTATTGTTATTGTTATTGTTAATATATCGATGTTATTTGATATTATTCTATATTGTTCTATAGTATTCTAATTTATTTTTCAAATAATTTATTTTTCTATTTTTTTTATTTTTTTGTTTTTTTAGTGTTTTAGTTGTTTAATGTTTTTGTTTGGAGGATGTTTGGAGGATGCTTGGGGGATGTTTGAAGCTGGTGAAGAGATAACGAGTAAAGAAGACGAAAGAGAGAGCAATGGAGCCTGAACCACTCCATAAAGCAGAAGCAGCAGCCGTTGAAATTGTGAGGAAAGAGAGAAATGGGGAGCAAGTACTGGAGTTGAGAAAAAGACCTAGAGAGAAGAAGCAGCAGAGGCAGCACAGCAGAAACGGAAGAAAAGCGCACGCAAACACCGGCAGCACAGTCACCACGTACCTCACGTACCTCACGCACCAGAACCTCACGCTCCTTCTCCATGATAGGAGGCTCAAAATTTCTGTCGCAGACCCCCCCTCTCCGCTTACGCAACACCAGACCCCCGCTGCTCCAACGTCCGCTTCAACCCTCGGAAAAGCTCCTCCTTGGCAGTCCGCAGCACTCCCGTCACAAGACCCGATGTCGAGGGAAAGACATGTACTTCCGGCTCGTATCCGGCCACAGAAGCAAGGCCGGTCGTGAGAGTTCTGGGCTGGACGCCGTAGGAGCAGCTTGGTTTTGGTGCCTGTGTTGTTTTTGCAGAACCAAGATGCTTTAGCACCAAGAGCCAGATATTCTTGCCGACAAAACACACCACTCTTGGTCTGTGGGTCTTGATCTTGTCGAGGAGCACAGGCACACTGTGGGCCATTTCTGCAGCGTCCAACTCCTCGATGTTTCTTGTGGGTCTTGCAATCAAGTCTGTGAAGCCCATATCTAGCTCGTTGAAGAGATACAGGTCTGCATTCTCAAAATTCAATCGTCTGATTATCTCTTTCATATCGCCATTGGATACACTGAGACCTTTGAACTGGGGAGTGAAGATCTCGACTTGGATCAAGAGCCGCCAGAACAAGTTGGTGGGATGGGCATATCGATGGCAGTTCTCTGAGCTTTTGATGCTTGGATTGTATCCAACGAATAAACAGCGTAGATTGTTCTTCAACAAATCAGGCACTTCCTTCAAATGATGGTAGTATTTGACTTTGCTCGTTTTAGTCTTTTTTTTCTCGATTTTGCTGCTCTTGTTTTTTTGCTTTTCTGCCTTTTCTCTCTTGGTTCTTGTCTTGGTCCCTGGCTTAGTTATTGTCTTGATCTTGACTTTGCTTGTTTTATTCAGTTCACTATTGTTATTGTTACTATTGTTACTATTGTTACTATTGTTACTATTGTTGCCATTATTGTATGAAAACTTAGCTAACAACTCTTTGAATGCCTGGCTTGGTTCTATTTCCCCCATCGTCTAGATATATAACTTGTATCTAATAACTGATCTGGTGCAGCCATCTGTCGATTTCCGCCCCGATTCAAAACTACAGTCAAAAGTAAAAACAAAACAAAACAAAACATATTAATTAAATCCTTTAAATAAAAAACAACTATTAAAAAAAACTATTAAAAAAACCTATCACCAAAAAAAAACTAGATTGAAATATTGAAGTACTGAAACTTATTCAATCAAACATCTTAAACCACAACAACACGCTTCTTTCTATTCATTTTCAGTCTCATTCTTCTTGCTTTAATACGGTTCTTCATGTTTCTGAACTTGTTTCCTAATCTTCTTTTCTTAAAAATTACCATCATTTTTGCTTGCTTTAATTGTTTGTCTTTGTATAATTTGTCAACTGTTAATCTGCTAATATTAATGATTTGATTTACTAATATTAATTACTTGATTAAATTACATATCTAAAAAGAAAAAATGTAAATGAAGAATTTGCTTCTATTTATCTTAATTTGTCTTGTTTCCTTCTTCATTGAATGTCTTAAAAATCCTCTTAAAATCCATTTTCATCAATCATTAAAAGCAAGCAATTCAAAATAACTTATACGCCCACCCTCCATTCCATTTTAAATGACTTACTTCTCAATCACACTAACTTGGATCTACGATTTTTAAAAGCAATGTGCAATACAAACAAAATCAGCTTCGTTTTATCTAGAGAAAAACCTCGACACCACTGGCAAATTACTTAATATGCTCCCATTAAACGCAATCGAACTCAAAAAATTCATCGATATGTTATCTCGCAAATTATTCACTTTCCCAAATTTGTCGCATTTGGTATACGCAACACAATTAATCAAGTTCAATGTCAAAGTTACTATCACCATGATCAAACTCAAAAACTCAAGCTTTAAAACACAAATTATCCCCAAAAAACCCCAAATCACTGGCACAGCATATATCATCATCCAAAATACCTTGCTGTCAATGGGATTGATGTATCTGCTTGGATCGCAATTCTCAAATACCCAAACGTTCTCTCCCTTAATCGACGTCTCATTCCACCACCGTAACCCAACTAACAACCTACCCGATATATTCTTAACATTCCAAAAGTCTCCCGATGATAGTAATATAACTGTAATGAACTGTAAAATAAAATTATCTCTGAATAGTATTCCTCCAAGTATATATACTAAAATAGTAGACGCTTTGAAAAAAATCAAAAAAAAGAGTGCAATTGGATGTGACGACTCTGATAATCTCTGAAACAACGTACGTTCTTGATTAATTACTTGACTGGATGAAATCGCTCTTGGTCCATTGTTATTATTACTATTACTATTGTTATTATCACTGTTATCTGTTAGGTTTCCCTGGGGTATAGATTGAAAATTAATTGCCTACACATCATCAATTGTCAGTAATCTCTTCTCAATTCCAATTCCCCTATCTCGCTCAATCATACATACCATTGTCCAACTCCTGCTCAATTGATGCTTCTCTTCTCTTCTTTTTCTTCTTCTCTCCCTCCTTTATCGGCGTTTTCTCAAATTCTAAACACCACTTTGACACGTGACCCAGTTCGTTGATCGAATAAAATCCAGCTCATATTTCGCATTATCGGTTGTATTCCACTGAGAGTATCTTCTACATCTTCTACATCTTCTACATTGACAAATTAAACCACAATGGCTAGCGTTTTAAGAAGTATAAAAGTATGTTAATTGCTAGTATTTTCAGCAAGTTAGCTGGTGTGTACTGTCTTTTTGGTTTTCGCTTTTTTTTCCTAACTAACTATTTTATATATCTTAGTTTGGTTTCCCCATTGGTTTCATAGCCCTTACCACCATTTCAAATAACAATGTCGTTTTGAATGATTCAGTCAGAAGAAAGTTCTATGAAGACGATGAAAACATAACTCCCATTCCAGGCACTATTGTTCCAGCCTCTGCCACTGAAATTGAAATGCTAGGTCCAAATAAAATTGTCGACGGAATCTCTGTGCGTTCTCCAACTTTTACTGAAAACTTTTTCAAATTTCTAAGAGGTAAAACACTAGGTTTGTACAACTGTTTGGAAGACGCTTCGTTAGGTGTCTCGAGAAAATACTATTCTACTGAAAAACTAGTCACTTCAAGTTTAGCAAATTTGCGTTCAAAGAATGAGGATTTGTTGCCCAACATTGTTTATATTACAATTGCAACATTAACAGGTGCAGTGATTGCTCGTCATAAAAACTTTTTTTTGAGGACCAGTTTGCCAATTATATTTGGGTTAACAGCTTTTAATTATACATTACCACAAACTTTCACAAACTCAACAAAATTTGCATATTATTTGGAAAAAAGAAATTTACCAGCAGTTACATCAGCCCAAGATTCAGTTGTTAATGGAGTTGAAAATTTGATTCAAAATATTGAAAACAAGTCTAAAGATGTTCAAGATTCGTTAAACAGTTCCATTGATTCATCCAAGAAATATATTGCAAGTGTTTCTGGTTTAAATCTTGATGAAGAGGTAACAACAAGAAAGGGAAATTAAAATGAACTCAGTATATGAATAGTCTGTTTTTTTTGCTCTTTTTCTTTTATTCTTAATTTATAATGGAAAAAAAAAAGAGAGGATGTCCATTAACGTGAAAGGATGTCTTTATAAAATATAGCCTATTTTTTTTGTTTTATTATTATTATTATTATTATTATTATTATTATTATTATTATTATTATTATTATTATTATTATTATTATTATTGTTATTGTCATTGCTAATCATCTATAAATACATATTCATAGAAAAGTCATGTTTATTTTACTTTGTTGTTGATTAAATTTTCGTAATTCAACTTATCGTTGTCTGAATCTTGTAATAGGTAAAGTAAATCATCTTCAACTTGATCAATTAAAACATTTTGAACCGACCCGAAAAAGTCAGTTATTAGGACATCGGATAAATTTCTGTTGAACAAGTCTGTTCTAATGCCTGGGTGGGAATGTATGTTTTCAAAAGTGTAGGTTTCAAATAGTTGAGTGATGTTTGCAGTTGAGTTCTTTTGAATGTTTTCTAGAAAGTCCAAGTTGTAGTAGGTGAATCTGTCAATAACAGCGACACCGATTTCTACATCGGAATGGTGAGAATAGGAAGATTCGTCTAGTTCAGATGAACCAACAGCCAAAATGTTGGGAGAGTAGAATCTTGAGTACATTGTGTTTGCCTGGCAGGTATCAATCATGAATAGAATTTCGTTGTATCTTTTCTTTTGAAACATCTGTTGAAATGCGTCGGCTATATCATAGGAGCTGATCTCTTCAGCATCTTGGAATTTTAAAAACTCGTCGCCACCATGTCCAGTCATGTAAACAAAGACATTTGAGTTCTCATCGGTTAGTAGACGTTTTGATCTGGGATACTCAGGGCCCCATCTGTCGGTTAGTAGACGTATGAAGTTTTCGACAGTGACTTCATAGCCTCTGTAGTCTACCTGGATGTTGTCGCCATATAGGTCCAATTGTCTTGCAGCGTTGTTGAAGACCGAGCCAGGAAATGCGTTTCTTGAGTTGCAAGAGATGTCATCAGCTAGCATGAGAATGATCTGGGAGTCAGGAATACCCAATCTTTTGACAGTTCTGTACATTGACAAGGTGTTGGCGATATGGCGATAGTTGAACCAAAACCTTGAGGTGTCAACCAAGACAGCCCAATTGTTGGTGTGGGAAGAGGAGGAGGCCAGTGAGACAAGGGGGAAGAAAAGAGCAAGAAGGAGAGATAGAACCAGTATGAGTTTTGTCATTTTGGAAAGATTTGATAAAAGGTAGCGATGGAGGTGAGATTGAAAGAGAATAAAAGAAAACAAAAGAGAACCAAAAAGAGAAGTGATTGTGTTTTGGAGTGAAAGACATGTGACAAAGTGGTTGAATATTAGGTTGAATATTAAGTTGAGTGTATTTAGAGCTGGGTCTTTGATGGTGATATAATCAATGGAAGAATGTCAAATTTGGAGTTTATTGTATCGAGGATAAACGAAAGCAGTAAATCTTTATCAACATTGTATTTCAAACCGCCAGGAATATTTAGCAATGCATTGATGAAGAACGATAGAACCGAAAACTTGTTGACGGATTTGATTGAAAACAATGATCAAAAGAGCAACAAAAAGCCCTTTTTGGTGTATAACGAAAGGAAGAATGAGCTAGAAAGACGAGATGGGAGCGTGATAAAAGAGAATGAGGAAGCCATCAACAGGATATTGGTGAGGAATTTGAGTTCCAAAGCCAATGGCAATGGCAATGGAAGTGGTGGTGACAGTAATAACAACAACAATGTGAATAACATGAACAATATAAACAACATCAACAGTATGAATGCAAATAATGATGAATTCGAATATGGAGAAAGCTTGATCAAGTTTCCAGGAAAGGGAAACATTCAGAACTTGATAAAAACCGAAATCAATCCCAACAAGGAGTTGTTCAACAGTCTCAAGAAAAAAGAGAAAATACTATATGATTACAAGAGCCATGACGATGAAGTTCCCGAGGACGAAAGGCTCATCAACGAGTACAAGACCATCAATGAGATGGTGGACATCATTGTGACGTTAAACGAACAGAAGTTTCCCATCCATGGGTTGGAGGAGCATTTGGGCGAAATCAAAGAGCGAAATCTCTTCTTGTTCAACGAAATCAAGGAGTTGAATTTGTTGAAGGAGGACATTGAAAAGCAGATCAAGATGGCGAACCAGGCGATCCAGAACCGAGATTTGGAAACAGAGAACCACAATTCTGCTGCTGCTGTTGTTGTTGTTCCTCCCTCTCCCTCTCCTCCTGCTCCCACCTCTCTGTTAACCATCGTCGAAATGATCCAGCACCACGAACACGAAATCCACGAGTTGAAGCTCAGAATCGCAGAAAAGCGTGCCTCGCTCTGATTGGCCAGTGCTGCTTCTCCCGCTATACTGATTACGCCGCGCTTACGTAACACCAGCCCCCACCGCTGAAGCATCCTCCTGCATACACACGCATACACCAACTCTAAGTGTATGTTTGCACGCGGTCCAACGCACTACGCGGCTGTGAGCCAAGCGCGCGTGCGCTAACAGGCCTCCGAACGCGCCGCTCTGCGCTGGCGAATCTCTGCATCGCTCAGAAAAGTTTTATATCTCTATTGTTGAACAGCTCTTATATATCCTCCGTTTTCCTTTCTGCTGTTTCTTCTCTCCTTTCTCCTTTGCAACACTCTGCTTCCTCATCCACAGCTCCACCTCTGCTGTTTCTCCCTCCACCGCTGCTTTATCCTAGGTCTCACACTCTGCCATCTCTTGTTTATGTCTGTTTATCTATATATCATCTCCCTGGCTCTCGTTTCAATCAATTCCTAGTTTCCAATTTGCCATCCCCTTCACCCTCTTACTGTTCTTCTCCAATTGCCTAATCACTCCTTGTCATGGTAAGCATCTCTCTTTCTCTCCTTCTGCAATGTTCAGATACCTTCTATCTCTTGATACTTTTTTGCTTCATTTGTGTAAATTTCAATTTACTAACTTTCTCTTTATTTCTCTATTTTTTTTCTCTCTTTTCTCTTTTTTTCTTATTTTTTTTTTTCCATTTCACTTTGTTCAATCTCATTTTAGGTCTACTACAAACGAAAACCTGTTGTTTATCAAACTCCTCCACCACTACCGGAAGACCCTTCAATAAAAGTCTGGTATATACCTGAAACCAAAGAATGGTTCCGAACCTATGACGAATACCTTGAAAAACTAGACTACTACAACAAAAACAAATTTGTCTGCGAAATCACTGGAAACTCCTGCTACAACTACTTTCAAGCTCTCGACAGCGAAAAAAGAGAAATAAAACAAGTGGAATCTCATTTCCCAAATCCACTAAAAGAACCAGTTCTAAGATTTGTCCAATTCTCAACTCTCACCAGACTAGACCAACTTGTCGACAAAGTCTACACAAGATTCAAAAATGATTTCTATCCAGGTGAATCTGTACTAGTCAAATACGATCAACAAAAGAGAAAGGGCACAATAAGAGAAAAGGCCGAATTTAATACCCAATACGATTCAAATAAATTTCTTATAAGAAAAGCCTATTGCAATTATAGAATCACCTTAACTGACAATATTCAAAAACATAACAATAACAACAATAACAACAATAACAACAATAACAACGAAAATGACCCCATTTATACAAACAATAACAAATTATCTCAAAATATTGATTCAATTAATAACCAAAAATCTCCAAATGAAGTTGACGTCTTTTGCGAATCAATTTCAAGGGACAGAAACCACTTTACAAAATGGTACGTCAAAACTTTCATAAAACTATGTGTATCAAGATCTTCTAAAATAGGTGCTCCCTGGGTCGTCAAAGAAGAATATGCAAAAAAATACTCAATCTCAATGGTCTATCCCCAGGAACTAGCCCGATATTCTCCTGGCTACATTGAACCAATTCCTCAATTAGATGACACTGATCTTGACAACTCCATAAACGACCCCAATTACTTTAACAATAATAACAACAACAACAAGAAGCTAAAAAACAACAATAAATTCAAAAAAAATAAACTAAACCATTTCAACATCACACACCTAAATAACGACGACTATGACAACAGAAGACTATTCAAAAAACAAAAAATATCTAAACAAAGGAAAAACTCAAATAACAACAACAACAATATCAACAACCTAATAAATTCACAAAACTCTCCTCCTTACTCTCAAAATTATGATCTTCATTTACACCACGCAAACTCTTCTTCCATTTTAAACTTCCCTGATCCCTTACCTTCTTCAACAATTCCAACTCCCTCTTTCATCCCAATCTTACCGGCTACAAAAAATAACATCAATACACCAATTTCAATTTCAAATTCAAATTCAAAACTAGATTTACAACACTTGAATCAAAATCAAAATCAAAATCAAAAAAACTATTATCCCAATCACGACTATACCCTAATCGCTCCCAACACAAATATAAATACCTTCGACAACACCAATTATAATATCAATAACAACTCTCTAAGGAACCTATTGCCAAAACACTCAAACAACCCAAATAACTCAAACATCACCTATAATCATAGCAATAGAAACATCCTAAACGACAACATCAACTCGTTTAATAACACTAATAACGAATATTCAAATATCCCAATATCTCATCACAACCTGAGAATAAATCAAAACCAAGATATATTTTACGATAACATCGACCCAGATTCTCACAATAAACAAAGAAAACGCAAACCCCACAAAAGATCCACAGAATCAATCAACAACCTAGCAAACTTTAAAAACATCTACTCCAACTCAGAATACGAAGATGATGATGATGAAAACTTCAATAATGCTAACAACAACAACAACAACAATAATAATAATAATAATAATAATAATAATAATAATAATAATAATAATAATAATAATAATAATAATAATAATAATAATAATAATAATAATAATAANAATAATAATAATAATAATAATAATAATAATAATAATAATAATAATAATAATAATAATAATAATAATAATAATAATAATAATAATAATAATAATAACAATAGCAATAACAACAATAACAACAACAACAATAAATTGAACATTCAAATGTTTTACATCAATAAAGATAAGGAAATAAATTCAATCAACAGCAATCTTAACATCTCAAACTTTAATAACCTCAACGCTATAAATCAACCCTGCTTATCTGCAAAGCAAATAAGATCCACTTGCCAAACACCAGTTTCCCTATGTTCAACTCCAGTGTCTTCCATAAAAACTCTACAACCAATCCAATTTCCCGTTAGGCATCCCCCCTCTCGACGCAAAATCTCTGAAGATCTACTCATCCCCTATACTCCATTTACACAAAATCACTTGGAAACCTCTCTTTTAAAAAGACCAAAGCTTAAAAGAATCAAAAACATTCATCACATGTCCGAAGCCCTACAAACTTGGAGCTTTTTAAATATTTATCGCAAACCGTTAATACTAGACACTTTTACTTTTGACGATTTTATAACCTGTTTGTCTGTCAATAATACAAATTTGGCTACAAAAAATATTCTATTAAACGAAATATTTTGTGCTCTATTAAGTCTAATTATCAATAAAAAAAACTCAAATGACGAAAATGAAAAAACTAATACCAAATCTGCTCACATCGAAGACTATGACGTCTTTATGATATCTTTACCGGTCGAAGACTCTTGGCTTGAATCTGACGAAGAAGAAATTTTAAACGACTTTAACGCTAATTATCCCTTGAGAAGATATGAAAATATACCCGAAGATAATGATATTAATGACTCTGTCTCGGAAATTAAAAATATTCCAAACAATCAATCAACAAATCTAGGTGATCAAATTGAAGATAAAAACAAAACAGATGTAAAAATTAAAAGCGAAAATCTTAATGAGGAATTGAAAAAATTAGATAATGAGCTTGTTGATATAAATAACACTCAATCACTAACAGATAATCTAGAAAATATTCAAGTAGACGAAGTTCAACAAGAACTAAAAGAAAAAGAAAATAACTTAAATGATGAAACAATAGAAAATGACGAAGATGATGAGAATAATGAAAATGAAGACAAAAATGAAAACGAAAATGAAAACGAAAATGAAATCGCCAGTGAATCTGTCAATGAAAATGATAGTAATGATGATTATGACGAAAACAATGAAGAAACTGATGATGAATTAACTGCTGAAAAAGCAGAAACATATCAGATAATATTGGACAAAGCTGTCAATTATCGTAATATAACTTGGCAAGAGCGACTTTATAAGCGCCAATTTAAAGATGGATATTGGCAGCTAATACTATTAGGATTTTTAACACACATACAGAATATCCAGGTGTATTCAAAAATAATAGATAAAGTTCAGAGGATTTTATTGCCTCCTGGAACAAAGCTAACTTCATTGAATCCTACGTTTATAATGAGAAATTTTTACACAAAATTGAATCTAGAGTACAGAATTCAGATCTTAGATATTTTATGCCAGATATTGACAAATGGGCCAATAATAAAAAATTATATTGAATTTTGTATGGAAGAAGGTGTAAGATTAAGAAGAGATAGATTAGAAAAAATTCGTGAACATAAAGGATTAATAGAAAAAGCAAGAGAATATAATGCTCAAGCCCAAGAACTTTTGAAAGATTTTAAAAGCATTGAGGAGAAGGAAAAGGAAAAAGAAGAAATTAATGAAAAAATAAAAGAAAAACAAAAAAACAAAAAGGAAAAAGAAAACGATAAAGAAAAAGAAAAAGACAAAGATAAAGAAAATTTCACTGGTGATAAAAATAAAGAAGATTATGATAATAAAAAAAGACCTAGACGTAAAAACTGGACATTAAGAAATGAACCAACTTCAGCGGAACTTGAGTTTGCAGAAGATAATAAAGAATTTAAAGAAATTATAGAACAAAGAAAAAACACCATTTTAAAGGCTAATGAATATCGTAAGGAAAAAAAAGAAATTGAAAAACAATTGATGGAAATAGACTGTCAAAGAGTACGTTTAATTGGAAGAGACAGATTTTATAATCGTTATTGGTGGTTTGAAAATAATGGATTACCAAGATTATCTAGTTCTGGAAACAGTAATCTTGATGAAGAAGATAATGAAAATGAAAATGATAATGAAAACGAAAACGAAAACGAAAACGATGAAGATGATGTTGAAGATGAAGAAGAAGAAGTTTTGGAAGAAACTTATTTGATGGGAAGACTTTGGATCCAAGGACCTAGTAAAGAAGAATTGGAATATTTTTTGGATACAAAATCTAGAACTGCAAAGAAAGCCCGAAAATTATTTGACAAATATTCTATTGGAGAAAATAAGAATAAAGAAAAACTTGAAAAAGACGAAAAATACGAAAAAGATAAGAAAGATAAGAAAGATAAGAATACTGAGACGTTAAAAGCAGAAATTAATGATGAAAATAATAATGATGAAACTGTTGAATTAGAAGCGGAATCAAAGTTACCTGAAAAAATATCAAATAGCTTTATACAAGTTTGTGAAGAAATTTTCAAATTAAAATTTAATCCAGATAATCTCGAGGTGATTAGAAAAACCGATAATGGAGAGGAAATATTGATTGAAGAGTCTGGGAAATTGGTAGTACCAGATGAGATATTGGATAATTATAATAATGGCGGTAGTAGTGATATTAATAGGGCTATTGTTAGACCAATAGAAAGAAAATTAATAGAAGAAAAAAATGATACATTATTACTTGAATCAGATTGGAGATATATTGATGATGAAAAAGCGTTTAATGGATTAATTTCGTGGTTGAATATTTGGGGTAAAAGAGATAATAATTTGAAAAAAGAGTTGATTTTAGTTAAAGATAGAATTATATCATCAATTGAAGCTCGGAGAAAAGCGTTACATTTAGATGAATTGCCAATTGAAGAAGTTGAGTTAGAAAAAGAAATCAAAGAAACGATATTATCAGATAGTGAGGATGAAGAAAACGATGAAGATAGTAGTAATACTTCTGAAGATGATGAAGAAGAAGAAAGAAAGAAAATAAAGCAAATTATTAAAATTAGTGATACGATGCGTAGAACCAGACGTAATATGGCATTGATTGAGAAACAAATAGAAATTGAAAAAAAACGAGAACGAGAAAAACAGAAAAGAATAATGGAATCTAAACCAAGTTCAAGGATAGCTAAAAGAGAAGCCAGAAAGCGTAAGATGAAAGAACATGAAGATAAGAAAAGAAAACATTATAATAATATTAAGAAATTAAAAAAAATGAAAGAAGATAGGGAACTTGAAAGATGTTTTCAATATGTTAATATGAATGCGACAGAGGCATTGGGACATTCCCATTTTAATATAGGGGGCAATGGTCATCAAGTTAATGGTAATTTCAATGTTAGTGGCAATATCAATGGCAATGACAATGGCAATGGCAATGGCCATGGCCATGTTAATGGGAATATCAATGGCAATGGCCATGTTAATGGCAATGCTAATTCTAATTCTAATATCAATACTAATGCAAATGGGAATAGTAACAAAAATGGAAGCAATAAGAATGGTAACAATAGAAGTTGTATTTTGAAAAATGTGACTAACAAAAATGATAACAAAGAGCTTAAAGAGAGCAGTAATAGTAATTCTAGTAGCTCTAATAATAACAAAGAAAACAATTTCAATAGCTCTAATAACAAAGAAAATAAGAGTAATAATGTGAATAACAATGTTACAAACGAGGCTAATGGTAAAGCGAAAAGAAGCAAAAGAAGGAAAAAAAGTTAAATAGGTAGTGTTGAAATAGAATTTATTTAGAGCAGACATAATGGCTATTAAAGTGTAATTTAACGATTATGATATAATATAACTAAACAATAAGATATAAGATATAAGATATTGTTTATACAATAAGTAATAATAATAAATGATAATAAATGATGATAAATGATGATAAATGAAATAATAAAATAAATTCAGATAAATAAAATAAAATAAATAAAAAGAGAATGAAATTAAAAAAAAAGGGAAAAAAAACTAGCTAGTTTAAAGCCTAGATTAAACTTATTTTATTTTGTTTTGTTTTGTTTTGTTTTATTTTATTTTATTAAGGTAAATTAAATTTAACATCATTATCATTATCATTACCATTACCATTATCATTATCGTTATCATTAGAATCGATTTCAAGATCTTGTAAAACCTGTTTCATATCGATTTGTTTATGATTAGCTATCATTGTAATTAAACCCATCGCGATATCTTTTAATTCATTGTACTGATTTAGTTTTTTTATGTGGTCTTTGATAATTAATTCTGGTTTGTTGATTTGATCGTTATTCAAATCTAGTTCGATTATTAAATCTTCACACTGTTTTTGAATTAGGATTAAAGTGATCTCTTTTGATCTTATTTTTTCGATTTCAGTTGAGATTGAGCTTTTCTCATTTTTGGTTAGTTTCTTTTCGAGCAAATTCAAATTCGCATCGTTTATTAGATTTTTCAAGTTATTTGAATCTGACTGTTTAATTTCAAACTTGAAAAAATCAGAGGATTTTGCTAGTTCCTTTAACAACTGTGGTCTGGTGTTAGTGGTATCAGAAGCAGGAGCAGACGCAGGGACAGAAGAGCTGAAGGTTTTAATACTATCACTACTTCGATATCTGTTGTCTCTGAAGCGAGAACGAGGATGAGAATCAAGTATTTGGGTGGCCATTAAGCTAGAGTCGTCAGTGCTTATGTTGTTTATGTTGTTTGTGCCAGTGCTGATTGTGTTGTTATTAATGGCGTTATTTATGTGATCAAGGCCGCCTTGCGACGATGTGTCTTGAAGCATTCTTTGGACAATATATGGGGGAGCAAAAGAAGGCAGAGAAAGTAGACAGACCAACACCAAAACAAATGACAAAAGTGTTCAGAAAGACAAAAGAAGGATACAGCACCAGCTTTATACCTCCAGATTGCCATTTATTACTCTTGCCATGTTTTGCAATGTTTGGTGATGCTCGGCCCAAAAGAGCCACCGCGACAAGAGCAGTGCTGCATCCGATGACGTCGCTGTTTCTGCACCCAAGACACAAAAGCTACGGGTAGATGGTGTGGGCGTTCTCTCTACAGAATTGGGCACTATGGCCGAGTGGTTAAGGCGAAAGATTAGAAATCTTTTGGGATTTCCCGCGCAGGTTCGAGTCCTGCTGGTGTCGTTTTTTTGTTTTCATCCATCCAGGATGGAGAGAGTGCCGTTTTTGCTGCCTGAGCAGAAGAGTAAAGAAGGAGAAGAAAAACCAGACGTTCCAGGGCTATTGTTGCAACATGGAGTAAGAGCAGAACTGTTTCTTCTTTTACGTACAGCTTTGATAGCACTGGTAGATGATTTCAACATCACTGGAATCCGCTTTGAATGGTGACCTCTTTTTCACACACCCCCTACTAATTCTGTTTTCCACATCGTACTTCCTCAAGAGCTCCATGTCTGGGTTTTCGTCACTCTGCTCGATGCTGTTTCGCGAGTATTCTAGATAAAACGACCCCAAGCTGTCCATTGAAAACGACGATGAGATCGATGGTGCTGCTGGGACCTTCTTTGTGTTACCACTGATGTCTTTGCTTCCTGTGCTATCTTTATGTCTGTGTTTTCCTCCGAAGATTGGGGTGTTTAATCGTGGAAGACTTAGTCTCTCTCTCAATGAATGACTTCTGCTCAAGTTTTCAACATGATTCTTTGCAGGATTAATGTCTTTATCATCATTGGTCTCGTGTTTACTATTGTTGGAATGTGATGTAAGCTTTTTATTGAAGGCTGGACTCATTTTCTCTTTGAAGTAGTGAAAAGTGGATATTATTGATTCCTTTGCTGACTTTGGTGTAGAAAAATAATTGTCCTTTTCTCTTTTATTAGAACTGGTGCCATTTTTTTCTTTGTCATTATATTCATCATTTTCATTATTTTCATCATTAATTGTCTCACTGATTTTTCTTGTTTCCTCATTCAGGTTCTTGTTATTTGGTATAGTTTGAGTCTGAATCTCTTGGTTATCGGTATTCTTTTTATTATCTAAAATTACTCTGGTTTTATTACCTTTAAAGGAGTATGAATGTGAATGAAACTTTAATGAATTTCTATTTTTTTTAATTCCAATTGTTTTCTTTTCTTTTTCTAGTACAACTTTATCTGAATTATTCATTAAAATGACATCATTCCAATTGCTGTTATTATTATTATTATTATAATTGTTGCTCTCTTTATAATTTTCTTTATCGCTATCATTCAAAATAGTGGATGAACTAAACGAACTGCTAGAACATGACTCAGAAAATGAATTTGGTATCATTTCATATAAATCAATTATATGATCTATCTTTAATGAATGATCATATTTAGATTTTACTATTCTGTTGCAATCACTGTCATTGTAATTACTATTATTATAACAATCATTATCATAATAATGATTAGAAGTATATATTGTCGATGGCGATAAAAAATTAGGATTTAACTCATTCAATGCTAACACTTCGTTTAACTGATTTAATTGATTATATTCGGGCGAAGTAATTGGTCTTTGGATAAAATTAACTTTATGATCATATTTATAATTTAATGAATAATGGAATGGATATTTTAATGGATATTTTAATGGATTTAACGTCATTCTTTTTTATATATCTGTATTGAGCAATTCATAATATTTCCTTAATCTCGAAATAGAAAAGCAATATATTTTTGTCCTATCTAATTGTATGAAAACTATTTTATAGCAATATAGTAATATATTTCGATAACAAAAGGAAATTGCTTCATTATAGTTGTTTGTTTGTTTTTTTGGTTTTTCTTTGGTTTTTTTTTTTGGCTTCTTTTTAGGCTTCGTCTAGCTTTATTTGGTTTTGTGGTATAAAATCAGTATCAAGTATATTAAAATCAGAATTTTAGGTCCGATTTCCCTATTCGTGTTTATTATTTAATCTATGAAGGCAAATACATTCATTTGCGATGATAATACAATAAAAAAAGGTCATAAGTAGTTTTAATGTGATTAATTGACAAAAAGAAAACAATAAAAAAGGTTAATGAATGTATCCTTAAAAAATAACAACAAAAAATAACATTGAAAAAACAAATATTTGAATATTTAATAGTGTGTAAAAAAAAAAAAACTGATTGGTATTATGATTGGTATTGTGATTAGTATTATGACTCATGTTATGATTATGATTAATATATTACATGGGATTGGATTTGTTTGGCTTCGGCCAATACTTTTTATTTCTTAAAATCCATGGATGGTTTTGAGCATCGGATAAAGATATTCTCTTTGTTGGATCATAACGAAGAAGTCTTTTAATCAAATCAACAGCATCCGGTTGCAAAAATTGGGGTATTTTCAAATCCACTCTTGCTATTCTTCTATAAGTTGTTTGTTGGCATCCTTCTTCAAATGGAGGGTTTCCTACTAACAATTCATACATTAATATACCCAAAGCCCAAATGTCTACTTTTTCATTGTGATCTTTGGATTCAATCATTTCTGGGGACAAATAATCCAAAGTTCCACACATCGTTGATCTCTTTAACGACGGAGCATGGACACTCCAACCGAAATCCGAGAGTTTGATTATATTATCAAAGCCTAGTAGGATGTTTTCAGGTTTAATATCCCTGTGAATTATATGTTTTTTATGAAGATAGGATAGAGCTAGAATCATCTGATAAATGTAATGGGAAGCTAAAGCGTCATCGAACCTGCCCTTTTTCTTTAAAAACCCATACAATTCGCCATGGATAACATATTCTAGGATGAGGTAAACTCTTTTTGAATCATGGAAATAACCGAATAGTCTTAGGACATTTGGATGTCTTAGGTTCGATTGAATTTCGACTTCTCTTCTAAACTGTTTTTCCACTTTGAAGTGAGTTAGTTCCTCCTTTTCCATTACTTTTAGAGCACAAACATAACCGGTTTTCTTATCACGAACACAGTAAACTTTTCCAAATTTTCCCTTTCCTAATTTTCTGCCAATTTCAAAATCATTGATAGAGTAGTCTCTTAGGGGTTGTTGTTTTAAATTTAAATTAATAGAATTTGATTTTGCAGTGTAGTTGTGGGATATAGTGTGAGTATTATTTGTAGTGTTGTTGGTGGTGTTATTGAATTTGATATCAGCATTGGATTTCCATAGAGCGGCAGAGGTAGAATTGTTGTTGTTATTGGAAGAGAAGGCCAACTTTGTGTCGAGAGGCTTGAGAAGCATTTTTATAACATAAATAAAGAGAAGAGAAGAGAAGAGAAGAGAAGAGAAGAGTATTTGAGAAAAGAGAAGTTATAAAGAGAGAGTGAGATTGAGAGTGAGAGAAAAAAATAAAACAAAGCGATTAATTTGTAAAACATGTTTTAAGTTGAAGGTTGAAAGAGTTTTTGTTTACAATTAACTAAATTTGAAGAGATGCATGATTTGTTCCTGATTTGGCAATATCCAAACAAACACAAAGAGTGTCCGGAGATTTGGCGACGAATTTATTTTTGTATGTATTGGGAAATTAAATTGTATGAGTATATATGGATAAATGTATAAATATTGGAAAAGAAATAGATTAGCAAGTTCTAGTTTTTGATTGTATAGTACATTTTGTTGAAGAAAACACGCAATTAACCTGAAATGAACAGCACCTTTGTCGAACACAAGAAATAAGAATAAAGAGAGTAAAAAGAGAGTAGAAGTGAAAGTAAAAGTAAAAGTGAAAGTGAAAGTGAAAAACTCAGAAACTCAAAAAAAAACAAGCTAGTAGATAGATAGGAAAAAGAAATTAGATATATACATATATATATATATATATATATATGTTAAAAGAACAACCAAATTAGATTAAATAAATTAAGATAAATTAAGATTGAATAAGATAAGTAAAATCATTAGCATTTTATAAAGAGGGATCATCAGAAAGAAGTAATTTTTCATTTTCGTTTTGAGAAGCGGTTAAAGTATTAGTTGTTGTGGGATTAAGAGAATTAGATTGATTGATGTTGGAAGGAATCGCAGATAAGTTGAATAATTGAGAGATTTGAATTTGTCTTGGAGATGGCGAGAACAAATTTACATAATCATCTAAATTAAACTGAGGAGTTTTGATCAAGTTGATATTGTTGGAGTTGTTGGAGTTGAAGTTAGTGTTTATATTATTATTATTGTTGTTGTTGATTAATTTGTTTGAAGCAGATATGGTGTCAAGATTAAGATTATTATTGATGGAAGTTTCTTGAATTGGTTGAATTGGAGTAGCGGGTATTAAAAAAGTTGATTTATTATTTGAAACTGGGTTTGTATTTGCAGTGTTGATAATATTGTTATTAAATTCAAAAGAATTGAATTTGGGTGTTAGTTGGAAGAAATTGGGACTGCCATTTAAGAAAAGATTAGTATTTGGGGAGGTGAGGTTTAGATTGAAACCGATCAAGTTATTGTTGATATTTGGGTTGTTGAAATTAGATATACTGTTGGGATCGATGTTGGGATTATTAGAGGTGATGATATTGTTATTGTTTGAGTATTTATTGATGATAGTTGAAGGAGAGTTGATGTTTGTGAATTTAATGGAATTTAGCAAGTTTGAATTTAGGGATAAGTTTTGGTCATTTAAATTGATTGAGGGAGTTAGAAAATTTAAATAATCGATTGTGTTGAGATTGATGTTGTTTTCGTTATTATCGATAGTTGGTTTCGGGGTGGCTAATAAAGAATTTAAGGATTCTTTTGTTGATTCATTGTTATTTGAAGAAGTGGAGTTTGAGTAATTTGAGGTTTTGAAAGTTTTTTTGACTGGATAATCGATTTTTTTATTTTGATTAGCATTTTGGTTACTATTAGTGTTACTATTAGTGTTACTATTAGTGTTATTATTATTATTACTATTGTTATTGTTGTTATTGTTGTTATTGTTGTTATTGTTGTTATTGTTGTTTAATTTTTTGTTGTTGATCAAAATGATTTTATCAGATAAAGTCTTTTGATTGTTTGAATGATTTGAGTGGTTTGAATGGCTTGAATGGCTTGAATGGTTTGAATGGTTTTTAGTGATTTTGTTATTTGTGGAGATATTATTGTTATTTTGTAGTTTGATTCCAGCGTTTAATAGCTTTAGTTTTAGCTTTCTTGAGATTTTCGATATTTTGATCTTTTTCAAGATGTTGTTGGCAATTATGTCTTCGTTTTCCTTGTTATTGGATAAAGTCAAAGTAGCGCCAGTCATTGTGAGCAAGAAAGAGGTATAAGACAATAGGGTGATAAGGTGATAAGGTGACAAGAAGATGTATATTGTGGGATGAGGATGGGTGGAACTGAGTTAAAAACAGCAATATAATGGGGTATAATAGAGCTGGGGATGATATAACAGAGGAACAGGAACAGAAGAACAAGAACAAGAACAAGAATCAGGGATAATAAGGACGAGAGACAGAGGGAGAGAGAGAGAGAAATAGAACAAAGAGAGGTAAAGGAAAACAGGGAATTGAGTTGAATTAGTGTGTTCTTTGTATTATTTATATAACTGAGGTTGATTGCAATGGCTTAAAAGCAGCGATTCAGCGAAAGTTTGTGGAAAACAAAGCAAATTAGCAAAAACTGGTGAAAACAACAGGAAAGTAATGAGAGATTAATGGTAAAGGAAAATGGTTGATGTTGGAGATGCTTTTAGTGTTGGAAACAGCGTTGGGAGTGCGATTGTTTCTTTAATTTGTCTGTGTTTTTCTTGTTGTTTTAGCTCTTTTCGCTCTTTTGGGTAGTGTATTTTTGTTTTGCATTGGCAGCATTACGCTTTAGGGTTTAAGATTTGACAAATGTACAGAGAAAAGGTTTGAAAAAGGCTGAAAAAAGAGTTTGAAAACAGATTTTAAAAAGATTGGAAACAGTTGCAAACGAGAGCGAAAAAAGGTCAGCGTAACGAAAAAAGTGGAAAGCGTGGAAGAAAAAGAAGAAAAAGCCCGCAAAAGGAAAAACAAGCTACGTAAATAGTGCAGGGCTCTGTGGTACAACGCGGCACAGTGCAGCGGGAACACAAGCGAAAATAGGGAAAATAAGAAAAAGCAAGCACTTGGGAAAAAATAAGGAATATGGACGAAAATGAACGAGCAAAAAAATTACAACTGAAAACACCAGCGAGACATCTGCAGAATCCCATTTGAAAGCAATTTACGATCAGAATTCCGCAGAGCGAGCAGCAGAGGTGATATTTATAGAAAATTCTGGACAGCGCAGGGTGTGATTGGCCAGGACACGCTAGCGAAGCAGCGCAGAAGCTGGAGGTGCGGCCAATAGGGTTGGGCTTTGCAGCAGCGGAACCTGGCCGCAACGGCGCTGATCCAATGAGAGCTGCATTAGTAGGATCGTGATCGTGATCGTGATCGTGTCCACCCAAGCCAGATGCAGTTCGCACCCAAGCCAGATCCGGTCTCAGTCGCGAAATCTGAAGGAGCAGTGCGTAGATTGGTGCAGCACAAACAGCAGAAGGTCCCGTGCGCAAATGAATCCCTGCTTTTCGGTCATTCAAGACAACGATTCCAGACAACGGCCGCAGACAACATTCAGCATTGGCGCCGGAGAGGAGTGCATGGCACGCAAACGCGTTGCTCCAGTGGCACCGCCGATCTGCTGGGGTAAACAGAATGAGGAGCGCGAAGACACACAGTCAAGGCTTTTAGAGTGGTCGTTACATTGACAGCTATATATTTGTTTAGTGAGTAACCGTTTCATTGGTTGGCTCGTGTTGTTTATTCGTCGTCTTCATCTTCAACAGCGGTGGAGTAGAATTTCAACTCGTACTGGTTTTGTTTGATGGAAACAAATCTGATCCAGTCTCTGATTTGGTTTTTCTTCAAGTATCTTTTGGTTAAGTATTTCAAGTATTTACCAGAGAATTTAGCCTTGGAAGCAACAATAACAGTGGCACCCTTGGTTTCAACAATAACATCATCGCCTAAATTACCGACTCTGCCGTCGAGTTTGATGTGGTCAATCAAATATTTGGCATAAGATGAGGTGTCAAATACACCATTGTCCGATGGACCTGAACAGTCAACAGTGAATTTCTTAACAGCACTTTTCTTGGATTTCTATTGTGAATAATAAATAAATATCAAAAATTGAATAGTTAATATCAAATTTATTCCTTGAATAACCTACTACATTATTCAATTTTTTCAGTTATAATTAAAAGAAAAAAAAAAGTAGCAAAGCTTCAAGCATAATTTAACATTACTTTTTATTTCAGGATTTAGTGTCTCATACTTCTACATTTACTTTGATAAAGCTAGTATGATTCATTAACTCAATAGAAATTACTATCTATTCCAATCCATTATAATTTAGTTATAATTTAATTAAGCAATAGATATCATTGAAATATAAATCCCATTGGTTTTCATAAATTGGTTTTCATAAATTTATTTCCAATCCACTTTTTTTGGATCTAAATGAAAATTTGAATTTCTGCTCTACTCTCTTATCTTTTATTTTCCGATTTAATTATCACTTTATCTGATTACACTTACAATTGGAGCCATTTGGATAGACTTGTTTGTGATATGATATACTTGAATATGATATTGCTGAGTGAACTATCAGTGTAATTGATGATACCTGAAATATTAATCCGAAAAAAGATTCGTTTACCAACAGACTAGCTTGTTATAAATTTTCAGCACCATGTCCCCAAAAATAATACAACAGGGCTGTAACAGGTTGCAAGTCACACTACACTTTAGTCACGATTTAGTCACGTTTGTATAAACAGGGCTCACAGCAGCATATCTGCGTTAGCATGCTTACGTATGTGTAGGTGTAGCACTCACACGCACTGCCATCTTTGCGGATTTAATCCACCCCTGTGGGTCTGTAGCTGAAACTGGAAACGCGTAGCGCCTGGCTTTTCCCGTTCCAAAAGCCGCCCGAAACGACGCAGCACCCGCACCACAGGCACCACAAGCACCAGAAACACCGGCAAAAACAGCCCTCCGACGACGGCAAAGGTGCCAATTCCTCTCCTGCCTCTGCTGTCTTTGCTGGATCTGCGGCGTGGGCTGTGTTCTGGACCCAATTGGGCATTTTCCCTTCAGCATCCCACTCATCCTCCCTCCACTGTCTCACATCCCACATTTCTTCCTTTTGTTTACATCCCTTTGTTATTATCTCATATTATATCAAATCATTCTCTGGCTCTGGCTCTGATACCAATTGTTTCTATTGTTTCTCTTCCTGTTCTTTTCCTTTTCTTCCCTTTCTTCTTCCTCTACTTCCATCCCATCTCTTAATCCCCCATCTATTATCTACACCTCTCTCTTCCACCTCTTCTATATCTTATATTCTATACTTCTCCCTCATTCTCTCTACTTGTCGTCAAAATGGAAATCTCCCCTTCAATCCTACAATTCAGTCGTATGTATCTTTCCATCTAATATTTTTTTTCAATTTCTCATTTATCCTCCCATCTACTATCCCAATTAATCAATCAATTATCACTCTAATTATCATCCCAATTAATATTCTAATTACCATCTTACTAACTTTTTCTCCTACTATTTCCACTTTTTCTCTTTCCCCCCCCCTTTTTTTTTTTGGCTTGCTTCCTTGCTTCTTTGTTCCTCTCATTTTTTTCTTGCCTCTTACTAATAGCGCCATTCACTCAATCTTCAACTCAAAAAATCTCTCTACAAAACAACTCATCCACCCCTCTAGCCTTTAAAGTTAAAACAACTGCTCCCAAATTATACTGCGTTAGACCAAATGCCTCCACTGTTAATCCAGGCCAACAAGTGGAAATATCAATCATCTTACAAGGCCTCAAAAAGGAACCTTCTTTGGACTACAAATGCAAAGACAAATTCTTAATCATCTCTCTACCTTGCCCTTCAGATGAAATTAATCATGACGATTTAGAAGGTGGTGTAGCTAAAGTCTGGCCTAAATTGGAATCTCAATTTAAAGGCCAAATCGTTCAAAAAAAAATTAGAGTTCACTACAACTTATCTCAAATCTCAATCCCAAATCCAATCATTCATGAAGAACAAATCCCAATTTCTAACAGCAACAATCAATTGGATTCTTCGCCTTCCTCCAGCTCTTCTCCTCCATCCGCAACCATCCCAACCATATCCATTGTTGATCACCAACCAATCAATCATCAACATTCTCTACCTTCCTCAATCCAAAGAGATTTATCCCAATCTCAAGCTAAAATCAACCAATTGTCTCAAAAATTAGACTCAAACTCTTCTCCTTCCCAAAATAATAATTCTACAAATATTATTCCCAATCCTGTTATTAACACCAATCCCAATCCCAATCCCAATCCCAATTACAATTACAATTCCAATTCCAATTCCAACATCTCCGATCCAATCGCCCAAAATAATATAGCTCAACATAGAAACTTATCCTCTACAAACCAATTTTCAGAAAAAACTTCTATTAAACCCCAAAATGACATCCCAAACTCATCTCTAGTTTTAGATTCAAATAATCTTCTCAACACTCCTCCAGTAAATGGCGTCCCAATCCCAATAGTTTTAATTATCGCTATAATCTCTTTTTTAATCGGTTGGATTTTTTTCTAATTAATTAAATTATTGTAACTTTATTTTATTTTATTTTATTTTATCTTATCTCAATTATCTTATCTTTATTTTAATAATTTTATCTAATTTACTTTAATAAAATTATTTCAATAAAACTATTTCAATAAAATTTTAAACAACTAAAAATTATCAACCAATTTAAAATTTCGGTTAAAACTATCCCAATACTTCAATTATAAAGAATTACTTATTTTTTGGCTCATTGAATTTTTTTTTTATTCCACTTATTCTGCCTTTTTTTTCTTTTTTTTTCTTCACCCTTTTTTTCTCATTATTCTGTGTTCTTTTCAGTTGTTTTTTTCAAATTTTGTCTTATTTTCTTATTTTCTTATTTTCTTATTTTCTTATTACTATTATTATTACTATTATTATTATCTACTACATACTTTCGATTCTTTTTGAATAGTGATACGTTGACTTCAATCAATTTCTTTTGGTTTGTTTAATTTCATTAAGTTTCAAGATATTATATTACTAAAATATACTATTGTTCTTTCATTTTCCAATTTTCCAATTTTTCAATTTTTCAATTTATAATTTTTTTTACTATTCGTATCGTTTTTATTTTATTTTATTTTATTTTATTTTATTTTTTTATTTTTTTCGTTGATTAAACTTAATCATTAAACTTGTATAACTCTTTGATCTTTGATCTTTGATTGCTATCGAATCTTTAATAATAATATCAATTTAAAATATCTATAACATCTAAATCTAACAAAAAAAATTCTTTAAATAATTTATCTCTATTAATAAATTCAATATATATATATAAATAAAATAATCTCACATGTAAAAAAAATTGACTCTAAACTGTATCCATTCTAATGAACAAATCTGAAATTAATCATCTTATTTCCCTTGTCTCTATTCTTCTCTAAATATTCAAGTTTCTCTTCTTCATTGAATGAATTCCAAACCTTTTCACGTTGATTGTTCTTGTAAAGATAATATAATTTTATCAACAATAGCATTGGAAACATAGCGACTGCAAATCCAAACAACTTTCTATTACCGACCCTGTACAATGGCTTGTCCTTTTCAACATAAAGCTTACTTGCAACAATACTACCAGCTTGAACAAACATATTATACAACGATGCACTAACAGTTCTCAATCGAACAGAGTTGGAGTTTCGAGAACACCATGAAACCAAAATTGCATGAATATATGGATTACCCAATGTAACTGTGGCAATAATCCAAGTTGGCCATTTTTCAATCATTGCTCCACCCCAAAATGCTAAAACTGCTACTAGTGGCACAGTATATATTGGTTGGACCAAACAAACATATGTCCTTTCGTTCAATACCTCTGATATCTTGGTAATAATTAATAATGTGATAATATGGAGAACATTATAAGGGATAGTCATTAACGTTGTGTTGAATGTTGAGAACCCTAAACTCCTGCAAACTAATGAAAGATATGAAGACAACGTATTGACTGGAATATAGGCGATAAATCCCAAAATATATATGGGCCACAAATCATAATCGAAAAAACTTTTGAGTAACATTTTCAATGTAATACCTTGTCTATTATTCATTTCTCCCTTGGATGGATCATCTCTTAATACCCTATTAACAACAATTTTTTCTTCTCGCTCAGTAAACCAACCATTTGGCGTTATGAGAGTCTTTGTTTGAACAGCAGATGGAACCATTGCAAATGCAGCATAAATACCAATTAAAAGAGTTAAAAGTCCTTCGAGCAAGAAACACCATCTCCAGCCTGCCATTCCACCAATACCTCTCATTCTCAAAATACCATAAGCAAGAAAACCAGCAACAATATTAGTTATAGAGTAAGTGACCCAAAAATATGATAATCTGATAGTTAATTCTGCACTTTTATAGAAATATGATAGCCATAGAATGGTATCGGGAATAAATCCACCTAATAGCAAACCAAGAATGGCTCTTGTGGCAAAAAAAGATTTTTTACCAGAAAGAAAACATTGAAAAAGTGCAACAATTGACCAGGAAATAATTTCAATTGGAATCCATCTATCAGGCCCAATTTTTTTTGAAATTAATTGGGATGGCAATTCAGCAGATAAAAAGCATGTGGTAAATATAATATTACCAGTATTATAATCATCAGTATCCATATTCAAGTCGTCCAAAAAATTATCAGCAGTAACAGTTTTTAGATTATATCTATCTAATTGCAATGCAGCAAACATCAAACAAGCTAAAAAAGTAACTTTATAGTCCAATTTTCTAATCAATTTTTTTTCTTCATCCTCATCCCAAACATAATATGGATCAAAGTGAGCACGACATTCATATCTTCTTTGTTCATACAACAGTCTATAATAATCAGCAATTTTTGGGTCCAAAAATGGATTTTTTTTCAAATCATCATCAAGGTCAGATAGATCAATTTCTATATCAGAGTCTTTCTTTTTTGAATCTGATCTAGACCTATTAATTGAAGAAAAAGAATTTCTTTTACCTGCCAAAGATGATGCAGGAGAGTTAACAACAACATCAAAGTCTTTTTTATCACGATTTTCACCAGCCATTGTGTTTAAAAATCAATTAAAAAGCTGCACAGTTTTAATATTCTTTTCTAGAATAAAAATTAATAGTATATTTCTCCACAACAAGATAATAAGAAATTTTCTTGCTTTTATACCAACTGAAAAAAAATTGCAGAACCCTTTTTTAATCTTTCTTAACAATTCTCAATAGTTCTCAATAGTTCTCAACAGTTTTTAACAATTCTTAGTCCATACCGATTTCTGATAATTCATACTTGCTCTTGGTAAATCATAATAATTCATAATAATTCATAATAATTCATAATAATCCATGATTTTTTTGGCTATCCCTTTGCCATTGATATTCTTTTTTGATTAAACATCTAAGTTTTGAAGATTTGACCAACCAATTGCTCGTAATAAATTCATACTTCATAAAAATTGTTAGTTATCAGCTATCAAAAACGGTAAAAAAGTGGCAGTTGCGCTATATTCATCTATACAAATATGACTTCAACTCAATTTGCCACAGTTTGAAGATTTCTGTATCTTAAACCAAAAATACGAATAGATTCTTTTTAGTTTCGTCAAAATTAAAAAAAACAAACTGCTGGGCTTAATAACAGATCATACACCGAAGACAACATATTGATACAAGTAAAACAATAATCGTTGGGCTTGTTCATGCATCGATAGCTTAAGCAAAGATTCTTTGCTAGGGATTTTCCTCTGTTGTTGCGATTTGTGTGAATTGAATCTGATAGAGTTTCCACACTTTACAGACATGTATTTTGAGTAAGCGATTTAAGCACCAATCTTAAAAAAACAGATACAAAATGCCCTAATTCTTCTTCTCCAGAGCCAATCCAGGGTTGCTGGTGGTGAACTAGGTGTGCTTTGCCTCTTTGCGAGCATTTTGGCGGCGATTCATTCGCTATCAAACAATTGTGGTGGCGGCGAGTGTGGAGCAGGAAATCAGAGGGCAGGGTAGCGCCTCAAGTTGGGCCTGTTTGTGTGTCTGGGGCTGGTGTTGCCCGGCTGAAGCATTTTGGGTTTCCAGATTCGTCATTTGCGATATAATCATTTTGATCAAGTGTTAACAGGTATCTTGGGTAGTAGTTGGCTCAAAAAGCGTTGGTTTTGAGACAAGTTATGCGTATATCTTAAAATTCTGGGTCTGAATTTTCCGATAAGATGATTGCCTGTTTATATGGAGCAGCATTGAATGAGGCAATAATTTGTAATCAGGTTTGTTAGTGGATATATATATCAGCATGAATATTTCAGTGGTTTTAACATCGTCTTCCAAGTTGCTAGTTTTTGTTGGTTTTTGATCTGAGTTTTTCCCTGCTGAAAAAGATCGGATATTGTTTTAAAAAAGCTAAGATAACAATGGCTGCTCAGGGTTCAACAGTGACAATAAAACAACCCAATGAAACAATTCAACAAACAAAGATTCAAAGTCGCATTTTCTATTCTAATTTTGGTACCGGATTCTCTGCTGATGGTAATAGAGATGAAAATGGTGTTTTATCAGTAAGTAATAAAAAATTGGAAGCTTCTAAGTACCCTGAATGGTTACCAACATGGGATCCCAAGACCTATCCCAAATTAGAAAGTTTTGAATTTGTTGATAAGGGCTTATTTGCCGACCCAGAGTATAAGAATATATTTCCTCCAGAAAAAAGGAATTCTATTGAAGTCAATGATATTTCGCCATTGTTGGGAACAGAAATCAGAGGCATTCAACTATCAGAGTTGGATGATTCAGGTAAAAACGACCTTGCAAGATTGGTGGCGGAAAGAGGAGTATTGGTATTTAGAGATCAGGATTTGAAAGATAAAGGATTGGAGTTTAATAAGAAATTGGGAGAATATTTTGGACCATTGCATATTCACCAAACATCTGGAGCACCAAGGGATTATCCTGAGTTCCATATTGTTTATAAAAAATCAGACGAACCAATAACTAAATTCCAATATAATGATAGATTATCAGGCAAAAACTGGCATTCTGATGTTAGTTATGAATTACATCCACCAGGAATAACATTTTTGGTATTGTTGGAAGGACCCAAGACGGGAGGAGATACACTATTTGCTGATGGAGTTGAGGCATATGAACGATTATCACCACATTTTAAAGAATTTTTAAAGGGGGTAACATGTTGCCATTCAGGATTCACTCAAGCCAATTTATCAAAAGAGCAAGGAAGTTACACTAGAAGAGAACCAGTTGCTCATAATCATCCAATTGTACGAACTCATCCTGTAACAGGAAAGAAATCATTATATATCAGCGGGAATTTTGTTACTCACATTAATGGATTAAAACTTGAGGAAAGTGATTTAATTTTGAACTTTTTAAAGAATTATATCGCCAGTGGTTATGATTTTCAAATCCGTGCCAAATGGGAAGAAGGAACAGTAGCCATTTGGGACAACAGACGAGTGATTCATGCTGCTACATTCGACTGGAGAGGCGTTACTGGCAGACATTTATTCAGAATTACGCCCCAGGCTGAGCGTCCATACGACACAGATTAAGACAATTAGAAACAAAATAAGAATTTTCTGCGCTAAAACAAATAAAACAATAAAAAGCTAAACAGAAAAAGAAAGCAAAGAAAAACAAGAAAAACAAGCAAAAACAGTTCAAAAAAATGGACAAAAATGGTGAGACGCATTGCGTAAAATCAAAAGCACTGCTCTCAGCCTCTATAATTGTTTTTCAAACCGGTTAAATTACTATATATTTTTATATTCATGACTATACATATTCACACGCACACATCATAAATTTTTTTTGATCATCACAACAAAAGGTCTCGAGGCCCTCGAGACCTTGTGAACAGAGCACACCTCCCAGAATAGGATGCAGTTCTCGTATTTCACGCTTTCCGCAGGAACAACTAACGGAACGGAAAATCAGCTTGAAGAAAGCCGTTCTGTGTACATGCAGAAGATCCGTTATGCTGTCAAATTCAGGCCAACGCACAACAAACGCAGATGCATAGCCAACATTAGGCCTATTTTCGACCAGCACGCCGGATCTGGGCCCTTTTACAGCGCTCATCCAAGCCCAAGAGTTATGGAGCACCAATTGAGATGGAAAGCTATAAATCAGCTTCTTTCGCTCTCGGTTTTAGTGTTTGGTTTCGATTCTGAGAATAAGACAAAAACATACTACCAATAGCCGCTTTTACAAAATGTCAAACAATTCTCTTTATATCAGAGCTGCTGCCGATTATCTGGAATGGGAACCATACAATTACACACCTTCACTACCTGCTGCTATTGTCTTTGCAATCCTCTATTCTATTGTGACATTGTTGCAGATTGTGCAAATATTTAGGGCTCGTACCCAATATTTATCTTCTATTAGAAAGAAAAAGGGCTCAATGGGTTTGCTATACATTTCCATCCCTTTGGTTCTTGGAAGCATCTTTGAAGTTATTGGTTACATTGGAAGAGCTATCTCAAGTCAAGATGAAGAATCACTTGGCCCCTATATTATACAATCTATTTTCTTATTAGTTGCACCTGCTTTGTTCGCTGCTTCAATTTATATGTATTTTGGGAGATGTGTTAATCTTTTGGATTCCAAAAAATCATGCTTAATTTCAACAAGATTCTTGACCAAAATTTTCGTAAGTGGTGATCTTATTTCTTTCTTGATGCAAGGTGGTGGTGGAGGTATTATGGCCAAAGGAACTCAATCTGCTTCTGATTTAGGTGAAAATTTAATCGTTGGTGGTTTATTTGTACAATTGGGTTTTTTCGGTATTTTTATGGTCATAAGTTTGATTTACTTTTATAAAATTGGCAAAAACCCAACATCTAAAACAATCGCTTTTAGAAAAATGCCTTCAAAATATAGAAACTGGTATAACTTTTATGTCATTTTGTATATCACTTCAATCTTAATCATGATTAGATCTATTGTTAGAGTTGTTGAATTTATTCAAGGTAGTGATGGTGAAATTCTTTCCAACGAAATTTATCTCTATGTTTTTGATGGTTTAATGATGTTATTAGTTATGATCTTGTTTTATTTAATCAACACCTCAGGTATCTTGTTGTTTTTAAATGATGATTATAATAATATAAACACTTCTCTTAACAATGCCAATGACTTTAATGAGGGTTCTAGTACCTATAATGAAGGTTATGCTCTTAACAATGTTAAAATCTGAATTATCAATCATCAAATATCAAATATCAAATGTCAAATATCAAATGTCAAATGTCAAAATTTAAAAAAATGATCTTAAAAATGAATAAAAATTAAAATCCCATTCATATTAATAATTTAAACATACAACATGAAATTCAAACTAATTCTATTTTATCTTTTTTTCTAAATGATAGATCTTATATTATAGTTTATTTCCTATTTTCTTTGTTTTTCCTGTTCTTCTACTTTTTTACTTTTTATCCGTTTCTTTTATCAATTGCCTTTTTAGTTTTTTTGTGTTCGTGAATTTTTTATTCCATTTTTAAATAATTCAAGTATTTAAATCATTTTTAAATTGTATAACCTTTTAACTCATAACACAAAAAGCCTAATCTAACTCCATTAAACTCAAAAAAATAAATTAAATTAAATTTAATACATTAATCATCTAATTTATCTCCAATGGCATATTATGGTTGGCCATTATACAATGAATAGACATATTTTTGTGATAGTGAAGCGATTTCAATAATTTCGGGGTAATTAAAAAATATTGAGTCGATGCATCTCCTTTATTTCCAGTTTCTTCTTCTTCGTCATCACTGTTTTCTTCATTACATGCAACGTTAACTAAATGTTCATGAACAATTCTTTCATTTCTAGGATCCATTCCTTGGTTAATTTCATCAACAATTCTAAATGGAGAGCTGGTTAACCCTTGTAGACTAATAATATAAAAAATTGTAGAAACAGCTCTTTCACCACCAGATTGAACAAATGCATCTAAAACTCTTAAATCAGAGTTATCTCGAAACTTAACAAGAATCTCTAATCTCCAGTCTTTGAAATTGGCTTTCTTATTTATACATATTTCACCTGCACTGCCCACACTTCGAAATCCTTTTGCAAATTTTCTAGATATATGTTGAATTAGCTCATCCAATTTGGGTTCCCAATCATCTCGTAAATTCTTTATTCTATCGCAAAGTTTCTTATGCTCTTTTTCCAAACCAGGAATTTCCTTTGATAATATTTTAATATCATTCTCAACTTTTCTAAGCTTTTCAATAGATGAAGAAGAAGCGTCTCCAAGCATTGATATTTCTGATTCAATTCCTTTAATTATATTTTGAATTTTCACTTCTGTCATATTTTCTTCTTTTTGATACTTTTCTGCCAATTCGCCAAGTTTGGATTTTTCCTCATCTGTATACGTATTAGTCTGTTCTTTAATTTTTCGAATATAGTCAATGTTTTTCGCTTTAGCATATTCCTTTTTAGCAATTTCTAATTGATTCTCAAGTTTTCTTTTTGTTTTTTGAAAATCTTCCATCAAATTCTCTATTGTCAATTTTTTATTAGTTTGCTCAATTATTTTCATGTTTATCTTAAGCTTTAAAAAATTAAGTTCATTTATCTTAAACACAAATTTAGCCATTTCATTTATCTTCTTCAACTTCATTTTTTTATATTTTTTACCAAAATTCTCAATTTCAATAATTTTTGGCGTGAAATCTTTTTCTGCTATTTCTCTCAATTCTTCAACTTTTTTTTGAAATTTTTTAGTTTTTTCCTCAAGACTAATATGAATTTTTTTTTGATTTGAATATTCATTTAATTTTGATTTATAAGCTTCAAAATTAGAGTTAAAATTATCATATTCACTCCCTTTAATTTTTAAATTTTCTTTTATATTCGCAATTTGTTGACCAAGCTCCAATACTTTTCGTTTATTATCATTGATATTTTCAGTGATTGTGCTTCTTTGCTCTTGTGTTATACCAGAAGAATCAAATAAACTGTTTCTTTTTCTATTAATACGATTAGTAGTATAAATCACTTGTCTTGAACCATATCGCGATATTCTTAATGCATACAGATAATCACCAGCAATGAATTTTCTAAACCTAATTCTGCCATTTTGATCTTTTTTTTTTAAAAATTCTAATTGCTTTGTAGATAAATTTCTTAAACTGATAGGAATATCATTTAGAAAACTTTGCTCACATAACATTTGAACAACTTCATCAGGACCGTTAATAAAATCTACGGCATAACCATCAAATCCAAAAGATCCCAATTGTTCAGTAGTGTAATTTCTAGTAATACTGCTATTACTGAGATATTTGAATGGAACGTTAATCTTTTGGTCATCGTAAAATTCAAAAGAAAGTTTGTTATATGTCTGTTGATCTTTTGCTGTCATTGCAATTTGAGTATAGCTATCAATGACTTCTTGCAAATAAATTGAGTATCTTTGATCTGTAACATTCATTGATAGAATGGGAGGTTCAAATATAAATCCTTTAAATCTGTTTAGGTTGGCTCTATAATATAGCACAGCCTTTTTACAATTGGTAAATGCTTCAGAATTGGAAATATTCAATACTCCGATTCTATCCTTTGAATTTAGTTGAGAATTTAAATTATTTGTTGCTGATATTATGCGGTTTTTTATATTTGTTTTTATAGTAATTGAATCATTTAATTCGAGAAGATCTCTTTTTAAATTATTGCTCAATTGATAAAACTGATCCTTTTTGGCTTTACAATCATCGAATTGCAATTGAGTTGGTAAGTCGACTTGATTTTTTTCTTCATTTATTAAGCTTATTTCAGATAAAAGCTCTTTTAATTCTATTTTTTTTCTTTCTGATTTAGATTTTAGATTTATTATATTTGTATTGCATTTGGAAATAAACTTATCAAACTTATTTATTTCTTCAGTGAAACTCTTTAAATTGTGTAAAATTTGCTTCTTTTTCACGTCAATATCATGAAGTTTATTATTGTATTTATCAACTATTAAATTTAAGCTTGCAATTTTATCGTCAAAAGGGGATTCAAAATCCATGAATTCTTTTAATTTTAAAGCCAAGTTATCTTTTCTGATTTTATAAATTTTAGCATTTTTCCTCAAATCTTGAATAATTGCATAAGGCAATAATTTTAAATGAAGTCTCAATTCATCAATTTTAAGATTATATTTTTTGAATTTTTCAGCTTCGCTTTGATAAAGCTTTCTTTGGTCTATTAATTTTTGATAGTCTGATTTTTTTTCTGATAAAATCTGATTAATTTTATTAAAGTGGAAATCTAAATCAATTAAATTTTTATGGATAACTTCTAAACTTCCGTTATTTAAGCATCTTTCTGTTTCTAATAATAGTTCCTCCGGTTTTAATTTGGCAAATTCCACAATTTTATCCTGAGGTAAAAATGAGCAAAGATTATTTAATTGAATATTTAAGGAGCTAATTTTTTTTCTTATTGTTGTCTCGTTGACTTGAGCATCATCCAAATACCATTGAGATTTTTCGTTGATATTAATTATTCTTTTTACTTTGATTAAAGGTCTGAAACCAATTTTTTTGTTGTTGTCATTATGATTACATAAAAATATTTCTATTATTGCAGAGGGATTACCAATTTTGATAAATTCCGAAATTTTTTTTTGTCTTCCAAGCAAATCAGGTTTCCCAGCTAAACCAAGGCAAACAGCAGAAACAAAAGTTGATTTCCCAGTTCCATTTGGACCAATTATCATGTTTAAGTGAGGCGATAAGTTGAATTCAGCATTTGAAAAAGTTATAAAATTTGTGAGCTTGATCTTGACTATGTTTCCAGTTTTGAACTTTTCTAAATCCAAATTGCGATCAGAGACTATAGAAACATCATTTGATTTCAATTTTTTAGAAGCTGAAATAGATGGTTGTGAACGAGCTCTTTTATTGTTGGCGTTGGAAGTCGAGGAATCTGTCACAAAATCATTTGGCACAAAATCAGCAAAATCTATGACTTGGGTGTTCATCTAAAAAAAAGAATTGTGGGAGAAAACATAAGATATAACCAGAGGCAAAGAAAGAGCAGCAGATCAAGACCAGTTAAAAGCTAATTCAACCTGAATTTAGGTGGTATAAATTTTCCAGCTAAAAGGACATCACGTGCAACACAGGACTATTTTCACCATGCCAATTCTTTAAGTGGGATTTTGGGTGGAAAGACGAAGGACATTGGAACATTGGGAAGATGCTAGGCCTAAGAAAGGAGTTTGTGGTGAATGTTTCCAGGTTGTGTTTGAGCAGCAGGGCCTCAATTGTGGGATTTGGTCCCTCCTTCGCTTATCCCCTAAGACACAGTGGATATGCGACACACAGCAGATATTATGGCACCAAACATGACAATAAGAGAAAGGATGAGGATGATGACAAGAAAGAAAGCCGTTTTGAAGAGGAGACAAAGAAAGAGAGCAAATTGAAGCAATTGTTTAGACAGTATGGTAAAGCTGCAGTGATTGTGTATGTTGGCCTCTGCCTTGTCGATTTGCCATTGTGCTACTTATTAGTGGAGAGAGTGGGCGAAGACAAAATACATGAGTTTACATCTAAAGTCAAGGGTTTTTTTGGTTTTGGCAAGGAAGATTTCACTGAAAAAGAGGATCCCACCAACACAAACCAAAAGAGCACAATTGAAGATACCGTCAGCAATGTAGAAACCAGTTCTGGTAGCACCAACAGCACATTGATGAGTGAAAGTTTTCTCACCAAATTTGCAATTGCTTATGGTATTCATAAATCTTTGATATTTATCAGAGTTCCGTTGACTGCTTCAATTACCCCGATAATCGTCAGATATTTACAACGTTTAGGTTTCAATATCGGAAGAACATCGATCAGATCTGTCTATTCCGTGGGAAAGGAAAGTATCAAGTCTGATGGTATTAAGAAAATCATCATGTCCAAAGATTCCAAAAAGAAAATCATCCGGTTGGCAAATGCAAACTCTCCCAAATTGAAAAAAGCCAAAGAACTTCAAAAACCCGACTTTACTGCTTCCAATGAAAAGTTTGGATCAAGACCTTCAAAAAAGCAAAAATGGTGGAGCTGGTTCTTCTAGTTTTTCTGGGCTAACCCTCAATTTAATCTGTGATATAACTCAAGCCCTTGTATATTTACTATATCCACTGCAACAGGAAAGTCAGACCCTGTTGGTTTTTGTCCAGGGCTCTACCTTCTCAATTCGTTGTAACTTATAACAGTTATGATCTTATCACGCGGATATCACATGCACTTCTGTTTTTTTCCCGATTTTTTCCCATTTATTTTGCAACCCGAGCTAATCTCCAACATAGAATCGCCCAATCAGGAAAAATCTGCTCATATACCTCAAAGCTGATTTAAGCCCATATTTCAAGAAAAGTATTGACATGAAGATAGAATATAAATCCACCAATAGATTACTATTTATGGTGTTATGATTCTATATATCAGTATTAAATAGTAAAGTGTTTTCCTTTTTTTGGCTTATTTTTTTTTTTTGGTTTTCTAACTAAATCAACCACTTACCCAACTGTCCAAGAAATAACTACAAGCAAACTATGATTTTAGTCGATGGAGAGAAATATTCGTGTGCACAATGTATAAGAGGACATAGATCCTCTACATGCCATCATGCAAAAAGGCCCTTAGTCCAAGTTCGTTCTAGAGGGAGACCTTCAAATAACTCTACCCACAGAGTTGCTGTATTTAGTTCTGATAACCAATTTACTCAAAACAATACTCAAAACAATACTCAAAATAATATTCAAAACGATACTCAAAACGTCACTCAAAACACTCAGGATACACAGAATGCACAGAATATGCAAAATGATAAAAAAAAACTGATTAATAGCGATAATAAAATAATTAAAAAAAAAACAGGTTGTTGCTGTTGTTCTCTGACATCATTGAACAGTAAGAAAATTGTACCAAATATCACGTTTAGTCAAAATAATAATTACGATCTCAATAATTTCCATGAAAATAAGAACAAAACCAGTAATTGCTGCAAAAACAATGATAATTCTGTAATAATACTAAAAGCATCAAATAGAAAATTAGTTGATTTTTCTAATGGTTCATTTAAAATATTGGGATCATATAATGAAAAACAAAATCAGATGTCTTCATTTACTTTAAATCCTTTAAAAAATTTAAATATTAAAAACAAAAATAAACCCGCAACTCAGATCACACACAATCACAGTAAATGTTGTCATAAAAGAAAACTAAAATTGAAATTAAAACCGAATAAAAGTTTAAACTTGCCTGCATATATTCAACCAAATCTCAAAGATTCCTTAACAACCACTTCAAACAATATTATTAAAAATGAGGTTAAAAATAATACAAAAATTATAGCAAATACAAACAACAAAAATTATAATTTTATGGAAGAAAATATCATTGGCAAAAAAGCAATAAGTAAGTTGGTAGCGACTAAGAAAATACCTGACAATATTACTCAAAACAGCTTTCAGCAGTATAATCGAAACGATAGTAATTTAACAAAACAAATTGAACTTGATTTATCCTATCCACTAATAGATAGCAATACAAGTAATAATAACAACAGTGATTCTTCTGTAACTCCAAATTTTGGCATAATTGGAGGTCTTGATACCAATATTATTAACAATAACACTAATAATCAAAACAATGACATAGAATCCAATGAAAACCTTATGTATTTTGATTTATTTTATGCTAAGGGTTGTACAGTTCCAGGAAGTTGCTCCTGTGATGAAAGCTGTTTATGCTCAAACTGCTTAGTTCATAACAAAAACAAAAATAATGATATAAATCTTACTAATAAGAATAATAATTCGAATATTAGTGATAATTATAATCTTGATAAAAGCTATCCTCATACTACTTCAATAAGCTATTTTTTAAATCAATTGAATTTACAAAATAATGCTGAAAATAAAGTCTCTTCTTTCAATAATACTGCTAACACTAACTTTAATAATGATAATAATAATGATAATAACAACAATATTGTTAATATGGGTGACAAAAATAGTTCGATTTTACTTGGAAATATACTGAACTCGTTTGAGTTTTCAAATCAAAATAATGAATTAAGGCAAATGAATAATAATAATAATAATAATAATAATAATAATAATAATAATGTTGGTTATATTGTTGATGGAGCTAATCTTAATAATTTTGCCATTGATGAAAATTTTTTGTCTTATTATAATACATTATTTGATGTTGAAGAAGATGATATTTGTATTTGCGATCCAAATGATTGCAGATGTTATAATTGTAGTTTTCATAACATCTCTAAAGGTATTAGATTAACAGATGGAAAACAAGTGGCTTCTACTCCTTCTATTCCATCAAGTCCCTCTATCGATGAACCAAATTTTTATAGCGAACTAAATGAAAGTATTGAAAACAACATTAATAATAATACGGATAAAAATCTGAATGATGAGAATGAAAATAAATTTAAAGTCAGAAGAGGAGGATGTTGTGGAAAATTATGAGCTTTTGGTTTATAGATTTTCATGTATTATTTAATGAGTCTAACTTGTTTATAGTTAAGAGTTTGAAGTATTTTAATATTTAGTTTGAGTTCAATTTAATTACCCATCTCGACTTTCAATTGCCGTGTATACATTACATATTTACGTCCGCAGAGTAATTAATCCTATTTTAGTTTCGGCAATTGATACCGGAACAATACCAATCATAATTGCACCCCTTATTCCGGAAGATGGATTTAACAAGAAGCATGATTTATAGTTATATAAAGTTAAGCCCAGTGAATGTGCCTAAAAATTTTAAAAGTGTCTTCAGGATTTATCAAAATAATTATTATCAACGTTTATTTAAAATCCAAATATTTTTAGACTTTGTGATGCCATTTTTACTTTCAAATATTTATGAGTTAATAAAACTAATGCAATATTTCAGATATAGTAAAATATTTAAACTCTTAATTTAAAACCAGTAGAAGCTTCTTTATAATTTAATACGATTTTCAACACAAACACTTGTATCGGTTCTATTTTATGTCTTAAATATGCAAAATGGACAACAAAAATCACAATTCTTGTCATGTACAGAAAAACTTTAAATACACAAGCTCAATCACCTTGATAAGACCTGTTTGGTGGTTTTTTAATCAGTTGGAGTGTATTTTCTTGAATTCTCTTGTTTAGAGTGAAAATTTTAAAAATCTTTAAATTAAAAGTTTCTATTAATTGGCAAAATAGAAATGTTGGGTTTAGGAATATCACCTTACCTTTTCAGTTTGTTTAAATTGTTTAAAAATATAAAAAGATTGAAATATAAACTTGTAGTTGTTTTTGAAAATCAATAGCAGCTATGACTATCCTCAATTCTGAAATATTTGAGACAGCGCACAGTTATAATATCTTAAGAATATTTATTATTCATCATGACCAGACAAAATCAAATAAATTATAAATTTATCAAGGACAATTGGACAGCGATTTAGACTTAATTAGAAATTTCGGTGAGAAAATTGTGATCATAACCAATTTTTTGTTGATCATAGACTAAGAGAAAAATAAATAATTCCACCTTCAAATTGGCTAGAAAATGAAACAAATATATCAATAAATCTAGCCAGTCATTAATTAAATTCAATGAAAAAGCTGGAATTTTTAATTTTCTTATTCGAAATAGTATCAATGTTTGAAAAAACCAAGATTGTGCCAATGATAGCAATGATTCAATGAAGAATATTTCAATTTGTTCTCATAGGATTCATTTCTAAGCTATTTAATTTATTACTAAATAACGATGGTATCAATTATTAAGAACTCATTAATAAAAACCATCAACTTATTTTAAATTTCAATAATTATTTTCAAAAGTTTGAAATTGAAAACAATGAAAATCAGAAATAAGACAAACCTACAAGATTTTATGAATTCATTTTACCACATAACACAGGAATTTGTATTATCAATGTTAATAAAACTAAGAAAAAAATCAATTTTATATACTTACAATGTTCGATCTGATGTAAAGACAGTTGAAGAATATAGAAAAGATATTTTATGATTTAGAAAAATGGAATATGAAAGTATGAATATAATTATAGATATATAAATGGTCACAATAATAAAAAAATGTACATTAAAACCCTCGAATTCTAACCCCTATAATAATTTGGTGGAACAAAGGGCAACTTGGAAACTTCAGCCAATCTCTTCTTGCCTCTAACTTCTAATAAAATTTTAGTGGTTTTCTTATTGAATGGAGGGTTAATATAAGCTTGTCCAATGTTAACTTTTAAAGTAGGAGAGTAGGAACCACTAGTGACGTAACCAATTTGTTTTTCTGGATCATCATTACTAAAAATTTTGACATTCTCTCTTGCAGCAGGACTCTTATCTAATAATGTAAATCCCACTCTTCTTTGTAAAACCTTTTCTTTTTTGGAAAGTTGAGAAACAATCTTTGAATTACCATTATAAGTAGAATTTTCAAAATCTTTGCAAACTAGCCAGTTCAAGTTAGCCTCAATTGGAGTTATAGATTCACTTAATTCATGACCATACAAACACATACCAGCTTCTAAACGCAATGAATCTCTTGTTGCTAAACCAATTGGTTTAACATTACTAAGATTTAGTAACAAATTAGTAAAATGATTAGCTAATTCAGGATTTGGAATTGAAATTTCAAAACCATCTTCGCCAGTATAACCACATCTTGCAATATGAATGATATTGTGATTTGATTCATTCAAAAACAAATCCTCGAATTTTAAAATAGGATTAGAGTCTGAATTATATTTAATTGAGTCTTTAGAATAATCATTATTGATTTTGAAAAAAGCCGAATTAGAGAAAAATAAAGTTGATAAATTAATATCGGGAAAGATTTTTTGTAAAATTTCAGATGATTTAGGACCTTGTAAAGCAATTAAAGAAGCTGTTTCCTGATTGAAAATCTTGTGGTTGATATTGTGGTTACCATTTTGGAAAGCATCTAATTGATTTTTCAAAAAGGTTAAATCTTTGTCAATACACCCAGCGTTTGTAACAATATAAAACTCATTGTCAGAATATTTAGTTATAATTGTATCGTCAATAATACCTCCATTTTCATTTAATAATACTGATAATTGTGATTTACCGACACCCAAAACACTAAAATCGGTTGGAGTTATCTTGTGCAAAAAACTCAAGGCATCTTTACCAGAAAGTTTATGTTGCAACATATGGGAAACATCAAATAACCCAGAATTGGATCTTACCCAATTATGAGATTCAATATGAGACTGAATCTTTGGATATAAGACTGGCATTGAGAAATTGGCATAATCAACCAATTTCCCACCATAATTAACATGGATATTGTATAGTGGAGTTTTCTTTAACACTTTTGAGGCCATTGCAAAGAATTAGAACGAGTCTGAAGAAAAATTGCTATTGTATTGAAGAATATCAATGCTGTTTTAAAAGACGCTACACCAATGCGAAAAAATAAAATGCAAATGACAAAATTCTCAGCTTATATATCAATTGCTGTTGGATGGTCGAATCTCGTTTCTATCTTCCTTCTCTCCAACTTATCGACTCCCAGAGGTTCTGAACACTGAAAATGCCCGAGTCGAATTTCTTCTTCCAATCAGAGTCCCGAGTCAGAAGTAAACAGAAAAAAACAGCGCCAGAGATGTGGTACAGATCACGTTGACAAAATAAACTAATCCTGACAAAAACAGGTATTTATCATTTGAATTTAAAAGACCGCTGATGTGGGTTTTTACTCATTTAGAAGTCTTCTGTTTTGTGACTGTCTTCACTATTGTACTTTGCAATGGGGCTAAAGTTGTAAGGAAGACTGATTATATGTCAAAATGAATAGCCATCAGGAGGAGCAATGCTGTTTTCGTGTGGACCAGAGACTATCTATAAATAGTGAACTGTGCACTGTCAAGTTCATTGGATACATACCCAATTGGCCTTCTGAACTAGCCATTGGAATTGAGTGGGATCACATTTTAAAGGGAAAGAACAATGGGGTTTTGAAGGATCTTCAAATCTTCAAATCAAATTACTATATCGTTACTTCTGATAGTGAAATAAAAACTGGTTGCTCATTTATTAAATACAAGAAGTTGGTTTCCAGCTCTTCAGCATATAATGTTAAAGTTGGCATTGATTTTTATTCTGCTTTGATTGATAAATACACTGAAAAAACACAACTAGATACTTCCAACATAAAATTTGGCAATAAAACAGTTCTAAATTATGGTTTTGATAAATTGATTGAGATAAATTCTAATTTCAAAAAACTACCAACAATTTCCTTGAACAATGAACTTGTATCCAATGTCGATAATATAAAAACGCTAAGCAACCAGGATTTGCAAAGTCTATTATTACCAAATCTTAATATATTAGATTTATCAAATAATTTATTTAGTTCTTTAGATCAGATCATAGATATATTAAGTTTAACACCAAATTTACCAACTCTAGATTTATCGGGTAATAGATTTGTATTATTTCCTTCAAATGGTAACTTGAAACATAAAATTACTACAGTGATAAACTTAACATTATCCAACAATTTATTATTTTTTGGAAATTTATTATTTATTTTGAACAATTTCACAGGTCTAAATTTATTAAATTTATCTGAAAATTACATTTCAGTAAATTTTCTATCAAATTTAATTAAACCAGATATTAACCCGTTTTCTAATATCAAATCTTTGAATTTATCAAATAATAATATAAACCAACTTCCTTGGTTTTTATTTAAAGCCTTTCCAAACTTATCAATTTTAAATTTATCGAATAACAAAATCATATTATCAGCACCGAATTCTGGTAATAAAGACATTGATATAAACAATGTTGATATTTATAATAGTTTAGTCGACTTGAATTTGTCTTCAAATTTAATAAGTGAATGGTTTGAATTGGATATAATCAATTGGTTTTTCAATAATTTAAATCATTTAAAAATTAATGATAATCCACTTACAATTAATTTTAAACAAAACTTTTTAATTAAAAATAAAATTATGAATAACAAAGACTTTGAAATTGAGAAAAAATTTATTGACGAGATATTTATTAATATAATTTTTAGATTTGATAGTAATCTCAAAAAATTAAATGGAAGTGATATAAATATAAATGAAAAAAAAAATGCAGACTATTATTTCATTTCTAAATTTAAACAATTATACAATGATCATATAAAACGCAATACTAAGTTTAATGATAATTATATTTTTAGTGATTTTGGATTAAAAAGATGGGATTTTTTAATAGATGAATATAATCTTTATCCTTATTTATCAGAATATAAGAATGTTCAGTTTAAAAATAAAGCAATAAATAATTTTAATATTGAAAATAACGAAAACACATTAACTAAGGATTTAATTCAATTGAGGATAAAGTTTCATTTAAATGATAAAATTTATAAAATTAATAATTTTCAAATTTTTACTAATATAACAAATATATTAAAGTTTAAATCATTAATTTTAAAAAAATTCAATTTAATTAATATTTTGCAGTATTATGAAATAAAAATCTTTTATTGGATTGGTAATAAATTTTATGAGATTGAAAGTAATGAATCATTAAAATCAATTAATGACTACAATTTTAAAAACGGGGATATAATTGAAGTTTTTACTAATTTTATTTACTAATTTTATTTACTAATTTTATTTATTAAATTTAGTATTTTTTTTTTTGTATTTATTTTTAATATATTTAGGTTTAAAATGTTTTAAATTTATATAATAATATTTATGTTTCTAATTTCAATTTGAATATTTACAATTTTAAGAATGAATATCGGATTCATTGATCAAGTCTTGAAGATTAAACTCAGAACTACCTGATGTAAAATCGTTTAATAATTTTAGTCTTCTTTTATTTGGTTCGACACTGTTTTTAAGACCCCCATAAAATTTCTGAACATTTAATACAAGGTATTGAGCTTCAGGTAATTTAATGTTTTCGCTTTCGACTAAACCGTTAATTAATATTATGTCTTTCGAATCAGCTAGCTCTGAATGAAAAGTTAAAGTTGTGTGAGGTCTTGAAAACTCTTTATTCAACTTATATTCTGCTAAAGTTGTAATTATACAGTGAGTTGTAAATTTTTCACTAAATATCCATTGAATCAAATGGAGTTCGTGATTCTTATGTGGTTTATTAGAGTTGGAATTGGCTATATCAGAAACACCATCTTTGGGTAAAGGTAGCAAAAAAATTGGATTCTTTTTGGCATTTGAGAGCATTATATTAAAGGTTTCCAAATCAGTTGCAGCAATTAAAGTGTTTTCTTTATTCATAAATCTTGAATTCCAAATAAATTCAATTTCTTCACGTTTTAAATTCGAAACCTTTTCAACGTCAATATAAGAATTCAACGTCTTATAGGGTTTCTTATTTAATTTTTCAGAATCAATTTTTTTTTGATCTAAAGGCTTATTGATTTTAATTATCTTAGGATCGTGAGCTGTATTTTGGTTCTTTGAAAGATAGTTGTCTAATTCTTTCAATGGATCAATTTTCGAGAACTCGCTCTTTTTCTCCTCAATTTCATCTTTCAACTTTTCCTTCAACTGGGAAATGTCCCCAGCACCTACTTTTTTAGCCTTTTCCAATAGTTTTTCCTTATATTTATTCAAAAAGAGCTCATCTGTGATCTTATTCGAAGCATATCTTTTGCTAAAGGAATAGTTGAAAGGGTGGTGAACAGAACTAACCACCTGAGCATTTCTGCTTAATATGACAGGCAATTTCAAAAAAGAGCCTGCCAAATAGCCCTTGAATCTCTTACTGATGAAAGAATTCATTGAATAGCTGGTATAACTTTTTGTATTGATTGGCAGCTAACGATTGGAAGAAAAAAAAGCTGACGATGTTCGGAGCAGATCTCCGGCTTTGGTTCGAACCGGACGGAGACCCGCTTGAAAACGCCATTTTTCATTACCCGGAGGTTTTCAATTCCCTGCACTGGAAGTTTTGCGAATCAGCGAAACACAACTAAGAGCTGGTCAAATCCATTCCAAAATGTCCCAAAGCTCTGTAGAAGAATCCCAGAAACACCAAAAGAAAACTCTTCCTGTCTGGTCCTTGACTCCAGCTGAGGAAAAAGAACTAGATCTCAGATGGAAAGAACAGAGCAGCTATCTCTGTCTGAAATTCAACGATGGTAAGTAACAAAAAGGCTCTATAGAAGTGCTTGAGACAATACAATATACTAATGTTTTTGGTCAACATGCTCAATTCTGTGTTTTGTCGGTTAGATCTCATCAAATGCTTCAACGAAAATCGAGCCTTGGGTCCATTTGTGTGCCGAAGTGTACAAAAGACCTTGAGGGGCTGTTTGAACCAGTACCGGACCTACGAGTTCTATGATAAGATAAGAGATGAAATGATTCAAGAGAAGATCGACACCTTGTTGAACTCTGAAGACTAGATCCTATTGTCTTTGGAACCATTGAGAGATTATCAAGATATCATCAAGAGGCTATCAAAAGGCTATCATGAAGCCTCAGTATTATCACCACCCCTACAAACGTGTAAATATCATATGCAAATTCCCTGGACATCCAACACCCATATGTATCTTCTTATATAAATACAGCTTTTCCTTATGCTCTTGATTTTTTCTTTCTTCTTTATTATTTTTTTGGTTCCGATTCGACTCAATTTCTTTTATATTTAATACATACAAAAGTAATCCATAGTATACAGCTCACAATGTCATCCAAGTCGAGATTAGGAGCAGGCTTATCGATTTTTGAGTCGTCTTATTTTCAACAGTCGATGGACCCCTTTGTTGATGTCGTTTATCCAACCATCTCTGCTTTACAGAAAGTAATTGCCTATGTTTTGAAATCCTTCTCATTGAATGGCATTATCGAGTGGCCAATTAGGTTGGCACACTCTGGAACATATATTTATCCTTTTCTAGTATTTATCACTTTTTCATTCAACTAATAAATGTTTGTAAATGACATTCTAGCTCTCGGTGAAGCAGAATGTTTTTTCAAACACAAGCGCCCACACTAACAACTTTTTTGTTTCTTTTTTATTCTAGGGCATTAGCTATTGGATGAGGCATAGAAATTTATGGCAGTATTGGATAAGAGTTCTACCTCAGCAAATTCTCATTGCTTCGATTATTTTCATAACATGTTTTGTTTGGTTCTATCCAATTCAAGCTTTAGTTTCGTTTTACTTACAAGGACCATCAGCCTTTCTTTCTACTTTTATTTTGATTTTTTATCAAGCTGGCATGATTTCAAGATTGGTATTAGAGAAAACTATCTTAAAAGAACCATTAAGGAAAATCTTTGATGAAGTTTTAATTAACCAAGGTTTATCTGAATTTGTTGCTAAGGGAAAATTGATAATTGATGCTAAAAATAAAGAAAAAAAAGAAAAAAGAAAAGCTCAACCTCTTCAAAGAAGAATTTATGACGATTATGTTGCAATGTTCTTTAGTGTTTCTTATATTACATCAATCCCTTATAGTATCACTAAAACTGTGTTTTTATTAGTATTGCACTCAATTCCTATTATTGGTCCATGGTTCTTATTATTTTTAAAATCAGGAAAAAAAGGAAGAACTTTGCATCAACGCTATTATGACTTGAAAGATTTTGATGAAAGGCAAATAAAAACTTTTTATAGAGCAAGATCCTCTGAATACTCAAGTTTTGGTTTTGTCGCTTTAACCTTAGAAACTATACCAATCATAGGAATGTTTTTTACTTTCACTGATGTTGTTGGAGCCTCTTTGTGGGCAGCAGATCTTGAAAAACACGATCTAATCACCAATGCTGCTTTAAATGGTATTGAAAAGAAAAAAGAAATAATTAAAAACAAGTTATCTAATTTGACTTATGACAACATCAAAGGAGTTACTCAAAAGGACCAAGATGAAGATCCAAACTTTGTCAATCAACCTGATAATTTTGTTCAATCTTTTGAATCAAACTATATCAATGATATCTCGAATTATAAAGATTTGAGAAAAATTTAATAATTTTTAAAATTTCTCTTTGAATTAAATGAAAAAAATGCTTTTTCGACCTTTTGCTTTTGCTAATCATTTTATATTTTTATTGCTACGTTTAATTTTTGCATCATTTTTATTATTTTATTTTTATTCTTTGTTTTGGTCTTTTGATATAATTTTAATAATAATATAAATAAAACAAGAATTTATTGATATTTAATCAAGATTATAGACTAATAAAGATAAATACTGTCAATACAGCCAAATCCAGCTGCAACACCACCTTCATCACTTGTACTGAATTTCGATCTTAATAAATAGCCAGCTACTTTGTTTGTTAAAATTTCATCAGTTTCTGAATTCCAAACAGCTGTACCAAAAACACCTAACTCGCTAACAATTGATTCGCTATAGATCTCATCTTTTCTAATTATTTTGTTTTCATAGGTTGGTGGGTTAATTAATTCCATTAAAATATAACTACCAAACTCTTCAGCTTTTAGTGTTGACAAAAAACCTGGGATATTTTCTTTATATATATTATTGCCCCCACCTTCTCTCTGGGGTTTTAATACAAAATTATTAGGATTTTTTTCAATCAATTTTCTAGCAATTAAGCCGTTTGAAGATTCATCCATTGGGTAAATATTAACAAATGTTTTTGAAACTCTGTTAACATCATCATCATTATCATCATTATTATATTCTTTTTTTTCATTACTATTCAAAAACTTGGATAATACTATTTTTTCAGTTAAAACCTGTTGAATCTTCTTACAGCCCGATAATTGTGTCAATAATGTTGGGCATTTAATTGCTTTGGTAACTTCTAAATCAGTTCTAACATTCCATTCTAAATCAGATTTAAAATCAGATGGGGCATACCCAGCTCTATAATATATCACTGAAATCTCCTTGTTAGTTGGTAAGTAATATATTTTCTTAGTTATAGGATCAGTTTTAGTTAATGCAGGAATTTGGTCCATTTGCAATCTGTAAGATTTAACATTATGATTTTTCAATAATGAATATTCCAAGTGTCTTTGATCAAATGCGTTCCTTTCTTTTTCTTGAATAATAAATAAAACAACAGTTTCAGCTTCGGGTGTTTCAAATTTATTATAGTAATAATTACCATCTGCCAAACCATTTGAAATTTCATTAATGGAATCAGATATTGGCAACTCATCTTCTGTGTAATAATCTGGAGAACCATAAGCATCAATTTTATTTAAATAAGAATGCAATTCTCCGACTTTTGAAGACAATCCGCAAAAAGAAACAGAAACAGTATTGAATTCAATTTGCTTGATTTGGTTATCTGAAGAGTTTAACATATAATCTGATCTAAATAAACCTAAAGATAGAGGTTGAGTGATACCAATGCTTTTGGCTTTCAAATAACAATCTAATAACCTTCCAGTGAAATCCCTATCGAAATTAGACAATTCAGAAATAATATTTAATAACCACTCTTCATTTTTTAAAGATGATATATTTGAATAAATCTCGTTGAATAATGGTTGAACTCGTAAAGCATCATTGAATGAATTTTTGGGAAATGGAGTTGGAAATAATGTCACTGGAGCATTAACTGGTTGATAAGATTTAAAATTTGGGGGAAACATAACAAGCCCATTTCCTAATGACCAATGGTGTAAGTTATAAACCAAGTCATCTTGTTGTTTAGACGATAAAGATGGGAAGGGTTTTGGTGAAACCATCGCACACAGTTTTGTTTTCTTTTTCTTTTCACTAAAAATATTTTAAAAACTTATAAAAATGTATAGTTATTTATACAATTGTGAAAAAAAGTACATTTTCCTTCGTATTAATAAGCTGCTATCTTCCGAAAATATCATTGATGAAATGACTAAAGTTCACAATAGAAGTTGCATTGCTCTTTTTGGCAAAAACTCGAAGAGCACAACTCACGTGTCATAACCACTAAAAACGTGTATGTAGGCATAGCATGCATCAACATACATATAGAAAATGCACAGACGGAAATCCGGATTAATCATCTCTGACTAATATTAATATGTATACTACTGTACTTTAATGTATTTATGTGCGCTCCCTACCACTGGTCTGATAGTGTCAAGCTGTTAATTGGAAACTGTTGAAAACCAAATCAATGAAGATGAAATATCAGAGAAACCATCTGCTAAAGTGCTGAATAAAACCTTTCCAGTTTGTTGTTTCTATGAAAAGTAGCACAAATGCCGGTGAATAGAACCAGAAGGAAGTCCATTGTTCAGTCCATTGCCTTGTCTGTTCCTGAGTCCAAAAGTGATTTAGATTCCTCAAAACTAGAAGGTCAGAAGAATGGTGTCTATAATGATTCAATTGATCATTATGATTTGAATACTAGATTAAACTACTTAAAAAAATCGAAATCCTTTTTAAATATAAGCAAAATCTCTCATGTTTCAAACTCTTCATTAACACATGGAGATATTGGTAAATCATCAGTTCTTGATCCTTTAACTGATAACCAGAAAGATAAATATTGGAGCGATTATTTCGATGCTTTCGATTATGATTTATTGACTTCTGACGATACTGAAAACGAATTATTTATCAATGAAAATATTGATTTTTTGAACTTCCAAAATAACCTAAGTTTCAAATACCAGAATAATCTCAGTTATTTAAATAAATCAAATGAAATCTTGTCGATTTTAAACAAATTAACGATTAAATATGATTCAATTATAAACGATACTGTTCAATTTACTAAAAAGTTTGATGTTTTAAATGATCAGAAATCGGATCTCTCTAATTTCATTAATAAACTTAATTATAATATAGATTTCCTTGAAAATTTGGGGTATATAACGAGAATTCTAAACACACCTGGCTCAACTATTGTTAGAAAACAAAAATTCAAAATTTGTTTGGAAAAGCTAGATGATTCATTAGAGTTTGTTGAAAACAATCCTGATTTCAGAGACATTGATTCCTATAAAATAAGATTTAGATCTGGAATGACAAAAGCTTTAACATTAATAAGAAATTATATTATTAATTTTCTTAAAACATTGTATAATAATCTTCAATATCAATTAAATAATCAGTCAAATAACTTTAATTTGGATTTAAATTCAAACTCAATCACTCAAGACGCTTTATTGTATACTAAGTTTTCATCCAATTCGGATGTAATTAATGATTTGTCTAATGAAATTATTAAAAGAATTGAAAACCATCAAGAGTATAATGGGTTATTATCTGATTGTTATAATCAATATTTTAGTATTCGTTCGAAATTAATTAGCTCAATTATTTCAAAAAATTCTCAAGATTTAGTAATTACTAAGAAAAAATTTTTAAGATTTTCTCAAAGTATGTTATCATATTTTGTTAACATTATCAGACAAGAGCATGAATTATTTGCGATTTTTTTTGCATTTGTTGATGATGATGATAATAATAATAATAATCAAAAAGTGATTAAAAATGAAGAACAATTAACTCAATGGTTACAAACTCTTTGCAAGCCTTTATATGATATCTTAAAAAACCGAATTTATAAAGTAATTGAAATTAAAAACCTATGTGATTTAATAATTTTACTACAAAAATATTATGATTTTACTGAAAGTGAGGATAGGAATTTTTCATTTGGGAATGAGCCTAGTTTAGAGGAAAATGAATTTAATGTTGACCTTGGACCATTTTTTCAGCCAATAATCCAAGAGGCTCAATCTCGATTGATTCTTAGGATAGAAGTTTATATTGATGAAAACATTGTTAGGTATAAGCCCACATTAGAGGATTTGAATATTGGGAACAGAAAAAAAGCAAGTGTTGTTACAACAATTTCATCTTCTGCGATGAATGGGAAAAAATTGGATTTTGGAAATAATGAGAAGAATAGTAAAGATAGTTTGATAGATATGAATAATGGTCTCGATAGTCTTGGAAACCCCTTTGCTAATAATGATGACAATAATAACAATAACAATAATAATAATAATAATAATAATAACAATAATAGGAATGGTAGTATGGAAAAAAGTATTGGCATTGCCAATGAAAATAAAAATAAAAATAAAAATAAAAATAAAAATAAAAATGAAAATGAAAATGAAAATGAAGAAAAAAATAAAGACAGAAATAAAGACAAGGAAGATGACGAGGATGATGAGGATGATGAGTACGACTTATCATTTATAGCAAATTCCAGGAGAGGGAATTTGTTTAAGGGATTATATCCGCCGTTATCGAAGGCTATTACATTATTATCTGAGGTATATCAGTTAGTGAATTCGAATGTGTTTGATAATTTGGCGCATAATATTGTTCATGCTTGTATTATTTCACTGAAAGATTCGTATAAAATAGCTGAATCGCATATTGGAAAGATAAACTCCAAGTTATATCTTATGGAGAATTTATTACTTTTAAAGTCTCAAATTGAAAATTTTGATATTCAATTTGTTCATTCAGAACCAAGTTTAGATTTTTCGGGATTAAATTCGATATTCAACAAGATCAAGAATGGTGAATTTGAGATAATGAATAATGGAATTGTAAAAATTTTTCGAGATTCAGTTCCTAAATTTGTGAACAATGTTTATGATGCTAAATTGGAGTTACAAACCGAGTTGAGAAATGTTGTCCATAGTTTTACCGAAGATATTGTTGAAGAAATTTTGAAGGGATGTATTGAGATCAATGATATTGAAAGGGATTTAAAAGGGGAAAGCAGAGAAAAGATTAATCAGAACAATTTACAGTTTAAGGAAAACATCAAGTCTACATTTTTAAAATTGAAAGAATTGTACAGTATTTATATAAACGATGGACAAATAATAAGTTTCTTGAACGATGGGATTCAAGAGTTGATTATTCAAATGTATGAGAAATATCATGAGGAATTGATCAATAAAGCAAATGAATTAAAATTGGAGAATCGAAAGACAGTGCTACAAGAGGTCATGGAAGTTGACACATTAATTTCGTACATCAGTGATGTATCCAACAGTATATTTGATGAGTATGGGTATGACTATGATGATTACAATAACGATGATATTGATGAAGACGAAATGTATTCAGTGAGTGACTGAACACTATGAGAGGCTATCTTCTAATTATATATTTGAGTAGAAGAGTAAAACACAAGAGATAACTCCCTATTTATCAGCAGCAGCAGCGGCAGCAGCAGCTTCGTCGTCCAAGGCACTGTAGATATTTTCAGCCAACTTGTTGTTGAGTTCTCTTTTGATGTAGGTTACTCGACTTGGGTCGACCACCAAGTGTGTGTCGTCCAACTGCTCGATGATGATGGAATTGTTGTTTTCCTTATCGATCTTCAACACCAAGGCAGTGATGGAAGGATCGCATTGCACTAGGGCACCTAGTTGAGAGTTGGTTAAGAGTTAGAAACAGTCGATACAGAACCAAAGAACCAACAGCCACTGGGCAAGGAACATACCTGATATAGCTCTGACCATTCTCGTTGTGAGGAGCAAAAGAAGCTGTTTCTGGTGATGAGCAGTGCCAAACCAACTTGGACCCAGAATCGGCAGCCCGAGGAGTGCTGATTTGAATGCTGATTTAAGTACTGATTCGAGAAGAGAGGCCAGTAGAAAAGAAGGTGATGGACTCTTTCTTCTTCTGCAACACCAGTAAACATAGCAATGGCTTCTCCTCCAGTTACATGCCACATTCTCGACACCACTACAGGCAGACCAGCCCAGAGTGTTCTCTGTGCCATTTACCACCTCAGCTCCAATCCCAACGACTTGCCTCCAGACGACGACTTGGTTGACCTCAGCGTCGACGAGCCCAGTGCTCCCTTTGGTTTAGCCAGAACCAATTCTGATGGCAGAATTACCAGCTGGAGCATCAAACCCAGGCAGACTCCCCAGTTCTACGAGATGTTGGGCGTCAACAGCAGCCTTGAGTGGGACAACTTGAAGCCTGGCCTCTACAAAATCAGGTTCCACACTGCGAAATACTTCCTCAGGTCTGCTGTTGGTGCTGCTTCTGCTGCTCAAAATACGTTTTTTCCTTTTGTCGATATTCATTTCATCATCAAAAGCCCTCCTGATAGTCACTACCACGTTCCTTTGTTGCTTTCTAACCATGGGTACACGACCTATCGTGGAAGCTAGTCGAGAAATTGCTCTTGCCAATTCATATTCAGCCTTTATTCGTGTCTGAGCTTCATAAGACTCATTTATAAGTTATTTATTCAATATACTATATGCTTTCTAATTTTAAGAAAAAAGAAGTAAAATAGAGTATTAACCGCTGATTCCTTTCAACTTTCTAAAAAAACAAAAAGGAAAAGTTTCAAAAAATAAAAATTAAGGAAATTCAAGTGCTCTAGAACAAAAAGGCACGAATTCACTGATAGCAACAAAATTTGCAAGAATTTAAAAACTATTAAGATTGTAGAATGAAGTCAAAGATATCAGGTATCGCAATAAAATATATTAAATTATAATTAGTAAAAAAAAAAAAATAAAAGCAAAACGAAAGACAGAATTTGTATCATTATTGGTATTGTGTTCTCAATTTCTTGACCAATTTTTTTATAAAAATACAGAAAACCAAAAAAATGTAAAATAAAAATTAAAAAATAATTAACAAAAAAAACAAAATATAAAAAAAGATGACAAAATTAACCATGATATCTTATCCATCATGTGAAAAAAATTATTAAATATTAATCAAGTGAGAAAGTGAATAAAAAAGCAACATAAAATAAAATATTGAAATGTAAAAAAGTAATGAGAAAAAACAATTCATCAAAAATTAGAATGAGTTAGAATAAATTAAAAATAAATTAAAAATAAATTAATCTCGTAAAAAAAACTTCTATCAAAGTACAACAGTAAAAGAAAATCATTTTTTTGGTAAAAAAAATGACAAAAAATGAATAGGTTGAATAAAATTAGTAATCAAGGAATGAAAAAATTGAAAAAAATTGATTTTACTTTTGATTTGATGTGTTCAAGTATTAAAAATTAACCCTCTCCTAAAACTAATTTGAAAATTTTGAATCACAATTAAAACAAAAAAAAAGAATTTTCCCAATTTTAATATTCTATTAACTATAATATAATTGCTATTTTAAAATTTAAATCTTATCAATTTAATACAGCTTTTTTATTAGATTATGAATGAAAAAAGTGAGTATTTTGTCTGCTTTGCTCATGGATAGCCATACTTTTTTTGTATTCATTTAATTCAAATCTAATTTGTTGAATTTTTTGAGGATTCAAATTTGAACATGTGTTATTCTGCTCAGAGTGTCTATTATACACTTGTGGAGAATAGGTTTTGTTCACATATATTTTTTTCGAAAATGAAACTTTGGATTCTGAGCTGTTCATAGAATTGGATGATGATGATGAAATTGTGCTAATATGTCCTTGATTAACTAGTGATGTAGAGCTATTACTTGGACGAAATGCAAATTCAGCTGGAGCTTTTAATATGCTTTTTTTGGGCAATGATCCTTTATCACTTGGTGCCTTAAAAACTTCATCCTCGTTTATAACTTTAGTCTTAGGATATTCTTCTTCAGCTTTTTTGGCTTTCTTAGAAGTCAATTTTAATGATCTTTTTCTCTCAATACTTTTGGATCTAATGATTTCACGATCTTTTGATCCTAAATCAGGTTTGGAAAAATTTGGAAAAGGAGTTGAGCTAATATCATGTTTCTTGGTATTATCATGATTAGCCTTTTTAGTATCTTCATTATTTAACCAACTACCATCGTTTCCAAATGAAAAATCACCGAGTCCTAAACTTCCTCTCTGAGTCTCTTTTTCTGCTTTCTTTTGGCTTTTCCCAAAGTTATCAGATTTAAAACTTAGATCACCAAGTTCAGTCTCAAAGTTGATAGATGGCAATCTAAAATGAGCTTGATTTTCCTCACTGAATTCAAGTTCAACATCAGTATCTTTCTTTTTATTTTTTTTGGATCTTGAAAATACTGATTTTTTTCTGGTTAAAGAATCCATTTTACCAATGCCCAACAGATTAGAAGACTTGCTCATTGATTTTCTATCAATATTTTGGACATATGATGAGTTTGGTCTATTTCTATTCTCAGACAAAATAGAGTTTCTGTTATTGTCGTGACTAAAACTCTTTTTAAGTTGAAGTTGTTTAGGGCTATTCGTGCGATTGGTTTTTTCGGTTACACTTTTAGATCTTTCTCTCAAATCAGAATCATGTTGAGTTTCAACATTGCTTCCAAATAACTTTGAGAAAAACTTCTTAAAACCCGATTTTTGAGCATGACTATTGGTAAGTGATACACTGTTTGAATTCAATTTCGAAGACTCACTGAGATTAATGGGTTTATCTAATTTCTTTTCTTTAACATTATTATATTTGTCAACTTTTATATCGATTTGTTCAGTAGAGGTTTTGTTCTTGCTTTGAGGATTTAAATCAAAACTAAACTTGCCGTTTTCAAAAATCGGCTCAGAATAATTAGCTAGTGAAACTTTTATTTCATCATCTTTTGGTCTCAATGTACTAAAGCTTGGTCTGTATGTAGATGTGGAATCAGGCGAAAATAAATTACTTGTTGGAGAACCCTTTTTCAGAGGAGTTAATGCTGGTGAACTCTTAGCCTTCGATAATGATTTTTTAGAGCTGCTTTTCTCAATTGTTGGCTTAGAAGCCAATTTGAGATTTTTGTTATCGACAGTATCAGAAGAATCAAGATAAGTTTCAAAATCAAGATAATCAAATAACTCGTTTGAGAGAGAACTAGAACTCTTTTTCGAAATGACACTTTGAGATTTTGATCTTTTAACTTGAACAACTTCTTTTTCTTCCTTCTTCACGTTTTTAGCCGCACTGAGATCCTTGTTTTGAAGACCACTGGCCTTATCAATACTCTCAAAGAAATTGTCGAGGGATTTCTTTTTGTCATGTAATAAACTATTATTAGTTTTATATTGTAATTTGGATTTTCTGTATTTTGATAAATTGGCATTTGAAGTTTCATCATCATTAACATCAGAATAGGAATTATTTTCACCATTTGTGATTCTTAGATGTTTTGGCGAGTCATAAGAGTATAAATTAGGAATAAAATCAATAGAATCACGACCAGGTTCAATCGAACCGTTTTCATTGATTGATTTGCGATCAAATGGGTCTAAGACACTACCAGTACTAAGAGCTTCCTTTTTATTTACAGTTAGATGAGAATTCTTCGAAACAACTGGCTTTGTTGGTTTAGCAGTAGCAGTAGCAGTAGCAGTAGCGGTAACAGAAGTAGTAGTAGTAGCAGAAGTAGTAACAGCAGTAGAAGTAGCAGGTGAGTCGTGAAGTTGTTCGAATTTGTTGCGACGTAAACTAAACAAACCTTTTTTCTTCTTTTCTATTGAATTTTTATGTGCTGAACTCTCAACAGAATTGAAATCAGAAAGAGCATTCATATTACTGATTAATTTGGAGATATTTGTACCAATTGGACGATTGGAAGTAGAAAGTTGTTCATTATTTTTGTTATTAACTTCTTGAGCAAAAGCGTTAATTTTCCTTTCATTGAAACTTTCAAGACTTTCTTGAGGTTCGGGTTTTACTAAACTCAAACGTTTTTCTAATTTGGCATTAAATAATTCATTTGTTAAATGTTCAGGTTTGAATGGTGAATCATCAACTGATGTTCGGTTGTTAAGTAACTTTGTGTTTTTCTCATTATCATTGGAAAATTGAGTTTCATATTCAGGTTCAGGAATGACTTGCAAAGAAGGTAGCTGAGAACCTTTAATTGACGGTGGTTCATCTAAGGAAGTTTGAGAAGTATCATTAGATAAATTGGGTAAAGAAGAAATTGAAGATTTCATGCTATTATCTTGAGATTTTCTGCTGTTTGCCTTAGTGTCTTTGGAGCTAACAGAAGAAACAGAAGAAATTGGGCTGACCTTTGAAGATGCAGCAGAACGATTAGAAGAGGAGCGGATTGGTAATTCACTGGTGTTGATAATCTTTCTGGGCTCATTCTCTCTAAGAAATTCAATTTTTTCGTTGCTAGTATTTTGAGGGGCATCGACATTGTCACTTGAGTAGTTGTCACTGTTTGTATGATAGCTTCCACTATAACTCGAGGATTCGTTATAATCGGTGTCACTTTCAGCGTCATCCAAGTATTCGTCGTCGTCAAAATCGCCATCTTGGTAGACAAATTCTCTGTTTTCTTCAAAGCTGTTTTTACCTTCGACCTTGTGTGATTTTTCGTTACCGCTGTTTTCACTATCACTGCCAACATAAAAGCTGTTCTTTTTTTTTAGATTTTCGATTCTTTGTTTGTTGGAGCCAGTCTTGGACTTGTTTACTTGCTTTGATCTGGGGATATACTGCTCACCATTAGGGAAGTAGAAGCTCTGTTCGTACTTTGGTTTTCTGTGACGACGTTTGTGATGAGACTTTGATTTCTTTTGTTTTGGTTTGGCAGTGTCGGGATTTTGAGGCTTGTTTTGAGCGTCGGGCAGGGGCAAAGGAAGGGGCTGGGCGTGGAGCGGAGCCTGGGCCAAGGAGGGCTGCTGGAGCTGCTGGTTGGGAAGAAGTTGAACAGGAGGATGGTTGATGAGCTGGGGAGCATGCATCTGAACCGGCAGTTTCATGATGAGAGCAGGGCTGGAGGGCATGCTGTTGTTGTTCATGGAAGTAGCAGGAGATGGGGGAGGAAATGAGTTGGCTTGGTAATTGACAGGTCTTTGCTGTGGTTGTGGCGGTTGGTTTGGGGGCAAGTTGGGGTCGTAGGTGTAATTGCTGTAAGGAGGTTGGGTATTGATGTACATGTTATTTGGAGGACCATGTGGTGGTGGTCTTTGGAATTGGTTGAAATTTCTTGGGTTTTGGAGATTGGGTAGAGATTGAGGATAGTAGTTTTGGTTTTGAAAGGGCTTGTTGTAGTAGTTAATCTGGTTATAATTTTGCGAGTAGTATTGTTGTTGGGGATTAGGAGGCATTGAGGATGTCATTGGAGAAGAGGCAGCAAAGGAGTGTCTTGATTGAGGAGTGGAAATAGCAGGGATGTTGGTTTCAACAGTTAGAGACTCTCTTTTCTCGGTGCTATCTTGGTTATCAATGGTTTTTTTAGTTTCTGTAGGATCTGTAGGATCTGTATAATTTGTAGATTGTGAGGTATCTTTTTCATTTTGGTCGGCGGCAGTGGATTCGAAATTTTGAGGAATTGTATTATCTGTTTCAATTGGAGTTTTATCGACCGAGTAAGCAGGTTGCAATTGTTGTTGTGGAGGGTAGTAAGGCAACTTTTGAGGTTGCATGTACATTTGATTTTGGTTTTGATAGTTTTGAGGAATATATTGTTGTTGTTGTTGTTGTTGAGGTGGATATTGTTGGCGGTGTGGAGGAGGATGGTTTTGGTAATTTAATTTTTGTAAAGATGGGTTTTGGTTCATCATCATTGAAGTCATTCTTTGAGGATTTCTAGGTATTTGTTTTAAATCAGGGATGGAAGAAAAACGATTTGATAAGGAAGGATGACGAGTAGGGTTTGCATTATTTTGATTTTGACTTTGATTTTGATTTTGATTATTTTGATTTGGTGTAGGTAGACTTAGAGTAGCTTCTGATTCTAAAGAGTTTAGTCTTTGAAGAGAAGTGTCTTTATTTAAGTCGCTTTCGGGATTGACATTTTGAGAGGTGTCTTGTGAATCAGTTTGGTTGTTTGTAGATGGTTCTTGTGAGACTGAATTCGATAAGGAGGATGGGTCCTGAGGAAAATCTGAGACAGATGATTCAGAGACTGGGGGAGAGGGATATAAAGGGTTATTTTGGAGAGGATTGTTTTGGATGGGGATTGGTTGGATAGGGATTGGTTGTATGGCGTTATTGTATGGAACATTTTTGATTGAGTTTGATCTGATTGAGTTTGATCTGGCTGAGTCGATTTCTTGGACAGAAGGATAGTAGATTTGTTGTTGGTTGTTGTAGGGAGTGGAAGGAGAGTGGTTGATCATAGATTGAGGTCTGATTTGAGCAAAGTTGTTTGTGGGAGTGTTTAAGCTGGGAGATGAGTTATTTATCATTGAGTATAATCTTTGGTTTGATCTTGAGTTTGGGTTTTGTGGGAATTGAGGGTAGAATTGAGGGTGTAGTTGTTGAGGTTGAGGTTGAGGTTGAGGTTGAGGTTGAGGTTGAGGTTGTTGGGGTAAGACAGCATTTTGGAGTTGGTTTCTTGGAGACGAGAGAGTGTGGTTTCTTGCTAAGTTCTGGTTATTGAGGTTGTTGTAAGGTTGTTTTTGGTGAAAGTTATTTACCAGCGACAGAGCCCGTTTTGAGTTAAGGCAGTAGTTATTTGAGTCAAGTAAGTTGTTATAAGAGGCGTTATTATACTGGTATGGGATAGAATTGGGATTTTGAATGGGATTTTGAATGAGATTTTGGTTGAAATGTTGATTGGGATTGAAGTTATTTAGATTAGAGAGAGAGGGGTTGGGGTTGGGGTTGGGGTTGCTTGATATTCTTTTTTTGTTGATATAAGAGTTTTTCTTTGAGAGAGTGTTGGTTCTGTTTAGTAGTTTATCGCTCAAGTCGAATTCAAGACCAGATCTCGAGGAAGCCATTTTGAATGGAAAAAAAAAATAATGAGTAAATAAATAAATAAATAAATAATTAAGTAATTAATTAAATAAATTGAGTGATGAGTGGATTAGTTAGGAGAATGGGTAAAAAATTGGATAATATATAGTGATAGTTGTAGGCTATATTTCCATATGAGGTTAAAAGAGAGAGAGTGTGTGTGTGGAAGGGGTTCAATTGGAATGAGAATTAGTTATTAATTATCAGATACGATTATTAGATATTCGATATTCGATATGAAGGATCAGGTATTAAATAGTGGTGAATGAAGGGAATGGAGATTTAATTTATTTTGATTTTGTTTTGAAGTGATTGAAACAAAGAAGAAAGTTTAAAGATAGAAACAATCAAAGAAAGAAAGGAAAAGAGAGAGAGAGGGAGGAGGAAGAGAGAGAAGAGAAGATATAAAAAAAATTGGATGAAAATAAGGCCCCTTTATACTTAAATTAGTTGGAATACAGTGAATGTAATGTTTATTTTTAAGGTAATAAGAGAAAAGTGAAATGGAGTAAATGAAATAGGTGAAAGAAATGGAATAGCAGAAAGAAATCGCAGTGAAAACGAGAGTGAAATAGTGCAGTAGTGTAATAGTGAGGTAGGTAAATGGAATAATAAAATAATACTGATAATTTAAAATTATTTAAAATAATTTGAAATAATTCAAAATACTTTAAAATAAAATTGAACAATTTTAAACAATTTTAAATTTGAAAAAAATGTAAAAATTGGAAAAATTGAGAAATTTTAAAAATTTGGAATTGGAATTAATAAATTTAGAAATAAAATGTTATAAAATGTTAAATGATTGGGAAAAAGCCAAACAAAAAATAATGTAGAATTTGAAACCCAGAATAGTGTTTAAAAAAAGCAGAGATTGAAGTGATAGAACCTGGTATTATTATTAGCAGCAGTAAAAGCAAGATTAGTAGAAATTGGGAGTGATTAATTGGTAAAAAAGATGAGTTAAAGTAGAAAGAAACAAGAACAAAAATAAGCCAAAAGACAAAAAGAAGTCAGAAAAGCAGGATAAATTTGTAGATCGAATTGAGAAAAAACCCAAAATTTCAGTGAAATTTAGCTAAAAGGACCCACCTCTTTTAGAAATAGTGGAAAGTGATTGGAAATGATTGGAAGCAGTTGAGGACTGCTGAAGAAAAAGGCGATTGGAATAGAAAACGATTGGAAAACAAGATCATAGGAAATGAATACCGTTTTCCAGTATTTTCGAATATTTCCCAGTAGCTGAAGATCTTGAAGAAAGCAAAAGAGAACCATTGGCCTTTGCTGATTTTTAGACTTGATCTGAATGGAAATCTCCAGCAAGAAACAGAGATAGAAATGAATTGAAAACGGACTGGAAGCGTATGGGTTTGTAGAGCTTGTATGGGGATAAATAAAGCAAGAGAGTTTCGAGTGAGTACTGCAGTACGAATTGACTTTGCCCTGCACCTGCAAACCCTATTCCAATTTCAAAGCTAAAATCGAGTCTGAAAATTGCGAAATGATTCATTTTCTAGACCTGTGGATGCGTGTATCCACAGGCACATGCGCACACACGCCGAGCCGGGCCCTTTTGCTTCTCCCACTCCGCGGTGTATCTCAGCCGGAAATTTTGGGCAGCGTTTGCCTGCCAAAGTGCGACTGACTGTAGAATGTTTGGCAGCTAAAGCAAGCTCCAGCGACTATTGTTTGGCAGCTCCATGGTTATTTCGCACGAGCACGGGCAAATGCCTCCCCGACACAGCTCCTCTGTTGCTCTTGTCCATTCGCGACTCCAGCTCGAAATTCCTGCCCGCGAGCCGCCATTTTCTCTGACCTGCCCGCACGCACCTCATGCGCGAGCAAAGCGCTGTTCACCGATCTGTTCTGGCTGGGTAAAAATAGACTCAGTATTTGCACCACGGCAACACCGTTCCACAGGCCACTGCCTCGCCGTGGCAGTCTCCGAACGACGGTTCGTGTGTGACGGCTGGGCTTTCGACCGACCATTTCCTGAATCAGCAGCGCAGGCTGCCCAAACGGAAGTTGCTGCGGCTAGTTGCCTCGGGATGCCTTCCACTGCCGCTGGTCCCAACAGTCAACATTCTGTTGATTGCGCTCGGGCTGCACGGTGGTTGGCTCGGATAGGTTGCTAGACCCACTCTGCTGGTCTCTCTTGGATCGTGTTGTTTCTTCTTCCCTTTTTTTGTCAAAACACGAGAACGTACATAAAGATAATGATCATATCGATTCTAAAGAATATACAAAGTACAATCAGCAGTGAAAATCATGAATCGCATATAACTGTTCTTTCAGTTCGTAATACTCTTTCTCATGATCTGCCTAAGCTATCTAAATACGCTATTCTGTATTTTCATTGAATCAGCTTTTTTCACTTTTATTTTTTTCTTTTTATTTCTTTTTCTTTCTTTTTTTTTTCCTTTTCCTTTATTGTATTGTATCCTGTAAATTTATACCAGAATTGATTCCTTCAAACAATCTTTAACATAGTCATATTCGCAATGCTGTCTATCATAATATCAGTTTCATCTTGTTTTTGATTCATCTGTTTGAGGTTGAAATTTATGTACTCAACACAAACAAATATATACAAATTCAACTGGCAAACAAGCAAACTATCATTAATTATGTTCATTTATTAATAATATTACTATTATCAATATTGTCACATAATATTATACAATATTATATAACATTATATAACATTATATAATTTAATTAAATTTCCTTCTATAATTGAAAATCTATTCATCAACGAATTCTAAATTCTAAACTTATAATCAACGGAAACGGTTAATCATAATTATGAAAACCCGACAAAAACAAAAAACAAAAAACAAAAAACAAAAAACAAAAAACAAAAACAAAAAAACAAAAAAACAAAAAGACAAATAAAAAATAAAAAATAAAAAATAAAAAATAAAAAATAAAAAATAAAAAATAAAAAATAAAAAATAAAAAATAACAAAAAATAATTATGTCCTAGTTACAGGTGATTGGATGCAATTCTACTAACTCTACTAACAATAATTCTTACAAGACCTCTTATTACATTCAACATCAATAATCAAAAATTACTACCGCTGTAACGTTTTTGTTTTTATTTACCATACAATTATCACACAACTTTTTTCAATCAGATCAATCTAGAATCACAATTCCACTCCCAGCTACTTTAATCCTGTTGTTTATGCTTCTAAATATTCTTCCTAATCTACAAGCTAGTCAAATATCATTCAAATATCATTCAACATTCATTATCATTCACCACTATCCACATTGATCTATATTCTATAGCCATTACATGTTTTGAAAAATTTATCCTGCCTAATAAAGTTGCTGATTAAAGTTACCTATTATAGTCACTTGTCTGGCTACTCGTTTAAGTTCAATTTATTGCTCTTTTCGTTTTGAGTTTGCTCCAAGAAAGTGTATTCTCTTTTCCTCCGTTCGTATCTCCTATTGTTCTTCGGTCTGTGTTCGGATCTAATTTCTCCGTCAATCGCTTCGACTCTCCATTAACTTTTTTACTATCGGATTATACAATTCGATTCGCTCCCAAATATTAAACATATTAGACATATTATAGATATTAAAATATTAAAATATTAAAATATTTCAATCACATTCTACCAGATCATATCATTTTTGATCAATTGATTACCAAATGAAATTCCCTTTATTTGAAATCAATCTCTTAATCCAACAACTTATCCTTTTTTCAATCTTATGACAATATCTTACCATACAATTACCACATCAAAGTCTAGGTTAAAAACATCTCATTTCATTTCATTTCATTTCATTTCATTTTATCCAGCATCATAAATCTGGCTTTTTCTCTTCATCCTATGATATCTTTGCCAAAAAAAAACAAAAAAAAACAGAAAGAAATTAATTGTATAATTAATTAATAATATAATCCTAAAAAATTCTAATTCTTGCTGTTTTTATCTCACTTTTCCCTTCTTTTTCAAATAAAATATTAATTTGTAAATCAACTGGCTTATCCTATTGTATATCATTTAATCTCTTTGGTCTCATTTAATCCAGTCAGTCAATCAACTTACCAATTTATTGGAAATAATATTTAATTCACTTTCACATTTCTTTTCAATCGCTGAGCCCATGTTACAAATAATTATTGTTTCCACTATTTTCCTTTTTTCAATTTACCTTATCGACCTCATCTTTCTCATCTTTTTGGAAGGTTGTTATGACAATTTCAATTCAAAATATTCTATCTAAAATATTTGAAAATAGAATTATTTGAAAATAGAAATACTTGAAAAAAAATTGAAAAAAATCAAAAATTAAAAATAAAATTGGCCATACCATCCGTGCATTTATATCTGTTTATTTGGTCAACAGTTTAAATCTTATCTAAACACCGTAAATAAAAATATAAATTACAATTATTACAATAATTATAATAATAATTATAAAAAAAAAAATTTACCCACTTACAAACTAACAAACTTATGGATTTATAAATGTACGAATTTGTGGTAAATATATCCATTGATTTCATCTCACTAAAATTTTATCGAATTTTATCGAATTGTGTATAATTTTGTATAAAACTTTTACTCGAGCTCCTATAACTAATCTAAATGATTTAATCGTCAATTTTAATGGTAATCTCAACTCACATTCTCTCATTCTGTTCCCTTGTCTTAAAAACCAAACACTAGACACTCGAACAATAGTTATCATCTCATTTCTTGCAGCTTGTTGTCCCAGTTCCGCTTTTTTCTTTGCATCGACAAATGTCACTTCACCGCTTTGGGAAATACAAATTTCAATTTGCAATACCCACCAACCCGGGTTTTTGTTATCTGATTCTCTTTCTTATTGCTGGCCATCGTAAATTGCATTGGCATTCTTGCTATTTCGCTTCTGTTTCCCTCTATTGAGGTTGGTTTTCTCCAATCGATCGAACTCTGCTGCTTGCTTTTCCTCTTATCTTTACATCCTTCTTTGTTTACACAATTTGCAAATGTTCTAGACTTTTCACTCTCCCCATGTAACATCCCTATTGTAACAATTCACTGGTAATTTTAATACCAAAACATTATCTGAATAATCAATTTCAACAAAACTGCCCTCTCTTTCTTAGCCTTTTCCGCCTCTGCTGCAAAGATATAAATTACGAGCTGAGCTTCCTGCCTGTTCTCCTGTTTTTATCTCATGTTATCAGGCATTTCAATGCATTTCTTTGTTTAAATTTTTTGGTAAAGACTGAACAACTGAATTTAGAAACCTGAAATACCGTTGTTTTGTTACTTATTCGCTGTTTTTCTTGATTGTTTTCATTCAAAAGTACAAATGTTTGATTGTTTGACTCGATTTGTCATTATTTTCTTTTTATTAACAGCTTTTGTTTATTTCTTACTCCATTTGATATTCTATTTTCCACATTTCATACATTACACCTGGTTTTGCTTGATTTCAATTCATATCTCTATTTGTATTACACATCTTACACATGTCTGATGTTGTAACCATTAAGCTTTTCCAAATACATGTTCGCTGAGTCTTGAATCCTGAACAACAAAGAAACATAAACTCGGCTTTCCTCGCAGAAGTGTACTCATCGCAATCACCGCAATCACCGCAATCACAGCTGATCCGGTAAATGTCGATGATGCACACTTTACGGATTTACTTACGTATTCACTCACGGATCGGTGATTAAGTAATATATTAGCTATACATACGTTCTGTGTTGTGAGATTCGATAACCGATTTACGGCCGTTTGTTACGAGTTAATACACTTTCAAGCATTCGTTCTAGTCGTTCAAATCAGGATGCAACATTCGATTCAATTAACTCAACTCTTTGATTTAATTCATTGATGTTGGAAACCATTGGTGGAGTATCAAGTTCCCTTTCGTTATCACTATCAGTGTTCTTGACTTGGATGCTGTCAGGTTGACAGTCGTCGAAGGAAGGATAGAGATTTCTTCTAGTGCTCATGACTTAGTGGACTTCTCTTTCCTTTTCCTCTTGGTTTATTTTATTTCTATCTAGCTATTTAGTGATCATATTTATATTGTTTGGATTACAATCTTCATCAAGGTATTTGTGAATTAAATGTTTTTTGCGGAAACACAATTTTCGTTTCATAAGTGGTTAAGTCTTGTGTATTTGGTTTGGGGCAACGGACCATAATTGCTTCATGAACGTCCGTGTTTGGATTGTGTTTTCCGGCCACACCTCGTGAAACATTCTGCTTACATAAAAACACGTTTGTGTAATTTTTCAATTTATTGTTCCTTCCCCTATTAATCTTAATGCCAACATCAATCAAAAGCTTTGATAGATAGACATTTTTCATCTCAACTTTTCATCTTCTTTCACCATCTTATCTTGCTTGTCTGGTTCTTTATATTTTAATTCCTCAAAATGTTACAATTGCAATCTTTTAATTTATCTGTTGAGAAAACTTTATCTGAATTGATAAATAACGAATCTCCAAAGTCCTTTGATCGAATAATATCTGATTTTGATAATACTTTATTTCATATTTCAACTCCTGAATCAAAAACACAAATTTTATTATCAATTTATCTTAAGTGCTTTGATGATTTGGTCAGATATGGCGATATCAATAGCTACTTAGCAAACATCTATTCCAACTATAATATCTTGGACACTCCTGAACCCGGTTATAACTTTTCGATTTATTTAGACTTGGTCCAATTTAAACAAAATTTTTCAATTGACCAACAATACGAATTTATTAGTAAAATATCCTTTTTAAAGAGAAATTGTCTTGCCGCTCCCTTTGAAAAAGCAATTAATAAATATAACGAATTATCTCTAGATTTTACCAAAAGACAAGCTTCATTACAAGAAAAACACTCAATCTTTAAAGACATTACTCAATCGCAAAGAGACGATGCTGATAGCGCTGAAATTTTGGTTATAAACTATAGAAACGATGAGTCAATCTATATTAAACCTTCTTTCGATAGAGTCACTGTCATCTTCTCAACCATCTTTAAAGATGAAACCGACAAAATATTCGGTAAAGTCTTTTTACAAGAGTTTGTCGATGCAAGAAGAAGATCAGTTCAAAATTCTCCCCAAGTTTTGTATTCTCATATCGAACCACCTTTAGAATTGAGAAGTTTGCCTGAATTTCTCGATCTTAAATCATCAATCTCTTCCTCAAACAAATACGAAAAGGGTTTTGTAACTTTTGTCTTATTTCCAAGACATTTAACCTCACAAAAGAGAGATAATACAATCAGTCAAATTCAATTATTTAGAACTTATTTTCATTATCATATTAAATGCTCAAAGGCTTTTATGCATTCAAGAATGAGATCAAGAGTCTTGGAATATCTTAAACTATTAAATAGAGCTAAACCTGATTTTGAAGAGGGTTCTAAAAAAGTTGAAAGAAAGACTGCTAGTGGTAGAAGATTTGAGATTAGAAACTAATATATATATATGTATGTTCAAATATTGATTGATCAGTGTATCCGGTCTTTTTCAATTGTTTTATTTTCAATTGTTTTATGCTTATAATTATAAATATTGTTACTTCTTTTAAATGCATTATTACTACACATATATAAATGTATAAATGTATATTTATATATTATCAATTCAGAAATAAAAATTTATTTATAATTTTTTAATATTTTTTTGATTTTCTTGAATTGGAAAATTATTTATTATTTACAAAAGTATTATAAAATATTTTTGCTATATATTTATTCGCTCATTTATTCATTAATTTTAATCCTTCTGAGGTTTTTTAACACCATATTTACTTCTTGACGATATTCTATTTGCAACACCATTCAAATCCAATGCACCTCGAACAGCATGATATTTTACACCAGGAACATCTTGACATCTACCACCTCTGATTAAAACAACACTATGTTCTTGAGCATTATGACCTTCACCGGGAATATAAGCACTGACAATCTTACCATTAGTTAATCGAACTCTGCAACATTTTCTTTGAGCAGAATTTGGTTTCTTTGGTTTTAAGACCATTACTCTTAATACAACACCCTTTTTAAATGGGCAATTTTGTAAGTCTGGTGCTTTGGAAATTTTGGGTTTTTTGGGTTTGTTAGCGCCTCTTTTGATTTGATTTATTGTAGCATATCTCTTTTGTAACGAGTTTATTATAAAACCGTTATTAGTACTATTATTATTATTACTGTTATTAATTATGTTATTGGTTTGAAAAATTGATGATAATGAAGTTAATGAACAAAGTGAAGAATTATTGGTACTCAAAGCTGAAGAAAACTTTGAAAATGAAGGTTTAACGGCAGCACCAGAGAATATACCTTTGAACATGAGTTGCAACATTTCGGCTCATATAATTTTTAAATAATGCTCAAACAACCTTTAAACAATCTTCAGATATTCAACTGAATCTCAATTCAGTGAGAAGTTTAATAACGAATATTTCAAGCAAGAAGGTTCGTTTGGGCACATGACTGAAATAAGTTGATTTCTAGATATAAGAAATTGATTACCCTCTCACAGAAATAGTATGGATTTATCGCATGTATCTAGTACCGGGTAAATGTAATGCATTTTCAGTATCCAGTCAAAAGATGGAAAAATTCAGCTTACTTTCAAAGAGAGTTCATTGAATAAATACCATCTCCAACGCTATAGATTTATCGATATTTTTTACTTTCCTTATCAAAACAAACCTCACAATCTCTTTCTTGTTTGGAATTACAAAAATGAGTGCTACACAAGTTGGAATTAAGTCTCTTAGAGTTGTCAACTCAAATTTCTTAAGAAGTTCAGTCACCAAAAGATGCTTTAGTTTATTGCCCAAATATGCTAAAAGCTCATTATTTATAACTCCATTAAATAATAACACACACATTTCCGGCAAGTTATTCAACAGTGTTATCAATAACAGATGTTCAGTAAACAACAGATTCAACAATCAAGTCAGAAACTACTCTGGTGGTGTGGAACTAACAAGAGAGATCGCTACCCAAAGACTTTTGGAAATATTGGAAGGTTTTGATAAAACCAACTTAGAAAACTTGGAGAAACTCGGCGTGGAATCCAGTTACACAAAGGATTTGGGATTGGATTCGTTAGATGTTGTTGAAGTCATCATGGCTATCGAAGAGGAGTTTTCGATCCAAGTCCCTGACAATTTGGCCGATGAGTTCATCACTGTTAAGCAGACCATCGACTTTATCATGGACCAACCCGATGCATTCTGATTGCAGCACATCTAGCAATAGATACACCCATTAATAAACAGTAAATAGCACGCAGCAAAAGCAGCGAAAGCAGCGAAAGCAGCATCTTCTGTGCTTTCATAACAGACCCCGTTGATAGACCCCCTGATATAGACCCCTCAAACCACTCGCACGGCCGGAGCCATTCGCGGTGTTTCGGCAGGTCGGATTTCACCGAGCCCAAAAGAGTTCCCCAGAGGTGTTACATGCTCTATATAATAAGTGAGAAATGGTTCACATACAAAAGCTCTGTATTCTGGTGAATTCGAGCCCACCCTTTTTGGAATCGACTTGCTGTAGGTTTCGTAGGCATTTTTTTTTGTTTTTCCTTCTTTTCTTATTTTTTTTTTATCAACGAACGAATGCCACCTCCATCTCTTTTCTCGCCCCAGTCTGTTAGACCATAACGACCCCGTTTGTGATCATCAGAATGTTTAATCCAACTGCATCAGCTTGTTCTCAGCTTATTCTGCTTCAGAAAGAAGAGAAATGAAAGGCTACAACTCTTTCTATCCAAGGGGCAGCCATGACTGCCTACTCTCTACTTTATTCTACAATCTATCTTTCACTTCTCCACTGGTATATCGCAACAATAGGACCGTCCCCAAGAAGGCTGTTCATCTACAGAAAATACAGCCTCTGAGTGTGCTGATTCTGTCATTTTGTTGTTGTTTATTGGTCTTTTTGCATTATATCTCACTGGGTGTTTTGATCCTTTTTTGCCTTTGCAAGTTTTTCAAAATATGGGATCCTACAGGCTGTTTGCAGATTATTCCAGTCTCACAGGGACTTTCAGTTTTTTTCATCTACCTCCGCCCTCAAATATCCCAATATTGAAGTTATTTATCAGGCTTTTTTCCTTTTTTTCTTCGGTTGTTTTGAGTTCAACCTCCAAAAAAATCGTGTTTTTCCTTTACTTATCCTGACAATCCAATTTTGTTATATCACTATTGAGCTTGGTCAAACTATTCACATTTTAATCTAATTATACTACTCAATTTATTCTATTTGGCCTCATTTATTCAATTTCAATCTACTTCTTATCACCCTCATCGTATTTTGTGGTCCAAATTCTGCTTTCTGCTATAAAAAAAACTACTAATTAGTAATAGAATTACTCATTTTATTTCCAATTAACTCCAATTTTGTTTTCTTTAAGTTTTAAAATAAAATATAATAAAATAACATTATTTATTTTACCTTATCTCATTCTTTATTAATTCTATCATATTTAATTTAAACCAATAATGCCTCTTGGAAGAAAAAGAAAGGCTTCTAAGCTTCACGTTTCTCCTTCAAAAAAGCAAAATAACTTAAGACATTCTTCAAGAATTCAAAAACAAATTTATTATAACGAAGATGATTTCTTTGATAATTCAAGTGAAAGAAATGAAAACGAAAACGAAAATGATAATGATAATGATAATGATAATGATAATGATAATGATGATAACAATAATGAAATTGAAATTCAATCCCAATCTCAATCTCAATTTCAATCTCAAGAATCATTCAACAACTCTGATTATGAAAATCTTGATAATAATGAACACATTTCTAACCGTCGCAACAAAATTCACAGAAATGACCCATCAAATAATACTCGTATACTAAAATTAAGAGTTCCACCGATAAAATTAAATAATCCTAAACATAATAATCAAGACACAAAAAATATAGATCTGAAAGAAAATAAAGTCTCCACTAACAATGATGCAAATTATAATCAAACAGAAAAAAACGCTCTTAATGAATACGATGAAGAAGGTGAAAATGATGATTTTGATGATGAGGACGGCGATGAACCAATAAGAAAAAACAAAAGATCAAAATCACATAAACCTATAGACTCTGATGATGATGATTATCATGAAAGCGACATGTTCACAGAAGATCACGATGACAATAATGATTCAGATTTCGAAGATGACGACCTATACTTGGCAAATGAATCAAAAAGAATTGACAAACATTTCGTAGTCTCTGATGATGAAAATCAATTGGATGATCCAAGTGATGAATATGGGAAAAGGGTCTATAACAAACATAACAAACTTAAAAGGAGAGGAAGACCAAAAAGAAACTCTTCTCAAAAATCTGTATCAAATAGAAGTTCTATCACAAATAATGAAAAGATTATTATCGATGATGACAATGATGACGATAATGACAATAACAACAATGATGAAGGCACAATAACTTCAAGAACAAGGAGGGCAATGCAAAAACTGAAAGATCCCGATGATTATACTGATGCTGAAAATAAAAAAGACGGTTATTCATATAGAAGAGACTCTATCGGTGAAGAGTTAAAAGATATAAAAGATGACATTCGTGAACATAATCGTGGCAGGAAAAAAAATAGAAATATTATTGGTGAAGTTACCAATTCAAAAAAACATCTTAGAGCACGAAAGGAAATCAACTATCAAATTCCTCCTGCTGATGCCATTATCGACGATTCAAACTATGATCTATTTAATAATCCAAATCACTATGCTAAATATGGTTATAATCTTAATGAGGGCATTTCATCTAAAAGTAACAGATCAAAAAATAACCTCAAAATTAAAAGCTTATTCGAAACATCTGGCCCTTTTGGTGGAAATGAAGTAGGTTCCATTTTTGGCCAAAAGGGTTTCACTGCGGAGACAATTGCAAATGCTAATTACGACTCCTCTTCTTCCGATGATGACGATCTACTCATAAGACCTGTTAATGGAACAGTTTCAAGTAAAACCATAAATGATGGATTATCAATGATGAACCCGTCCAATCTTAATAGCACAGCAGCTCCTGTAAATAATCTTGGAATAGTCAACACAAATAAAAAGAAAAAGAAAAATAACATGGCTGATTCCGACCCCTTAGGAATAGATATGAATATTGATTTTTCCAATGTCGGTGGTTTGGATAATTACATCGACCAACTAAAAGAAATGGTTTCCTTACCTCTTCTCTATCCAGAACTCTATGCAAAATTTGCAATAACTCCTCCAAGAGGCGTTCTTTTTCATGGACCCCCTGGAACAGGTAAAACACTTATGGCTAGAGCATTGGCTGCTTCATGTTCTACTTCAACTCAAAAAATCACATTTTTCATGAGAAAAGGTGCCGACTGCCTTTCAAAATGGGTTGGTGAAGCTGAAAGACAATTGAGATTATTGTTTGAGGAAGCAAGAAAACAACAACCTAGTATTATATTTTTTGATGAAATTGATGGTTTGGCACCTGTAAGATCTTCGAAACAAGAACAAATTCATTCAAGCATAGTTAGTACTTTGTTAGCCTTAATGGATGGTATGGATAGCAGAGGTCAGGTAATTGTAATTGGAGCTACCAATCGACCAGATGCAATTGACCCTGCTTTAAGAAGACCTGGACGTTTTGATAGAGAATTTTATTTTCCTTTACCAAATGCAAGCGCTAGGTTGAAAATATTGGAAATCCACACAAAGAAATGGGACCCTCCATTATCAAAAGAACTTCTTATTAACTTGAGTAATCAAACAAAAGGTTATGGTGGTGCAGATATAAAAAGCTTGTGTACTGAAGCTGCTTTAAATAGTATTAAAAGAAATTTTCCTCAGATTTACAATTCAACTGAAAAATATCAAATAGATCCGAAAAAGCTACTTGTCAATGCCAAAGATTTTACTAACGCGATTAAAAAAATTGTACCATCTGCTTCTAGATCAACCATTACAGTATCTACCAGATTATCTGAACGTCTCCAACCTTTGTTAGAAAGACCATTTGCAAAAATTGTTAGAAGGCTAAATTGTTTGATTCCCGGACAAATAAACAAAAGCAAGGCTAATGATACAGATGATGTCATTGATATATTATCTGATGATGATGATGAAACTAACTCAATTGAACTTTTAGAACAAAAATGGAAAAGACAGGAATTTTTTCACAAGTTAGAATCATCAAGAATCTTTTATCCTCGTTTATTAATATATGGTCCTCCAGGGATGGGTCAGAAATATTTAGGCAGTGCAGTTTTGGATTATTTAGAGGGATTTAATGTTCAATCATTAGATCTTGGATCTTTATTTTCCGATTCTGGGGTGACGGCAGAATCTGTAATGATTCATAAATTTTTGGAGGCTAGAAAAAATCAACCATCAGCTATTTTTATTCCTAATTTAGATATTTTTTTCAAAGATCTGCCAGAATCTCTTAAAACCTTGTTAATTAGTTTGCTGAGATCTTTAGATCCTTCGGATAAAATATTATTTATTGGAGTTTGTGAGAAAGATGAGCAGTTTTCTTCTTGTTATCCCAATATTGAATCACGGTTAAAGGAATTATTTGGATTTATGAATATTAATAATGTGGAAATAGAGTATCCAACTGAAAAAGAAAGAAAAGAATTTTTTGAACCATTATGGAAAGTTATAGCTATAAAACCTACTGAGTATCAAGATAATGAGATACGTCGAAAGTTAAAAGAACAGAAATATTACTTGAAAAAACTTTCCTCTTCACTTCCAAAAGTTGAAAATGCTTCAGTTAAAGAACTTGCTCCTGTAGAACAAGAGAGGTTGAAGAGAAAACAATTAAAGGAAGAAATGAGAAATAATTTGAAATTGAAAAACTTGTTGAAATTGAAATTAAATCAATTGATGGATTTGTATAAAACCAGATATAAACGATTTAAAAAACCTGTTATTGATGAATCACTTTTGTTAAATTTATTGGCAGAGAATGAGTTACCCTCAAACCCCTTAAATCATGGATTATCTCCTTATGTTAAAGATAAGGATATGATTCTTGAGATAGCAACCAATAAAAGGTATTATAATATGGAATTAGATGTTATTGAAGAAAGGTTGTGGAATGGATACTATTCTGAACCCAGACAGTTTGTTAGAGATATTGAAATGATTTATCTTGATGCAAGGACGTTAGGTGATAGAGAAAGATTGATGAAGGCTTCTGAAATGTTTGTGAATGCTCAAGTTGGGGTTGAAGAACTTTTTTCTCCTGATTTATTAGTTCAATTTAAAAACTTGAGATTTCGTGAGATTCAACTTCAAAAGGAGTTTGCAGCAAACCAATTGGAACAAGAACAAAAAATCGAGGTTGAAGCTTCATTGTTAAATAAAACAGAAAATGTTGGGGAATTGAAAAGTAATGGTAATGCTTATGTAAAAGAAACAGTCGTTGAATATGAAAAAAGACATGTTGTTCAGTTGATTAATAAAAAAGTTATAAAAGCTCCTGAAATAATTGATCTTGGCTCATCGCATGGACATATTCAAAATCATGAAAAGGTAAAATTAAACAAAAGCGTTGTTAATGATAAATTATTGATAAATGGAAACGGAAATTTGAATGCAGGTTTAATTCCAAATGGTAATGTAAAATCAAAATCGGCTTCAAATACTGTTTTAGAAAGCAACAACAGAAATGTGAAAGAAATTGCTGAGTCTCAAATTTCTGTTTTATTTGATGAGGAGGATGTTGACGTTGCATTAAGAAATAATCCAAATAATTTTATCAAATTTAAAACAAATTCTAATTCTAATATAAACCAAACTCTAGATAATACGAAAAGTGAGCCAAAATCGAATTCTGGTGTTAAACAAAGTCTTGAAGATAAAAAAGGTGGTGATTCGAGCATGTTAGATTTGAGTGCTCAAAATGAAGAATTCCAAAAAATTGAAAGAGAGTATCAGGAGTTATTGAAAGAGTATAATGAAAGTAAAAATAAGAACTTGACAATTGACAAAGCTCTTTTAAAAAATGTGCAAATTAAACTAATTGAGCAAACTGAAAACACAACAATTGAAAATCTAGAATTAATTCATTCCTCCTTAACTGATATCATATTAAAATACAAGAAAAAATGGGAAAAGAATAGCTGTTTGAAAAAAATAGACACAGAAGTGGACATGCTTTTGTCAATATTTGATGATTCCCTATGAATATGTGCTAAATGCCTATTTCATTTTAATTCGAATTTTATTTCTTGTGTCATTTCTAGATTTAATTTAAGTATAACTTTTGATTTAAATTTAATTATTACCCTTTTAATTTGTCTTATTAATTTTTTATTTTGATTTGTTTTGATTTGTTTTGATTTGTTTTGTCTTGTCATGTCATTTGCTTTAAATAATGTTAGCTTTTGTGTCCTGTGTTTATTTTTTAAAAAAATGAGAGAGTTTACTTTTTTGAATGTTAATGTTAGGAGATTTTTTGTAGAAATGAAGTTTCATTTATTGTTGTTAACTTATATATCTATTTTGTATCTATATTTATAGTTTTATTTATTCATAGTTTTATTTATTCATAGTTTTATTTATTCATAGTTTTATTTGTTTTAGATAAATTATAAAACGTCTTTATCGTATGCTTCAATAGTCTTGACGTGAGAGTGGTCATCGTAAACATGAAGAATGGCTTCTTTCTTGATTTTATTGATATCAATAACACCAATTCCTGTGTTATGGGGAGCTATAAAAGCGTATGGTTGTGTGCTATTTTGTTGTTGAAAGATTTGAAAATAGCTATTGAAATTGGGGTTGATTGAGTAATTTTTGATGATAAGATCTTGAGGGCTGTTTTCATCAGCGTTTAGAAACAAGTTATATAATCTTGAAATGAAACCTCCATGAGAGCAGATCAAGATGTTTTTAACTGGAGCATCAATGTTGGTCTGAACAATCGAGTTCCAGATTTCCTTTGCTCTTTTATTGAAATCAGGCAACGATTCACCAAACTCATTAATATGTTTGTTTAATTTTCTGGCCAATTTGAAGGCGTCATCTTTTCTCATGCCTTGCAATTCACCTAAATTTTTTTCTCTTAGTCTGTGGTCTACCAAGAATTGGTGATTATCAAAGTTTTTTTGTTCGTTTTTGATTTTGAAAGCAGTTTGTTTACATCTATTTAAATCGCTGGTATATATTTTGTCTAGGTCGATGATTGATAATCTTTTGCCGCAGCTTTGGCCCTGAGAAAGACCAATTGAGTCTAAATCTATATTCAAATGTCCTTGGTAAATTTTTAGTTTGTTTGATTTTGTCTGGCCATGACGAACAATAAACATTCTTAAGACATCATCATCAGTGTTGGGCTCAAAGATTTGGCTCAGATCAGCGAAAGTCATTTGGTGAGTGAGTGAGTGAATGAATGAAGGATGATATCAAAGTGCTAAGATAGTAGTATTTATCTTTTCTTTGAATGATGTAGTTGTGTATATAATTACAAGCAAAAGAAAGAAAGTGAGATTTAGAGGTGTTAATAAGGGGGAATAAGATAAAGAGATAAAGAGATAAACAGAGCAGAGCAGAGCAGTTTAATGTGATTGGAAAATACAAAATTTGCTCCGATTTCAAGTTGCAAGCTTCAGCATTGTTTTATGTTAGGTGAATCTAATTGTTATTTGAGACAAACAGATTGATTAATGGATTAAAATTGACTGATTCTGGACTTGACGATGTCATTTTTTAGTGTTTTTTAGGTTAAAATAACTCTGAAAGACTTGGATTGACTTTGAAGGTGAAGCTCAGTAAAGGGATTTTTTGTTTTTGCAGTTATGTTAGTATTTTGTTTGGTTCAGCTGGTTTTACGACTGGAAAAGAGATAGAAGTGTCTACAAAATCAAGGAGAACAAGTCGGATAATTAAGAAAATAACAATTTATTAGTTGATTATAAAAATCAGTAAGATTTAAAATAGAGATGATAAAATTGTAACTCGACTATAAAGAGGTAAAGAGGTAAAGAGTAAAGAGGTAAATAGATGAATCATAATAAGAAACTTTGGCTCTTGATTAAATCAATCAATTGATAACAATTATGGGATTTATTTTTCAATTTCAAATTGATTCTGGTTTTGATTTTTGCCCTTTTGAATAAACTTAGGCATTTTCAACAATTGTACGTTGTATTTCCTGGATGTTTGCACCGACTACAGTTTTAATGAGCTTGCCATCTTTGAAGAATTTCAAAGTTGGCATTGCAGTGATATCTTGGTCATGAGAAACATCGGGAACAGCATCAACATCGACTTTATAAAAGGAGACTCCAGTGTGTTTTTCAGATAATTTTTCCAAGATTGGAGCAATCATTTTGCATGGACCACACCAAGTAGCAAAAAAATCAACAACAACCAATTTTTCAGATTTAATTGCAGCCTCGAAATCTGTCTTTGAAGTAAGAGTTTGAACCATTGTAATTGAGTTATCTGGGGCTTCTGGAGAAGGATTGGCAGAGACAGTGAAGTATTTGTAAAGACCAACAAGAACTCTGGCTAGTACGTAGTAGGCAATAAATCGTGCAAGCAAGTAGAGGATGGCCATTCAAAAAGAGAAAAAAACTGGAAGGTGCAAAAGCAGAGCGATGAGAGGTTTATATATGTGAGGTGGAAGAAATTACTAAGCGATGAGACAACCCTCAAACCAGCATCGTGGGATGGAAACCGTCTTTTAGGCCTGTTTTTAAGCCCGTGACCAGAGCCTGTTTCATGGCTCCACCAACACCATTAATAAGCCGGGCTATTACTGCGTCCAGACCCACGGCAGCCCGCTGCACGTGGTATTGCATTGTTCGTCGGTCAGTTTGCAACTCAAACGCCGATTACGACCCGGTTGGATACCGCCGGATTCACTCGCAGGGTAATGTCGCTGTAGTGCACGTGACCTGATTAGAATCAGAATTCGTTTATTGGCTGATTTGTGCTTCTTCTGCTTCTTCTGCTGCCACCCCAGAGCTGCCCACCACCAACACCGCCATGAGTGAACTCCAAGCTTCCAGAGAACATCCTCTCATTGACTCAGACCCCTCCTTCAGACGTGTGGTCACCTACATGAGGCCCAGCGACTATGGAGTGTGGGCTGCTGCCACTGCTGCCTTTCCTGCCATCTTCATCTTGATGGAAAAGCTCGAGCCGGCCAACGGTGTGCGTTTTACCAAACCCTCTGGCTCTTTCCTCAGAATCTCTACTTTTTTGGGCTTTGGTTGTGGTTTTCTTTTTGCCTACTCTCTTTCCACCAACAGATTTTGGGGCATCACCGAGAATTCAAGAGAAATGGCCTTTTACCAAACTGAAGTGAAAAACAACATCAAATTGGGCTTGCCTCCTCAAGGTAAAACCGAACTAAGTCCCTGGATGAAAGACGTTGCCGTAAGAAACTCAACAAACTCACAGTTGGGTTTGCACATTGCTCCAATCTTCAATTTCACCAACCATGGATTAGGCAGATATGCTGAAGTTAAGCTCGATGATGACGAAAAATAGTCAATTCTGTGCGAGACTATCTTTTTACCACTAATGACTTACTTGCCTATATTTCTGTTTTTTTCTTCAAAGAATTCCTTTCAATCTAATTTTCATTGCTTATTTTCATTATTTAAAAATTACATTCAATTAAATTCAATTAAATATTCTATTTTATTCTATTCTATTTTATGTTATTTATCAAAATTAATCTACCTCTATAAATACATAAATACAAATCACGTATTCATATACCATCAAGGTAATCGTCACTTGATAAAATAGTTTTTTTGTTCCTGTCATTGATATTATCAGTAAATTTGTTGGATATAATATCATAGCCCTCAAAATTAGTTTTTTTTCTATTTCTAATTTTATGTTTATTCATATATCTAGTAATATCAAAAGAGTTTTCTTTTTCATTCACCAATGTAGTCTCTTCATCATCAAACATTTCAATATTATTGTCATTATCACTATCACTATCACTATCACTATCATTATCATTATCATTATCATGATTATGATCATATTCAATTTGTTTAGAGTCACTAAAATTTAATATTCGATTCGATTTATCATTATTCATATCATAACCATTATTGTTGATTTTATCTTCAATATGGTTTTTTCCATTTTGCTGATTATCAATTGAGTATAGATGATCAGGCAATTCATAAAAACATAAACTCGATAAATTATTACTAATACACGATAAACATACTGGTTTCAATTTATCACAAGCTCTTTTTTTTTTAATGCAGTTAAAACATTTTAATCGACGTCTTTTAACTTTTGGAATTAAATATGCTGTCTTTCTTGGTGTACATATTATACTATTTTTCTTTTTTGACAAAATTTCTTTTATATTTTGAGTTTTTTTTCTAGTGTTAATATTATTATTATTATTATTATTATTATTATTATTATTATCCGAAGAAAATTTAGTTATTGATCTACTAGTTGATGATGCTGAGTTCAATGTGCTTCTACATCTATCAGAATTTATAATATTATTTGATGATATGGAGGCATTTGGAATTTCAAATTTGGGTTTATAATCGTCGATATTAATATCAGTTTTGTAATTTTTTCTAGTCATTGGTTTTCTTTTTTTTTGTTTAAAAATTCTATTATTATCAATTAAAATATTATGATTATCTGCATTGATATTATTGATATTATTAACATTATTAACATTATTAACATTATTAACATTATTAAAATCATCACTATTATTAAGATTATTATTAAGATTATTAAGATTCGAAACATCAATTTTGATTGAATTATTAATATTTTTAATCAAATCATCTTGAAATTTTAATAAATCCGAATTGAGTTTAACTGATAAAGAACTGGTAATTTTATCAATAATTATATCATTATTTGAGGATATGATTTTGTTAAAATTTTTCTCAAAATTAATCAAATTATTATCAAAATAGGTTATTTGATTTTTAAAATGTTTGTTCAAGTTTTTATTTAAATTTTTATTGATTTTATCAGCTATATCATTTAGATTTAGATTTATATTAGAAGAATTATTGGAATTATTACTGTCAAGAAAAGTCGATAAATTATTTAATGAATTATCAAAATTAATTAAAAATTTATTTATCAATTGGTTATTAATCAAGTTCAATAAATCATTTTTAAATAAATTGATTATTTTCTTCAAATTGATTGATTCCAACTCTAATTTATTTGACCATTTAATTAAGTTTGAAGTTGAGTTTTTCAGTAATAGATTATTTGAATCAAATAATTCATCGTGAAACTTAAATTCCTCAATTGAATTGACTGAATTGATGGAAGATGCCGATAATGGACGATTGAAATTAAGATTGTTGAAATTATTAGAGCTATTTATTGCTGGAACGATTGTCTTAACTGTGGATTTGGTTGGGCTCGAACTTAAATCTGTTTGGCTATAATCATCGGATTTCCTATTATTATCAATGCTGTCAATATTATTATTGTAATAATTACCATTTGCGATGTTTTGATAATTCTTATATCTAGTGAGATTAGAATTGGCTGGTTTTGAAGAAGACTTGAATGTCGAATTAAGCGCCGAAGCTGAGGTTGAAACGGTTTCTGATTTCTTCAAGCGAATGGAATTTGATATATCGTTATGGAAACAATCGTCAAAATTCATTCTTTCTAGGTATCAATTTTTGCAGAAACAAAAAAAACACAGGTCTGAAAACCGACAATGGTTAGACTCATTTTCGTCAATAAAGGGATTCCAACGAGGTATTTATATCATTCAAACACAGCTATTTCAGACACCATCCAGCTCAGGAGAAACGATTATATCTGCTTTTCAACAGACCACATCCAAGAATCCCAAAAAGGATACAACATCACCAATGTCGTAATTCTTCACGTGCATGTTACCCGTTCACTGTTCATCTTCACGCAGCTTGCACGCACTTCACACGTCAGCCCCACGCGTGGCTTTTTCCCCGAACCGCCGGCCATTGCCCGGCCGTTGTCCGAAGCTGCTGCAAAAACCCGGAGTTGTGCTGGGTCTTAAATATTATCTTCGATTTATTGGACAATTGCATCTCTCTTTTGATACAATACCAATATATATCTTTCCCTAGATCTTTGTTTCTTTCCTGCTCTTCTTACTCTACAATCTTACCTTCAATTCTACTCAACTATCTACAATATTTTCACTACAATGGCTGTTCAAGACGTTTTATCAAGAAAATCTGGTGTCATCGTTGGTGATGATGTTCGTGCCTTATTCGATTATGCCCAAAAAAAGGGTTTCGCTATTCCTGCCATCAACGTAACTTCATCCTCGACTGTTGTTGCTGCTTTGGAAGCTGCCAAAGACAACAATTCTCCAATCATCTTACAAACCTCTCAAGGTGGTGCTGCTTACTTTGCTGGTAAGGGTGTTTCCAACAAGGACCAATTTGCTTCCATTCAAGGTTCCATTGCTGCTGCTCACTATATCAGATCAATTGCTCCTGCTTATGGCATTCCAGTCATCTTACACACAGACCACTGTGCTAAAAAATTATTGCAATGGTACGACGGCATGTTAGAAGCCGATGAAGATTACTTTAAGAAAACTGGTGAGCCCTTATGGTCTTCCCACATGTTGGATTTATCTGCTGAAAACGATGATGAAAACATTTCAACCTGTGTCAAATATTTCAAAAGAATGTCTAAAATGAACCAATGGTTGGAAATGGAAATTGGTATTACTGGTGGTGAAGAAGATGGTGTTGATAACGAAAACGCTGATAAGGATTCTTTGTACACCTCTCCAGAGACTGTATTTGCTGTTCACGAAGCCTTAGCCCCAATCTCTCCAAACTTCTCAATTGCTGCTGCTTTCGGTAACGTTCATGGTGTTTACAAACCAGGTAACGTTGTCCTCACTCCTTCAATCTTAGGCGACCATCAAGCTTTCGCTAAATCAAAGATCAACTCACCTAGCACTCACCCATTATACTTGGTCTTCCATGGTGGTTCAGGTTCAACTCAATCCGAATTCGATACTGCCATCAAGAATGGTGTTGTGAAAGTCAATCTTGATACAGATTGTCAATATGCCTACTTAACTGGTATCAGAGACTACGTCTTAAACAAACAACCTTACATCTCTTCTATGGTTGGTAATCCAGAAGGTGATGATAAACCAAATAAAAAATACTTTGATCCTAGAGTTTGGGTAAGAGAAGGTGAAAAGACCATGTCAAAAAGAATTGCTGAAGCTTTGTCTGTTTTCCACACCAAAGATCAATTATAATTTCTAGATCAATGCTCTTTTAAGTATATAATCATATACGACCGAAATATCATAATATAAATATAATAATATTCTACAATTTGACAACTTCTCCTTTGTCTATCTTGTTTTTTTCTTTTAAAAATATCCCACATATATTATAAATTCTTTAAATATACATAAAAGAGTATATGGACAAATTTTATGTAAAAGATTATATAATCAAACAATAAACAGTAATAAATAAGTAATAAATAAATAATAAAGTAATAAAATAAATAAATAAATAATAAATAAAATAAATAAAATAGAGTTGAAATATAATAAAATAAGATGAATCAAATAAAGTAAAAGTAAAATAAAATAAAATAAAATAAAGTGAAAGTAAAAATAATAATTAAAATTTTTTCTTTTTGGTTTTTAAACTTTTTCTTTTTTAATACATGAATAATAAATTATATTTATAAAAAAAAACAATCCTTTTTAAAACTTACACTAATATCATAATAATTCAAAAGTTATCTTGGAAAATCAATTTAGCAAATAAATAACATCAAAAATATTTTAAATTCAATATGTTCATAAAATTGAATATTAAAAGCATTTTATAGAAATGAAAAAGATAAAAATTAATAAAAAAAAAAAAATCATAATTATCAATCCTTTTTCAAAATCTTTTAGTACCAATTACCTCCAACTTGTCTTGAATAATCACCAGGATAACCACTAAACCCATATGGCAATTGCTGTCCCATAATCATTGGTTGTTGCAGTTGCAGTTGTTGCAGTTGTTGTTGTTGCAGTTGCTGTTGTTGCAGTTGTTGTTGTTGTTGCTGTTGTTGATGGTTATTATGTTGACTAGAACTATGGTTGTTTCCATGATTGTTATGATGGTTGTAAAATTGACCTTGAGTGTGATTGCCTTGGTTATTTGATTGATTATTTTGGCTGGATCCTTGATTGCCCGCATTTGCTCCAACATTGGATTGATTATTATTTGATGCTCCATTATTTCCAGTAGTATCAACTGTGGATTGTTGTCCGTTAGTTGGATCTTGGGATGGTCCATTGGAATAATAGTTATTATACATTTTTGGTTGTGGTTGATTATGTTGACCATAATGATGACCATAATTTGATTGTGGTGGTTGAGCAAAATAATTTTGATATTGATAATAATAATATGGAATTTGGAAATATGGTTGGTTGGAGTATGGTGCTGGCGCATTGCTGGCAGGATTTGGTTGTCCAGTTGGTGGAACATTGGTAGCAATTGGAGATGCAGTGACATCTGAGACTGGAACTGTGCTTATTGGCATACCTGGAACTTGAGGTGGAATTCCATAGGGAGCTGGTTGATCATAAGCACCAGAAACGCTAGTACCGCTAGAAGTTGTGCCATTATTTCTAATATTATCTCTTAAGGAAGTAGTGCTAGTAACAACTGGAGAAGGTTGAGAATTTAAAGCCAAGCTATTAAAATTGGAACGATCATATGAATAATCGACATTTGGATACGTGAAACCGGGAACATGAGATTGATAATTATAGTAGTTATCAAATTGTTTAGGTTGTTGGACTTGGGATTGAGGTTGGGATTGTGGTTGTGGTTGGGATTGGAATTGGTTTTGATTTTGGTTTTGATTTTGGTTTTGGTTTTGGTTTTGGTTTTGGTTTTGATTTTGACCTTGAGAAGGATAATAATTATTATAAGAACGTTGAGATTGTTGGTTGTACAAATATGGACGTTGTTGTTGTTGCTGTTGTTGTTGTTGATGAATTGGTTGATTTCTACTTTGTGATTGAGTTTGTTGGTTTTGTTGATTTTGCTGTTGATGTTGTTGTTGTTGTTGTTGAGAATTGTTTTGTGATTGAGCGTTATTTTGAGGTTGAACAATTGATTGTTGAGATTGGGATACAGATTGATTATTTTGTTGGGTTGCTTGAGTGTTTGCAGATGATTGTTTTTCGTCATCAACATTGAGGGAACCAAAAGTAATACCTACAGAATTGACTTGAGAAGCAACATTTGGTAAAACAACAGGGGCGTCTTGGTTCAATCTCCGTGAGAAACGTAGAGACTGAGTTTTAACCTGTTGGATTGGTTGTATTTGTTGAACAGGTTGAACAGATTGAGTCTGGGATGGAACTTGAACTTGGGGAACAGTATGAGAGGAAATATTAGTAGCATCTGGAATAGAGGATTGGATAGTAGGAGCGGTATTAGCATTAACGTTAACATTAGTATTAGCAGCAGTAGTGTTATTATTTACAGGAACGGGTTGTGAGTTTTGAATTGAGATAGAAGCAGTTACAGGTTCAGAAATGTTAACGATATTTGAGGAAGCAGTTGATTTTAAAGAATTATCAATTACAGAAGCAAGAGCATCAGTTGATTGAATAACTTGTTCAACAATTTTTGCGACTTCTTTACTTGCAGAAATTTCAGGTTGATCATCGGCGTAATCTATGATATCTTCGATTATTGATTCTTGAGCCTTTTCAATAGCCTTTTCGATTTCGTTGTCATCTTCATTTAATTGATCATCGATGATCTTGGTGAGAGGAATTTGAGCTTTTTCATTTTCAAGATTTTCGTCATCAGTTTTAATAACATCATTGAGAATCTCAGAATGGTCAGAGATTGAGATATCATTGACCAAATCAGTGTTAATTAAATCATTAATAACATTTTTGATGTCATTCTCGATTGTCGAATCGTTGGTAGTCACTGGAATTTCATTTTTAGCGTCATCAGCAACAGCGGTAGTTATCTTTTCTGTTATAATTTCCTGAATGTCAGAAGTGGTAGTAGTTGTGGTGGTAGTTGAGAATGTAGCATCGGTAGAAGTGGCGCTTGATTGATCATTGGTTATGGTGGAAGTAGAAGCAGCAGCAGCGGCGTCAGTAGTGGTGGTTGTGATAATAGTTGTAGTAGAAACAGTAGTATCGGGTGCTGGAGCATCGTGTTTTAGTATAGCTTTTGGTTTTGTGAGGATTTTCTTAACAGGAGGTTTTGGAGCAACGACAGAAGCCCAAGTCTTTTTTAGTAATACGGGAGTTGAGCTTGGTTTTAGTGTTGGTTTTTTGGGTTGTTTGTCAGATTGTTTTTCGGATTGTGGTTGATCCTTTTCGGAAGATTGAGGTTTGGATTTAAGTTGTGGTATTTGTACTTCGGAATCTTGAGATTTTAAGCCGTTATTCGAGCCTGATTTTTGTTCTGATTCGTTTGAGGGAGAATCTGATTGTTGAGATTCTTTTTGTTTTTCCAGTTTTTGTTGTTGTTGTTGTTGTTGTTCCTTTGATGGTATATCCTTTTTTTGTATTGATTTGTTTGCAAGAGATTTTTGGGGAACGGATTTTGAGATTTTTTTATCTGATTTGGATAAAGCAGCAGCCCAAGAATTTTTAGGAGGGGACTGTTGTGGTATTTGAGGAGCGACAGAAGGTGTAGTAGACGATGAAGCAGAAACAGAAGCAGAAGCAGCAGATTGGGATTGACCTTTGTTTGTTTTCCTATTGAAAGTCTTTGATTTATTATGAAATTTTTCATTTGTCTTAAAACGAGGTTTTTCGGAGTAGGTATTATTAGCGTTGCTATTTGAAGTATTATTGGAGGTGGAGTGGTGGTGATGGTCGTTTGAAGAGGAACCATTAGATTGGTGATGAGAAGCGTGTTTTGAGTCTTGGATAGAGGATATATCAGTGCTATTATTGTTCGAGTTGTTAATTGAGTCTTGAGAGGAGGATTGATCGTCTTTGATGTGTTTTTTTTCCTTGGAGGGTTTTTTAACCTCGTCCCACTTTTTGATTTTACCTATAACAATCAAGTTTGCAGTTTCTGTGAGGTTGTTTGAAGTTTCAGCTAAAGCATCTAACAAGTCGTCATTTGACCAATCGGGGAACATTTCAGTTAAGTAATCCAAATTTTGTTTAGTTTGCAAATCCAATTTATTTGAGGAGGAAGAGGAGGAGGAGAAGGAGGATTTGTATTTGTTGCTGTAGGAATATTTTGAGTAGTTCGAGTAGGTTGAGTGGTTTTGGTGGGAATGATTAGAATAACTGTTTGTGCTACTAATAATCGTAGAACCGTCAAGATTACTGCTATCATTATTATTCAAGTTTGGGCTATTTGTGTTATTGGTGTTGTTGTTGTTGGTGTTGTTGTTGAAACGCTTTGAGTGGTTTCTGAAAGCACCTCTAGACCTCCTTGGCCTAGAAGTTGATTGAATTTGCTCAGACATTGGTGTGCTGAAATTGGTTTGTGAGAGGTATATATATAGGATTTATTAAAACAGGCAGGATTTTTCTTTTTGAGGAGAAGAAAAGGAGAAGATTGTATTTTAATAAATTGAAAGAGAGTTAGGGAAAAGAAGTTGATAAGTGAAAGAACAAATAGAAAGAGTACTGATATGGGAACAATTAAAATTTGAAAATGTTGTTGAGAACGAAAAGAAAAATCTCAAAAGGTGGAAAAAGGAAAGAGAAAAGACGACGGAGTTGCCCGGCCGCAGCATCATGCGGACAGCGCATTGAAAGTGACAGATCGGGTAATGGAACTGCATGTGACCACGGAGAGGAACACCAAAGCGGTGGCAATTCAGGAGAGAAAGAGAGAAACGAGAAAAAGCAGCCGAATCAGAAGTAAAGAAAACACAAATTACGAAATATACTAATAATACTAAACATACTAAATACTAAATACTAAATAAATACTAAAATAAAAATCAAGAATAAAATAAAATAAAATACTAAAAACAACAGGCAGTAACAAAAAGAGTAAAGGAAGTTTATTTTACATAGTAAAGTCAGCTAGTGGACGCTTTCTCTCAAACCAATTAATTAGCAATATAAAGATATTAAAATAAAAGAAACAAAATCTGAGGAACAGTTACAATTTCATATCAATTGACCAAGCACTCGACTACTCGTTTTGTCTTTGATTATAGGCTAACTTTTCTTGTTCGTATCTCTTCTTATCGGTTTCGGCTTTGGCGTCATATGGAGCTCTTTCTTCTTGGGTCAAGGCCTTCCATCTTTCACCCAATACTTTACCAACTTGGCCAAAGGCAATACCTGGGCTCTCTGCTCGGACAATGTCACGATTTTCGTTAGCAAAAAACATGTAGGCAGATAGAGATCTCTTAGGAGCATTTGGGTCTTTCTTCTTTCTGGAGGACTTGGAACGACGAGTTCTGTGATGAGTTTCACCGTCAGCAGCCATTTTTCAGATTGTTATGAGGGATGTGGTGACAAGCAAGTAGGAATCGAAGGGATCAGATGCAATTGACACTAACGCTGGCAGGCACAAGTACTGGAATAGACGCAACTCAATTGATAGATGTTAGTAAAATTCAAGTGAAGGAGGTGAAGCAATGGAGGCAAACAGCACTGAAATATCTCCATCTCCATCACCATCACTGGGCCTTTCGTGTCGCCAGGGACACTCCTCTTCTGCTGCGCACACCTGCCCCATCAGCACACCCGTTTTGGACTACTCCCACCGCCCGCTACAGGTCAGCGCCAGACCTCTCTGCTCTTGCTACCTGTGCTGCTGCTGTTGCTGCTTCTGACTCTTCAGCGACTCAATGCTGGGCCAATCTGCTTCTGATGCGACGTGCTGGCTGTGGGTGTGTTCTGGAAACGTGTGGATTGGATTTTGCTGGTTATGGCAGAACTAATCTTGCGTTGATATGATAGTGTGATATAATTGATTTGATTTGATTTATGTTACAATGATTGAATTTATTTTATTCTCAATCAAAGTAATGTCGGACTGTTTGACACTCTTATATTTCATTGTATTGTTTTTTGATTTGTGTATAAGTAGATAGAGAAGACTATGGTGATGGCTTGAGTGAAATTTATTTAAGTAGCAGTCAAATTTTAAAATTATATTTCAAGACCGCTTGCCGCTTTGGTTAATATATGATACATACAAATTTTTTAAATAGAGTGAAATTTGTTATAGTAATACTAATAGTATAGGAACAGTATAGTAATACCAGTGTTATATTAATATAAAGAAACTAGTAGTAATACAATACAATATATAGCAAAATATAATCAAATCCTTTAACTATGTGTGGTTTTATAGTGGGAGAAAAAAAAGTGAGGCAATTCTGGGAATTCCAATTGTGTTTATCAAAAATTAGCTTGGCCAAAAACAAAAAAGCATGACTGGCCCGCCAAGCCGCACGCTTTCTTCTTGCGCATGGTTGCGGCGTATATGCAGTTTTCCGCAGCAGTCCCCGACCCAGCCTGTTTCCCTGCTATTGATCTGTCCCGCTAACGCAGGTCTACTCACAAAACGCGCTTTTCCCTCTCTTCTGCGTTTTTCTCCCAACTTCCATGTGCTGCTAAAGTTCAGCTCCTTCTTCCTGGTTTGCTAACCTGGTTCCCGAACCACACCTTTCGTTTTGATACTACAAACATATTTGCTTATTCCTTTGATTCTTTGCTTATATTCTTATAAAGCTTACTTATAAACCAAATTACATGGAAATTATTTCTCTAATATAAGAGAAAGTGAATAACTGTTCCTTATTTGCCCAATTGCAAGACAACTTCAGCCTTTTAATAATCTATAATTTCTATAATTCAAACAAAATAATTGCGTTTTGCTCTAATCAATTTTGTTTTTCCGATTTCCATTAAATCCATTTCAACAACATATACACAATTAAAATTTAGACAAGTTTTCTGTTTTTCCTTCTCTTTCTTCCTCTTTCTTTCTTCAGACCTTTTGTCTAAACCCCTTGAATTTCGTCCAACCCCGTACAGCATTAACTAATCATTGTAACAGCTCATCGTATTACATGTACTACATGTACTACACGTACTACACGTACCGTTCGCATTTGTATCCCCCGGTCAGTAGAACGGCGACCATCCAACGTAAATTACGGCCAAATTATTGACATCCGTTGCTTCTTGAATCAATTCAGAAACTACTGCTTCATTACTAAGTCCATCAGCAACCAATTTTTGCTGCACTGCTCCCAATGCCTTTTCTGTCCCACTGAACTTATCATTATCATCCTCTTTAATTATCTCTTGTCGAATTGTAATATCTGATAGCTTTTGCAATTTAAGCTTTTTCAATGGTGTAACAACAAACGAATATAATGGATCCCATTTCAACACTTCTAACATTGTACTGATTTTTGCTTTATTATTCCTTAACACTTTAAAACAACATTCACTGTTCTTCTTAAACATTCCTTCTCCACTGATTCCAAATCCATCAACAATATCTCTTGTCAATCGAAATGGAACTGTTTCTGGTATCGGTAACAGCTTACCTTGATCAAATGCCACCCCTAAATCAATATGAATTGGCTCTCCAAATTCATTGATCAATATATTATTACAGTGCCGGTCTCCCAACCCCAACACATGCCCAACAATAGATGAACTGGCTGTCCCACAACAATACGAAATTTTCGACTCAAACCAACTATTACTATCCAAATATTTATCCATGAAATAATACCGGAAAACTGGTTGAATCTTATCGCAAATTCTCTTATACTCACTTATCCTTATCTCCTTCGTCTTATTCTGTGCTTTCAGCATAATACCTTTCGCATCACTATAACTCATCTCATCATGCTTCAAGTGATACGGATACACTATATCAATAAATGATATCGTATTACAAACAAACTCAATGATTCCACCACTATTCCCTATCGGAACAACTTTATACGTTCTCAACTTTAACTTTCTCTTTCGTGTTTCCTTATCTGCCTGGAAAAATCTATTGCACTTTTCAAATACCTGCTCCATAATCGCATCCTGTCTCAAATCATCTCCTCCTCCTTTAAATATCGTTTTATACTCTTTGCCTCCATCTACTCTAACATTCGCTATCTTTGGTCGACTGATTCCTGATGAAGGAATCACAATCTCATTATCCACTTTCCGAATTTTCGCAACTTTTCTATAATCTCCTTCTTTATTAATATCAATTTTAGTAGTAGCTAACGGAACATTCAATTTGTTCAAATACTCTTCGCTCCATTGAAACCCACATTTTAAATTCCTCAATTTAATACTCTTAACATTTGCTTTAAATTTCTCGCTCGCCAACGCTAAAGAATTGAAGCAAAATTGAGTAACTGGTGCCAAGTATTCATCATCAAATTTCTTATCAAGTTTTAAGCTTTGATACAACTTTTTACCTGCGTCCATTCGAAATTTAAAATTATTATCAAACTCCCGTTTTTGAATCAATAAACTGCAAAGAAGATATAATGAATGATATGGATGCTTGTGACAGATATTAAATAAAATATCTTGTAAAACTTCTTGGAATTTATCCTTTTCATTATGCAATTTCGATAATAATTGATTCACCCAAGGAATCAATTTATAGTAATTAAACGACTCACAACTTTTAATAAAATCCATTACTCCTCTTTGAATACCCTCATCTTTACAAAATTCAAAAAATAATGAACAAAACCTATCAAGATCAATATCATCATTTCTTGGATCATCATAATTAACTAAAAGCATATAAAAATAAACAGAATGTTTTATCAAATTACGTTTGGTCTTTTTCAAATTATTCAACTGAATCAAATCAGATTTATATTTATTTCTCAACTTGTTTTTCATATCTTCTAATTTTTTTTCTTCTGCTTTACTTTGTTTATCTTTTTTTTCATTTTTTATTAAAAAAACCTCGCACTCATTATATTCTTCCAATGCTATCTCGTACCTTGAAATCTCTTCTTTCAAAAACAACGATTGCCAGTTTTTATCACAAAATTGAGCAAAAATATGATACGCTTGAAATATTGATTCATATACAATATGTTCTTTTGAAAATGATAAAATATATTTTTCAAAAATATTCGATGTTGCTGCTTGTCTAGATTCTGATAACCACTTTACCAATTTAGCACCAATAACAGTCTTTGGCGTGTTTAATTGTTTAATTGATACAGTATCTTCATTATCCGAATAATTTTTATACAACTCTTCCAACATTGATATGGCAATTGAATTTTCATTTTGTGTCCAAAGAGTCGATGCAACTTCAACATTTGCCGTTTCAAAAATTTTATTTTGAATTTTTGCCAATTGGTTTTCCTTGCCTTTTTGTGTTAACAATAACGATAGCTTATTCTTCACAATATTTTGAATAATAAATACGTTATTGATTGATTTTTGACTTTCATTATTCAACCTTGCAAGTTTTCCAAATCTTATCAACTCATTTAACATTCCAAGCATTGAATTACTTGGGCATAAACTGACATTATTAATTAAAGAAAAACAGGTCTTTCGTGACAATATAATATCATCATAGTCTGAAAAGTCGTTCTTCTTAAACCAAAATGTACTATCTTCATAATTTTGAATTGACTTAACAAAATTTTTGTCTGTTAAATTATATACATCCTCAATATTAACTATTATTGAAGCTGTTTTCATAAACCTTGATATTTGTTTTTGTTTCATTTTCAAAAAATTCTTGTTAAAAAATGAATTTCTGGTCAATTCAAATAATGAATCTGCAAAAACGTTTTCAACGTTAACAAATTTAAGGGTTTTATAAATAATTTCCTGACTTTTATCAATTTTGACATCAAAGTCACCAATTGGCAAATCCCATTGATTTAGTTTCCATGCCACTTCATACCTATCCGATTGATTCTTACCTATTTGTTCATCTATAATCATTGATAAGTTGTTCATTCCAAAAGATTTTACTGAATTAATTAAAGCGTCTTGCTCACCAAATGAGGATAGATCAGCTTCATACAATGCACTATTAAACATAACTTTTTTAAAAGATTCACTACCTTTATTTATCATGTTTATTGCAAAGTCTAATGTTGGTGTCACTGGTAATCCGTATACTAAATCACTATACAAATCACTAGGAGTGATATTATTATAAATATCCTTTAGTAGTTTATATTGGTACTTATTTTCAGTTTTATCCGAGTGAAATTCCTCAAACAACAATAAAGATGTTTTTGCTTCTCCTATAAAATGAGCATTTTGAATAAATTCAATGCAATTGATATTATCTATTGATTTGAAAAAATATTTGGATTTATTTTTCAACCTTCTAATCTTGAAATATAGCACCAAAGAAAATTTTATTATATCCTTATTTTTCTTTATATTTAGAAGCTTTTTAAATAAATCATTAACATTTAATGAACCTTCCTCTTTATAGATTGTAATATAGTACATAATTAACTCAGGCATTATTTGCAATATTAAATTTGGAGCAGATTTTAAAAAACATAAAGCCGACATTTGAGGGAAATAAGAAGAAATACAATTCAAATAATAAAAAAATAGGTCAAAAATCCAAGTATTAAATATAAAATTCTTCTCACTAGATTCCAAACAAGAAAAAATATCATCAAATTCTAAATTCAGGCCAGTTGGAAAATCCAAATTCAAATCTCCAACAAGAAATTGAAGGGTATCATATTCAATTGGAAAAGTAGACAACGGAATTTGAATTGACAAATCGTTAAAATATTGCTTGATTTTGTTAAATTCAAATAAAAAATATCCTAAAATCCCTTCTATAATGCTTGAAATTTTAGAAATTTTATTTTCGCTGTAATAATTTAGAATTTTTTGCAAGATACTGTCCATGAATGATTTATGGGAATCAAATTTAACGCTATCACTTTCTTTGCCATAATAATAAGGAATTTCTCCATTTTGTGTATAATAATATCCAAAGTATTTTCCAATATAGACCAAAAACTTTTTGCTATCTTTATCAACATATTTGAAGATTTTGTAGAGTCTATCGATCAAATCTTTTTTGTATTTATGAGTTAGTCCAAGTTCTGGAAAGTTTAGTTCAAATTCAAATTCAAATAAAAGTGAGATTAACTTAACCAAATTCAAATTTTCAAAATCGTCATAATTGCTTAGTGAATCCTCTATATCGAGTAAGCTAATATTTGACTTCGAGTTGGATATTACTGAAATCGAAGCTTGAAAGCATTTAAATAAAACATCTGTTTTATCAAAATCATGATCTAAAAAAGTTTCAATAAAGTTTCTTGTTTGAAATTTAATTTCTTCTTCCATTTTTGATTTCTTTTTTAGACTCATCAACTCAACTAATATGCATAAGAAATAATTATCCGGATTTTCAATCGTTAAAACACCTTTATTGATATTTAAAACAACTGACAATATGCTGTCTACTTCTTGGGCTAGTTCCTTCTCGCTTAAATAAGCACTTAAATTCTCAGTAATAAGTTTCAACAAAAAAGATTCTCTAAAACCTTCTGGGTCCATCAATATTATGTATTTCAACTTTCTTATAAAAAGAATTTTTTGATGGACTTTAGTACTATCTTGTATCCATGTAATTATGTTTCGACATAGAAAAAAAAATAGGGATGATTTAAATATTTTAGATGAATTAGATAGATTTAAAAGTTCTTTGATTATCCCCAAACCCTTTTCACCATTGATCTTTATAAACAACCCAGTATTAATTTTTAATGAATCTGAATTAAAAAGAGCCTTTAAATAACTACCTGCTTTTTGAAATGTTGCTGAGTTAAGTAATTTATTTTCATCTGATAAGTCAATAAATCTTATAATATTGAGAATAATCAATGATATTTTGGATTTTAATAAATTTGAAAACTGTTTGTCTCCAATTTTGTCAGACAATATATCATATATTTTATTTCCATGCCCACCTAGAGTAAATGCAAGAGAAATTGACAAAGGCAAACTGTCAGAAACCAATGAATTTACCCCCAATTTTAATGTGCTTGATATTTCATTCAAAAATTTATCCTCTTCATCAGAAATTTCTTTATTATAATTTTGGCTTGAAATATTTACAGCTATAAGCTGTTTGTAGTTATGAGAAAAAAATGCTTCGTTAGATTTGTAACCAAAATTCTCAAAAGGAAATTCACTTAAATTGAAATAATTATTCCAGAACTTGAAAAGATCCAATCTATACAACAAAAACAACTCATTCAAGTTAATTTTCTGATGTTGACAAATAATTTTAAAAGAAGCTTTGATATAAGATGATAAAAATCCAATTTTAGAATACTCTGTAATATTATACAAACTTGATGTTAAGCAACTTTCAGAAGCCAGTGAAATTATGCTAAAAAAATAACAAAAAAACGGATGATCAGAATTTGAAGTTTGGAAATTTTTAAAAATTTGATTATAAAATTTAATTTGAAAACTTGTTTTGGAAACTTGAAAAAGTGTCAAAAGAGAGCCTATGGATTTAAATTTAACAAAATTAGATGCACATTTATGAGTAGAAACAACAAGTTCTTGTAAATTCAAGCTTAAATTAGTTTCTGAATGATTATTCGAGATAATTAACAATTGAATCAACAAAACTAGATAATTCTTAATCAATTCATCCACTATAAAGACATCTTTTTTATATAAAGCAATAAAATACGTGACCATGTCTATACAATCTTTTTTCAGAGAGTTTTCCGACCAAACTTGAGTACAGGAAACAATAAAACTTAAAAATTTTATAATAGTTTCAATAGAAAAAGTCTTATAATCTTTCAGTAATAATTTATCACCTAGTAACCTAATTAGTCGACTTAGATTTTTTTGCGAAATTTTCTTTTTAACATGATCAGACCTTTCTAAAAACTGTATTAAAATTGGAGAAATGGATAAAAAACTCTTTGGTTCAAGATTTTCGACATAATCAATAATGTTATCCAAAACTTCGTTAATATCAGGCGATTTTAAAAGTGATTGAGTAGTTGAAAACAAAACAGTTTTCGCTAAAAAAAATTCGAAATTCATTTGATTGTTGTCTTCACTTTCACATTCTTTACTTGAGTTGTAAGAAAAACTTAAAGAAGAGTTTGTCCCAGATCTTCGAATTGATCCAAATTCATCGCTCACTGTTATTGAATTTGAGTCTTTTTCATTTGAAATAAAACCATGACTACTTGATTGTTCTCGGATTTCGTTTTTTTCAAATTTCTCAATCAAATGCTCATGAGGAAAGTACTCTAAAATAAACATAAGAATGCTCTTCCTAATGTTATCTTTAAATTTTAAATTAAGATTCAAGTTGAAAATAGACTTGAAAACTTTATATATTTCATTGAAACTATTTTCTTGAATGCTAAGAAACTCCTGCTCATAAAAAACTGAGATTTTGTATCTTAATGATTCACAGTAACTTTTCAATTGATTATTATTATTTAAAACATAATTTATGTTAAGTAATTGAATTGACCATTTAAATAGATTTTGGAAAATAGGACTGTTTCCATTTTTATTAAAACTTATAGAATTGCCAAAATTCATAGTAGAATCCAATATTTTAAAAAATTTAATAAAAAAATTTCCTAAAGTTTCTTTGATTTTATTGCCTGAGAATATCAAAGGTTTGACATATATTTCTTTTATAACCTCATTAGTAGCTGAATTTCTTAATAAAAAAAAATTTCTTAAATTTTTTGAAGAATTCCAGAGGTCTTCAATTTGATCAATATAATTTTTTTTGTATGGTTTCCAATACTGAAATATAGAGTTAAATCTTATGTAATCATTACTGCAAATCCAAATAAAGAATTTGTCAAAGAAAGAAATTTCATTTATATTTGTAGATTCATCTATATCTTTCATGTAATTCTCTGTTTTAATGAGGAACCAGTCAATCATTTTTTCTGTTTTTGATAACGAGGCAAATAAATTATTTTGATTGAAAAAAAATTTTAAAGCATAAATCCAAAATATTAGAGAATGATTATTTAAGTGAGTGGGACCATTTGTCTCTGATATATCAAAAATAGACTCCATTGCTTGATATATATATTTATCATTATATAATTTGGAAAAATGACCAATATTTTCAGAATTTTCGCCGATTGTATTATTTTGAGACAAGCTGTCTTGAGTTGAACTTTGATAATCACAAATAGTAATTTCTTGGATGGAATTATTATAGAATGAATTATCATAATTTGAATTCTTGTGAAGCGAGTTTTCTTCAGAAAAGTTTTGATAAAACAAGTTATCTTGTATGCTATAAAAGGAACTATCTTGGAAAGACTCATGTTTATTTTTAAAATTTGAGAATGAACCATTTGGATTTTTAATCATAAAAGGATTGATTGCAAAATGATTAAAAATAGATATTGCTAGAGAGCAAAAAATAGACAGACTAGAATCTTTCAAACATATTTTTAATAATTGAATTAGTGTTTCATGTGAAATTGTATTTTGGTCAATAACCAATTTTGCTAATAAAAATAGCCAATTAATTAAAAATTCATTGCTGACATTTTTAAAAACCAAATTAATTAAATTCGGATCTTTTTTGTCAGAGAATATAAATAATTGTAAAACAATAACTTGAAAATCAGAGGAGGAATTAAATAGATCGATTAGAAAATCCAGCCAGTTATCGTTATAATCTAAGCATGATTTGAGAACTTCCCTATAATCAAAATTGTTGATCTTTTGTCTCTTTGTGTTATGGCTACTATTTGTGGAATTATGTAACAGAAGTATAGTACTATCGGACAATTTTAAAGAGTTGTTATTATCTGAGTTATTTGATACGTCAATTGAGATGGTGCTTAATTTGGAAAGAGTGAGCTGTATATAATCTTTTATTAAAAAATAAGATGTGGTCACATTCAAAAATATGGATCTAAGTAACCAAGCCCTTTGCGAATTTAAGGAATTATTAGGGAGATATATGAAATCGGATGCAAACCAACATTCATTGTTAATTTTATCATTGTCGTTATAAAGGTATAAATCGTGATATTGGATTGAATTGAAGTCTAACGATAAAACGTCAAGCTTACTATTTTTGATTGAAGAAAGAAAGTTTATTAGTATAGTTTTTAAAGAGGATGATAAATCTTTTAAATACTCTAAATATTGAGTGTTTTTTTTAGTGTCTGTATTACTATTATTATTATTATTATCCTTGTTATCTTCATCATCAATGAATAAAACATTAAGATTTATTAAATTTATTAAAGAGGATAAAAAAGGTTGAGAGAACTTTAAAAAAATCAACAATTGATCAAATAAAGAGGGATAATTAGTGAAGATTTGAACTAAATTGAAATTCGAAATCAATATTAAAAATTTGGGTAGTATTAATTTATAATAGTTTAAAATGAAACTTGAGTTATCAACGGATGATAATAAAATTTTATTGATAATTTTAAAAACTAGTGTCATGTTCATTGACTCTTTCCTGAACTGATTTATATATCTTAAAATTAGTTGAATAATAGAGTAGTGATCGATTGATGATGAATATACTATTAGGTTATAAATAGAGTCTAAAAGCTCGTTGTTTAACTTGTCATTATCAAAGATCTTCTCATACCGATTATCCTTCCGATTTTTATCACTGTTGGCACTTTTATTGAAATTGTGAGCACTGAATATAGAAATTGAGAGCGATAGAAAACAGTTGAAATCCTTTACTGAATATAAATAATTACCAAAAAGACTGCTTAGTAAATTTAGTACTCTCGCCAAATCAATTGAGATTGGATAGAAAATCAAACCCAGATCAAAGGCTAAGCTATTAACTCTTGTTAAAATCGTTGAGATGGTTTTCAATTTTAGTAGGTTTTTTTTCTTTGTAAGCAACAAATAGAGTAGACTGGAAGACTTGATTAGTCTGGACTCAATATTTCTCAAGGACAAGCTTTTGTATAACAAGGAGTGTTTTTCTGTTTCTGATAAGTTCAACAAAGCATCAATCAAATTCACAGTTGATTTATAGTTTAGGTTGTGCACGAAAACCAATGAATTGAGCAACTCCTCGAGACTAGCAAGACCATCGGTTCTGTCTTTGATCTTTGTGGAGACAAGCAACGCCGATATTTTAGCCGACTCTTTGATAGACGACACATTCATTGTAGCAGCAGCGCTGAGGTGTTCCAGCAGCTGGCTCTGGTAACGCTATTATATTGTCTTTCGCTTTGGGAAACAACGAGGTTTTCCAGCTGAAAAACCAGCACATGACACATGCACTGCATGCGTGAGAGAGCGTGTGATTGTGAATACACCACACTGCATTGGAATGCAGTACGCACGGAACTTTTCTGCCCGCGGAGTTTGCGTGGAAAAGCGCTGTTTCCCGCCCGCGCTCTTTGGTGAAGCGAGCAAAATCACTCACTCCAACATTGTTCTCTGCCCATCAAGCAAATGAGTCTGGTAAGTGTTATCTTTTGTTGTCTTGAGGGTTATAGTCTAGAAGAACCGAGACCTAGCCAGTTTTCTTTCGTGAGCTGTTTTCTTTTCCTTTCATTTGAGTTCTTTTGAACGCTGCTCTGCTTGTGATTGTTTCACTCTCCTGTTGGTTTGTGGGTTATTGAGGGTAAATCTGTATTGTGATGAGAATTGGTCGCTTTAGGAAACTTGGTTGAGCTAATTTTTGGCTGGATGGACAAATATATTGCTGGAACTGATAAACATGGAAGATAAACAAAAAGAAAGGCTGCTATGTGGGAATGGAATTGGGCGTGGAAATGGATAACTGTGCGAACATTTGTAATTGAATGCTCCGAATTCGTTACTCGACAAAGATGGTTCTCCATATTCTTTGAATGCTATATATACTCCAGATATTCCCTAATGATTCCCATCTTATTTTTCATATTATTTTTCTTTTAATTAATTCAAAGATAAACTCATCAACGACATTTGTGTTATCCTATTCCCTATACCTCATCCACATTTAATAGAAATAAGCACATATTTCTATATTTCCTAATATCACCTTCTCATTATCTTTGGATATATTTTTATCTCAATTCTTTTTTTATTTTTATTTTTATTTTTATTTTTATTTTTATTTTTATTTTTATTTTTATTTTTGTTTTAATTTTTTAATTGTTAATTGTTAATTGTTAATTGTTAATTGTTAATCGGTAATTGGTAATTGGTAATTTTAAAATTTCTAATTGCTGCTTGTTTAATTCATTGTTATTCCACTTTTTACCCTTCTATTAATTATTTAGTTTTCCAGAATGCCAAACTATAACCAACATCATCACGATGATGATGATGAATCAATCTATTCTAATGATTCAAATGATGTTAAACCTTTTGATCCTACTTTTGATCAATCTCAATCAAATAAACCAACCACAACCCAAAATATTGTCTCAAAGATGTTAACAAATCTTTCTTCAAAATCAAAGAAATCAGTTGCCTTTTCAAAAAACATCGATGATATTGAAACTCAAAACAATGATGATTTATTATCAAACCATTTATCAAACATCTTATCAAATCCCCAAGCTATTGATATGATTCAATCCTTAGCAAGAACTCTTTCAAGAAGAACTAAAGTTCAAATGGATCATTTTGAGATTAATGATGACGATTTTGATTTAAAATTATTATTGAATTATTTAAACGCAAAATCTTTGGAACAAGGAATTGAAAGTTCTTCTGCAGGTATTGCTTTCAAAGATTTAACCGCTGTTGGTGTTGATGTATCAGCAGCCTATGCTTCATCTGTTGAAGAAATGCTTAGAGGTTTCTTTAAATGGCCTTTGAAGTTCTTCAAAAGTGATTCTACACCTATTAGACAAATTATTAGAAATTTCACTGGCGTTATTGAAGCAGGTGAAATGTGTTTCGTTGTCGGTAGACCTGGTGCAGGTTGTTCATCTCTTTTAAAATGTTGTTCAGGTGAAACCGCTGATTTTGTTGAAGTTACAGGTGATTTTTCTTACGATGGTTTATCTCAAAAGGAAATGATGGATAATTACAAAGGTTACATTATTTATAATCCAGAATTAGACTTCCATTTTCCTTTAATTACTGTCAAAGAGACAGTCGATTTTGCTTTGAAAACTAAAACACCAGCAAAAAGAATTGACGGTATCTCTAGATCTGAATATATCAACAATATGAGAGATTTATGGTGTACTGTTTTCGGTTTAAGACACACTTATTCTACAAACGTTGGAAATGATTTCGTTAGAGGTGTCTCTGGTGGTGAAAGAAAGAGAGTTAGTATTGTTGAAGCCTTGGCTTGTAATGCTTCCATTTATTCCTGGGATAATGCTACTAGAGGTTTAGATGCCTCAACTGCCTTAGAGTTTACTCAAGCTATTCGTGCTGCAACTAATCTTTTAAACAATTCTGCTTTAGTTGCAATCTACCAAGCCGGTGAAAACATTTATCAATTGTTTGATAAAGTTACTGTTCTTTATTTGGGAAAACAAATTTATTTTGGTCCTGCTGGTGAAGCTCGTGCTTATTTCGAAAAAATGGGTTGGTATAAACCTGATCGTATGACTACTCCTGAGTTCTTAACCTCTATTACTGATCCAAATGGAAGATTTCCAAAACCTGGATACGAGAACACAATCCCAAAAACAGCCGATGAATTTGAACAATATTGGTTAAATTCCTCTGAATATCAAAATTGTTTAGCCGAATATGATCAATATATTGTTGATCATCCTGCTGATGACACAAGACAAAGATTAGCTTTAGCTACTACTCAAAGAAAACAAAAGTTTCAAAGAAAGCAATCTCAATTTGTGGTCACTTACTTTTCTCAATTATTCTATTTAATTCAAAGAGGTTTCCAAAGAGCTAAGGGTGATTTAACTTACCAAGTTATTTATCTTTCTTCTTTCTTAACTAAAGGTCTTATTGTTGGTTCTATGTTTTATAAAATCCCTTCTGGAACAGATGGTGTTTATTCTAGAGGAGGTCTTTTGTTTTATTGTTTATTGTTCTGTGCTTTAACTTCTCTTGCTGAAATTGCTCATTCTTTTGAACATAGACCCATTGTTGTAAAACAAAAAACATATTCAATGTATCATCTTTCCGCCGAGGCTTTGCAAGAAATCGTCACTGAAATTCCTATTAAATTTATTGGTGTGATTATTCTCTGCTTGACATCATATTGGATGCCTCATTTAAAACATGAAGCCGGTGCCTTTTTCCAATATATGCTATTTTTATTGTTGATTCAACAATGTATGTCTTTTATCTTTAAGTTTGTTGCAACAATTACCAAAGATGGTGGTACTGCTCATGCTATTGCAGGTTTATGGATTTTAATGTTATCTGTTTATACTGGCTTTATTATTCCTTTGCCCAAAATGCATCATTGGATAAAATGGATCAACTGGTTAAACCCAATGAGATATACTTATGAACAATTGTTAGCCGTTGAATTTCATGGAAAGAAAATGGCTTGTGATAACTTGATTCCTTCTGGTAATGGTTATGAAAATGTTTCTATTGTCAACCAAATCTGTTCCGTTGCTGGTTCTATTGCCGGTCAAGATTGGGTTTCAGGTGATTCTTATATTACCTCAAAGTTTAGATACCATTATTCTCACGTTTGGAGAAACTTTGGTATTAATATTGCTTGGACCGTTGCATTTATTATATTAAATGTTCTTTTCTCTGAGTTTATGAAAAATGTTGAAGGAGGTGGTGATATGTTGTTGTATAAAAGAGGCCATTTGCCAAAAGATGCTTCCGAAGCTATTGATGGAAAGGTTGCTTCAAGAGAAGAAATGATGGTAGCTCTTAATGGTCCCAATGTTGATTTGAAAAAAGTTATTGCTGTAAAAGATGTTTTTTCATGGCAAAATCTAAACTACACTATTCCTTATGATGGAGCAACAAGAAAATTATTAGATAACATCCAAGGTTATGTTAAACCAGGTACTATGACTGCTTTAATGGGTGAATCAGGGGCAGGTAAAACTACTCTATTAAATACTCTTGCTCAAAGAATTAACTTTGGTGTTATTACCGGTGACATGCTAGTTAATGGTAGACCAATTGACTCTTCATTTAAAAGAAGAACAGGTTATGTTCAACAACAAGATTTGCATTTATCAGAATACTCTGTCAGGGAATCTCTTAGATTTGCAGCTGATTTACGTCAACCTAAAGACGTTCCTCAATCAGAGAAATATGAATATGTTGAAAAAATTATTGATTTATTGGGTATGCAAAACTACGCTGAAGCTGTTGTTGGTAAAATAGGTAGAGGTTTGAATGTTGAGCAAAGAAAAAAACTTTCTATTGGTGTTGAATTAGTTGCCAAACCTTCATTGTTACTTTTCCTTGATGAACCAACCTCTGGTTTGGACTCGCAGTCTGCCTGGTCAATTATTCAATTTTTAAGGGCTCTTGCTGATTCTGGACAAGCTATATTGTGTACCATTCATCAACCTTCTGCTACTTTATTTGAAGTTTTTGATAGATTATTATTGTTAAAAAAGGGGGGTAAAACAGTGTACTTTGGTGACATTGGTGAAAATTCATCTTCTTTATTAAACTACTTTGAAAGACAATCTGGTGTTAAGTGTGGAAAGTCTGAAAATCCAGCTGAATATATTCTTAATCGTATTGGTGCTGGTGCCACTGCCTCTGCATCCTCTGACTGGCACGATTTGTGGATACAATCGCCTGAATACGCTAGTACCACTCGAGAAATTGCCTTGTTACATCAAGAGTTGCCTAAAAAACCAATGCCTGAAAATTCTGATGTTTTAAAGTCAAGATTTGCTACTTCATATAATAAACAAATGTGGTGTGTTCTTAAAAGGACTTTTATTCAATTCTGGAGATCACCAGTTTATATCAGAGCTAAATTTCTTGAATGTCTTTTATGTGCTTTATTTGTTGGTTTCTCATTTGTTGGTTTAAATCACTCTATTTCTGCTGCTAATGGAGCCATTTCTTCTGTTTTCATGGTTCTTTTAATTTCATTAGCTATGATTAACCAATTGCACGTTTTTGCATACGATACAAGAGAGTTATTTGAAGTTAGAGAAGCAGCTTCCAATACTTTCCATTGGTCTTGTTTGTTATTGTCTCATACATTTGTGGAAATTTTCTGGAGTACAATATGTGAATTCCTTTGTTTCTTGTGTTTTTGGTTCCCTGCTAGACAAAGTGGATGGAGCGTTACAACTGGTTATTTCTTCTTGGTTTATGTTATTATGTTTCCAATTTATTTCTGCTCTTATGGTTTGTGGGTTTTATACTTTTCACCAAATGTTCCATCCGCCTCCATGATTAATTCCAACTTATTTGCTTCTATGTTGTTATTTAATGGTATTTTGCAACCGGCTCAATTTATGCCAGGATTCTGGACTTTTATGTACAAAGTTTCTCCATATACCTATTTTGTTCAATCATTTGTTGCTCCATTGGTTCACAACAGACCAATTCATTGTTCTAAAGATGAATATTTGGTTTTTGATCCTCCAGAAAATCAATCCTGTGGCGAATTTATGTCAACTTATATTGAGGATAATGGGGGTTACATGGAAGATGCTGATGCTAGTTCAAGCTGTCATTACTGTGAATTTACTACTCAAGAAGAAGTAGTTGGTCAGTTTAATATCAAATGGTCTTACAGGTGGAGAAACTTTGGGTTCTTTTTTGTTTACATCATCTTCAATTTTGCTGCTATGTTGATTTGTTATTATTACATGAGAGTAAAAGTCTGGTCCTTTAAATCTATTTTAGATTTCAAGAGCTGGTTCAATGGCCCAAGAAAAGAAAGACATGAACCAGAAACCAACATTTTTGCTGAGAAAGCTGGTGATGATAATTTTATTAAACCAAAGAAAGAAAATTAGATTAATTCTACGATATTCTGTTGTCATATCAAATACATATTCTTTTTAAAAATATTCTTAATAACTAATATTCAACTACATCTTTTTATATTCCTAATTAAAAATTAATAGATTTTTGTTTTTTATACTATTTGCATTTGTTTTATATATCTTGAAATAAGAGATAGGTATCTAAACGTATTAAATATTCTTACAATAAATATTTCTAAATATTTTGGTTTTGAAAACCAAAAGAACGAGAAACAAAATGTTGGCTCTTATACCTCATGCATTGTATGGAAACTTAAAAGTGGGCATATAAACCGATGTTAAGAGAAAAAGTAGTTTGACCTTCTTTCACTATTATTTATCAAGTTTCTGATAATGTATGTACAGTTATATCAAGTTGTAAATCTTCCCAGCTCTTTTTGATCAACTAACAGCAAATTAACCTCTCAATTCAAAAGGTCGAGTATTATAAAAGTACGTATAGTTAAGATAGTCTTTTGTCAAGCATCTTGTAAACTCATTTACTAACCTTTCGCTCATCACTCTAGTTATCAATACAAGGAATACGATCTTTTGATCCTTCTCAAAAAGAAACGATTGAATTTGGCTTGCCATTGACTCTTATTGTTGGGCAAAATGGTTCTGGTAAAACCACAATAATTGAGTGTTTGAAATATGCCACCACTGGAAATCTACCTCCAAATAGTAAAGGTGGTGCTTTTATTCACGATCCAAGAATCACTGGCGACAAAGAAATCAAAGCTCAAATCAAATTAGCTTTTAATAATGCAAATGGTATCTCAATGATTTGCACAAGATCAATGCAGTTAATTTTGAAAAAGACTACTCAAACATTCAAGACATTGGAGGGCATATTGGTTGCTTTGAATAGAGGTGAGAGAACAACAATATCTACTCGATGTGCTGAACTAGATTCTCAGATTTCGTTATATCTAGGTGTTTCTAAGGCTATTTTGGAGTATGTTATTTTTTGCCATCAAGATGATAGTTTATGGCCATTATCCGAACCTTCGATTTTGAAAAAAAGATTTGATGAAATATTTGAAGCTTTGAAATTTACCAAAGCTCTAGATAACTTAAAGGCTATTAAAAAGGACATGGCAATCGATACAAAATTATTGCAACAAAGAGTTGAGTACTCCAGAAATGACAAAAATAAAGCTAATAAAATAAAAGGTAACATTGTTGCATTGAAAGAATTAATTGAGACCTACCAAAATGAATCTGTGGAACTCACTCAAAAACTTTCTCGAATTTCAGAGAAAATCAACAGACTTTTTCAATCAAATAGGGATTATGAAAAAATCATTAGTTCAATTGAAAGGTTAAATTACGAAAGAAGATCGATGGGCGAGCAAATCAATGCATTAGAATCATCCATTAAATATTTGCCTGATTCAAGAGACCAATTGACTGAGAAATTAGCAAAATTTGAAGAATATGTGGTCTTAAAAACAAAAGAATTGGAAAAAAATAAAGCATTGTTGGAGAATAAAAAAGAAAATTTAAACCAGGTTCGTTCTGTTTATACATTGAAAACAGGAGAAAAGGGTAAACTAGAAGCATTGAAAGAGACTTATGAATTGAAAGTCAACAAAAGATCAAAATTAATTAGAAACTACTCATCAATTTTAAATCTCTCTTTTGAAAACTATCAACACGAAAATGATTCTTTGTATTCTAAAAAATTTAGATATCAATTAGAAGAAATTTCATATACTAAAACAAGTTCGTTAGACAATATCAAAGAAAAAAACCAAAATAAAATTAGTTTGTTATCGTCCAAATTAAATGAGTTAAAAGACGCAAAACTAAAAGATCAAGAACACAGAAAATATTCTATTGATGATATGCAGGGATTAGAACAAGAAAATACTAATATTAAGCAACAATTGAATAAAAATAATATAAATGAAGTCGATATGGAATACGAAAAATCTCAACTACAAGTCATAAAAGATAAATTAGTCAAGTTAAAAGAATCAAATGAGATTCAGTTACTTAATGATGAAATTTTGAAAAAAAAATATTCAATTGTTCAAATGGAAACTGAATGTGAAGAGCTAGCAAAGGAATTTTCAATTGCGTCAGCTCAATCTGAGCTACACGCTAAGTTATCCGTGCTTAATAGTGATAAAGTTTATCATCAAAAAGCCATAGATTCGATTATTAACAAACATTCATCTGATTTTGAAAAATTGGTTAATAAAAAATTAGATGTAAAATCATCAAATTCATATTTGCAAGAATTTTATAATAATTGCAATATTGAAACAAATAGGTTGAAAAAGGAACATGATGGGTTGAACCATAGTGTTTCTAGAGTTGAAGAAACTTATAAAAATACTAAAGAAAACTTGGATTCATTAAACCAACAATTCAAAAAATGCGAAAAGATAATCAATGAAACATTACCTGAGGATACTCCTGTTGAAGAGTATGAAGATTTTGTTAAAGGGATAGAAACCGATTATGAAACAGCCTTGGAAAACGATAAAATATATAATGTAACGAGAGAATTTAATATGAATGCTTTAAAAATTGCTGAAAAGGATAAATATTGTGTTTTATGCAGAAGAAGTTTTAATTCACATGAACTTGGAAAGATTTTAAAATTCTTTCAAGATCAAGTGAAGAGAAGTTCAACAAATGATTACTTGGAAGAAGTTGAGAGAATAAAATCAGATTTGGATATTGCTCGAAGTATTTCGAATGATGTCTCTAGATATAGACAATTAAAGGGAAAAGAAATTCTACATTTGGAGCAGAGATTGAAGGAAAATTTAGAGCAATTTGAGAAAGCCAAGATTGAATGTAATAATAAATATGAAGAACTTAAAAAACTGAAGGCGGTTTTAAGCGGAGTTGAATCATTATTAAATCCAATCAGAGAACTTTTTAGGAAAAGCAACGATTTAAACAATCTTGATAATGATATTCAAAATATTGAGAATGAGTTGGCCAGTTTTGGTGTTTCACCAAAATCTATTCAAGATTTACAGAGGATTCAAAATGAAAAGAATAATGAGTTGAAAAACATTAGAAATGGTATGAGTGAATTGGTCCAACAGTTGCAAAATAAAAAAGATGAAATTATGAGAAATGAAAATTTAGTGAATACAAAAAGATTGCGTGTTAAAACGTTAGAAACAGAATTAATTGATCAAACTAACAAACAGAATAGTATTACGTTGAATAATTTAAAGATGGAAAGTTTAAAAAAAGTTATTGGCCAATACGATGATAGAATCAGTGATCTTGAGAATAAAATAAATACTTTGGTAGCTGAGTTGAATCAAACCAAAGACACCTTTTTAGCTGAGGAGAATAATCTAAGCAGGGAAATTGAGGTATTAAAAAATCTTTTGTCTCAGTTTGTAGAGCTTGATGATTTCATAAATAATTACATTAGCAATGAAGCTATTAGGCTAAAAACATGTATTGAGGAGGTTGATGAGTTAGACTCTAAAATTGAGTCGGCTCAGTTTGAAATTTCAAATTTAGACGAGGAAATTAAAAAGGAAAGTGCAGAAATTGCAGATACAGATAAGGAAAAACGAAATATAGAGGGTAATTTGCAATTATTCTCGTTAAATAAACAATTTGAATTAGTAAACAGTGAAATTGAAGAATTGAAGTCTCAGAATGCTGAAGCAGAAAGAGAAAAATACTTGGAAGAAAGCAAAAGATTGGATTCCAAGAAAAATCAACTAAACGGATTGTATTCAGCAAAATTGGGGGAAATAAAACAAATAGAACTTCAAATTAAAGCATTAGAGAACGAATTGAAAGTTGAATACAAGGACATTGACAATTTTTACCACCAAGAATGGATAAAATTGCAAACCAAATTACTAGTTTCGGAAGATATTGGGACATATTCCAAAGCATTGGATAATGCTATCATGAAATACCATAGTATTAAAATGCAAGAAATCAATCGGATCATCGATGAATTGTGGAAAAAAACGTATAGTGGAACAGATGTTGATACTATTTTAATTAAAAGTGATATTAATACAAGCAAAAGCAACAATCGGTCATACAACTATAGGGTCGTTATGGTTAAACAGGATGTTGAATTGGATATGAGAGGCAGATGTTCTGCAGGACAAAAGGTACTAGCCAGTATCATCATTCGGTTGGCACTAGCAGAGTGCTTTGGTATCAACTGTGGAATGATTGCACTTGATGAGCCCACAACCAATTTAGACAGTGACAATATTGAATCGCTAGCCAAATCGTTGAGTGCAATTGTGGATATGAGAAGGGCGCAACGAAACTTCCAGCTAATTGTCATCACCCACGACGAAGATTTCTTGAACCACATGAACGCTTCGAAATACACAGACCACTTCTTTAGGGTCAGTCGAAACGAAAGACAAAAGTCAGAGATTTCAAGAGAGAGTTTATAGTTTTGAAAGCTTTGTGGTGATGAGGTCCACCACAAAGGATCGGTCCACCACAAAGGGTCAATCTGCACATGTGCGTCCGCTTGCATAGATGTCACGGGACTGTTTTCCGTGAACTGAAATTTGAGATTCGGATGTGAATTGGAGTCGACAACACAAAGAGAGTGATTTGGTGGCGATGTTTTGGAGGTCGAAGGAGGCAAAACAGAGTTCTGAAGCAGCTGGGCCTGTTGAAGAGGTTTCGCAGCACACATTGAACCTACCTGACGATCTATTGCAGTTTTTGCAAAGCCAAACACCAAGAGACAAGATTGACTATTCGCTAGACTTGACTGAAGATGGACTTTCCAATAGACACCAATATAAACAGACCAAACAAGTAAAGCTGTATCTCGAGAGCAATCCAGAAAATGCAGTCATGAAGGAAAACTGCTCACTAGTTCAGCAGAGAATAAGAGATTGTATTAAATCACAGTCAGCATTGAAATCATACAGATGTCTCCAGATGACTGAGCTATACAAAGAATGTTTGGCAGTTCAGGAGTTTGCATTGAAGGATTTGGGCTATAACAGGTCTCAATCAGTTGAGCAGGCAGAGAAAATTCAGGGAATAGCCGACGACTTGTATGTCAAATACTATGGCGAACAAGGCGAGATAGTTGATCAACATCAAAGAGACGAATTCTGTCATGAGGTTGCAGAAATGAAATATAAGATATGGGATTCCAATATTCGCAAGTAATTTCTGCAAAATTCCGTTATTCCAATTCTGTATATATGCTTTGTATCTATAATATAACACTATCGAAAAATATCACAACCAAGAAGCTACAGTGTATTTACGTTTGGTTGAGAAAGGCATGATCTGTATGAATATATTTTTTTCTACCAAAAATCGACACTCAATTTTTTGTTGATTAAATAAGAAACCTAAGAAAAGCCGATAATGAGTTGAGCCTTATATTACTACTACAATTTTCTGCTAAATTGGAGGATAATAGATAAATACAATTGAAATTTAATGTATATCTGTTATATCTTGATCTGAAAATGGTCAAGTGAATTTTAAGTTATATCAGTATACGTAAAATGCATGTATACTATACTAGCATTACCGGCAACAGCCAATACTCGTATCCATTGAATAGTTCAAGAAGAATAAAAAGGAGAAAAAGAATTACTCAACAGAGTTTCTAATACTGTTTTCTCGGCCAGCATTACAATTATTTTCAATAATCCAACACTATGTGTTTAACTCAAGAATTTTTTGTACTAATTGCAACGAATAACTGGATTGTTGATTTCATTCACAATATTCTAAGCTGTCTTCCTTTAGATAAGGTATGGTTGTTATCGTTGGCATATGAACCATGGGGCAATAGATCAAAAATCATACTATATCTGCACATTAAAATGAAGATTACACCATATAATTATAACTCAAACAATACTCCTTTCATCTTTAATTCTAATAGACCCAAAATTTTGTGTTTAAATTTGAATTCATTTGATTTGTTTAAAAAATATACTGATGAGTATTTAAAAAAGTTAAAAGTGGTTTCTGATATTGATCTTTTTGATTCTTTTGTCTACTTAAACACACTCGATATAAAATTATCAAATTTACAACTTTTAAAAATGCTTTCCTTATTCGATCGCGATTGTTTGTATCTCAATTTTTTTAAAAGTATGAATTTTCACTACTTTAGATTAAATTATGACTTTTTTGAAATTAACTTTACTACTAGAAGTCATTCCCAACTAATAGAATATTTAAATAAAAAATTATTTTCGATTGAAGAATTTAGAAAAAAGATTATTTTTTTTTTTCAAGATTGCAAAGACTTTTCATTATTTTTAACGTCAATATCTTTCAAAATGAAAAAACCGGATCTTCTGCCGCTTGTTATTTACGATTTTTTATACCAATGGCTTTTAACAAAGATCGATTTATCTAATAACTACTTATTTTCGATTCCAGATCTTGGTATTAAGCTAGTGCTAAAACACCTTGACTTGAGTAATAATAACATTTCAGAACTTGATAATTATTCCCTTTTATATAATTTGAAGATTTTAAATATATCAAACAACAAAATTAATAAAATTAATAAAATTCAATCTATATTTTATGAAACTCTAGAAACACTCGATATAAGTGGAAATCAATTACTGAAAATAGAAGGATTAGAAACCCTTGCTAACCTTAAAGTTTTAAATTTATCCAACAACAAAATTTCAAAATTGGAAAATCTAGAATTATTGAAGAGTCTTGAAGTATTTAATTGTTCTAATAATTTAATTCAAAGTTTGGATAACATATCAGGACTTTGCAATATTGAAGAATTAGACTTATCATCTAATAAACTTGAATTTCGAAATTTTATTGATGAGCTTTTAACGTTGAAAAAATTAAAAAGAATTAATATTTGTGATAATGGATTTCCCGAAGCTGATCGATTGAGCAAATTGATTCTTTTGATTGGTAAAGTTGGTTTGAATAAACGTGGTTTTAGAATAGGGGATGAGTATGTATTACAAAATGAAATTTTAAAAATTCTCCAGAGTGAAAGAATTAGGTTATTTAATATTCTTCACAACAATGTTGAATATAAATCAATAGAATTAAAAGAAAAAACTGAATGCGATTGGTGTGAATTTTGGAAAGTTAATGCTAATATTAAAAATAAGCATGAAGAAGGAGAACTAATTTTAAAAAACAAAATATTTAATTTGATTAAATTACAGGTTTTTTTTGTTGATTCTTGGGTATCATTATTGGCTGTAGGAAAAGATTTTCTTAAGCAAGATCTGGACATTGTAAGTCCTTATTCGCAGGATGATTTTTATAATCAATTTTTTCTACCATTTAGGATTTTAGCCAAAGAATATGAAACTCATTTGGTAATACCCTTAATTGAATTATTGGTAGTTCAAGCAGAAAACATTGGTGATAACTGGGTCGAAGTATTTCAAAAGTCTGTCGGTAAAGTCAAAGAGGCTTTGCTAAATTTTTATAAAATTTTCTGCAAACCGGCCCAATTTCTTGAATTGATGAATAAAATAAATCAACATAATAAATCAAATCAGCTTCAAAAATATAATGATTGGAAAGAAAAATTAGAAGGAAAAAAAATAATGAGTAAATCAATGTTTTCATATATTACTACTCAGCATTTTAATTTAATTAGTGAAAGTATTATTAAGATTAAAATAATAGGAGATGAATTAAGAAGACAAAAAACCAACTCTCTATTAAAAGAAAAATGCCAACACGTTATTCTGGAAATGAAGGATGTTGGGTTTGAAATAAATAAAGCTTATTTATTGAATGAAGTAAAACAATTCCAGTCGCTATTAAATTATAAGTTTATCAAAAAATCCCTGAAAACAAGTCAATTGAAAATATTTTTTGCAAAAAAATCCCAATCATCTAAACACTCCAAAATACTATTTTTGCTATTAATTAATAGTTGCTTGAGTGTGGTATCACTTCTGCTTGAAAAATACAGTTTTGAATTTGAGTTTCAGCCTGTTGATATCAAAAACTTGACTTTTAAAGTTGACCAAAAAGTAGATAGTGATCAAAGTAAAATCAAAATTGTGAACTTGAAAACCCAAGAAAAGTATCAATTGTTTGTTTACGGCTACGATTATTTTATAAAGATCGTTACAGAAAGACTTAAGGAGCATCAGCAAGAGTAGATTTAAAAGATAGCAAATGCTGAACGACCAAGCTGCGAACCTATGGATAGCATGTTTGATCATTCCATTATCGAAATCTCAATTTATGCAGCTGTTTGTGCACCATCTTCCACTGAGGTTTCAGGAAACAGAGCCAAAAAACTGTTCTAGATCATCAAAGACGTTCATTGTATGGGGCCTACCCATGAGGGTGGGAACAACAGCGTCTCTGCAGATCCAGACGGAGACACAGCCCCGTGCTTTCCGGGAATTGTTTACCATGGCTGATGTGGAGCGCACCAGCCACGGTGATAGTTCCCAGCAGGCGAATCGAACCTGCGACCGGATTTCGAGGTCTACGAAAAGCGAGATGGTAACAATCCAATTATATGTGTGTATTTGGGGGTTTCCAGGCTGGGAAACCGTTGCATTGAGTCATAACCTCAACGATGCCAGCTGGATTTGCTGTGCTTTTGTTGATGGTCGAGATACGTCTGAGTCTGGGTGATCTTCGTCAGAGTTGTTGCTGCACTTTGCCAAAACATTTCTCAAAAGATAGGCTAAAGCTAACCTAGTTTCTTCAGATCCTTGCATTCAAAAATGAGTTATTCGTTGACGGTTATTGCATCAAATTCGGAATTTGAGAGCAGTCAGATACTAGGAAATATCCACAGTTACTTGCAAAGTTTACCAATCAGAAATCTAGTTCTAATCAACTTATCAATCAATAAAGCTGTTGAATTTCAATTTGACATAATCGATAACAATAATAACGAGTTTGAAAAATACTACAAAATTTTCAAAACGTACCAGTTGAATAAAAAATTTGGAACAAATGTGGACTTGATTTTTCAAAAAATTGGAAAAAGAAAAACCCAGAAATTGATTGTATTTGATATGGATTCCACTCTTATTTACCAAGAAGTTATCGAGCTAATAGCTAGCTATGCTAATGTTGAAGAAGAAGTCAAAAGAATAACAACTTCAGCAATGAATGGAGAAATTGATTTTAAAGAGTCACTAAGACAGAGAGTCCTATTACTAAAAGGTATAGACTCAACCGAAATTTGGGATGAGTTAAAATATAGAATTCAAATCACAAATGGGGCTAAAGAATTTTGCTATGGAATTAAAAAAAAAAACAACTGTAAATTGGCTGTTTTAAGTGGTGGTTTTTTGCCATTAGCTAATTATATCAAGGAGCAATTGAATTTAGATTATGCGTTTGCAAACGTATTAGAAGAAGTCGATGGAAAATTAAGTGGTAGAACTGTCGGAGAAATAGTTGATGGAGATAAAAAAGCAGAATTATTAATTCAAATTGCACAAGAAAATAATATCGGGTTTGAAGACATTGTCGCAGTTGGAGATGGAGCAAATGATTTAAAAATGATGAGCAAAGCAGGTTTTGGTATTGCATGGAATGCAAAACCAAAAGTTCAAGGATTAGCACCTTCATGTTTAAATTCAACAAGTTTAAAAGATGTTTTCTATATATTTGGATACAATGATAATGAAGTTGGTGAATTAATCAACAACTAGAATTTATATAGTACAAATTTAGAATAAAAGATAATAAAGTGAAATAAAGTGAAATAAAGTGAAATAAAATAAAATAAAATAAATAAAATAAATAAAATAAATAAAATGAAAATGCTTTTGTTATTAAAATCAAAAAGCCATTTTTCCAGTGAATTGAGGATTGAAAAATTGACTTTCAATCGCTTTGAATGCTCTTCTGTTTTCTTAAAGCATGTCAAAGCATAAAACTGTAAAATTCACGCATACATATGCACATATTACGCAATGTTATGTGAAAACACATACGCTCCGCTGTGGTGGTTTCAAGGAGTTGTAACATTATATTTTTTGAATTTTGATTGATTTGCCATTTCAATGAATATTCTATTTGTTTATGGCTTATGGCTAGGTTGTTCTTTTGAATTTATGAATATTTATTCTAAAAATCTTTTTTGTATTTAACAATTGCATTTACCGATTTCTATAAGCATTCAATTATCTACATTATTTTCTTTGTTTTTACCATCTCTCATATTAATCGGAAAAAAAAAGGAAAACAAAAATAGTTACCAATCAAACAAAAATGTCTTCAAATATTTTAGATACACTTTATGCTTATTTCCTTGAATTCAATAACTACCTTAATTCATTGCCAACTATCTACAGAATTCTTGTTTTATCAACTGTTGCTTTTGCTTTGGCTTCTTTACATATCAAAATAACTAATGGTGGAATGACCCGTCAAGCAAAAATCCAAAAAATTGCTAAAGCAAGACATGAATTATCAAAACAAAATGAACAAAAACAACCAGATGCTTCAGACACTTTAGATGATGCAGCTGCTTCTACTACTTCAACTGATTTTAACAACAACAAAATTAAATCTAAGAAGACCTAAATTTTCTCTTTCCAAAACAAAAAAAAATTGATGCTTTTATTATCTGTTTTTTTTTCCACTTTGTTTTTTTCCCCATTACATATTTTATACTTTCATGCAACTTATGTTCGATTAGTTTGATGAGTTTGATTCAATTTTTTGATTTTTTGACTTTTACTGATCTTTATCGGTTTTTGCCTTGATTTAATTCCGTTGTTATTACTAAAAAGAGTTATATAGTCAATGAATTAAGTCATCTATTAATTTTGATTTTCTTTTATAACAGAAAAGAAACAAATAACAAAAACAGAAAAATAAAAATTTGTAGAACTAAATTGATTTATCTAATAACCTTTCTCTTTGTTTATAAAGCATTAACATGGATCTCTGGTGTTGGTTTAATAACTGCCTCGACTAACAAACTTACAACTTCATCTTTCTTTTGAGCAGCTGTTTCCTTCAATTTTTCAACCTCAGCTTGAACTGTAGCAGCCGCCTCCTTATCAGCATTGATATTCAATCCGCTATGTTCTTCTTCAAATTTTTTTAATTCTAGTTCTTTCTTTTTCTTATACTCTTGAATTTCTTTAGCTGCGTCCAATTTGGCTGCCTTTAATTTCCCAGTACGATCTATAGTCAAATTGCACCAAAAAGTTAGTCATTGCCCATATTCGCAGCAAAAGGAATTAAATAACGGTGATGTTTTACTTACATTGTCTAGCTTCGGAAACAATTTTGTGAGCATCTCTTTCAGCTTTTAAAAGAGTTTGAATACCTTGATTTGATGACTATTAGCAGTTCAGTAAAAAAATTTAATCCAAATGTTAGTTTGCCCTGTCAATTCGGATCAGTTCTCTCAGTCTAAACGGTTGTCACATACCATCTTTCCAATTTAGCTACCAGTCGTCTTAAAACAATTCCAACGAGAACGATGATGCTTCTCTTTTGCTTCTCTTTTGCTTCCAATCTCAGGTTTGCAACCATTTCAAAAATAACAAATGCAGACCTCGGAATATAGGAACACACGTGCGTACTATTGGAATTCGGCATTTTGGAATTTTGATTTATTTTTTTTTTTTCAAAACGAAGAGATGAATTTTTGAGATTTGATGGATTTCAGCTTTGATCTTTCCTCAGACATGAAAATTGCTGGTGTAATATTCCAAATATGGGCCCAGGATCACAGAAAGCAGTGAGGTTTGAATCCCTATGCAAAATATGCCATTCTTCTCAATCAATATACAAATGTCCTGCTTGTTTGTGTAAAACATGCTCCCTTCTCTGTTCCAATACACACAAATTGCAGTTTCAATGTAAAGGTTTTGTTGATTCAACAAAATATCATTCGAAATCAGAGATAGCTCAACATTCAGATATTATTTTAGGAAGAGATTACAATTTTTTGTTAAAGGTTGGTAGGAAAATCGAAGTTAGCAAAAATGATGAAAACTTTATAAAATTAGAGAAATCCATTCTAAGTAATCAAAATACTCATCGAGCAAATTTCCAAAAAAATATCATGTTGAACAATGGCGACCATTTGACGATAAACAACAATAATCATTACTATAAAAACAAGAAATATAAAATTATCAAATTGCCCCATGGCATGAACAGATCCAAAAAAAATAGGTCCGGTTATGACAATAAAAACACTTCATCAAATGCTTTTTACTGGACTGTAGAATGGGCATATTTGAACTCAGAATTATTAACCAGTTCCAAAAAGATTGATTCTAATCTTGAAAAATTTTACTCAAAGAAGTTTTTCACCGATAGATTGTTAGATTCTAGTAAAATTAAAGACATGATATTAAAGCAGCACAGGAAAGATTATTGGTCAAAATGTTATAACGAGTTCAAAGGAATAAATGAAAATAAAACTGGAGACTCGGCAGCAGCAGCAAAATTATCTAAATCTCAACTCACTGAAATAGTTGATCAAAAATATCCCTTACCGAGTTACGATCTTTTTATTCGAAAAATTGATTCTCCTGCAAATACAATGGTATTAATAAGAGCAATCAACGATATAAATGATCCAAAAAATGATCAAATTTCTATAGCCGATGTGTTGAGTGATGTGACAGTAGTTGAATATCCAATTTTTTTTCTATGTGAGTCAGGAAGGTTGAATAGCATTTCCAAAATATCTATCATAAATAAGAATGATGGATCTAGAAAAATCAATAATGACAAGAAAACATCAAACAATCTTGTCAAATACAATGAATCTCTGGATTCTTCTGATAGTGATAGTACTACTGATAGTAAAAGCGAAAGCGAAAGTGAAAGTGAAAGTGAGAGTGAAAGTGATAGTGATAGTGATAGTGATGAACCTCCAGACGAAGATCCAATTTCATGAAATTGTTTTTGAGTTACAACTATTAAATTATAAAGATAATATTTATGAAGATAAGCAATTTTATATCAGCAGGATAATATGTAGTTTTCATTGTAATTTAACGTTTTTTTTATGGATTCTCTATGCCCATCGCAGTTAGCACTTCTTTAGATTGTAAAATATACATTGCAATCCTATGACCAGCTTTTTGTTTGTTAGTATCAATAGCATAGCAAATTGGAAAATTCAAGTAGAATAGTGTTACTCTAACATTTAACATATTCAATCTTTCAATTGCATATCTAGGTAGAGGTTTTTTATTTCTACTTAATAAAACATGTAACCTATCTTTTGCTCCAAAATCAATTGGAATTTTTTGAATAGGTGGAATTTCATATGGTTTTTCAAACAATTTCTGAAGTTCAATTACTTTGCTATCTGGATTTTTGTTATACAATGGATCAACATTGGTGGCATATGAGTTACTATTTGAGTGCTGGTGAGAATTTATTGGATTCTGATATGGATTGATTTGAAAACCGAGAATATTATTGGTATTGTAACTGTTTGGCAGATTATTAAAACCAGTAGAGTTACTTGGGCCAGTATTTGTATTTGATAAAGATATCTGAGAAACTCGAGTGTCAATTTGTGATGGCATGTATGGATTTTTGTTTGTTTGAGGGACTGCAAGTTCATTTCTATTATAAACTGGAGTTGATTCTGAATCTTTTAGATATACTAAATAGGGATTTGGGATTGAAGAGGTATCACCACCAAGCCTCTCTTTTTCAGCATCATATTTTGCTAGCAATGTTTCTCTTTTTTGAGAATAGAATTCTATTCTTGATTTATTTTTAAGTGAATCAGCAGCAGCATTTTGACCAGCCTTCTTCAAGTTTCCAGCAACACCAGTTCCCAATACCTCACCAAGATATCTGCATTCAACAGTGCTACTAAGGTCTGATTTCTTTACGGTAAAGTATTCAGGTTTTGCAAATTTTGAGCCCAAGAGGGCATATAAAACTTCTTTAGGCTGTTGTTCATTATTGTTAGTTTCATCCTTTGTAGTGTTTTTGTCTTGCATAGAACCAAATTCAGAACTTATATATTCTTTAATTGTTGGTGTGAATAGCTCTTTTAACCAAGCAAAGACGAAATTCAAGTTTCTGTTTTTACGAATACTATCTTGCACTAAACCACCAACATAGGCCTCAAAACAATCTGAAATTATTTTCTTGCCACCAGTAGAAAAATTGGTTCCAACACTACACTGTAATTTTTTATCAAAACCATATATCTCAGCAAACGTTAATAATGAGTTATTACACACGACTTTGGCTCGCAATTTGGATAAATTGCCCTCATCTAGGTTGGGAAAATTCTCAAACAACATGACAGTGACAAAATTATTCAAATATGAATCGCCCAAAAACTCTAGTCTTTGATTATTGACAATTCCCTTAACAGAAGCATGAGTAAAAGCTTCTATGTAGATTGAGCGATCCTCAATTTCTGGTAGAGTTGGAGGCCATGATTTGTTTTGATTTGAGTATCCAGAGGTTGAAACCAAAGATTTTTTTGAGCTTTGAAATGGTTCTTTATATGTGAAATCGTATTCAAAGTTCAATTTTGGTGTATCACTCTTAGTCTGACCAATGGACGAATTGTTTCCTTTTAAAACAGTGTCATTGTTGAATTGTATTATATCGTCAAAAATGCCCAATTTTCCTTGAAGATACAATTCTTTCAACTGGGAACTCAATTTGAAGATGGGTTTTTGCAAAAGTAACCACTTTTTATCGACAACAGAGCCGGGATCCGAGAGAAAATTTTCAATTTCACTTGGAGAAGGAGAAAACTTGATGATGTTATCCAAGCCAGACTTCAAGCCCTTGACTGAATGCTGGAGCTTTAAAAGCTGAGTGTAATCGCTCGAGATGATATTCAGGCTGTTTTGCTGATCTATCTTCGTCTTTTTGGTGCCTGGATCAGAATTAGCGAGTTTTCTCTTTCTGGCAGGATCAATGATGTTGGCATTGTTGCTCTCCATTGTTAAGAGCTGGGGGAGTGTGAAACTGGATATAAACAGCAAGCAGAGCAGGAAATGGTCAAGAAAGCACCCAAAAAACAGTAAAGGGTTGTGTTAGAGAAATCAAAAAAGGTTCAGCTCCAGAAAATAAAAATTTACACAAGAACGGAAAGAATTCGACCCAGCTCAAAGCAAAAAGTCCCACCGAGGAAGAGCAGTTTATTCGAATCTATATATCTACAGCTACAGTGCATCTTCTACAGCCTGTTTGTTCTTCATTGTTGACACATAGTCGATTCTGAAGTCCTGCAATTCAAACTCAGTGGGCCAGGGCCAGTTGGTGAACCTGAAGTCGTCCTTGCAAGTCTCGTAGGAGATATGCTCATCAGCAGAGTCTGGGACATCACCAGCAACTGCCTCTTTCAAGTTGCTTTCAGCATGTTTTCTTAGTACGTTGGCAACATCTTCAGGCAAGCTGGCCATCAAGTGCAACAAGCACCTTTTGTTGGGATTGAAGCTTAGTCTTTCCCACCATCTCAAGATGTCTGATAGGTGGTCCAAGTAGTTGTACTTGAATAGCACTTTGATATATAGAATCCATAGCTCATTGGAGGGCAAAACATAATCGTCAAATGAGTTCTGAATGCTCTCACTCTCAGCATTCTCATCTTCCTCCTTCAAATTCGAAAACCTCACCCATTTTTTGAACTCACTAATAGCCACTTGAACAGCATATTTATCCTCCCACATCAAGTACCCAGTTTCAGCATCATAACATTTATGTTCAGATGAATCCGGAATTTCTTTGTCCAATTTCTTAATTTTGAGTGAACAGGTCAATAATGAAGCCAAACAGTCCTCATTTGGAATCAAGTATACCCCTGTGATGCTATTGAACTTCCGGTCTTTCTCTGGTGATTTGGAATAAATTACACGAGAATACAATTTATAAACCTCTTCTGGATGAAATTGAGTCTCTCCTAATAGCATGGTTCCAACAATTTCAATTGATGGGCTTTCAATTCTTTTGAAAATGTATCTTGTATATGACAATACGCTTGCAAAATCATAATGAGAGTAATCTATGTTTTTTTTTCCTTTGTACATTGTTGGATTTTTTTTTAATTCATACAGTCTGGGATATTTGGCTATTTTATAAAGTTTTTTCAATACTGTATTAAGAACAGTTTTATTCATTTTGAATTGCTTCTTTTTTTCTAAAAATAATAAAAATGTTCTCATATATTTGATTTCAAGATTTTCAATTAATGTGCAAATTAGTTTTACATCATTATCGTAGTTTATAAATTTGTTTAAAGTATTATTATTTGTATCAACGGCTTCTGAATTTAGTACGATTTTATTGTCAGTTATTTGTATAATAATAGATTCATAAAATTTATGTGATTTTTTTTTTTCATTGATTTTATAACTCCATATCACCGGCGATTTAGATATATTCAAAGAGTTTGTTAATAAACTTTCAAATTCTGCACTGGGTGAAGTTAGAGAATGTGAAGAAGGAGAAGGATCTTGAGTATTTTTATGATTTTGAGAATTCGATATATACTTTTTTGGAAATGAAAGGGCATCCAAAAATCTTTTATTAAATTGTTCATTTTGATATTTAGTAGTGATATTATGAGAATCAAGACTTGATAAGAGATATTGATTATAAAATTTTTCAGAGATTAATTTAATTTCATTTAAATTGATTTTATAATACTTCTTAAAAGATTGGTAAGAATTGAAATCCAGAATCAAATTGATTAGAAAATCAAATTTAACTTTAAGAATTTTAAGTAATAAAGTGGAATTTTTTTTATTGAAAGAGGAAATGTTTTTAACAAGACCTAAATAACCGTTAATATTCAATAAAGATTTCATATCATAATTTGAGTTATCATTATTAACATCCAAATGAAGTGAATTAAGATTGCGATTTAAATTGAAATTTGATTTTAGGGTATTTAACAATAATTGGACAACATATTGTTGAGAGTTTGATATGAATTTATTATTTCTTTGTGATTTTGAGATGAATAACGATAGAAAGTAGATCAAGTCATTTAAGTGTGTAATGAGCAAAAATCTGTGATCATTGATTGGATAGTTAATTGGGAAATTCAATAAAGCAGCTGAAACGTTGTCAACATTATTATTATTATTATTATTATTATTGTTATTATTATTATTATTGTTATTATTATTATTATTGTTATTATTATTATTATTATTATTATTAGTAGTAGTAGTAGTAGTAGTAGTAGTGGTAATAATGTTTGATATTGAGTCATTATTTAAATGAAGAATAATTTTATTATTTTTATTAAATGTATTTGAATTGGGATCAAAATTTAAATAAAGAAACTTTTGTATTAAGTCATATCTATTAAAGATAGTTGAATAATATATAAAATGGTATAATAGAGATAAATTTTCAAAGGAATTTTGGTTTGGATTTAAATGATGAGTTTGATTTTTTGAATTTAAAAAGTTTATATAGTAATGAGATAATAAAGAAAATTCGTAATGATTTTTTGGGATTTTGGACAATAATTTAATTGCTATGAAAAATGGAATATGAGCATTATTATTAGTGGTAGTGGTATTGGTAGTGTTGGTAGTGTTGGTAATGTTGATAGTGTTGATAGTGTTAATGGTATTACTGTTGATTGAATTTGAACTTTTGGATAATGATAAAAGAGAAAAATGTACAGATGGGTTATCTAAAGAGGAGATCCAAGAGAATAAGTTATCAAGAGTGTAATTTTCAGAGTAGATTGTTTTATAGAAATAAATAAAAACCGATAATGAGTTGAATAGTTTCGGAATTAAATCGTTTCCATAATATAAATCAAATTTGTAATTATTAGCACCGTTAACATAATAGTTTAGCAAGTCTTTGGAAGTAAGAGAAATAAGGTTAATAATACGAGAATTTGAATGGTAAGTGTCTAAGTAAAATTTTTTGTAATGGCTTATAATAGGATCATTAAATGCTAAGAAATGAAGAATTCGTGATTGGTAAAATTCAATTGAAGGGAAGTTTTTGTTGGATAAACTTTGAGAGAAATTGGAGAGATAATGCAAGGAAATTAATATGAGAGTAACTAAAGATTCCAAAGAAAGAACAGATGCTTCATTTTTGTAATGAGACTTGAGTAAGAGAGGAAATTTATAATTTCGAAAAATCAGTTGGATATCGTTTGAAGGACTTAAAAGATTGTTTGAACCACTATTGATCTGATCGTAAAGCTGGTTTATTATTTTGAAATAGATATTTATAGGCAAGTAGGCTGGATTTTTTGAGTCAAACTTCAATACCAAAGGATCGTTTAGATCAAAAAAGCTGTAGGAAGAAGAGCGTAGTGATTTGAACAACCTCAATTCGAAATAAGGCAAGTCAGAAGTGTTGTTGAAAGGATATAGGTCATTGGATATATAGGTTGTCTTGAAGGAATCGGGAAATCTCTTTGTGGAGGGATTCGAGTATTTCTTTTCGTACTTCTGCTGGAACTCCTGGAGCTCCAGTTTCAACTTGGAATAATAGGAAGTATTGGGGAGCTTGAGATAGGCTCTATCAACGTAGAACAAGTGAAGAGGATTCGGGCTACCATAGGGCAAGAAGCTATAGCGATTTTTTCGGTACTTGAGAGAGTTTCGGAGAGCAGGAGTAGGGTGCATTGTGGACATAGGAAGTGGTATATCAGCAACGTTCTCCTTCCAAGCGCCAAATATCGAGCATCACTGGCAGCCAGCGAAGAACAGCAGGAGATGTGGGAGATGGAGATGAAACTGGAGGTGAAGCTGGAGAAGTTGGTGAAGCAAATCAAAATTAGCCCAAAAGAGTAATCAAAGCCAGCTGTACGGGTCTGCGCAGCACACGCATATTCCAGCATACACACGTGTATACACACGTACGGAAGAGACCCACAGCACTGATAGCATCTACAGCACTGGCACCATCCACACAGCTGGCACACACGCCTCCTGCATGCGCACGCTGTGCGGTGCCGCGATGAAGCAGGCAGGACCTCGTCTGCAGAGTTCCTCTTTGGGTTCTGGCTTTGATACGCTTTTTACCAATCCAGCGACTTTTGCTTTCTTTCAGGTTTCTTCAGGCTGCTTTTTTTTTGCTGCTCCAGCCTTGCTCTCTATAAATACTGCTCTTTTTGCTGCCTTTTCTGCTTTGTTTCCTCTGCTGCCTTTTGCCTCCAATTCCTCTGCTCTTTCCCATTCCTTCTTTTGTTCTCGTCGCCCATCGCCCTTCTTCTCGAGACTCCCCATCTCTGCGACTCCACCAACCCCCTCTGCTCAATTCCTCTGTCTCGACTCTTTGTCAGCCCTAGCTTGCCCTTCCTTCTCATGATTATCAAGTGCTCTGATTTTGTCAAGTACCAAGTCGACGAGTGGAAGTTTTACAATCTAGACCATGTTCAGATCAAGAAAGACATCAATTCTTTAATTTCCGGTCTCAAAAGCTTGAAAAACCTATACATCAAAAACGCCAATTCTATCCTATCCAGTCCCAATCTACCCTCCAATTCACACTCAAAGGCAAAGTCAAAGACACACTCCAATTTCGATCCTGATTTATCCTTCAATTTGGTCGATGAGTCCTTAATTGAACCTCTAGATTTAAACTTTTCCTTATCGAAATCCTCCTCGTCTTCAACCTCTTCTTCCAACTCCTCCTTCTCGTTTTCCGATAACAACAACCGAAAAAACACAAACACTCCAATCCCAAATAACGATCCTGATTACGATGACTATTACCAAGAGTCCATAGAAACTCAATTGACAGATTTATACGATTCTTATAAATCGAGCAAAAACAAATTGATAATCTCTTTTTTATCCAAAAATCTATTGAAAAACTTGGTCAATGTTAACCTTTTCATCAATTTAAAGACTTATGAATTCTTAAACCTCTTATCATTAAATAATAATGACCATAATACTGACCATGACTATAACAATGACAATGACAATGAAAATAACAACAACAACAGCAACAATAATAATAATAATAATAATAATAATAATAGACGTGCTCGCAAAAACGATAGAACAAATATAATATCAAATTTATTCAAAATTAATCAACAACTAATCAACCTAAATAATCCCAACAATTCAAATAACAGTAACAATAATAATAATAAAAAACTTGGTAAAGATTCTTTAAATAAAATTATTATCAACAACAACTCTGCATCTGATGACTTCCATTCTATTATTCAAAATTATTACTTGAATTTACAAAATTTTATCCTATTCCAAAGAAATTTATTAAACTATTTAATTTATTATCTCAATAGAAGAATAATCAAAGAATCCTTCTCCACAACCATCAAATCTTCAAAAAATAACTCATCTGTCAACAACATCTATATAAATCTCTTGAAAGATAAAAAAAATTACTCCTCCACTTTATTACACTTAAACTCTTCTAACTCAAACAAAAACTCTCTATTATTATCCTTTTACGAAAGATTTAATTTATTCAACTTCATCTATAAATCCTTTTTAAACATTGATTTCAACTCATCCCTAATTAATCAAATTTTCTCAAACTCCATCTATAAATCTGAATTTGATTTATTTAATGATTTTATCAACAATTTTAATACCAACTCCACCTCTTTTTTAATCCCCATAAACTTTAGCCTCAATTATAACTACAAATATCCTTACAACAATAATTTCAACCTGGATCTTAATTCAAATAATAATTCAAATGATAATCCTGATCATAAACCAGATAACAACCTGGAAAATTATCTAATTTACCACGACTTTTTAAAAGAAAATCATTCTCATTCCCTATTTCTCAACTTATTCAAAAACTCTTCAAATTTCGATGAAAATTTAATTGGTAAAAATTCCCTTCTTTTTTCTTTAAATTTAAATAAATATTTCAATATATTATCTTACATCACTCATCTCATCCAAAAAAACAACCAAATTATCAACAACTTTAACATTTATTTAAAAAATTCAAACAGCAATCTTTACAACTATAACTATAATTATAATTTTCAATACAACTATAACTTTTCCTCTTCCTACACATCATCAAATTTAGATAACAACAACAACAACAACAATAACAATAACAATAAAATAACCCCCTTAATCAAAATTGACAATAAAATAGATTATTCCTACCCAAATTTGTTAAATTGTATTACTCCAGGTTTAAACTTAAGTTTATCAATTGATAAATTAAACTCAGTTCAAAATTTTGACTTGTATTCTACAATCAGCTCAAATAAAAAAAATAACTTGACTTTTTTGGTTCACAATGATTATATCCTACATTTAAGATTTTTATTAGATGATCTATTTAACGAAATTAAATCTTATCCCTCAAATCTTGATGAATTTTCAATGAAAAATTTTAATATTTTTTTAAATAGTTTATACTCAAATCAATCCACACTGACTGATGGCAATAACACTACCAATAATAATCCTAGAATTGGAATTGGGGAAATTGATGATGATTTTCTCACTATAAAAAGTTATTTTAATATAAATCAATCCAATCATGATTTGTTTAAAATATTTTCTTACCACAACTTTAGTGAATCTATTCTAATCTCTTTTATTGGTGGTTTGAAAATATATGGTTATCTTTATTTATCCAACAGCAATATATCTACTTTGATCTCTTTAATAATGTCCTCAAATAAATCCCAATTTATTGACTTCTTACACAATTTATCCTTAAATGACATTGAATCCAAGACTCTTGAAAAGATTTTTGAAATATATGAAGTTAATGCATTTAATTACAAGATTGAATTGGGCTTTAATCGAAAAAGATACATCTCTAAATCTTTAATTTATAACGATAATTCTAAAAAATCAAAATTCTCAAAATTTTGGATAAGTTTAGATACAAATATTAAATTATTAGATTTAAACGATTTAAATACAATGAAATCAAATATTCTTGATTACTATTCTATTAATAGATACTACCCTTATTCTCTTTTAGAAATTAAATTGGATTCTAATTTGCCATTACCTCAAGAGCTCGACCAATTAATTAATTCTGATTATCTTCATAAAATTGATAGTGATTTCAATCTCATAAATTACTATGTTTCAATGATAAAATTTTCAAATGATAAACAACCTCTTGAAAGAAAACAAATTGATTTAAGATCCATAACTGTTAATAAATTGTATGAGAATAAATTGAAAAAACAGTATGAAGAGAGAAAATTGCATCAAGCTCAAGAAAAGCAACAAAAGCAATACTTGGATGATAAAAAATTATCTCGTCAAGAAGATACAACCCCAGGATATTGGAATGAGTATGACGAAGGTTTTGAAGATGATAATTTATATTACATGCTCAATGACAGCGACCAGTCATCTTTGTTTTTAACTGAATCTAGAGTTGATTTTATCCTACAGTTATCTAATAGCTTGAACAAAAAAATGAATCAATGCTTTGATTTCATTACTGACCTTTTCAGCTATAAAACCAAATCACTCCCAGAAAATAGCAGTTTGTTAACAAGAAACGATTTTCATAATTATGATGCGTTCAGCTCTAACTATCATAACTATCGCCAACAACCTGCTCCAAGTTTAGCTGCTACAAATTATTCTTCAACAGAGAATATTGGTGAGAATGATCTTGCACGTTTTGAGGCAAACGATCAATTGGTTAGACAATCCAATTATGATCGGGTTGTTACCTTTCTTTATTCCACAACCTTAGCATTGTCTTGTTTGACTACCGGTATTTCTATTGGAATCATATTTACAGTTGTGTTCAATAGGGAATACGACCATGATGATTCCAATTCCCCATTCATTTTAGCAATTATTTTTGTTGGGTTACTTTTTTCTTTATTTTTATCAATCATTTCTGTTTCTTTATTGTTGGTTAGGAAAGTTCCTGCGCCCTATTGGCATCAAGTTGTTATCTGGTGTGTTTTTTTAGTTATAACCTCAATCATTATAATCAGTGTGACTAGCTCCATTTGATTTGGAAAAAAATTTTCTTCTTTCAATTCGTTTTTTTTTTAAGCTATATATTATATTATTTTTTTTAAGTCGGTTTTTTTTCTTGTCATTCTTTTCAAGAAAATTTTATATAGATAACAATAAATAGATGTTCTTTATATTTCCAATTTGTTCCACCTTGGTTTTTTAATTAAAAATAAATTATTTTAAATTATTTATTTATTGAAAATTAAAGGTATAAAAAACAATAAATTAAAACAAGGATTTGAAACGAAAACTATCAACTCATAATACAAAAAAATCAAACCGGAAATCAAAAAAACAGCAGAACAAACAGTTATTATCATATAAAATCAATCAATACATACTTTTATTTTTTAATGTGATACTTCTCGTCATGTTATTTACTTTATAAATACCAACAAGCAGTTGTGAAAGCTCAAACATGTTGTTTCTTAATGATATCACGACAAACTGTGCATTCTTGGTTCTTTCCTTGATGTAGTTTGCTACAATTGACACATTTCTAAAATCTAATGCAGCATCAATTTCATCCATGACATATAATGGGGTAGGTTTATATCTGTGCAAAGCAAAAACCAAAGCCAATGAACTTAACGTCTTTTCACCTCCCGATAAATTAGATATTTTTCTCCATGATTTTTTAGGAGGCATTACAGAAAATTCAATGCCTTCAGAAAATGGATTGATGGAATCAATTAATTCTAATTCTGCATTCCCACCTAAAGTGATCATTTGGTACATCTCTTTAAGTGCCTGAGATATTGTTCTGAATCCAAGCATAAACTCATCCAATCTTTTTTGTTTCAATTCTTCATAACGATTATTCAATTCCTCACGTCTATTGACAGCATCGCTTAAATCTATTTTTCGGTTTAGATACTCCTTTGCTTTCTTTCCATATTCTGAAAGTATTTCAACATCAACTTTAGCTTTATCAATATAATCTTCCAATTTTTCGATTTCCTCTTCTAGGAGTTCAATATCAATTAAATTAAATTCTTCGTCCGACAATTCGGGAAGACTGTCGTCTTCTAGTTCTTTTAATAATTCTTTATCAAAAGAACTTGTATCATTTTCCTTATTTTTCTGTGGTTCTTCTTCATTAACTTCTCCAGACACATCTACCATTTCTACATCCTCTTCTTCCACGTTAATATTTTCCTTTTCTAATTCATCATCATCAGAGTCATCGATATCAATATAGATATCATCTTCCTCATCTTCTTCTAGCCCTTCTTCATCATCTGGTCTGGGGCGTTTTCTTTTATTCGCTTCATGCTTTGATTTTTTCAATTTTTGAGCAGTGGGCTCATCATCTTTAAGCCATTCTATTAAATTACTAACATTTTCTAAACGTAAATGTTTCAATTTGTCGCTAATGATTTTAATCCCTTTGGCTTCAAGTTTTACTTTCAATTCACATTTTTCAAGGTTGTTTTCAATCTCTATTGTAGCAGATTTTAATTCGTTGATTTTTTCATTATTAGAATCCAAATCAATCTTTATATCTTCTAATTCTTTTGACTTTTCTTCTTTTTGGTCTACTAGTTGATCAAGTTTGCTTTCAATATCACTAAGATCATGAGATTTTCCGGAATATTTTTGTATTAACAAATTTAATTCTCTTTTAGACACCTCAATTTCTTCTTTACTTGTTGTTATAGCCTTTTCATTTCTCTTTAATTCATTTTGTAACTTTTTTATTGAGGCTGTACTACCTGTCATTTTTTCATTTAAAATATCTATTCTTTGATTAATCCCATCTACGATTGATTTCTGAGACTTTAGCTTGATTCCACCAACATCCATAATTTTTTTCTGCAAAACCTCTATTTTATTTTCAAATGATTTTGTTTCTATCTTAAGGTTTTGTAATTCACTTTCATGTTTTTCCACTTCTTGATCAATTCTCAATATTTCTTGCTTTATTTTTGCCTTTGATGCAACATTATTATCTTGCAATTCTTTAAGTTGCTTTTGACAATTCAGAATTTCAGCTAAGATTGATTCAATTTCTAGATCAATCTTTGATATTTCTAAATCAATTTCAGGGCTTCTGTCTTTGAGTGTTCTTAAGTTTTTTTCCATTTCAAAAAGTTCATTTTGACCATTTCCAAAAATCTCTTCTTTTTCACCAAGTTTATCCTCTAATTTTTTAACATCACTTTCAGAAGCTGCTGAATAGTGAACTTTAGAAGTATTCATCAATCCCCTACTCACAACATTACCACCACCTGACAATGTACCAGATTTATCAATCAATTTTCCATCAAGAGATACAACCCTGAATCTTTTATTTCCACCAAAAGCAGCTCTGTTTGCTTGTTTTATGTTTTTAGCAACTAAAGTATCTTGCATAATACTATAAAAAGCAGGGAGGAAGATATCTTCCTTGGGTGTAATTAAATCAAATAGTCTTGGGATTCCCTCTGGGGTTTGTATTTTACTCACATTAAAATTTCTTAATTTATTTAAACAGATAAATCGAGAGTAACCAAGATTATTTTTTCTTAAATGTTCTATGCACTGTTGACCAACTTCAACAGTATCAACAACCATATCATCCAATGAAGCGCAAGCAGTAGATATTGCAACATCATATTTGTCATCTATTCTGCCCAAATCACCCAATCTTCCATGGAAACCCTCAAGTCTTCCACTTTCTTTTAATCTCAACAAACCAGAAAAAACTTTGTTTTTGTTTGTGTATGTAGTTAAAGAATTTCTGGCCTCTTGAGCCCTTTGACGTAAACTTGAAATCGACTCTTGCATTTTTTGAATTAGTTCTTTTCCTTCTTGGCATTTCCCAGTTCCCAATCTTATTTCTTTTTTTGTAAATATCTGTTCTTTTTTTAAAGTGACTAATCTTTTTTCATACTCGCGACCTTTTAAAGCCAACTCTTTGATATGGTCTTCTAATGTTTTTATTTCAGTATCGAGGCTATTTTCCTGCTCTTGAAACATTTGACTTTTTGATTTAGCCACTTTTATTTGAGAAACTTTTTTTTCAACTTTTTCATTCCATGGTTGTAGTTTTTCTTGAATAAGATCAATTTCATCAGTAAAAACTTTTGTTTTTTCAGTTAAATCATTACTAATTTTTTCAAGAACATCGCTTTCTTTATCTAATTGTAAGTTTAACTCTTTCAATGAATCCTCTGATTCCTTTTGTTCATCAATCAATTCTTTTATTTTTAACTGATTAGAAGTGATGGCACGCTGAGAATTAGCGAAAACATTGTCGGATTTTTTAATTTTCTTTTCAAGATACTTTTTCTTTTCTTCATTTTGAACGTTATCTCTATCAAGACTTTTCTTTTTAGCACTTAAACTTTTGATTTCCTTGGAAATATCAGAAACGAATTTTGAAGATTCTTTGTATTTTTTTTCTAATTCAATAATTTGATTCTCAAATTCTGTACTGTTTTCTTTTTCTTTATCTAAATCTTTTTTAAGTTGATCGTATTTTATTTGAACTTGATTTAATTTAACTTTTCTTTTTGAAATATTATATTGGTAATAAATTGATTGCTTTTTTATCAATTTTCTTTCAAATCTAATAAAATTCAAAGCTTCATTTTTTTTACTTTCAAGACCACCTTTTTCCTTTTCAACAATTTCAAATCTATTTTGTTTTTCTAAACAAACTGTTTTTAAATCATCAATTTTAACTAAGCAATCTTCTATTAGAGGTTTATACTTTGTGGTTCCGATTATGTCCTCTAAATATTCTAATAATCCATCATCGCTTTCTTTCTCGGCTTTTGGTTTCATTTGAGCAATACTTTCAACCTCACCCTGTAAAATTAAAAATCTTTTATGTTCCAAATCGATTCCTTTTTCCTTTAGAAGACTTGTTACTTCCGTGTAGGTACTTTCTCTATTATTTACAAAATACTTTGAAGAGTTATTTCGAAAAGCCTTTCTTGTAACAACTAACTCACTATCTGGGACTTCGCTTACTGGGGATTCATCTTCACCATATTCTAATTTATCAATAACATGTTTAAAGTGGATATCAACAGAACAAAATTGCAAATTCTTATGATTCTCAGAATTATGAATTAATTCAGATAGTTTTGATTGTCTCATTTTTGAAGCTCTAAAACCAAAAACAAATAACATAGAATCAATAACATTTGATTTTCCACTACCATTAGGACCAACAACAGCAGAAAAATTTGAATGAAAGGGACCGATAATTTGAACTCCAGCATAAGATTTAAAATTTGTTAGAACTAATTTGTCAATAACTAGACGTATCTGGGGTTCAGTTGGTGTTTTCAATTCCGACATTATTTTTTTTTTGGATTGAGACTGATATTGGCTACTATGCAAAGGAGATGTAAAATGTCTGTTTTTTGAGACTGGAGATAAAGAAACAACAGATGGCAAATTTGGATTTAATTGAATGTTTTTTTCTTTGATGTTGGTTGAAATTGCAAAGGGCGTGTTATTTACTTTTGTTGGAGTTTTTAATTGGGATTGAGATTGCAGCTCTACTGGGGAATTTGTGTCTAAAGCTGATAAAGTCATTCTATTTAATTGGGCTTTTGTTGGAGAAGGTTGAAAAGCATTTTTTTCAATATTTTCTTTTTCGTTCACTAATAAATGCTTGTTACGAAGAGGTTTTATTCTTGGTTTTTCGGGTTTCTTTTCAGATTGCTCTTGATTTAATTTCTCATTGAGTTCTTTGGATGAAATTCCTGGTTTTTCTAGTAGAATGTTTTTTTCATTATCACTGTTTTCCTCTTTTTGAATTTTATTGATTTGATCAATTGTTATGTTCGATATTGAACTATTTATTATATCAATTGAGGCATTATTATCAATAAAAGGGGATCCAAGTGTAATTTCGTTTTCATTTTTAATTAAAGATTTATTGATGACAAGATTATCGACGCTGATGTCGTTTTGCTCTTCTGATTTTATTTTCCGGCTAATTTTTTTTCTAATAAAAGTCACACTAGATTCAGGACTGTCAGAATCACTGGAATCACTGAAACGGTCAGAATCATCAGATACCCGAAAACTTTCATGAATATCTTCTGTTAAAATACTGTTATTGTTTTTGTTTGTAAAATTTTTCTTATTTTGACCATTCTGTGTTTCAAGTTGAGTATTGTCATCATCACTATCTTCATCTATTTGAATAGGATTTGACTCGTTATAATTGGTTCTATTTTCATTGTCATCATCGTCTTTAAAATTACTCTTTTTGAGTTCATTTTTACTAGAGCTTTTCTTAACTTGATTTTGTTTTTGAATTTCTGTATGATCTTCAGAACTGGAATAGTCGCTCCCACTATCCACCTCAATTTCTTCTTCCGATGAATCGATAACCTCAATCACAACACTACGGGTGTTCTGAGCACTCTGATCATTTCTTCCGGAAATTCTTTTTTGTCTCAAACGAGATCTAGAGACAATGGAATCCAATGAAGTTTCCATTCTATGTTTTGGCAATAACGGCTCACTTAAAAACGAAGGTGTCTGAAACTGCTCTAAGTAAAATGTTGTTTGAAGAGTTGTTGTTTATTTTTTGAGATTAGCAAATTTATTTGTTTACGGTGAAAGTGGAACCGCACTGGTGGCTTTTTACCACCAATGCGGGTAAGCAGTGATCTGCAGTTATGTGCATATTAAAACTGCTTATTTTTCAACTTTATTTGAGTCTTTTGAGCCTTTTGGTGACAAATTTTGTTTAAGAACAGACATTTGCTTTGGATGAAATTGTTGATAAATCCTAAAAACCCATAAAAGTTATATCGAAAATTATTGCAATTGAGTGCTCAGACTTGTTTGTTTTATATTAAATCAAAGATATTTACCTACCTATTTGATAGATTTTAATGGTTATTTAATATTTAGTTAGATGTTTGTAATAAAAATGTGTATCAAAGACTCATACTAACTATATAAAAATTCATGTATGAATCAAATTGATAAGTATACTGAGCAAAAACGAGGTATTAAGGGAATTGCTACAAATTCGATTTTTTAACTTTTGATGCTATTGTATTGAATGCAAAAATTAAAATTTTGCCATGATGAGTTTTTATCCAAGCACTGCAACTTTTCAAAATGCTTATAAAAAAACACCAGATGCTGACAAAAGTTTAATTGTTGAGTTATGTTGTTTCATCCTTGATTATATTCTTGTTTTACTTTCTTGGTATTTTAACTGTTACAATTTAAAAGATATATCACACTTATAAAATTGTTAGTAATGATATACAAAACATTAATTTCTATCGAAATATAACTATTGAAATATAAAAAGATTATAAAATTAAAGAAATAAGCTGAAAGAAAAATCTCAAAATATTCGATGTTATTCTCAAACTAATTGTGTTATTTTAAAAATAGTATTCTATATTTTAGAATATGTTAACCAATTAATACAAGTTTTATTAATTTGAAATTTGTAACACATAGTTCTCACAAGTATCAATTATTTGTATTTTCTAGTTAGTTTGAAAATCAAGGTTAAGTTTTTAGCTTTATGATAAATTATCATTTTATAAAAAAAATTTGATGATTCCTGAAGTTTGAATTGGTTTTTCTATAAATAATGACTTTATAAGCTTAGATTTAGTTTGCTCCTATTTACAGTCCGATCAAAACAGAATAAAGCCAGTTGAATTTCAATTTTAAAATCAAATATAATTGTTTCTAATGATAGCTATTATAAGAGAGATTAACAATGATCTTTTATCTGTAATATCGTAGATTTTGGCATAAAAACAAAAATTTTAAAGGCATCCATTTAATAATTTCAGTACGGAAAATCTAGCCGCATGAATATGCAGGGTCTTCGAAATTTCTTGTTATGTGCCAGTAAAATACATTTATAAAACTAGTTTTTAAAGATAATATTTTGTTTCGATTATTGATATCTTGAAGCAAAAATATATCAGAAAATTAATCTATTGCATTATCTAATGCCAAATAAAAACCCAAACAAAACAATTCACTATTTGGATTGAAATCATATCATCGAAAGATTTTTTGGTGAAACGCTCTAACAAAATTAACAAAGCAAATGCTATATAAAGAGGGCCTGCTTTGGAGCTTTTATTTTCAAATTGTTATTTAATTGCTTTGATAACTATTTTAATTGGCCCAAACCAAAATTAGCTTCCAATCACACCGAATTCCGGAAAAACCACAGTAATGGTAGAAACCATTGCTGTGGTTTGCTTTACTCAATTAACAGACTGAGACATTGTGCCTTGAATTACTAATGTACTGTTATATAGATTTTCTTTGTTGCTCAACTTCTTCAAAGTATTTTTATCGTAATTTATTTTTGGCTTAGCATTTCGATTCAACTTGACTGTTTTTATACTAAAATGACATCTGTTTCTTCCACTATTCCTTTCACCACTCTTGGAAACTCGGGTTTGAAGATTTCCAAGGTTATCGTTGGGTGCATGTCTTTTGGCAAAAAATCTTGGGCACCCTGGGTTGTTGAAGATGAGGAAGAGTGTTTAGGAATTCTTAAAAGGTGTTATGATTTAGGAATGAGAACATTTGACACAGCTGACATGTACAGCCATGGCTACTCTGAGATCATTTTGGGAAAATTTATTAAAAAATACAATATTAAAAGAGACAGGATTGTTATCATGACAAAAGTTTTCCATCCTGTAGATGCCGAGGATCCAAATTTCTCTGTTTGGAATCACAATCAAACTGATTACATGAATTCAAAGGGATTATCAAGAAAACATATTTTTGATGCAATTAAGAACTCAATGGAAAGATTAGGAACCTATATTGATGTCTATCAAATCCATAGACTAGATCATTCAACACCCCCAGAAGAAATCATGAAGGCCCTAAATGATTGTATTGAACAAGGTTATACAAGATATATTGGTGCTTCATCAATGAAGACATACGAGTTCCAAGCTCTACAAAATATTGCAGAAAAAAATAATTGGTTCAAATTTATTTCAATGCAAAATTTATATAATCTATTATATAGAGAAGAAGAGAGAGAAATGATTCCATATTGTAACAAGTTCAATGTTGGTGTTATTCCTTGGTCACCTAATGCAAGAGGCTTACTTGCCAGGCCATTAAAAACAGAAAAATCTCAAGAGCAACTTCAAAAACTATCAAATTTATTAGGTTTGGTTCCTTTTGGCAAAAATGATGAAGATATCATCAATAGAGTTGAAGAGCTATCTCGAAAGAAAAATTGTTCAATGGCTCAAATTGCATTGGCTTGGTTGATTTCAAAGAATACTTGCCCAATTGTCGGAATGGGATCGATTGAAAGAATTGAAGATACTGCCAAAGCTTTTAATTTGGAATTGACCGATGAGGAAATTTCATATCTAGAAGAATTATATAGTCCAAAATTTGCTCATATTTAGATAATTAAATTTTAAAACCAAATTTTGATTGACAGTATCTAATCCCAGCTGCCCCCTTTTCATCGTACTCTTCTTTACTTATGTACACTTTATTGATTAAATCGTGGTTTTTAACCAATTCATTCATACTTTGCCAACTGTAAATTGAAGGATCTTCAGAGATTGCAACTTTAACATCCCAATCAATTGGTAACACTTGATTTAACTCTTTGATTAATCTTTGTTTGAATCCCTTTAGCTTAAAATTTCCTCCAACACAAACTATATTGCTAACTAATAAAGGTCGCACCAATTCAGGAACCGATTGAATACAGTCATGTATTGTTTTAATTAATCCACATTTATTTCTAATACCACAAATCTCAGGATCAAAAATTGTTTCAGGGACAGAAAACCTTTCGTCATATAATTTCAAAATCTGACAATCCTCATCGGGATTAATACCCTTTTCAAAAAGCTCTTTTTTTTTAGAATTCGTCAATACAAAACCTCTTGTGGTTGTTTTAAAATCCGGTAAAACAAATTCAATTATTGAGCTATAATCGATATTTTGCTCACTCTCAAATCTAGTATTTTTGTTTTTATTTTTATTTTTATATTTGTTTTTGTTTTTGTTTTTGTTTTTTATTTTTTTATTTTCCTCATACAAAATTCGGTCTTTTTTCAAAAGACCTAGGGATTTATTATAATCTTCTGCAACAAAACACGATTGTTCTTTAATATTATTAACCAACATAGTTTCGTCTGCCACATTATAATATCTAAAAGAAATAACTTCTCTTAAAAAACCAGTTAAAAATCTACCACCAATGTCTAACTTTTTAACTCCTTTCCAGTAAATACAGCCATAAATTACCGGGATAACAAAAGTGGAATCAAAACCTGAATCTATAATCAATTTAAAATCACTATAATATTTGGTTTCATTGTCACCGTTGTTAATTTCGAGTTCAACTTTGGTTGAATTGTAATCAATTCCAGATAATAGAGAGATATTTTTCTTTGTGTTAAAAGGAATAAAAGAGGCAGCAGGCGCTCTATAATATTTTTTAAAACCATATTCTTCAAAGACAATTTGGTCAAGATTGTTTGATAGTTTTGGTAAAGTTAATGGAGATTCAGTTAGCACTAAATTGCAATCAGCTGGATCTACAAAGAGATTAAGATCGATAGAATTGAAAGAGTAATCCCAAATTAGCTTTTCGATTTCCCAACTTACCAACTGGTTTTTCTCATAGGGTCTCTTGAAATATAAATTTGAAATATTTTGGATATCATCTATAGAGTTGCCTAATGCTAATCTTTTATCATTTGTTCTAACGATTGAGTTGTTTAATTTTATGGGGATGTGAAGATTTGAATCTATGTCAGGTTTATAATAGTCTAGTTTTATTTCGTACGATCCGTTATCAATTATCAAGGTTTTTGACATTATCAAAAACAGGCAAAATAAAAAAGAACTGGTGAAGATAAATCCAATCAAAATTGAAATCAATCAAAATGCAAATTGAAATCAATCAAAATGCAAATTAAAACAATAAAAGAAAATAAACAAGCATTGAAAGCCACTCCCTCTTGATTTCGCCACCTCGCGGTCTAGACCTTTTTTAAGCTTTAGAGTTGAGAAGTTTAAACTGTGAGATGCGGGAAATTTCAACATTTTTGACTCATTTCAAATTTTGTAAATTTTATCGAATCAACGATTTCGATGAGATTAAGAGGTTGTAGCTTGTTTATTTAAAGCACTGGCTATTTTGTTTTCTTTTTTCTGTTTTCTTTCTTGCTTTGGATTTTTCGACAAAGCATATTTACAATCAAGAGTTCTGTTTGTTTATTGAAAATGACTATTGAATTACCAACAAGAGAAATCGGATTACCTATTCCCAATATTTCCCACGCAGTATCAGTTTCACTTCCAACATGGGAAGCAACAGTTGGATATGAGGAAAATCAAGAGTGGGTTGTTAATAAGATGAACTCTGGGTATCCCAGGTTTTTCATTCATGAGAGGATCAAGGAGTTGAGTTTATTGTTGGAGCAAAAATATGGCAGACAGGGCGAGAAAAGCTTTATTTTCCCCTCATACAAAGTAGCCAAACGATGTAGAAATTTTATTAAAGAGCAGAGCGAAAATAAAAATTTAAAGTGTTCGTCGATAAGAATTTTGCAATTAAGCACCAAAGCACCTCAAAACAAAAATGAAGAAAGTGTTATTGTTGAAACTAATATTGCAGTTTTATTTTTTCCTGAAGACGAGTACAAATATGCTAAACAATATTGGCAGCATTCTGGGGAAGGCATTTCTTCAAGACAGGGGGAATATTGTTTACGAGAGTTATCATTGGAGTTTTCCAAAGAAGAAGAAGCGATTTTTGGACAGGAAGAAGAGAAAGATAAAGATAAAGATAATGATAATGATAATCAAGAAGAAAATAAATTTATTGAAGAAAGGTTTGGTAGAAATTTGGACTTGAGTTTTGCAAAAGAAGCCAATTCAATCTTAAGAAAACGAATTTCTGCGCAAATTAATGAGATTATAGAAAGTGAGAAGAAGTTTAGTAAGAATATTGAAGTCAAAGATGAAGAATTTATTAGTGAAAATGAGGTTTATTTATATTCATCAGGAATGGCCTCAATTTTCCATGCACATCAAGCTATTTTAAATTGTTATCCCCAAGGGAAATCCATATGTTTTGGATTTCCATATGTTGATACGTTAAGTATACTAAGGAAATTTGGGCCAGGAGTGTTATTTTATGGGTTTGGAGACGACAAAAGTTTAGATGAAATGGAGGATAAATTGGACAAGGGAGAGATAAAGATTATGGCTTTATTTTGTGAGTGCCCATCGAATCCATTATTGAAGATGCCAGATTTAAAACGAATTAAAAAACTAGCTAAAAAGCATGATTTTCTAGTCGTGGCAGACGAAACAGTTGGTAATTTTTTAAATATTCATATATTGTCATTTGTTGATATTTGTGTTTCATCGTTAACAAAGATATTTTCTGGGGATTCTAATGTCATGGCAGGATCGTTAGTTTTGAATCCTGCTGGAGATAATTATTTAAGATTGAAGAAGTATTTTGAAGAGAATTATGAGAATAATTTTTGGTGTGAAGATTGTATTTATTTGGAGAGAAATTCTAGAAATTTCAAAGAGCGTAATTTTAATATGAATAAAAACGCTGAGAGTATAGTCGAGCTTTTAAAAGAAGATGAATTAATCAAGGAGATATATTATCCCAATTTGGTTGAGAGCAAGAGGTATTATGAAGAATTCAGGACATATAGTGGTGGATATGGTGGGTTAGTTAGTATTATATTTAAAAAGAGCGAGGATGCTAAGAAGTTTTTCAATGAGGTTGAACTATTCAAAGGACCAAGTTTGGGGACCAATTTTTCGTTGGCATGTCCATATAGTATATTAGCACATTATCAAGAACTAGATGAGATTGAAAAATGGGGAGTTGATCGAAATTTGGTGAGAATAAGTATTGGGTTAGAAGATAAAGAAGAGTTGATTAGCAGGTTTGAGAGAGCATTGGAGATAACCAGAAAAGTTTCTGCAACCAAATAGATAAATAAATAAATAAATAAATAAATAAATAAAACAAAAACAAAAATAAAAACAAAAACAAAAACAAAAACAAAAAAAACACCAATGGAATCAAATACAGTGAATAAAAAAAATACAATATGGTACAATAGAAATTGAATAGAAATTGAATATAAATATGAATATGAAATTATCATTGATATATTTAATATTTAAATAGAATTTAAATAATTAATAAATACAAATTTTAGATTTTAATTTTTATAGAAAAACAAATAAACCGAGATAAAAACCAGTGAAATGTCATTTTATTTAGTTCGAATATGTAATTGATAATTGATAATTAATCTGTTCAACAAACAATAGATTTTTCAGTCAATAAGTTAATAAGGGAAGAATCGAATGCCTGAGATTTGAATATCGAGCTTATTTCAAGGTCTTGTCACCAGCAGCAAACCTAGGATGTCTTGGATCGTTGATGAACTCAGCACTGTTCATTGAAGCGTTGGCAAGTTTGGAGATGATGGCAAAAGTAATGGCACCTTCAGAGAAAGAGAAAAGAGTGAAACATAGTTAGTGGACGAGCTTCACAGAGCAGGGACAAGAGAAAAGAAGAACATACCACCAGCCATGAAAGGCCATAAAGGTTTGATAATTGGAGTAGGAAAGCTTTTCATGATGATGATTCTGGAGAGCAAGCTGAAGTTGGTGAAGTAGAAACAGTGCAATGTCTTTGCTTCCTTTGTCTCTTCTCATGCCCCAGCTCTCACCATAGGGTCTGAATCAATGCCGGCCAATCAGCATCCAGCACTTTTGGACGTTACCCGGGCGGCACATGCCCGGTGTTACCCTGTGTACATGTTATTCTGTGTAGACATTACCCTCTCTTTTTCTCCGCTCTCTTTCGGCGAAATCCACGTCTCTCTCTTTCGGCCCTCCGCCGGCGACTGGCAAAGCGCGTTCTGGCGTGTGATTGGCTGGTTGTCGGCGCTCCTTATCTCTCGCTACCACAGTTCCCAGCTTTTTGTGTCTACTTAAACCCACTCCTGTCTCTATTTTTGTGTTTCGTTTCTTTCAATTCCTTCAATTCCTTCAATTGCTTTACTTTTATTGCTGCCATGTCTGTAATCGCCAAAGAAGTCTCTGTCGATGAGTTCCAAGAGAACATCATCCCCAAATACACCGACGTTATCAATGAAAAACTCGGTGGAAAAATCCTAAAGTTTTCTGATGAGTGGTTTGCAAGTGCTGACAATTTGATCAAGCCCTACTCTCCTGTTCGTAAGGTTAACAAATTCACACACGCTGGTGCCTGGTTTGATGGCTGGGAAACTCGAAGACACAATCCAGAACCTTACGACTACGTTATCGTCAAAATTGCTGTTTCTTCTGCCAATATTATCGCCGCAGAGATCGATACAGCTTTTTTCGATGGAAACCAGGCCCCAGCTATCTCAATTGACGCAGCAAATCTCTCTGCTGAAAACAAGCAACGGATCAATTGGAACGATGAAAATCTCGACATTGATAAACAAATCCAATGGGAAGAAATATTACCTGTATTGAAATGTGGTCCCTCAAGAAGACAGTTCTTTATCAGAGACTCGTTGACAAAAAACAACTACACCCATGTTAGATTAAAAATGTACCCCGATGGTGGCATAGCTAGATTCAGACTATACGGTTTACCCATTCCCATCTTCCCCACAGATTTAAATGAAATATTCGATTCTGCTTCAATCTTGCTAGGTGCAATTCCCATCTCATATTCTGATAAACATTTCGGTGAACCCAATAATTTGCTTCTACCTGGCAGAGGTGTTGATATGGGCGATGGCTGGGAAACAAAGAGATCCAGATCTCCAAACCATAATGATTGGGTTATTATTAAATTATCCAATTACACCAAAATCGACTCGATCATCATAGATACTGCTCATTTTAGAGGCAACTACCCTCAGTCAATTCAAGTCAAGGCAATCAATTATCCCTCAGACAAAATCGAAAAAGATCTTCACATAGATGACCCCAATTGGAAAACCGTTGTTCCAATATCCAAAACAGGCCCCGATAAAGAGCACTACTATTCAAAAAAGGACAATCTTCTCCAAAACGTTTACAACAACGAAACATACAACTACGTTTCTCTAACCATTTATCCCGATGGTGGTGTTAAAAGGCTTCGTGTTTTGGGTGCTCGTTCCATCGAATAGTGCCCACACCCTTGATACATATACTTATATTCTCGTTATATATGCTTATATTCTCACCAGTACTCTGTAGTCTCATATTTCAATTTTGTAAAGAAATAACCTTCTATGACGCAAGATACCACTTTTATCTTCTTTCCAAAAAGTTTATTTCGCTCCAATGAAAATCTCCTTCTGCTTTTAAACAGCACATAATCTCAACAAGTCTTATTCAGCCCTAACCATCTTCTAATCAATCACAATTACATATAATAATTGTAACAATATATAATACTGCTTTATATCCATCATATTTCTCATATTTCTCATATTGTCTTCACCATATTAGAGGAGAATCCAATTCACTGCAAATAATATTTTTCTCCCATCTCCCATCTCCCATCTCTCATCCTTTTCTCTCAAATGTCTATGATCTAAACCATATCTTTTACATCCATTAATCTCAACATCATTATCATCACTATATAATATTTTTACGCCTATAACTCCTCTCTTTATTTACTTTCTTTTTTCACTTTCCACTTTTCCCTTTTTTTCCTCTTTTTTTGGCATTTCCCCCTTTGTTTTCTTTGAAATGTCCTTTTTTAATGAAAAGAGAAAATTTAAAGATCGTTTAAATTGGAAATCAAATACTCACTCAACTACTTTGCCATTATACAAAGATAAGCCTTATCCCTACTCAAAGAAAAATAACTTGGTCCCAAATTTTAACAATAATCATAACAAATTTAACAAAAACAAAAAAAAAATGCTATTCAAAGGCTTTATAATAACCATTTTCCTATATTTTATCGCAAACTACTTCAGTTTATTCGATAGCTATAAAAATAAATTCATCATCTCCTCCAAAAATAACAACAATAACAGTAACTTATCCTGGAAAGAAAGACAGCAATTAGTCAAAAATGTAATGAAAGAATCCTGGGCAGGTTATGAAAAATATGCTTGGGGTAAAGACGTCTATCATCCTGTCTCTAAAAATGGTGAGAATATGGGCGATCAACCTCTAGGATGGATAATCGTCGATAGCTTGGACACTCTAATGATCATGGATTTAAAAGATGAATTAAAACTTGCAAGATCTTGGGTCAAAAATGAACTAACCTACGATGTCGATATGTATGTCAACACTTTTGAAACAACCATTAGAATGTTAGGTGGTTTGTTGAGTGCTTACTATCTATCCGACGATGATGTTTACATTGATAAAGCAACAGATTTAGCTAATAGATTAATGGGTGCATTTGAATCTGATTCTGGCATACCCTTTTCTAGCGTTAATTTACAATCGAAAAAGGGTTTAATCTCTCATGCTGATTCAGGCGCTTCATCAACCGCTGAAGTTTCAACTTTACAATTGGAATTCAAATACCTATCAAAACTAACTGGCGAAAAAATTTATTGGGAAAAAGTTGAACATGTTATGCACATTTTAGATAATAATAAGCCAAAAGATGGTTTGGTTCCAATTTTCATTCAACCTACAACCGGTAAATATCAAGGCAAATTAATTAGATTAGGTTCTAGGGGTGATTCGTACTATGAATATCTATTAAAACAATACATTCAAACGGGTTTGCAAGAAGATAACTATATTCAAATGTATCAAGAATCGGTCAATGGCATCAAAAAAAATTTAGTTAAAAATTCAAAACCAAACGATCTAACATTTATTGGTGAACTTAATAATGGTGTCGACGGCGATTTATCAAATAAAATGGATCATCTAGTCTGCTTTATGGGAGGTTTATTAGCCTTAGGTACCACCTTTGGAGAAGATTTAAATGAATATAAAAAAAAACCAAACTCAATTTGGACTTCAAGTAAAGAAAGCGATTTAAAATTAGCTAAAGAATTAACCCACACATGCTATCAAATGTATCATCAAATCAAAGAAACAGGTTTATCCCCAGAGATTGTTGTATTTAATACTGATGAAAGAAGTGATAATGATTTTTTCATTAAACAAATGGATAAACATAACTTACAAAGACCTGAGACCGTTGAAAGTTTATTTGTTTTATACAGAATTACTAAAGATCCTATTTATAGAGAATATGGTTGGGAAATTTTTAATAATTTTATCAATTATACAAAAGTCGAAGGAGATGCAGGATATTCATCATTAAACGATGTTACCAAAATTCCAGTTTCATTTAGAGATAACATGGAATCATTCTGGTTTGCTGAGACATTGAAATATTTATATTTATTATTTGATGACAATGAAGATGTATTACCATTAGATAAAGTTGTATTTAATACCGAGGCTCACCCATTACCGATATTTGATATGGGAGAACAATTCAAGACTGGATGGAAAAGAGGTGATGCAGTTGTAAAGCCCACCCAAGAAATTATACAAGAAATCAGACCAGGGAAACAAGGAGAGGATAAAATAGTTTTACAAAAAATTGTTGAAGTTGATCAAAATAACAATATTCAAAATGAAAGATACGAAAATGTTCCAAGAAAAATTGATAACACTGGGTTAAACAAAAAAAATGAAAACAGTGGAGTTAATAGTAACACTGATAATAATGAACATATCAACGATAATATAAATGAAATCAATAATCTAAAGGACAAAACGTCACATATAGACGAAACAATTGACAAGACAAAAGATTTTAAAAAGCTAGATATTAGCGATGCTCCAGTGGCTGCACCGCCCGCAAAACCAGCAATTGAAGAACTAAAAGAAAATATATTAAAAAATGAAAAAGAATTAGAAAAAAATGGAGTTGTAGACGAAAAGATTGAGCAGAAAAAAAAAATTAAACAGGATATTGAGGAGGGCAAGGGTTACAACGAGATCATTGACAAGTTGATCCAAGAAGGAGAAGAAAAAGACAAAATAGATAAGTAAAATATTATTTATATATTATTTACACATTATTTATATATCATTTGCTCACTGAGATAGTGTTTTATGATTCCATTTTTATAGTTTTTATATTATATATATCAATATTAATGTCAGCCAAATGGTGATAGAGACCCTAATTGCGGGTCTTCTTTTCAGATTACCCGCTCGAAAAGAAACGACGCATTTTATTGATGCTGAAAATTTTCAGCATTAACACTTTTCCCCAACCAGAAACACAAGAAATCAGTCAATTACAAGCTCAATTATCAACAATGTCTGCCCCAAAAATTGAAGAAGTCAAAGAACCAGTTCAAAAGCCAACCCATGATCACGACCACGATCATGATCATGTCCACGACCACGACCACGACCACGACCACGATCACGACCATGATCACGACCATGCCCATGATGAAATTCCAGCAGGAGCTGAAGTCTCTATTTTTTCCAAAAATGAAAAAAAAGCCAGAAAATTGATTTCCAAATTGAACTTGAAGAAAGTTGAAGGTATCCAAAGAGTTACTTTTAAGAGAAAGGGCAATTCCATTTTTGCTATTGACAAACCAGATGTTTACAGATCAGCTGCCGGCACTTACGTTGTCTTTGGTGAAGCTAAAGCTGAAAACTTAGCTCAAAGATACCAACAAGCTGCTGCTGCTCAAGCCAAATTACATGAACAATCTGCTGCTCCAGCTTCAACCACAGACGAGACTGATTTACCATTAGCTTCAAAGGACGCTGACTCAATTACTGCTGACTTACAATCTGCTTCTTTGAAAGACAAACCAGCTCCAGTCAAAAAAGATGAAGGTCCGGTTGACGAAACCGGTCTTGATGCCAATGATATTGATATTGTTGTTGAACAAACCAATGTTTCAAGAGCTCAAGCCGTTAAAGCCTTAAGAGAGAATGATGGTGATATGGTCAATGCTATTATGTCATTATCATAGATTTAGATTAATCTTTTTTAAAATTTCAGTAATGGTTAATAATTTATCTATATTATTCTATTTATTTGTTTTCTTCATCATGAATTTATAGTTTTATAATAAATTTCGATAAAGCGAATCTAAATTTTAATAAACTAAAATGATAATTATGATAATTATGATAATTATGATAATTGATAGAATGTAGCTGAATGAAACATGATATGATATAGAATAGTATTCGATAGTGTTTACATAATCGGCAATGGACGATTTTTGAATATTATCTTATAATTAACGATATCGATTATTTCAATTTTTTTATTTTGGTAGTCTTTGTCATTGAATATCCGGGGGAATTTTAGCAATCCAATTGGATTTTCTAATTTCTCAATACTTCCAATCAACCTCTGACTTTTCCCAATGTATAAAATGCATTTCATGAAATGCTCATCAATCTCCAATCTTCCAATTCTTATTGCCTGTTTTAACTTGGCATCTGCTATGTATTCATTTCCGATGACTTCTTCAATGTATCTCTCTTCATCCTCTGTATTGTTCTCATCGCCTCTATCGTCATCTACATCAATGGGGAAACGTGTGGGATAGTTCAACTCACCCTGAATTTCGATCACCACCAACCCTAGTCTGGTGGATAAATATAATAGACTCTTGTCAGTGGCTCCATTACTGCTGCCATCTTTTGCAGAGTCCTTGCTGAGTTGATCCGATACTTTCGAGTAATCCACCTCTATCTTGGGCATCGTCACCTCTCTGTATCAATGGTTTCTAGCCTATGATCAGTATCTATTATCTATTATCTATTATCTCTGACCTATCTTCCTTTCCGGATACGGACCATCGCATACAAAGCCCTAGGGCTCGGAAAACGCGCAACACTTGAAACAGCTTTGGGTCTGATATAATACCTCCATTACAGCACTCAGCCAGAGCCTGGTTATCCATCACAAACAGCTGGATCGTTTTTACCCGACTGCAGTCCATCGCAATTGACGACTTGTTCTTCCCTGGTTCTTCAGCCTGGACTCTCAATTCATTCAGTTAGCTCTTGCAGCCTCTGTTGACCATTTTGGCCTCACCCAACTCTGTTATCCAACTACTGGTTAAGAAAACACATCATCATTTACCAGCACCATCACAATTTTTTTGCCTTTTGTCAACTGCATCTGTTGAAAGCAAGACCATATCGCTTTTATTTTTTACTATCTGCTGTTTCCTTTCTGAATTCGATACTGTGTTGTACTATATTTTGTTTATTTTTTTGAGCAATTATGAATAATGGGTTGGTTTTTCTTTAGCAGTAAAAAAGAATTCAATCCTTTGACCTTTGAAAAAGAATTGGATGAAATCAATAAGAAAATTGTTAAAAATGAGAAATTTTTAGTTCAGTTTAGGAAAAGTTTTTTTAAATACAAAAAATTATTCAATTTTTATACTATTATTGGATATTTATTATACCTTATATATTCAATAGTCTTAAAAAGTTATGAAAATAAAAACTTTCAAAATTTAAACTCAACCAAAAATGATATAGATGAAAATTCACCATCAAACTCACATTCGGATTCAAATTCAAATTCAAATTCAAACTCAAATTTAGACGTAAATCCAAATATTCATATTCATTTATTGATAATATTATTAACGCCAGTAATTATTTACACTATAAATTTATTACTAAATTACTACTATAATAGAAGAATCGTATCTATTTTAAAATATATCAAAAGACTAAGATTTCAGCACGATTCAAAAATCAGAGAATTGAAGGAAAAGACAAATTTTCTTAAAACAAAGAGATTATTGAAAAAATATAGTGTTGATAACATTTTTGATAGTCTTGATGATGACTCAAACGACGAAGAATTTGAAAAAAGGAGATCAAGGTCAAAGACATACTCTGGAACTGATCCACAAAATGATAACGATTATAGTAATGATCTCCACTCTAAAAATCATATGAATAAGCACGGTTCCAATACTATTGGCAACAATAAAAAAAACAAAAATAGCGCTGCTGGAAGTTCATCTGGTTTCAAACTAAAAGATGAAGATATTAATAACGAAATTGACGAAGATGATGAAGACGATATAGATATAGATTTGGTGGATCAAATTGAACAAAAAATTAAACAAAAACAAGAATTGAAAAAGAGAAAACAATTCTTAAAAGAAAAATATAACATAGATCTGCTTATTCCTGCCAATTCTCCATTATACAATTCAATTTCTAACGAAAACAATAAGTCAAACAACGGAAGTTGGTATGATTCAATTTTTGGCATTTTGATTGGCTCTGATGAGGTCCCTAATGAAAACCGTTACGCTTTGATTTGTCTGAAATGTTTTCAACACAATGGATTGGGCACTCCAGGAAAACTACCTCATGAAATCACATATGTTTGTCCCAAATGTGGATTTCTAAACAATAAAAATAACATTCAAAACAACGCGCAGCTTAAAAACGGTGGCAATACCGATTTTAATATGAACAATTCGAGTCTTGGTGAAAGCAGCAATTCCAATCTCATAACTCCCAGCCATTTAAGAAACGACAGCATAAGCAGCATAGGAAGCACACCAAGCGTCCTCAACCCAGCATTATTTAGCGACCAGGCTTTCAAGCAAAGCCTAAGTCGCTCTCAACCATTGCAATCACAAACACCTAAAAACCAAGATCAATCAACTCCATCAACGTCTTCAGCTGCAAAGCCTTAATCATTCAACTGTACACTATCAACTCAACACATCTCATCGGCCGAGACCTCATCACACTCATGGCTCGGGATCGGTAACTCAGGACAGATAATATACACGTGATCTCATTTTGTTCGGCGAGCGCTCTGCAACGTAGAAAATAAACGAACATTTATCCTGATTGTGGAGGTGTGCGTTTTTTTTTTGACTGCCAAGCGATTCCGGGAAAAGTGGTTTTTGATTTTTTTATTCAATTTTTTCGAAAGTTCGAAATTTCTTTTCAATGAAAATGAGTCAATCGAATGTGACAAAGAAGGTTATTGGAAAATTCGTTTAATTTTTCAGCTTGATATAAATTGAATATTTATCCCCTACTTTGACTTTCCAATTTCTTTTCCCTCTCTTTTTTCTTTCTTTTCTCTCTTTCTTTCCTCAAAACTAATAGTTTGTACTTTTCTACCATCTATTAATTTACCTCTTGTTTGTTTAAAGTAAAGATGTCTTTCAGAACTGCTTCCCTACAATTAGCCAAAGTCGCTGCTGCCCGTCAAATTGTCTCCAAGAGAGCTTTATCTGTTTTAGCTTCTTCTGCTGTCAGACGTCCAGCTTTTAACGCCTCTGTTAGAAACTTGAACATTTCTAGAGGTATTAAAACTATCAACTTTGGTGGTACCCAGGAAGTTGTTCACGAAAGAGCTGACTGGCCTCGTGAAAAATTATTAGACTACTTCAAAAATGACACTTTAGCCTTAATTGGTTACGGTTCTCAAGGCCATGGTCAAGGTCTTAACTTGAGAGACAACGGTATTAATGTTATCATTGGTGTTCGTAAAAACGGTTCATCGTGGAAAGCTGCTATTCAAGATGGTTGGGTTCCAGGTAAAAATCTTTTTCCAATTGAAGAAGCCATTAAAAAAGGTACTTATGTTATGAATTTATTGTCTGATGCTGCTCAATCAGAAACCTGGGCTTCTCTCAAGCCATTGTTAACCTCTGACAAAACTTTGTACTTTTCTCACGGTTTCTCCCCAGTTTTCTCAAACTTAACCAAAGTCGAACCACCAAAAGATCTTGATGTTATCTTGGTTGCTCCAAAAGGTTCTGGTAGAACTGTCAGATCTTTATTCAAAGAAGGTAGAGGTATCAACTCATCCTATGCTGTCTGGAATGATGTCACTGGTAAGGCCGAAGAAAAAGCTTTAGCCTTATCCATTGCTATTGGTTCTGGTTACGTTTACAAAACCACTTTTGAAAGAGAAGTCAACTCTGATTTATACGGTGAAAGAGGTTGTTTAATGGGTGGTATCCATGGTATGTTCTTAGCTCAATACGATGTCTTAAGAGAAAATGGCCACACCCCTTCAGAAGCTTTTAATGAAACTGTTGAAGAAGCCACTCAATCATTATACCCATTAATTGGTGCTAAAGGTATGGACTACATGTACGATGCTTGTTCCACCACTGCCAGAAGAGGTGCTTTGGACTGGTACCCAAAATTCAGAGAAGTTTTGAAACCAGTCTTTGAAGAATTATATTCCTCAGTTAAAACTGGCGCTGAAACTCAACGTTCATTAGATTTCAACTCTCAACCAGATTACCGTGAAAGATTAGAAGAAGAATTAAATGTTATTAGAAACATGGAAATCTGGCAAGTTGGTAAAGAAGTTAGAAAATTACGTCCAGAAAACCATTAAATTTAATATTTGCTGAAGCAATCGTTTAATTTGATTTATTCTGGCTTTTTTTCATTACATTCTTCTATTCAACCAAACAATATTCTATGATCAAGAATGATCTTTATGAATTAATGAAAGAAATTAAGATAATGACAATTTTTTAAATAAATACTTTGTTAACATTTTTATAACTCCAATGCTTTTTCTTTTTCAGTTTTTTTTAATTTTTTTAATTTCATTTTCTAAGTGTATATATACATTGTTTGGGATCGTTGGTTTTTTTATAAAATTATACATTCATAATAGTCTTAATAGAATGACTTGAGTTTTTTTTTCAAATTGTCTGTGTAGTATTATCCATTAGTAAATCAAACAATTTTTCAATATTCAACAACCAATTGAGTTTTAAAGGCAATTAAAATTGATTGGTAATAGCATGACCTTATTGGTTTTTGATCAAATCAATCCCAAACTTCTGTAACACCAATAATACACGTCAAACTCAAATTAAAATGAAGCAAAATTGGAACTTGTAATGAAGTTGAATTGTTTAATACTTATTCATTAATAATACAAATATTAACCTATTTATCTTAGTTTACAAATATACTTTTATAAAATCCATCAAAATGGTGTAATTTAAAAAATATAAATATAAATCAAACCAAATCCATTGAATTAACTTAATCGAATAAACCTCCAAAACCTTCATCGTCAGATTCTTCTTCAGATTCTTCATCTTCCTCTTCTTTAGCAGCTGGAGCATCTTCTTTAGCAGTTTCAACTGGAGCAGCAACAGCATATGCTTCTGGGTTAGCCAATCTTTCTTTGATTTCTTCTGAACCCTTGAAGGTATAATCAGTAGCAACAGAGACAGCTAAAACATTCTTATAATGGTTGACAATATTGTGGGAAACCGATGGTAAGGTTGGGTAGCTGGCACCTAATGAAATTTGAGCAATAACATTGATAGCCTTGATGAATTGTTCAATCAATTCTTCATCAGTGATATCCAAAACTGAAGATGGAAAAGCTTGTCCTTCATCATAAACTTGAACAACAGTCATACCATAAGTGAATGGAGAAATGTTCAACATATTCAATAAAGTGGCTTCAGATGGACCGACTTTGGTGCCAGCTTTAACAACTAAAACTTCAGTGGTAATTTCAATAGTACCTCTGGTAATTTTGGTTGGAACACCTAAAGCTTGGAAGAATGATGTTTTACCTGGTTCCATACCAGTATTAATAGCTGGAATAAAGATATCGGCATCAGAGAAAGCACCAGCTCTGGCTGGAGCCTGAACTTTGTTGGCAACAATTAAATCTCTAATGTCGGTTAATTTTTCATTGGTGAAAATGAAACCAACGTTACCTTTGACAAATGGTAAAATTTTTTCAAAATCAGGTAATTCATGTAAAACACCACGAATAGCTCTTCTGACCATGGTGTTTTTACCCATTAAAACCACAGCTTTACCACGTAAAGCCTTACGGATTTCATGCATTTGTTGAGAAGAAACATTATCAACTCCAACAACAAAGATGGATTTGTATTGTTCCAAGTATTCACGTAATTTGGCGAAATATTCTTCTTTTTGTTGACGAGTGCCTCCCATGTCGACTCTTAATAATTAATTCTTGAGGATAGGATGTTTAAAGGTTACTCTTTATAAAATAAATAAAATAACTTTTAATCAAGTTGTATAGTAAACCAGAGGTATTCGATCATATCTCAATTTTTGATATTGGAAATGAATAATAGGGCTTCTAGAGGAGGTTGAAAAATAATAGCTGACTTTTAAAACCCTATCTTTTCACACGTGTACATACATTTTTTGCCAAAAAAAGAAGTGCATTAAAATGAAAAGCACAAAACTAAATCCATATTGGTGGACTCAACGCAGTTTTACATAAACCCACAGTAATTCCATTTCTGTGGTTTGTATTTTTTGCACGCGGGCCAAGGCCCAAAAAGTAAACAGCTTAAACATGAAGAAAAGAATAAACAAAAATAAAAATAAACCATATTAAATATATATAATGAGTAGGCCTTATGACAAACAACCGCAGTTCAAAACTAACACCATGAAGAAAAAAATAAAGAAAACACACACTTGAAAAAAAAAAATAAAGCTATTAGGGATAACAAAAAAATACATAAAATATAATAGAAAACAAAAAAAATTTAAAAAAGCACAAATAACACAAAAATAATATATAAATAAATAATGAAAACTCAATTTGAAAAAAAAATTAAAAAAACCAAAAAAAATTCCAATTAAATAGAATTGGATCATAAAATGTGGATTATATCCATATAAAACAGTAGATAATATTAACATGAGGAATCATTTAGTAGAAAATTTTCTAGAATAACTTTTTTCGAAAATTAGTAAAAGCTCTGGATAATTTAGACTTTTTAGTTTTATCTTTACAGAAAGATTTATTTTCTTCTTCTATTGTTGGATTATTCTCCTTATCTGGTAAATAATGGTGGCGATGAGGATGCTTAATATGCAGCAATGTATTTGAGCATTTTCTAATAAGTTCTTGTTTAGTAAGAGGCTTCTTAATTAGTGATTTTTTATTATCAAAGGAATTGTTTAAATCTAAATTATCATCAATAAGTTTTCCATTTGTAACATACTCAGTTCCCTCAACTTTTTTGTCCTTTTTATGCAAAACCTTATCAATAGATTTAAGTGAAAATGAGTTTGGTAATATATTTAAAGTATTCTTGATTTTTAATAAGCTTTGGATTGATTTGGTACTGGCACTTTTTTTAATAAATGAACTATCAGCAATTAAAAAGCTAGTATCATAAATTGTACTGTCTAATCCATCAGTAACAGTAAGATATGTTGTCCCCATTTCTGATTGATCTTGAAACTTTCCACTACTTTTAACAGTTGTTTTTAAATTTGTTTCATTTCTATCAAAAATTGATTTTTTTCTGCGAACAACTTTCTTGGCCTTATTATCTTTATCAAATTCTTGTTTTTCCATAATTTCTCTTCGGTTTTTATCAATTAATAATGCTCCAGACTTTCTATAGACTCTAGAAGACATTCTATTTCTAGTTGAATCATAATACTCAAAATCATTATTTAAGTTTTTAAATGTAACATTTGAAGTTTCATTTGATCGATTTGAAAAAATTGATAGAATTGAAGGTTTGTGTTTAATCTTTTTAGAGATTTTTCTTGAGCTAACTCTTCTTTGAACAGGAAAACTGTTAATTAATGATTGCGACTGAGAGCTTTTATTTCCAAAACTATCGTTACTTTTGTTTTCATGAATACTATTAAAAATATATGTTTTTTTAGAGCTGGATGTTTTCAGTTCATCACCTTCATCTTCTTTGATTAAAAATCTAACAAAATTACTCTTTTTCTTAATATTTTGAATTTCATCATTCTCTGGTAAAGAACGTCTAATTCTATGAGGATTTGACGAATGACTCGCTTTTGTATCAACAACATCATTGTGGTTATGTTGTTGATCATGATAAGCAATGTTTTTACAAACATTTTCTTTAGCAACTTCATCAGTAATATCAGAAAAATCATTTTCAAGGAATCTTACGACGTTTCCGTCAGATCTACTTGTTGAAATCTTAGATGGAACTAATTCAACAAAAGATTTTTGATCCCTTTGGTTTTCAAGAACTTCAGTACTCGAATTATCATTTTCATTGGATAAATCAGATTTCTTGTCCGAATTTTTAAGCTTTTTCGATTTCTTTTCAGATAATGAAGATTTAGAAGATTTTTTTTGCAACAGTTTTAAAGAAGATTTTAATTTTAAAGATTTTGCAGGTTGATTTGAAAATTTATCATATAAATTGAATAATCTGATAGATTCAGAATGATCTTGAGCAAATCTTCTACTTCTCTGGGATTTTTCTTTAGTTTTTTTTGAAAGATGAAAAGATCTCAATTGAGCTGAGGGACTAACTGAAGGATTTTTTTTACTTAAAGGCAGGTTTTCAAGACTATTATTATAAGCTAGTAGGATATCATTTCTATCAGATTTTGATATATAATTTTTTAAAGAGGATTCTTCCAGAATATCGTATAAATTAGTTTCATTAGAGTTTGGAATTGAAATGTTATGGTTTGAAGTTGTTAAATCGATAGAGGGATTAATATCCTTGAATGATTTATCAATCAATTGGACAATAAAGGATGAAGTTGAAGACTGTTGGATTTTTTTATTAGCATTTGTATTTATAATTAAGTTGGAGTTGGAAATAGAGTTAGAGTTAGAGTTAGATTTAGAAATGGAGCTAAAAGCAAGTTTATTATTTGAAATTGAAATTGAATGAGGATTAGATGCTGATGTTGAAAATGGCTTTTTATTTGATTTAGAAATTAAAATGTTATGAATATAGTCAATTTCGTGATCTGTGTCGGTCAAGTTAGATGAGTTGGATAGATTTGATAAATTTTGGGGATTACTTTTATTGGATTTAGGTAGGAAATTTGAATTGCGATCAATTAGTTGATTTAATTTGATATTATCAGATGGAGACATTATTGATTTTGAAGATTTTGAGAACAATAGGGATTCGTTTAAAGAGATATTGGATGTGTCATTTATAAGGTTGAGTTTACTATTCAAGGACTTATTAGTTAGGGATTTATATAGCAGTTCATCGTCAATGATATTTTGAGAGTTTAAGTCATCGTTATTTAAAAAGTTGGCAGATAAAGGTCTTTCAGAGTATTGAGATAAAAGTGACTTTTTTGAAACAATTGATAAGTCCCTTTTCATTGAGTGGTTTGAGATTGAGATTGATTGAGAGCGAGAGTGGGAATAGGAACGAGAGTGAGAGTGAGAATAAGAGCGAGAACGAGAATGGGAGCGTGAATGAGAGGTTGAATTGGAGTTGGAGATTGAATTTGGGTTAGAACTTTGAATTTGAATTTGATTTTGGTTTTGATTGTGAAATTGGGATTGAAATTGGTTTAAATTATTTAAAGAAGATGAATTTTTCAATAAATTGTTTAAATTATTTAAAGAACTTAACGAGATAATATCATTTTTCAAATTTGAAGACATTGAGATCATACCAAATGATAAATCATTATCAGAGTTTGAATTAGAATTGGAATTGGAATCGGGATTGGAATTGGAATTAGAAAGAAGTAATTTTGATTTTGATTTTGAATTTAAATTTGTGTTTAAATTGAAGTTAAAATTAAAATTAAATTTGGAATTCTTATTAGAAATGATATTAGAGATGATATCATTATTATTATTTTCATAATTATTATTATTATTTTCATAATTATTGTTATCGTTATTATTATTATTGTTATTATTATTATTATTATTATTATTGTTATTATTACTATCACTTTTGTTGTCACTTTTATTATTACTCTTATTGGCGATGATATTGGAATTGGTATTAAAATCGGGATTAGAATTGGTATTGGTATTAGAGTTTGGACTTAAAATATGAAATTTATTTGCAGACAAATTTTTATTTTTGAATACAAAATTGAAAGTGGGAGAAGTAAATTGGTTGAGCGAGGACAATTGAGAAGAGTTGAAAGAGTTATTAAATGATGGATTGAAAGAGTTGTTGCCACTGATGATGTTATTTGAATTGTTGAATATTATATTGTTAAGACTCCTGTTTATATTATTGATATTTGTGTTAAACGTAATGTTATTAAGGCTGTTGTTAACATTGATACTGTTACTGTTTATATTTTTATTAATATTAATATTATTATTGTCATGTAAAACAGTTGAATTTTTGAATAGAAAAATATCAGAATTGGTTGGAGCGCTTTCAAAACTTGAAGAAGACTGGAGACTGAGATGCTGGCCATTATTTGAAGAGTTGGAGTCACAGTTATTACTTGTGGTGGTCGTTGTTGTCGATGAATGCAACGAGCTCCTTTTTCTCTTGGGCAGATCATTGTGGGTGACGAACAACAGTCTGTTGTTGATTTGTTTATTTTTCATGGATTTGTTATTGTTTGGGGGAGAATTATTCGGCAACTGATTCACAAGAGATGTTATGGGGGAGGTGGGCCTGAGGTCTTTGGTGTAGTGGAAGACTGGAGAGATGTCGATAGAGGTCATTGTAGAAGTATCAATTGCTGAGTTCTGGGGTTGTGGTGGGTTTGGGTGATTGTTTATATGACTGATCTGGTGAAGGACCTGGTGAAAGATTTGGCGGATGATCTGAAACTGCTGTGATGCAGGGATGGAGGAAAAAACGAATACTGGGTGCCGGATGCAAGCAGAAAAGGAGCGACTGGGGCAAAGGAATAAAAGGCACTTTGAGCAGCAGCTTCACCATCGCCAGCATCTTCAGCAGTTCCTCCGTCAGCACAGGAAGAAGACACAGCACAGACCCCAGTCCCAGCACTGTTTACCTTTTGCCTAATGCGGCACTGAAACCGTGCATTCTCCGGCACACCTCCGGATTCCTGTTTACAGCGGAATGTTCCGTAAGTGCAGGATGCTGACAAAGCATTCCACACGTGCTGGATGATGCTGGATGTGCTGACTCATCAGAACGTGCGCACACGAGACCGTTTCTGTGGCAGTCGGGTTTTTCAGCTTTGCTTCTGTTGATTCAAGAGCCAGGCTTCTGCTCTGGTTGGTGATTCTGCTGATTTTGGTGCCAGCGTCTTCAGTCTGCTGCTTTTCACAATGCCTTCTGTCGAATTTGAAGGAATCTATCTCAACCAGTCCAAGTCCCAGGGCCGTATGCGTATTGCTGATTCTGGGCTTGGGTGGAAGGCAATCATCTCCAAAAACAACCCATCTACAAACAACCCTCCATTTTTGCTACCAAAGGAAAATGTGCTCACTGCTTCCTGGTCCAGAGGCGCTAGAGGCTGGGAATTGAGGTTCCAAACAGGCTCTGATGGTGTTATTATGCTTGATGGTTTTGATCAGCAGGACTTTAATAAATTGAAAATTGAATTGCAGAGAAATTTCGATGTCCAACTAGAACATAAAGAACATTCGCTTAGAGGTTGGAATTGGGGTAAAGCTGCTTTGCTAAGAAACGAATTGGTCTTCAACGTTAATAATAAACCTTCATTTGAGCTTCCTTACTCTGAGATTTCAAACTCAAATTTAACAGGAAAAAACGAGGTAGCAATTGAATTTAATTTAAGTACTGACAAATTGCAAACTAGAACTGGCGATGAATTGGTAGAAGTCAGGTTATATATCCCGGGAAATGTTGAAAAGGAAAATGACGCTAACGAGAGCGAAAATAACGAAAATGAAGGGGAAAACACTGAAGAACAAAGTGCTGCTTCTGCTTTTTATGAACAACTAAGAGAAAAGGCCGATATAGGCCAAGTCGCTGGTGATGCTATTGTCTCCTTCTCTGATATATTGTTCTTAACTCCAAGAGGTCGTTATGACATAGACATGTATCCAACTTCCTTGAGGTTAAGAGGTAAAACCTATGATTACAAGATTCAATACAGACAAATTCAAGGAATCTTCACTCTACCCAAACCTGATGAAATTCATAACATAATGGTCCTTCAAATTGATCCTCCTTTAAGACAAGGTCAAACAAGATATCCCTTCTTAATAATGCAATTCATGAGAGATGAAGTATTAACCGTAGAACTAAATGTTGATGACCAAGAATTCAATGAAAAATATAAAGGTAAATTGGAAAAATCCTACGATAAAAATACTCACTTGGTCATATCCCATTGTTTTAGAGGCTTGACAAATAACAGAATCATTGTCCCTGGCACTTTTTCCTCAAAATTAATGCAAAGTGCTGTTAGTTGTTCTTTAAAAGCAAGCGAAGGTCACCTTTATCTATTGGATAAATGCTTTCTCTTTGTTACAAAACCAACCGTTTATATCCCATTTTCGGAAGTCTCAAGTGTTGTCATGTCAAGATTGGGCAAATCTGTATCCTCCTCAAGAACTTTTGATTTAGAAATTGATTTAAGAAACTCTTCAATAAAACACGTCTTTGCTAATATTTCAAAAGAAGAACAAAACTTTATTGAAAACTACTTGAAAGAAAAGAACATCAGAGTTAAAAATGATGAAAAAGATGGTCAGGATATCTTAAATCATGCCCTTGATTTTGATGAAGACCAGGATATGAGCAGTTCAGATGACGAAGATTTCAATGCTGATTCGGAATCTGCTTCCGATGTTGCTGAAGAATTTGATTCAGACCATCATACTTCTGGTAGTGAAAGTGAAGATAATGATTCAAAGAGACCAAAAAAGAAAGCTAAGAAATAATCATTTAATATTCAATTTTTAAATCAATACATCTTCATTCAATTCCATTCTAGTTCAATTTAAAATCATTCAATCTATCAATTTCTTTTTATATTTTTTTCTTTCTTTGTAGTTTTAGTATACTTTTTTCTATTCTTAGTCTTTATCTAATATTGATCTATTTATCTATTTATCTATTTACCTACCATGACCAACACTAAGAAGGTTGTAAAATAAAATAAATCCTGCTTGGACAAGATAAAATAAACAAATGTGATTAAATTACATATATCAAGCTTACAATTAATCTTTAAATGATTTTACAAATATAAAACAAACAACTATGTACAATTTCTAATATCGAAAAAAACTAGGAAACCTTAATTGATCCTGGAGTTGCAATTTCATCAGTGAAATTTGGGACATTTTGAATCTCATTATAATCATCTCGTATTTTTTCAACAACTTTATAAAGATCAAGGTCTTTAAATTCCCTAAGGTTCTTTTTAACCTTGATTTTTTCAATTTCTGATATTTTTAAAAAATCTTCCTCTATTTCATTCTTATCTTTTTGCTTAAGTCCAACTTCCGAATCATTATTTTTATTCATATTCGGTTTTTTATTTGGTTTTTTACTTTTATTTTTTTCTTGAAGTTTTTTAAGTACAATAGATCCTTCAACAATATCAATATCATCAATTTCAACTTTAATAACATCACCAAGTTTAGGCAACTCAAGAAATTCGATTCCATTTAAATTACCAGGAATACCATAATCTTTAATCATACAAAATATCCTAATTTGTCCTTGTTTGTTTGGAATTCCAATTCCAGAAACTATTGCCTCAAATCTATTTTTAATAGTTCCCTTTTCAATCTCATTCATAATATAAGTCGTCATCCAATAAACAGCACTTCTCTTTGAACTCTTAGCAATAGCCGTACTTCTTTGGTTAATGTGTGATACCATTGAATTAATATTCTGTTGTTTAAAAAAATAATCATTCTTTCCACTCAAAAATGAATGGATTTGCCAATGCGAAACTAAATCAACAAATCTTCTTAAAGGTGATGTCGATGGAAGATATAGTTCAGCTCCTAATAGAAAATGTTTCATAGGAAATGGAGAAAACCCAGACGACGCTATCAAATTAAACGTACGAAATGCATCAGGATTTCCTATTGAAGATTCAGTTTTTGTTCTTTTCTGAAAATCGCTCAAAAAATTGCTAATTTCGTCATTTTCTGAGTTGACTGGTATTATAAAACGGTAAAACCCAGGAATATTATTTTTTTGAAAAAAATTACCTGCTATTGAGTTGGCTAATACCATTAGTTCAGAAACAAGAAGTTGAGATTTGAAATTAGGATTATTCATTGGTAAAATAGGAGCATTAGTGGCATCGGAATCTTCAAAGAGTGATAACCCAGCTTTGCTCATAATAAAACTGCTTTTATCTTTCACATTTTTCACAATGTCATTAACCGGTAAACTTGGATTAGGATCAAATAAAAATGCACCATTTTTATATCTAAGATCTTTCAAGTCATTTGAGATTTGATATAGATCTTTCAAATCTTTAGAATCCTCGGAGTCATTTTTTTTCTTTTCAAGAATAGAAGAAACTTTATTATATGTCAAACGTTTAAAATTCCTTAAAAGCCCACCTGAAATTGTAGAATTTTTCATATCAAACCTTTCATTTAATTCAGATCTCAGTGGATAATATGGAATAGAAAATGTGATTGTTCTGGTGGGAGCATCTGTTTTACCCAACCCAGCAACTTCGGATACTGAACCAGGAAGCATTGGAGAAACCAATTCAGGCAAGTAAACAGTAGAAGCTCTATCATAAGCAATTTTTGCAAGAGTTGAGTTAGGTGATATGTAAGAAGCAGGGTCCGCAATATGAATATGAACTATCCATTTATCTGATGATTGCTTTTCAATTGAAACACCATCATCAATTTCATTAGCATCTATACTATCAATACAATAAACCTTTAGATTTCCATAATCTACTCTTAAATTTTCTAGAGGATCGGGTTGAGACAATAATTGTTCTTTAGAAATGTTATCACAATATTGTTTTTGCAAATCTGATTTAAAAGATACATCTTTTTCAGGTAGAGCCAATTCATTTGACCAAATAACTGGATTTTGATAAGCAGGAATAGCGTAACCAATTAGAGCTAATAAATTAAAAGCCGTAGTTTTGCTTATATCCAAGGAGTTGAAAATTTTGATTTTTCTTATTATCTGAGCAATAATAGCTTCAAGTTGAGGATCGTCAATATTTCCAGCTGAATACTCTTTAATAAGATCCAAAATCTCAAAAAAATTTGCAGGAACATTGGAAGAATTGATTTTTACCAACGTTTTTTGTATTTTTTGAACTGAATCCTTTAAGGCCATACCATCTTTTTTGGAGATTTGGGATAAAATAGAGGAAGGAGTTAATATTAAATTATTTTTCACGGAAATATTCCATTTGAATCTATTTAAATACAAGATTTTCTTTAACTCAGTTGCTTTATCACCGGAATTTCTTTTGATGGATTCAATTTGAGATTTACTTAAAGGAGATAATTTTTGGTCATTTTCAACTGTGATGAAATAAATAGAAGTTAACAATAATGATATATGTTTAATAAAGTTAATTGCAACCATCTCTTGCGTTTTTAATACTTTAATTAAAGAATCGAACTTTTGTAAGGGAAAAATACTTATGTTTTTAAAATGAAGAAAATTTCGACCCCAAAATCTTGGTTGTTTGGCCATTGATAACATTATAGCTGTATAAAGAGCAGAATCAATTTTTAAGTCTGATTCAAGAGAACCGTAGGATTTACCGAGAGATACTTCGTCAAATGAAAGAGATTCCAGGATGGTTTTGGAGAACTTGGTTGCTAATTTTTTATAAATATCAGACATGTCGCTATTATTGGACAGAAAAAGTTTTCTAACATCAATTTTAAATTGTTCCAAATCAAATGATTCTACAATTTTGTATAGAGATATCAAATTGATATGATTAACTCCATCAGAGTATTGTAAAACTCTGTGAATTGTTTCCAATTTGGTGGAAACTTCTGGGATAAAATTCCAGATATCTTGATTTAAGGGACCCAATAAATCTTTGATTAAGGTTCTTGAAAAATCAGAAACAACAAAAGTTTCGAGTTGAGCATCATCGGTAGGCCTATACTGTTCAGCGTCCATCAAAAGGTTTGTGAGTAGAGAAGTTTTTTTGGAAGTTCCAACACGAGGAAAATTATTATTGTTTTCTTCCTTAACAATTGAGTATTTTAAAAATTCTTTTGGAACAACTTTGGGAATAATGATTTTAAAATGCTTTCCATTAGTGTAGGATATATCACCGTTGGTTGAAATAAGTGTAAAAGTTGGATCTTCAGCTCCAGTAGGTAATCCATAAATCAAAAACAATTGAGGTCTGCTGAGATCAGTGTATAAAAGAACACAATCACCAATTTGTGGAGCAGAGAATAATTCATTATAGTAAAAAAAAGTCCTTGAATCTCCAAAGTTATTTATCAACTGGTCCTCTATGAAATCATCTTTTAAGAGTTTTGCTTCTTCAACTCCATCAAAATAGTTTTTATCGTGCCGAGATATGTTGGTTAAATCTTGATTTTGACTTTCTGTTGTCCTTTCTATGAATTTATTCTTTTGATACTGTTCTAGTAATCGGAGGTATTTCTTCTTGACGATAGTATTAGGCACGTTAAATCTGTAATCAAAAAGAAGTCTGGTATCACTGTATATACGATTTATGGGCTTGGTTTCTTGGGGCAAGATTTCAGAAACCACTTGGTCTTTTAATTCAGCTGTATTTTGCTCTTTAGCGACATCATTTCTAAAACGATCTATTATCTTGTTTTTAGTGCTTTTGCCACTTTGACTGCTAAGAAACCTGGCAAGAGTTATAGAGCCGTAGAAGAAGTTGCTTGTGTTCAATGCAGTCGATGTTTTGTTCCGAATATTGCACCTTAGCATCGTAAGTGGGTGTTGCTGATGAGATGAAGCAATTACTTCTGAATCTGCTGAAAAATTGTCTCCAAAATCAAAAAAAAATCAAAAATCAAAACTCAAAACCAAAACCGAAACCGAGATTTTTGTTTCCGGTTCGAACCGCGGAGAAAAAGCATCCAAACTCTAGAGCCAGTTTTGGTGCGTGTGCTGAAAAAGTAGTTATTTCTACAAAATACAGTGTATAGAACAGGGAAAGGGTGTTTTATAAAGTACAGTGAAGCTGATCAAAAGATCTTGGTTAAGACATTGGACAAGTTCTTGTCGACCTTCGCCTTTTTGATTTTTGAAGAAGTTTCATCAGCTCTCTTTGTCGCAACATCCTTTTGTCTGAAGTTTCTTCTGATGTCTATTTTGTTATTAACAATAGTGCTGTCGCTTTTTGTCTCCTTTGCATGTTCTGCATCTGGATTTGCATTGTCCAAACTGCTTTTTAGTTTCTTTAATTTTTTCTCTTTGATCAAATTGAGTGTTTTGCTTTTTTCGATGTTATTTATAAAGTTCTTATTTTGCTTATTCGCTTTATACATTTCTAATTGCAATTTACTTTGTTTTAGATCATTTTCTTTGGAAATTTGTTGGATCAAGTCATTCCATTTGAATCCCTTCAAGTATTTGATGTTGAGAATATCATCATGGTAATAGCTATTTTTTTTCCCTCCAATTATCTGTGCATTCAAAGTCTCGCAACATAATTTCGCGTTCCTTTTATTCAAAAACTCACACCAACCTTCAACATACTTCTTTTTTTTATTACCACCATACTTGACTCTTTTAGTGTGAAATCTGGGATTTTCAGGCTTTAAAAACAATCTGTCAATTTTACCAAATCTCGACAATATTTGTCTCATTTTCGATGGTTTCATATATGGTGGAATTGAAGAGATATAAACCAATCCAGTTTTCTTGATTTTTTTTTGAAATTTTTTCAATTGTTCGGCATCCAATTTTTTGAATGAACTCGTTTTCAAGGAAGATGATGGCTGGACCAATAATTTGTAATCCTCATCTTCATGATCAATATTTTTGCTTTCTGCTTCAGCGAGTTCCTCTGCGTCAAGTTCAGTAAAACGTTCTTTCCTTTTATTCTTTTTCTTTTTCTTTTTCAAAGCTGCATTTCCATCAGCATCACTCACACCAGCATCGGATTCCAAGTCGAAATCGGAATCAAGTTCTTCCTCTTCGTCGAAAGCAGAAACAAAAGTTCGTTTGGTAGAGTGCTGTTTTTGGTTCCTCATACCATCCTCTTCTTCAGAGTCGTAGTCGCTCTGCGCCTCGTCTTCACTGCTCACATCATGATAATCCTGAGCACCAGCGTCGTTGCCATCCAGCAAAACCAAGCTCTTCTTTGCCATTTCCACTGTCTTTTATCTTTGCTCTGCTCAAAAACACCCCCAAAAACTTTCCAACTCAAAAAAAAATTCAAAACCATTCCAACGGGTTTGTCCAAACCTAATTTGATAAAGCATAATCTCTTATATTTCGCTCCACTTTTAGCTGGGTGCAATATATTCAGTATATTCTCTATGTGTCCACTTCCAAACGAAAATGTAGTCTTCTTTTGCTGCTTGCTATTGCTATACTTTGTTGCTACTTGAGAAATGAAGGGAGATCAATTGATACACAAATTGAACCAGAGAATTCCCATCAATGAAATTTTTGAAGAGATCGACGATAAAAGTCTGTTTATTTTGACCATCCTCAACTGCCAGGAAAACTTGTTGACTGCTCTTTACTTAATCTCAATTGTCAATCCTTACTATTCAAAGTGCTTTTTGAGCCATTTGTTTAATGGATTTGAAAACTTGATCTATGAACTTCAGACAGATGATCTCGAATTTGATGAAAGATTCTACGACTTCTACATCTCAATTTTGAGTGCTAAAGAAGGAAATCCAACTGATTATGATATTATAAAATACAATTTAATTACTTGTACCTCAGATAACCCAAATGGTCATCATACTCTAAACGAAAGCCAGGAGAATCCTTATATTACAATAAGGGAGTGTCCAAGATTAATTGGTGGTTTAGGCACCACTGGTTTAAGAACATGGGAAGCATCTTGTTTTTTATCCAATTTTTTGATCAATCCAAAAAATCATTCTTTTGTAACTAATATATTCAATAACCAAACTGTATTGGAGATTGGTTCGGGTACGAGCTTGGTTAGTTTAACACTATACAAAAATTTCAGTTCTTTAATCAAGAAAGTCATAATCACTGATGGCGATTCTTCATTGCTCGATAACATTGTACATGGCAATCTATCCTTAAATGATATTCAGTTACCTAATGACAAAATTCAAGTTCAGAGATTGCTATGGAACGATCCTGATGACTTTAGTTCAATCTCTGATTTTGATGTTATAATCGGGTCTGATTTAACTTATGATAGATCAATAATACCCGATTTAATCAATCTTTTGAAAAAATCTTTAAACACAAACAAACAAAGATTTGCTCTAATATCTGCTTCAGTCAGAAATATCGAAACTACTTTATTTTTTGAAAATTTACTTACTTCAAATAATTTGTCCTTTAAAATTATCGAGAAATGTTTAAACCCTTCAACAAATAGTTATATAAACAACTCCACTAAACTTTGGTTTAAAAAAGGAACTTTCGAAGTAAGAATCTATAAAATATATTCTTCAAAATGTTCTCTTTAAAAATAATATAGAAAAACAATTGATATCTAACAAGTATTTATTGTCCCAAAAAAAAACTAAGTAAACTAAACTAAATTCCAAAAAAGAGAAAGCATAATTGAAAAAAAAAAATAAACAATTAAACAATGAAAGTGAATCATTAAATTAAACAACAAAATAACAGGAAACAATGATGAATAGGAAATGAAAAGTTTTTAAAAAAAATTAAAAACTTTGAAGAAAGCAATCAAAACAAAAAAATCAAAACAAAATTAAAAATTAAACCATTAAATCATGAAGAAAGGAAGAAAGGAAGAAAAGACAAGAAATTGGGGCTAAACAGGCTTTTTTTTTTTAATCCAAAATTATTTTTACAATAGTTTACAAAAATTCAAAAGGAAAAAAAAATTGAAATTGTAAATCAGTTCATTGTAAGCATAGAATGACGTTTGCTATGAATATTCACCAAGCTTTCTGCTTGTGAAAGACCCGGAACTTCATGTGTTGACTGTATTCTTTCAAGAGAATTTCTCGAACTGGAAGGTGTATACTCACCGGTTTCAATCATTTTCAATCTCAATCTATTCAATGGTGAAACACCCTTAACTCTTTCCATTTCTCTTTGATGTCTTTCTTTCTTTTTTCTTATAAAAGTGGGTCTGCGAAGGGTTCCAATTTTGCTAATGACAGAATTTGATCTGTTTCTAAGTGAACCAGATCTTTTTCTATTTGTACCGTCGGAATTTGGAGAAGTTGGTGAGGTTGGAGAAAGATGTAAATGATGTGAATGATATGAATGATTTGAATGATCCGAATGATCTGAATGATCTGAATGGCCTGAAACTGGTGTATCTAAAGTCAAAGATATATGTTCTCTATCTTTAGGAATATTAGCCTCAAGATCAACATTAATAGATGAGTTTTCTGGAGTAACATTTACATCCTTTTTGGGTGAAAATGGATTGACGTTTTCAAGATATTTGTCAACATCTTCAGAACATGTTGGATCGTATCCATGTTTAGGATATTGACTGAAAGCACCTTTTTGAACCCTTTCTCTTATAATATCAATATCTCTTGGATGATATAATTTATTTAATGTGTCATACACAAATCTTGGCAACAAGTTAGCTATAACACCGATAAAAAAAACACACCAAAATGCCGGACTGCCAAAAATTTGAGGTGCAACCTTGTAAAATGGACCAGATATGGTCCCAGCAGACCAGACACCAGTCCAAAAGAAAATAAATAAACATGAGAGTATGTCAATTAAAACTGATAACCAATCCCATCTGTATTGTCTCATCAACACATAAATATTACAAGAAATAACAGCAATATTTGCAACCATGACACCCATCCAAAATCTGTGGTGTATATTCAATCCATTGTCAGAAACCAAAATACCTTGGTAATATAGCAAATAGGGAAAAAAGAATGAAAGAATTGACTGATATAAGCCATCACACATATAATAAATAAATTTAAATTGAGACCATTCCAATCTTAAAATACCTGTTCTGTATAATTGTGGAACAAGTAGAGAAATAGTATCTGAAACATCTTGATCAAGAACCCCCAAAAAAATAACAGGTAATGAAGTAAAGGCTAAATTAAAAAACATAAGGAAAGTAAATTCATACAAATAAGATCCATCAAAGTTATTAAAAACACAAAACCAAAATAAAGTGAAAGTGAAAACAACATTTTTGTAAAAAAAACATGGAATCATTTCAGCCAATCTTTTATAAGACCACCTTCCATGAACCAAAACCAATCTGGTTAAAAACCTAAACTGACCAAGACCATAATCAGAAGACATAACAGCCTGTCTACCTTCTTCTCCTGCAATTCCTATTCCAACGTTTGCAGCCTGGATCATAGCAACATCATTTGCACCATCACCTATAGCAAGAGTCATAACTTCTAAACTGTTCTTCACTAACTTGACAACCTCTGCCTTTTGAGATGGTGAAACACGACAACATAGAACAGATTTACATTGTTTACATAAAAGCAAGAAATTTCTTTGCAAATCTTCAGATCCTGTGTGTAGATTAAAAATCGTAGTCAACGCAGAACCATCAACAACAACAGCATGTCTACCTTTAGGAGGAAAATGATCTAGTTTTGCCAGTTCCAATTCTTCTTGAGTTCCTTGCATATGAAAATTTTCTGACAAATATGATGAAATAGTTGCATTTAAACCTTTATCAGGAGAGTTATCATTTAGTTCAGGTTTAATAACTAATAATTTCATATCGCTTTCTAATAAATTACAACTAAAACCAATGTTGATAGCAGTTTCAATTTTATCACCAGTTAAAACCCATAACTTAATTCCAGCCTCGGCAAGTAATTGAATGGAATCTGGAACACCATCCTGTAATCTATCTTCAATAGCGGTACAACCAATTAAATTTAAATCATTTTCAATTTCGCTAGAAACTCTTTCTATATTCTCCTCACGATCATCAGAAATTGAAGCAGCAGCTTCTTCTGAACGTTTAAACCAGGCTGAAAACTCACTTTCAGAAATTTCTTTGTAACCAAAACAAAGAGTTCTTAGACCTTCTTTGGCAAATTCTTCTAAATGAATAGCAGTTCTTTGCACTATTTCTTCATCAGAATCCTCTTTTAATCTTTCATAAATGACATTATCAGCACCCTTGCTAATTAAGACAATTCTGGTGTCATTCTTAGGATAATAATCGTGAATACTATCATTACTTGAGCTATTTCCTGCATTAAAATCTGTACCACGGTTTTCTAGAATAGCACCATTTGCATCAGAAACTTTATTCATAAAACTTGGAAGTTCATCGGCTGGAATTTCAAGAATAATGCTCATTTTCTTTCTAGAAGAACTGAAGGGAATAACTGATAAAATTTTATAACTTTTTGCATCGCCATATTTTTTGATTTGAATAGAATCTCTGAAACGACTGGTAAACTCGATTCCAACATCTCTAGCACAACCAACTAATGCAGCTTCATCTGGAGATTCTGCTTTTAAAAGCTTTCTATTGCTGTCTGGGTCATCTTCTGTCACAACACTATGACATAATGCCATGCAAGTCATGAACCAATCATTTGCAATTTTTTGTGGATCATATTGATTAGTGTTTAATACATCAGAAACATATTGAGAGGAAATAAAAGTTAACTCATCATCAACAATATCTGTGCTTTTAAATAGACCGTTATCCTGTTTAGATTCTTCAATTAATTGCAACATTTTTAAATGATCATTATGAATTATGTTTTTCATTTTAGACTTTTCTTCCAAGACATCCACATTTAGCCTTTTTTGCATGCCCATTTTAGCTTCTGTATAGCATAAACCATAAGATTTAGTATTGATTGAGCATTTTTTAAATTCCATAACATTTTGAGTTAAAGTGCCAGTTTTATCCGAAAAGATATATTCAATTTGGCCAAGATCATCAGATATATTCCAAGATTTGGGGACACAAGGATAATCTAGTTTATCGTAATACATTTTAACATCTGAGTAAATAAAGATAGCTTGGACAGTTTTAATGATTTCAATTGAGATGTACAATGAAATTGGAACTAAAGTTTGATATAAGTTTACAGCAACGAAAAAACCAAGAATACCATTAATAGCTGAGGTACTTCCCCAAGCCTCAAATTCATAAAAGATTCTAGAGGTGGTATCATCAGCATAGAAAATTCCGTTAACTATCCCAGAAACAAAACACATTACAAATAACAACATAAAATTGATAAAGACAGATAAATTTAATTCCTTTGATATTCTTGATTTCTTTAATGGAGTTACGCCGGAATTTAAGACAATTTTAGTTTCACTGCCCGTGTAAACTACAATTCCTAAAGCCCATTTGGTATTTCTTAAAGTGCAACCTCTTAAAAGAACATTACTATTAGTTATTGGTTCGGAAGAATTCATTTGTAAAGGATCAAGGTTAGATAATTGAGAGGAATCGGTATTATCGTTGTAATGTAATAAGCCTTTAAACTGGTATAAATGGGTATTTGGAGCCTCGCATTCTATCCAACATTGAATTCTTTCGCAATCATTACTGTATTTAATACCAGAGCCAGCTTTTAAGGAATTTCTTTGTTTTAAATTTGTTTCGCCATCGAGATTTTTAGTTTCAATAAAACAAGTGCCTTCTTCATTTGATGAGGTCAATAGAACTATATCAGCAGGAACTTCTTCATTTTGCCTTACTCGAATAATATCACCAACTAGGATATCTTTCCAGTTTTTATTTTTAAATTTAGAAAGACCATTTGGCTGAACGTTAGGGTTTATAATTGTATTTGGTAAAGGATCAGTTATCTTTTTAGAGTTGGGGAAAACCGAGATTGATGTTCTTGTTCTAGCAATGATGGAAAGAGAATTTCTGGGGGTTTGAAGTTGAGTTTGAGTGGGAACAATAGTACTTTGTATACTTGCTCGATCAGACCAATAGTTTTGATTATTATTTTTGTTCAAATTTTTTCTAACAAAAAAGTATTTAACTGCTTTTAAGAAAAATCTTAGGATTCTTGTGTTTAATTTCTTAAATTTTCTCCATAGAGATATATTTGAGATGATAACGTTTGGATTTGGTAAACCAGTTAAAAGATGGATTCTGGAGTTATTTAAATCAACATCAGAAGAGGCTCTTCTATAGTCTTCTATAGCATCTTTAATTGCGGTTAAACAAACAATTACAATTAAAGGCACAGAATTTAAGACAGGATTTTCAACACCAAAGACTTCAAAAGCACCTAAGATGATCATTAGAAGGAAATAGATATTAGCAATATTACTGAACTGCAAAATTAAATTTTTGGGTAAAAAAGTGACAGGTGTATATCTAGTTGTTCTGATTTTATTTCGGGGATAGTTTTTCAAGGGAAAGCCAGTTTTGGGATCTTTCATGTTATTAGGCAATGGAATATTAACGTATATGTTTCTAGTCTCTTTGGCAAATTGATCCTTTAAGAATTGTGGTGGATCAACATCAGGAAAATGGTTGTAAAAAAAGAGGTGTAATTTGTCTTTAATTGATAAATGGAGCTGGTGATTTTGAATTTCATTTTTGACTAGAGTTTGGTTAAAATTGTCAGAAGTAGAATCTCCATTGATTGATTTATGGGTGAGGTTATTGTCGTTGTTTAATGTAATCTTTTCTAGGTTTGGTGATGGGGCAATGATACCATTTGTCTCAGATTTAGGCTTGAACAACATTTAGGGTAATTTGTGGTTAATTGTAATGATTTACGAGAATTTATATTAAATTTTTGAGCAAACCACTTTGTTTATATCTTGATTTATAACCTGACAGTTGAATAAAATTTGGGAAACTGCACCAAGGTTTTGTACTTAATTTCTAATTATAGTTAGTTGTGTTTATTATTGTGAGTCAATAGGCATTAAATAAGTGTGTGATCATCAATAGAATTATGAATTAGATAGTAAATAGAGAAAGATTTTGTCAAAGAGAAAGTGAGAAAGTGAGAAAGTGAAATAGAGTAAAAAACCAATTTATTTATTTGGAAGTTGGATATCTCAAAAATTAGAAGGATAGAGCTTAAAAAGGTTAATGAGGTATAATGAGATGGAATGAGAGTTGGTGAGATTTATAATCGTTATTAAATCTCTTTCTCTTTTCAAGGAAGAACGTTAAATCCTTTTTCTTCTTTCTTTCTTGCTCAGGCCAAACCTTTCCATCCGGGCAGCGCTTCTTTATCCCCAGCCAGCTGATGCTGCGCTGTTTGGGGGGCTGTCCGTCTGGAAGGATTTTGCGCTGCCGGAGAGAAAGAGCTGTTTCCACAGAAGTTTCTTTCGGAACACCCAGGCGGAGCCGCTACCCGAGCCTTCCGCAGCGCCGTCGACGGAGAAGTCGAAACACGTGAGAGGCGTTTTTAAAACAGTAATGTGGGTCAGTGTTGGTGAATGCATGGTAGTGCGTTAGAGCCATTGCATTGGACTAGATCCATCAGCATGGTCTTTGGTTTTTATTTTTTTTTTCAATTTTTTTTCAATTTGGAAATGGAAGAACTGTGCAGAAAATTTTCAGTTTATCAGAACAAAAAGTCTGGTTCATATCATATACACATACATAACAATGATCAAGAGGTCTGCTGGCGATGGTATATTGAAGAAATTGATGGAGAGAAATCCCAAAGACATTGATATTGAGAACGCTGATTTCAAAGATCAGTTTTCGGATAATAACAGCCAAGGCGATAGTGAGAGTGATAGTGATTCTGATAACTTTGCATCCACCGAGCACTATTTGAAAGTTGGGAGAAGTAAGCTAAGAGACAATTCAATAAAGATATCTGATCCAAAATATGCTGGCAATACCACCAGTCGAACAAAATATTATGCCGAATCCGAAGGTGATAGCGAGAGCGATGCTAGCACTGGCAATGGGAGTGATAGCGATAGTGGTAAAACATTCTCTCAAAACACATCATTTTCAGATGATCAGAATGAAGAAAATGAAGAAGATGATGAAGAAGAAGAAGAAGATGATGATGAAGGAGAAGAGAATGACAATGGTAATTTGAATAACAAAAAGGAAAAATTGAAAAATTTATTATCTCAAGAAAGAAAAATAATGTTAAATAGATTATCAAAATCAGCGAAAAATGATGCATTAAAGGGATATTCAATACTAAAGCAACAAAACCATTATGATTTGATATTAGATTGCAGAATAAAAATACAAGATATTTTATCATTAATGAACTCATTACCTTCGAACAATGAGAATCTTGATAAATTATCATCAAATCAGACGGCTTCAATGATATCTAAACTTAAAAAGCAATTGTATAAATTATTGGAAGAAATAATCAAGCTGAGAATTCAAATGAACGAAAAAGATAATATAATTGACAGCAAGAGGGATAATAAAAGTAAGAGTAAAATAAAGAGTAAAAAAAGAACTTTGAGTGAGTATTTCAATCAAACTAGTGAATTGGATGATATTCTACTGTCCTTTTCAAACAATACATTAACCAAATGGTCAAATAAAATACAATCGATATCTGGTTCATCTGCATTAAATAATTCTAAATTTAGTGTGGTTAATCAGTCAATAACGTCACAAATTGATTCGAATTTAGCGAATATGGATCGGTTAGTTAAAAGAACAAAGATCAATAGGAAAAACGCTAAAGCAATAGATCATGAAATTGAGTTTGAGAAGCAAAAGAATCAAAGGAAGCAACAAGTACAGCCAAATGTGCAAAAATTGGAAAATGAAATGGATGAAATAGACGAAATAGAAAATAAGAATAAAATTGATCAAGAATTACAAGAAAACAAAAATATTTTTGACGATAATGATTTTTATAAGATTTTATTAAATGATTTTGTTGATAAAAAAATAAGCGATTCGAATTTAACAAAGAATTATCAATTAACGTTAACAAAGTCTAAATTTAAGAAAAATTTTGATACAAAAGCATCAAAGGGGAGAAAAATAAGGTACCAGATTCAAAAACCGTTACAAAATTATGAAGCGCCAAATTTTAAGAAGAAAAGATGGAATGATTATCAGATTGATGAATTTTTCGCTGGGTTATTAGGACAAACGGTTAATTTCAATGAGGAAACCTCAGATGAAGAAGTTGGGGAAGAGAGGGAATACAGAAATTTTAATAAAGAGATGATAAATGATAATATAAAAATCTTTGGATAACCTTTAAGTAATTTAATTATTTAATTATTTAATTATTTAATTATTTAATTATTTAATTATTTAATTATTTAATTATTTAATTATTTAATTATTTAATTATTTAATTATTTAA